ATGCTTCCTACATGCACAGTGTTGTCTTCAAACCCTGTGTAAGTGTCCCCGTGTGACATGTATATTTCATGCATTAACTATAGGATCCTCTACAGGACCAGAGATTGCTTTCATTAGATGGATTGTTTCCTATGATGATCCGTCATTGTCATTACTGTCACCACTTTTGTCCTCCAATCTTTCCAAATCCAAGTCAAATATTACAGCCTTGCCCCTTTATCTTTCCACTCTTACAATGCCAAGTCTACTTTATGTATCTCGTGGTGATACGGGATGTCTTATGTACATAAAATGTTATTGATACTCAGGGACATTATGTCCCCATGAGTAGCCTGCAACAAACCCACACACACTAAAGACAACATGCTTAATCAAATTCATGGGGTCTGAGATGCACTTAGATGACACTAATATGGAATGAACCTACATGATAATGCAATATGCGTATTAAAAAAAATAGGCATCTAGTTTAAAGAATGTCAATAATGCAAGCAACACCTTATTAATCACTGGCTAAGAGAAAGTCTAGAAGACAGAGTGCCTGCAACGCAAGCGCTTTGAAGCAATCCTGATGAAATGACTTGTGTGTCTGTGTGTCCATCTGTGTGGGTTTTTTAATCTATGTACACCTTGCGACTTTCACACACGCCAGTGATGCATCACATTACATTTTCTCATACAGCAGTCAAAAAAGACATTCCACGCACCAATTCACCACGGAACATTTATTGTTATTCCTATCATCTTCCTATCTTACAGACAGCTCAGTGTACGGATGATACATCTATAAAACTCTAACCAAACTAGCTGTGCCACAGACACATGGATCACAGCGTCAGGTCGCGGCTGCAAAAGATCAGAGGGGCAGCCGTCCATTTTGCAGCTTTCCAACGCTCAAGCCAGCACGAGGGAAACAATATCCCACCATGCAACTCCGCCTGCCTGCATTAAGATTCATCTATTAGGTCCAGCACTTGTTTAGGCAGTAAACAGTCAATCTGCTCTAATATTTGGAAACACGTTACCCTTTCAAAGCTCAAGGGCCACAGCATTGTTTAGCTTGGCCTGACGCTGTGATGAATTAGAACATTTCAGAGTGTGCCCTGAATTACATTATGCAAATCAAAGAAACGGCCCATCTAGGCGGCATCAAATGGGATATATTTCTTTTCAACAGAGCTATTTCTATCTATTGCGCCGCACTCTTAACAACTTGTATGCATATTTTGATACAACACGATTTTCATAGAGGCACTGTGGCCGTGACTAGAGAAATTCGCTGCAATAGGATTTGGCATATTCACTGAAATGTAAAAAGAAGTGCATTTGGCGCCCAGTGACCCAAAGGGCCCTGCCGTATCTTGGTTGAAAGCTGATTGAGACCAATGGCTTTGACTCCTACAGTAAGAGGGAACAAAAAAAGTTATGCCCCCATTTCAAATCAGCCTGAGTTTCACCCCACACAACGGACACGCTCCAGTGATCTGAGAAATTACAGGATACCACCCTTTCCAATTTCGCCATCACTGGACCAGACTGTTGCAGGCTTTTGAAACAATTACCCCAAGGGGACCACTGTAACCTTCTTTATAGCTCATTGAGCATCCACAGTTCCAATTTCGCGCAGGTAATTACAACATCGTTATCTCCTCCTAAATCTTCACTGGAGGTGATACCCTGAAAAGCTACCTTTGGCTCAGCTGTTTGCCTTTTGGACACTGATCGAAACAAACACAGCGCCAGGTGTGTGTTCCTCCTCCAGGTGTGGGTGACCCAGCGCAGCCTGTTCACCCAGAACACATCAGTCACACTAATACACATCTGTCGCACAGGTGCCCCCACTCCATCACAGCCATGGTTGGTCTCTCTCCTTGAATGGCCCAACCCTTGCTTAGAGAGGACAAACAAATCTTCTGATTTGCCGCTTATCTGCAGTCAATGTGGGGCATCGTCAAACCGGCACATCAAGGACATGCACTCCATGGGGGGGGCAGGCGGGAGGTATCCATTTGGCACAGCATCATTCTTCCCACATAGTGGGATGGGGACAGGGCAGGGGATACACTCCAATTAAAGATGGAGACACGGGGGAACGGGGGGCCCTGACACACCCCTGCTGCTCCACAAAAGGAGTGTGAGCACACCTTTTTAATTCAGCGAAAGCTTTTCCTTTCCTGTCATGGCCCCTGCCTGTTCATTCACAACATGAAGCCAAAACATTTTGCATCATGCTGTTTTCTTTCCATGTGTGCGGTGTTGCAAGGTTGTGGTTCCTTGTCAGTACCAATGGCTGGTCAAGCTTGAGTGTGTGTATATGTCTTTAAAATGTGTGTGGTATTGCGTATTGGCGCTCGCTCTCGGCACCAGGGGGAAAACGCCCGGGGTGTTCTTTGGCATGCATCTCTCGTCTCAGGCTTCCATCAACAGAAATCCATCCCTGTGTATAGTGCAGCATGTTCCGCCTTCCTGGACTGTTTTGAAATAGGTTGAACCAGCTTCACGTATTTGCATGCTGCATGAACACACTCTGCCGGCGCGCAGTGGGACCTCCCTCTGTCCGTTTCCATTGTTTTTACGCTCCTAAGCAAAGTGAATTAATTTGTGCTCAGAGTCCATCTGATTCTCAATCAGGATTTGTGTACGAGACACTGAAGAAAGCGTGGCAACACCACTCTGGTATGAATTCTTTATCTTTGTTCTATATGAATAAAACAAAACATGCTCCTGATTCAATCATGCGACAGCATACCTTACACTGGTCCCTTGTGTGTCTGGCTATTCTTAAGGGGAGAGATTGGACCCAGATATGAGCTATTCCATTACTAGACACATTCCATTGAATCTGAACTCAATGGTCTACAAGTGTAGCCTTCTTTATAAACAGAAAAACAATACAGTGTATTTGGTTTATTATGCATATGCGTGTATAAACTATGCATGAAGCAATTACATTCCAGGGCCTTGGGGCTCCGATGGAACCCAAATGAGTGAATTACTACTCTGCTTCTTCCCTTGAATCCTTGCACTTGATGTCCATTCATTAATCCAGCTGTTGTTGTGTTTTTGTCTCTAATCCCAGCCATGGATGTTTTCCACAGGGATTTCCATCTGAGATGAAGAGACTGGCTGTATTGATAAGTGAAGGTCAAAGGTAGAAGAAGCTAGCCGGGGGAACAAGGCTTGCGGTGACAGAAGAAGTTTAAAGAAAATATACTACTTGATCTGCAGAGGCTTGGATTTATTAGAATTTAAAGAGTGGGAGGAAAAATTAAATTGAAGGATGGAGGGGAGGGGCTGGATCAGAGTAGATGGAAGAGCAGGAGTCAGCATGATAGGGGGAAAGCCACAGAATGAGATTTTTTGCCCTAAGAGCACCAACTTCAAAAGCTTTTGGGGGCATGCCTTTACATAATTTTACTCTTAACCTAATCCCTATTTTTGAGATGTGTATGTGTGAGAGAACAGAGCGCAGATAGGGATGAGAAAGATGTTAGACAGACAGAAGCATCTCCATGCCCCCCCCCCCACCCCCCCCCATTGATCCTCCTTAGAGCAGAACTAATAAGTCATCACCCATTTCACTAAGTCCAACATTTGTGATCGCTTGAAGGTTAAACTATACAATGTATTAGCTTGTTCTAAATGAATCTAGCAAGCGTTAGCTCACATACAGTGTGCGTGTTTGTTAGTTTGTCTCAGATGGGATTTTGTCTTTGTTCGTTTCTGTGTCTTTCAGAGCGTGTGCGTGCCTGTCTGTCTCGCTTTCTTCCATCAGGATTCTTTTAATCCCATTCTCTTCCTCTAATCCATCTTTCACCCTCTCTTCCTCCCATAGTCTCGTGCCCTTTTCTCCCTCCTCTCCTCCCTCCTTTCTTCTCTCCCCTCTCTCTCTCTTTACTTACTCGATCGCTGCTGTCTGCATAGCGAGGAACTGTGTCTTCCACGCGCATGTGATTCACTTGGCAGCTACTTGAGGTAAACACGTTGGGCTGGACAGACGCCTCGGTCCCGGTCCGGAGGAGCAGGTTGACGTGGGTGGGCCCTGCTCAGGTCCCAGCGTCAGAACGGGCATCAACGCCAGACACTTGGCCAGATGGTCCAGAGTCAAGCTCTCGTCGCTGTTCATCAAATGAAAGACTCACTCCTCACCATGGCCCCCAGCATCATGTCACAGTGGAACTAGAGAAAATTAGCACCTAATTATAGGCTCCTCTCTGTGAGAAGAATGGTGCTGGTGCTTGTGGTGTGTGTCAGCGTGTGGAGGCTGGCGGCTTGACTCACAGAGGGGCTGTGGGACTTGTAGACCACGCAGAGGACACACAGAAGGCCACGGAGGAGACACAGGTGATCGCACACACACACACTCGCATATGTGCAGTGGGGACCCACACAAGCGAGAGGCTAAAACTCCCTCCGTTCTGCTTGATTTGGGCCACAGCAGGGTCTCCCTCCACCCCACGACGATGCCACAACAGAAACCGCTTGTGTTCCATCTATCTCTGATCCAACAGGATTAATTACACACACACTATGAAAGCTGATGCCTCTGGTTTCCATGCTCCGCAGGCTCCCTTGTGCTGAGGATGAAGTAGTTAATCTTCACCGGGAACAATGGAGATTTTGCTCTGGTGGATTTAGGTTGGTACTTAGATCTAGAGGAGAGTTTGACTATGCTGCCATCTTGTGATTGCATCTGGACAAATACGGGATGTTAATGAGGAGACTGAATGAATACCCTTGATTATGTTTTTAGTCCACTGCTAAGTGATGTTGAATTGATGTCAAAGTAATAATGTGATCCAATGTGCAACAGATACTGGCAGGATATCCAGTTGACAGACTCTGTGAGCAAGCGACAATATCCCAACGGCTGCTCAGACAGAACAACCAATGGTGGTCGCGAAATAGCGGCATTATGAAACTGTGAAAATCGAAGAAACGCCTTCCTCTGAAGTTGTGAGGTTCTGCCAGCGAGTGAGAAATCAAACAAATGCAATCGCTTTTCTCTGAAAAGTTAGCCATTAAATCTTTATTAGGTCTGCAAAGACTTACCGAAAATAGGTTAATATAACAAAAAATTCATTCTTCATTCTTAAAGCATACAAAACCATAGTATAATACTGTCAATTACTCCAGCGTCTCTGAACATGTCGATTGATGTCACTCTCTTACAACACAACAGAACACAGAGAGATTCTTAAGGACCTAGTAAATCATCACTCAAAGACTCGTAAACCACACTGTTTCCCTTTACATCGCTCTGAACATGAATGCAAACTTGCGATTGTAATTTCCGGAGTTAATGCAAAACCTTGGCACAATAGATAATTCTTTCATCAAGAAAACGGCAAACGGCAAATGTCTTGGCGGGTTTTAGTGCGTGTGAGCCTTGTGAACCGCGGAAGAGCAAGGAACAGCGAGGGTCGGCGGAGGGTTGCTGGATGGGGGAGGGGAGGGCCACTGGTGCAGCTTGCTTTTAGGACGCAACCACCTTGTAAGGGCTGCCGGGGACGCTGTCGTCGCCCCATTTGACGATGACGGTGTAGTTGCCCTTGTCCTTGACTGTGTAGGTGACGTTGTATAACTTGTTGCCCATGTGCTTGACGTACACCTCCTCGCAAGGGGTATGAGGTCCATGCACGCCCACCATCAGCATGTTGGTACCTGAAGGAGAAGTGTGGGATTTAATGGTGCACAGGTGTATTGGCTTTAAATGCCACAAATCAAAATGTTATACGAAATAAGGAAGTATAATGTAGGAGGTGTTGCTGGGCGAGAAAAACTACTATAGAGATTTCTCAACAGCTTCTGTACTTCTCGACTCTTCCCCCAGCATTTTACGGTAGATCTCTTTTCATTTTGTTATGGAGCCACAGCTTTAATGCTTCGTATACTCATACACTCATCAACCTTGTTTTCTTGTCAAATATCCAGCACCTTATTTAGAGCCAGATGTTTGGCATAAGCCAAAAAGAACCATATGGGTAGTGAATATAAATATATGTAGGCCTACTGTATATACATTTAGTAATGCACTATAACATTTGAAGGCGCTACTATGTCAGGGTTGTGTTTACAGTTTGTTCCTCTGTAAAAAAGTGGCTGAGAATCTTGTGTTTTCACTGTATGAAAAAAGCTCTGTGTGCGTCTTTTATCTTCCTACCTGCTTTGCTGCAGTCAACTGTAAAATTGTTTTTCTGTCCAACAGCAGCCTTGGACAGCCCTGTTCCGAGACAAACCACCATGCTCGCATCCGATGTCAGTTTTGTTGAGGTGGTGGAAGACGAGGAGCTGGAGCTGTAGGCACCGCCCACTTTGGAGGTCTTGGTGACTGTTTCAACCAAGACGGACGAAGTCTCATGGAGGCTGTGTCCCCCAGAGAGCCGGGCTCCTGTGGGCGAGGCGGAGTGTGAGGTTATTGAAAGCCAGTAAAACCTTTGCTAATACAGGAAAAAATTTCCAATAAAGTGAACTTCCAGGACTCTTAGGATTTCCTCTCATTCTTTGGAGTACTTTGATGCCACATACATTTTAAAACCAACAGGAAATGTCAGCAAGAATGTCGATATAAGTGCCAGAAGGAGGAATCTTTTATGTGAGATGGACACTGGGCAGCATGAACAAAGATGACATAACATTTCCCACACTTTTTTTCAGAGGAAAGTTTGTTAGTCTGTTTCATAATCGAGACACTTGTCATGTGAGATCCACGGATCAGATGGGAGAGCGACTGTCGAGCAGACCTGTGACTTTAGCTTTGAACGGGCTGCCCACTATGTGCTGTGGTCCTCCGTATTTGATGGTGATGAGATAGTTGCCGGGTGCCATGGGTGTGTAGTTGATCTTGTATCCTTCAGGGCACTCGCGACAGTCCATCTTGACCTTGGACGGCCCGTCGATGTTGACCGACAGAGTGGCGGAGCCTGCGTTGCACGTGTTGACCACAAACTCCGAGGATGCACCTGGAAGGAGGAGGGCAAAGCAGAAAAAAAAGTTAAAATGACTTAAAACAAAAACAAATAAAGAAATCACAAGCGATCCACGCTGAATTATCTTGAAATATAACACATATTAGTACAAGTGGCGGTGACATCTACCTGTGGTTCCACCCATCAGTCCGGGACCATGTGCCGTCACCATGCCTGGATCTCCAACCAGTCCCGGGTCGCCCACTCGCACATTAAAGGGGCTCCCTGGGATGTGGCATCCGTTGAACTTGACGTCAATGGAGTGAACTCCATTCTCGCGTGGGATGAAGCGGATTGCATTCTTGTCTGAACACACATCACAAGTAGATTTATTATATTTGATTTCATTAATGCTATTTGGTGACACAAAGTGATGTCGGTGCGTACCGCTGTCAAGCTCGGTGACATAGCATTCCTCCGACGAGCCAGCGGGCGTGTGGACTTTGGCGTCAACCACACCTCGAGCCCCATTGCGCTGCACCATGAAGGATGCCTCCTGGTTTACCTTCAAGTCCTTCTCCTACAAACGACAGGGAGGAATATGATAGGAGCATGTGTGCGTGGATGTGTGTGTGTGTGTGTGTGTGTGTGTGCCAACACCTCGAGGCACACGTAGAGGGTGACTCATCTTGCCTCAACGCAAATAGGTTGAGCATTTGCGTTTGAGAGGCTGAAAAGGTCAGAGTTTACAGCGAGGCGTTTAGTGCTTTAACCCTACGGGCAGGCGAGCGGTCCTACCAGACATAAGAGGCAGTGTGGCATTGCAAACGTTGGCCTGATATTGCACTTCAACTGGCTTCTAGTGGTAGAAAAGCACTGCGAAGTGGCATTTCAGTCAGCTAAAAATACATGTTTTTTTTTTGCATTGTTGGCTGTTTGTGATGGAAACTATAAAGGAAAATAAAAGAAGCTGTGAAGTGAGGAGAGCAATATTGTGAGCTATCACAGGTATCTTTGAAGGTGTCTTTATATTCCGCTCAATGTGTTCTTGCTTTTGTCCTCTCAGAGGGAAAAACAATCACGTAGACTCGCTGACTGCCCACACAGAGCACAGCTTGTGTTGTACGACTTTGGAAAGGCACAGTTAATCCAGCCCTTCGTCACTCGCCAGCATCCCAGTATTACAGTCCTTGATACTGCTCCAACACCGGCATTCAATTACACTTCAAGGGCAAAGCGCTATTAGACACAAACACAGAAATATCTACAGCACTACCTTACATGCAATCGTTTTCTTAACCACAACATTTTGTTGCTGTGCATGTTTTCTTCAGTTGTTTTGTGTAACAAATGAATGTGACTTGGTGTCGTCAGCCCTTGTGTGTGTGTGTGTGTGCCTATGTGCATCGTCGCACCTGAAGGCTTGTTACAGTGAGCCTGCGGGCCTCGTCTGACAGCGTAGCAATTGGAACGATGAACGGGCTGTCGGGGATGTGCTCGTTGTTGAATTTGATTGACACCTCGTAGTCACCTGGGGAAGCAGACAGGTCATGTACTTTCACCATCAAACAAACTAAAGGAAGTCTGGAGATATCTCTGAAAAGTTTTGCAATTTAGAGACCAGAAAACACAACTTCAGAGGCAACTTCTGCATTTGAGGGGCAACTAAAAGGTTTACCTGGTTCTTTCACTATGTAGGAGACGCCGCAGGAGCCGTCCTTCCTGTCCTCAAAGGTGATTTCAGCCTTGCTGGGGCCCTCTACAGCGATAGACAGACCGCCAGCACCTGCCTCCCTCGTCCAGATGCTAAATTCAGCTGTGAGTGGGTGAAACAAAGGCATCGACATTCAATGAAACATTCAAATGAATTTCCTGAACAGTATTTGCAGAAACAGATTCAAGTACAAAAGGTGAACTTACAAGGCGCTGCAGCCACGCCTCTTTCCAGGCCGGGTCCACCCGCACGGACTTTGTGTGATCCCCCCTCCCCCATGGGCCCCACAGTAAACTGGAAGGGGCTACCGGGGACATGCTGGTCTCTGTACTTGACGTTGACGGTGTGCGGTCCCATCTCCTGGGGGATGAAGCGCACGCTGTAGGTGCTGCTCCCTCCATCCACTATGTCAGCATCCACCGTTTTCCCACTGGGGCTGGTGACCTGAGCCGTCATGGCCTGAGAGCCACTCTCAGCAACTGAGACATAGGCAAAGGATGTATAACTATATATATATATCCTTGAGAGGACAGATAAAACTGAAGTATTCAAGTTTTCATGTTTTAAACATTTGATTTGGACTCTCACCCTCAGGTCTGGCAGTGATGCCAGCAAAGCTGCTGAGGCTTTCTCTGCCCAAAAAGTCTCCAAAAACATCCCTGAAGGGGCTTCCTCCTCCGCCCAACTGGGTGCTTTCCTCCACTCGGACCTCCCGTTTGGTCTCTCCACCGCGCGTTTTGCTTATCTCCGTGCGCTCGGTGCGCGTGTAGGTGTGGCTGCTGCGGGTGAAAGTCCTGGTCAGCCTCTCCTGAGCCGAAACCATCTGGAACCAGTTTCCTACACGGGGGGGAGGGGGAGGGGGATCCAGTGAGAACACAAACGTGTGAGCATTTATTGTACGACAGTTGACCTCTGCCCTCCAACCAGCTCGGACTGGCTGCTGGACTCACCTGGTATCTTGAGGTTAAGGCCGCACGTGCTGCCGACTGAGGCAATCGAAGAGGCCTGTCTCTTTCTAGTAATGCTCTCCTTCATCCTTCCTTCTCCGGTCACCTTCACTGTGAAAGGACTTCCTGGTGGGCACAAACAAAATAAAGACATTTATTTCATTTTAGGTTGTAAAATGTTTTCTTTTTTTGTTTGTATGTCAAATTAAAAGAATCTTACCTGGGATATGTTTTTCGGCAAACTTGATGTTAACAATGTAGCTCCCAGGTTCTGTTGGACAGTACGTGACTCTGCATGTCCCGTCCTCCACATCTTCGCAGTTGATGTCCACTTTGCTCGGACCCTCGATTGACAATGCTAGACCTCCATAACCTAAACGAAAAAGTGGAGGGAAGTTGAAAAAGTATGTGTTGCCTTTTTTATTTTTTCCCAACCATGTTTACCATTTAGGTCAAATGAAACGCCTCTGGATCTTACCTGCGTTCCTCGTATCCACAAAGAATTCTGCCATTTCTAATGTGTGTGCCTCCACCAGGCCTTTCCCGAAAGCCTTTACCCTGCTGGCCTCGCCAATCTCTGACTGCCCAACCATGATTTTAAAAGGGCTGTTGGCCACGTGTACCCCGTTCTTCCTCACGCTAACTTCATGCTCTCCAACCTCCTTCGGTGTGAAAGAAATACCTGCGAACATAACATTTTTTTTTATAAGAAAGAGAAGCAGTAAAATGAAATGTAAATGCATTCATAAACCTGTCAACTTCTTCCTGTTACTTTCTGGCAGGTGAATATCTCACCGAGGTGTCTGTTGGGCAGTGTCTTGAGCAGGCAGGGCTCCTCGTTGCCCGATGGTGCTCTGATACTGGCAGTCAGAGAGCTCAGATCAGTCTCTGCAATCTTCAAGGACACGTCAGCCGCCGTGCCGACATTCAGCTGTGACGTCCTGGTTATGGCATCATCCCCTTGATACAAAGACAAGGGGTTTAGATATCTGTCAACTCCTCAAAGCCTCATTTATAACGTAGACACCCCCTCTAAAATACATCAACAGCATAAATAGTTCCATTCGAGAAATGATTAATTCCTCACCGGTGACCTTCGCCGTAAAGGGACTGCCAGAAATGTGCTTGTTGTCAAACTTGACGATGACGTTGTAGTCTCCAGGAGCTGTGGGCAGGTAGGAAACAGTGCAAGTACCGTCTTTGTTGTCCTTGCACGTGATCTCGGCCTTTGAGGGACCCTCCACTGCCAGAGACAGACCACCTGAGAGGGAGCAAACCAACAACCATATTTTTTTACTTTTCTGCAGTGTAGTAATTGTTTACTCCACAGATACATTGTGAAATAGCAAATATCTCTGGGGAAGTACGGTTTAGTACCTTCTCCTGCGTTCTTGGTGACCACAGTGAAAGTGGCAGCCCTGTTGACCATGCCGTAACTCAGACCCGGACCATAAGCTGTCACCACGCCACTGTTCACAGCATCCACAAAGAACTGCAGAGGGCTTCCTAAAGGTGCAGAATAATTGCCAAGACAGTGAAACTGAGAACTGTAAAATGTATTTACTGCATTTAGACAACAGAACATTAATAACGTTCATTTTATGGTTCCCACTGTTCTAAGGTGCTTTGTTTCCGACCTGGAATGTGGTTGCCGTCATATTTGATGTCCATCTCATGCAGACCTCTCTCTGTGGGCTGGTACTTTATTGTGATGGTGCCATCCTTGTTGTCGGTGATGTGTGGGCGGCCAGTCTTGCCTGAAGGCATCCTCACCTCACCTACAAAACAGAGCCGCTTGGTGAAATGTCAGTGATCCAAAAAATATCTTTTGTGGGTGTGTGAGCGGAATTTTCTTTCCGTTTGAGTGCTGTTTGTCACACCTGTGATTTCCCCTTGCTGTGGCATGAAGGGAACGAGGAAGTTAACCGGACGGAAGAGAGGGTCCACAGTATCGCGGGGAACAACCGGCTCATTTGATGCCTGCCAAGTCAGAGCGAAGAAAAATGGTGTTCACCATAACAGAACATGGGAACAAGAATGCTCTGAGCACACAACTGTGGCAGCTGGCTGAATCCTCCTTTACTTACCACCACATGGAAGGGGCTCTTGGGGATGTTCTGTCCTCCAAATCGGATGGTAATAACATATTTTCCAGGTTCAGGGGCGGTGTAGTAAATGTCAAAGGTCCCATCACGATTTTCCACCACATCCATGTCCAGCTCCATCCCTTGTGGGGTCTGCACCTTACAGGTCACTTTGCCTTTCCCAGCAGCTTTCGCGTCCACTGTGATAACAGTATCCTCGGAGGTCTGCAGCTTCTGCAGACTTGCTGTTAAGGACAGAGGGGGAATTCAAATTAAGAATGACAGCTGCGTAATAAATGCACAGATTTTACCATTTTCATGTACCATAGAAATAAAAAGTTACTCACAAACGCCATGTCCTCCGATTGAAACTGGAAGAAAACAATGCAGATTTTGAATATAAATATAAAGATGCTACAATTACACGATATTATTTGCATTTATTTATTGAATCGATGAATCCACCTGTGAGGTGACATTTGCTGGCGTCTCCTGTGGGCAGGGACTGGATGCGGTAAGGGGAGTATGGGATCTCATCTCCTCCGTATTTGATGGTGATGGTGTAGGGGCCTGTAGAGTCTGGTACATAGGAGACAGTGTAGGTGCCGTCCCTGTTGTCCTGGATGGTGGCATTCTTTGGCTTTCCCTCAGGGTCCTGTCAATAGAAAACATTAAGGTTATTTTAAATGGTAACTCATATATTATTTTTACATTTTTTAAAAGGTAGCTGAACCCACCAGAATCTGCACAGTGAGCAGTCCTTCTCCGGCATCGCGGGCATCAATGGTGAACTCAACTGGAAGGCTTGCAGGCACACCTTTTGTGTCTAGACCAGGACCACTAGCGCGCACTTTACTGGCATCATGTCCAGGCTGAGACATTACCTTGAATGGACTGCGGAAGGAAAATATCAAGAATAATTACTAACCCCGGACGGAGAAAAAAAAAAAACGTTGCACAACTGATCTTTTTTTAAAATCCAGCCAGGCGGAGCACAACCTGAATTAACACATTTCTGCATATGCTCACTGCATGGCTTTATTTTCCCCCCCTAACATCTTCTATACCTGTGTGGGACTTCCTGATCTGCATATTTGACAGCTACAGTGTAAGGACCATCCTGGGCTGGGGTGTAGTGAACTGTGTGGGTGCCGTCGCCGTTGTTCTTCACGCCTACTGGCTCCACGGTACCTGGACATGAGACATTTTGGAAAGAGTCACACACCTCCGACTTGCTGTTATTTGTCACCTAGGAGCAGGCGAGACAACCCGCATTTCCTCACCTGTTGGGCCGTAGAGTTTGACGTCCAGTGGGGCCTGTCCGGCCTTTGTACAATCGGCCGTGAAAGCCTGAGGAACATGGGCTCTCACTCCGCCGCCCAGACCGGGACCTGAGCACTTGACCTTGCTGGGGTCCACGGGGTCCTTCACTGGAACACGGAAGGGACTGCCAGGGATCGGGTGACCTCCGTAGTTGATGTTGACATCATAGTCTCCGGTAGTGAAGGGGATGTACTCCACACTGCAGCTGCCATCTTTATTGTCCTTGCAGGATATTTTTGCCTCTGAGGCTCCCTCAATAGTCAGGCCCAGGCCTCCCGTACCAGCTCCCCTGAGAGAGAACACTTTTATTGTATTCCTCATTTTAGATTCCCATAAATATCTCCTTCAAATGTGATCGAAGGTTACCTGGTCTCCACAGTGAAGCAGTTGGGCTTGTTGGTGATTCCTCCCTCCAGGCCTGGTCCATAGGCCCGGACCCGGGTCGGATCACACCCCTCCACGACTGACACTCTGAAGGGACTCTTGGGCACTGGCGCCTCGTCATACTGCACCTCGATCATATGCATTCCTGCACACGAACAGATGGCAGTTCAATGTCTGATGTCATAGCGCTGTGCCTGAATAGTTTCCCAGCAAGCAAATGTTTTCTGTTATTGCCTCTTGCTTTTAATTATGAGCCAGACAACTTCCCTTTAAGGGAGATAAACATCTGTTTATTTATTAAAGACGCCATCTATGGCGCAGACACTCTGGTGAACGTACACTGCATTACATCTGTTCCCGATTCATTATTCCGTTACAACATTTTCCTGACTGAGCACTCTCAGTAGTAGTATGTGCCAGATTCCCAGCAGCACGACTGTGATATTAGAGCATGTCTTGTGGTGGAGAAGTGCTCTGTGATCTCTTTGCTTTGTGTTATAGTTCTCTATTAATATCCTCTGTCATTCCCTTGCTGTATAGCTGTGTGCAGGCAGCCTTTAGCACACATACCTGCCTTGTTAAGAGATTCTATTCCTCAGCCCACTATTTATAAAACAGAGCCTGTCTGCCTCTCTACCTCCCTGGCCCTCACATCATTGCTCCAATGCATCATTCTGTATTTATACCCCTCTATTTCTTTCTTTTCCCACTCTCCTGCTTTGTTCCCAAATGGCACCCAACACGAGCACCTGTTAGTGATTACTCAGTCTGTCCCAGACAGCCTGCCTGGGATAAAACCTATATCAATCCTTAGCAGACATTTTTTTAATGTCACAAATTGGATATATATATATATATATATGGATCTTAAATTCCTTATTGTTGTTTGATGCCGTTGTGCCATTATGATCCTATAATTGTGTGCATTAACACCATTAAATGACATAAAGTAACATTGTTCCCCTACCATCCTCGAATGCTGTGTACTCCACTCTGTAGGTACCGTCTCCCTTGTCAGTGATGAAGGTTTCAGTGGTGGTGCCGGAAGGGCTGATTATGTGAACCTTCACATGGTTTCCTCCAACCTTTTTGAGGGCGCGAGCATCAACGATGAAGTGGGTTGTCACTTCTCTGAGGACTCCTAGAAGCAGAAAAGCCCTTCAGGTGATTTGTTTTATGACCATTTTAAGACCAAAGACATTGTAAATCCTTTAGATTTGTGAGCCTTCTGAACTAGTTGGAACACTACGTATTCAGGCTGTAACTAACATTTCATATAATTCATAATAGCTTGTGTCTTTACGACCAAAGTCCAAATCTAAAATTGGAATTAGAATGATATTGGGACGGAGAAAAGCATATGCAGATGTTTTAAATCTTTCCAGATAAATGACTTCAAGAGATTTTTCTATCAAACAAAAAATCAATAAATTTCAGCCCTGGTGCACAACCTCGGACGCATTGCAGCTCATTATAAGTTTATGTGTTTGATTTTTTTTTTTTTTTACCTCTGGGCTCCACTCCTGGTCCATAGACATGCACCCCGCTGGTGTCCACAGAGGGCTCGACCTGCAGGACTTTGGGAAACTGTGGAATCATCTGGCCACCGTACTTGATCGTGATGGTGTGTGTGCCATGGAAGGGTGGGATGTATGTAACAGAGAAGGTCCCCTCTGCAGTTTTCTGGATGTGCACTTCCGCCTTTGACCCGGTCTCTGACACAATCTCAATGGTGAGCTCGGCATCGCCGGCCCGGGTGCAGTCCACGGTGAAGGTCGCCGGTTCTCCCGCCTTGGCCTTCTCCAGCCCCGGGCCGCTAGCCGTCACCTTGCTGGGGTCCAAGGCTGGGCGCACTGCGGCCTTGAAGGGAGAGCCGGGGATGTGCTTCTCAGCAAACAGGATGTTGATGGCGTACTCGCCGGGCTCAGTGGGCAGATAGAACACTGAGCATGTGCCGTCGCCATTGTCCTGACACTCGATCTTCGCTTCACAGGGGCCCTCCACAGTCAGGCCCAGCCCGCCTGCACCGGCTCCCTTTGTGTCAATAGTGAATGGAGCTGGTTTACCCACAATGCCTCCCTTCAGGCCTGGGCCAAAGGCTCGCACCTGTGATGCAACAGGGGTCGGGTCAGTTTTAAAGGTGCAGTTTAGACAACATCAGACATGTCTGTTCCGTTTCATGAGCCTCAAGTAAGTAAAGGAGCATAGAACGTTTACCTTTGAAGGATCAGCAGGCATCACTGCTTCAACTGCAAAAGGGCTCCCCATCACCGGGTTGCCGTCATAGCTGACATCCACCTTGTACTGCCCCTCCTCTGGGGGAATGTACTTCACACCGTGGGTGCCTTTGGCTTTGTCTGATTCCAGCTTGCATGGAATTGGTCGGCCTGAGGGTGAGGTCATCTTCACACCCACATTGCCCTGTCCGCCAGCGCCCTTTGTGTTAACCGTGAACTCCTGATCTTTTCCAACCTCCACTTCTGCAAGAGGGATTAATAACACTTTGATGTGGGGAAATCTATTATTTCATGGTAAATGCTGGTATATCATATTTTTGTGTTTGTAACTTACTGGTGTCTAATCCCTCCACTTTCACCTTTCCAATGTCCAGAGGTGGCGCCACTGTGATGTGGAAAGGGCTCTTGGGAATGGGATCTCCTCCATGAGTGACCGTAATAGCCATGTTACCCTGGAAAAACGCGGGAGGGAGTATTAATATTGATCGATTGTGAATAATCCTGTTCTAATGCTAATGGCTTCAGGGCCCATTGTAGTGTACCTGTTGCAGAGCCGTGTACTTGACAGTGTAGGAGTAATCGTGGTTATCGATAATCTCAAAGTCACGGACTGCCTCTCCTGGGCCTGATGCTGCAAAGTTCACCCCAGGTTTGGCCTTGCCGGCTCCCTTTGTGTAGATAATGAAGTGGGTTGGAGTTCCCACCTCCACTCCTGAAACAATTTTTTTGTTTTTTTTGTTATTACATTAAAATATTGTAGTGCCTATAAAGTTTGGTGTTGTTGTTGACGGATCTCACCTGTCTTGTTGAGTCCAGGGCCCTCGGCCCTCACCTTACCGGCATCGTGGGAAGGATCCACTTTCACTTTGAATGGACTGATGGGAATTTCCTGATAAAAGCAAATCAAAAATCAATCCTAATAAGTGACATAAGAGTAAATACAATTCAAAAAACCCTTTTACAAAACTCATCAGTCTTGCTTTCGATGAAAACTGTGTTCTTACCTGCTCGGCAAACAGCACCATGATGGTATACCGGCCTGCACCCGGGGGAGTGTACTTGACGGTGAAGGTGTCATTGTCATTTTTGATGATGTCAAATTCAATGTCTGCCTCGGCCGGGCCGACCACCCCTGGGGCACACTTGATTCCAATGCTGATGTCCCCTAATGGTGCATAGCAATGAGCAGAGATCAAGAGGGTCAAAAATAGACAATCTGAACAAAGGCTCCACTGCCACAAGCTTTATCTTACAGTAAGTAAATTTAAACACAGTAAGTAAATTTTTATTCAACATTGCCAGTTAATCTGCACGGCTTTAGTCATTTTATAAATTCTATGCTTTGTATTGTTCTATATCCACACGGTTAGGCACTTATTTTATGAAGAGTTTTTGAAACCACTCACACCATCTCGTAGAACATGCTCACCTTGACCAGCTTCCCCACAGTCCACCGTGAAGTATGTTGGCTCGTTAGCCTTGAGCCCCGTTTTCTCCACTCCAGGCCCATAGACCTTGACTTTGTCTGGATGACAACCCTCTCCAACCAGCACCTACCGAATTCACAGTGCACATGAGACAAAAGTACAACTGCCGCAGTCCTCTCACTTTATCCATCTTTGAGTATGATTATATTAAATTGACTGAATGTTAAGGTCTGTATTTGTGCATTAACATGTGTCTTACCCTGAAGGGACTGCTGGGCACATTGACGTCCCCCCAGGTGATGATGATGGTGTGCTTCATGGGCTTGACAGGGGTGTACACACACAGAAATGTGCCGTCTCCCTTGTCAGTGATCTTGATGTCGATGGTGCAGCCTTCAGCGTCCTTGGTGGATTAAAAGAACTGTCAGCTCTGCTCTCTGCATGCATTATCAATGATGTGCTCCTGTAAATAAACAATGAAGGTTTTACTGTAACTCTTCATACCTGTGCGTAAATCTTGAGGTGACCCTTTCCAGCCATGCGAGCATCAATGGTGAATTCAGTTGGTTTGTTCACAATGACGCCAGCTGGTCTTAGGCCCGGACCATATGCTTTCACCTGCAACATTTTATCGTTTTAATGTAATTTTTTAGAATATGATCATTTAACAACTGCAACCTGCCTTTATTTACTTGTATAAACTGGTATATAATACAGTGAGTGGGAATGACCTTCTCGGGGAAGACGTCATTGGCAGCAGGAAGGATGTGGGCCATGAAGGGGCTGTCCTTGATGTCCTCGTCATCACAGACGACGTGGACAGCGTAGTCACCGGCCTCAGTGGGCCAGTAGCGCACATCACAGGAGCCATCACCCTTATCATCACACTCAATTTTGGCCTGGGATGGGCCTTCGATGGAGAAGCCTAAATGTCAAAAGAATTCAAACATACAAATTTAGCACGATGTCTTATCCACTTTACCTCTAAGAAAAAAGTTGAACTTTTGAACAGGACTCACCTAAAGTTCCAACTTCAGTGCCGATGGCTTCTACCACAAAGTCAGCAGATTTTCCCACCATGCCGGTCTTCAGACCAGGACCCCAGGCCCTCACCTTCTGAAAACCTGCCTCTTTTCCCACCTCCACTTCGAAGGGGCTGTGGAGCACAAGGTTACACGATATTAACTAGCACCAATCTGCATTGCATGTAATGAGTAGCTAAAGGCAGCAATTGATCCCTACCTGCGTGGGATGGGCTGGCCTCCCCAGGTGATGCTGACTGTGTATTTACCAGGCTTAAGAGGGTAATATTCACATTCATAGACGCCATTTCCTGCCTCTCGCACTTTCACTTGCTCCTCTGCACCAGCTGAGGATAGATAATAATCAAAAAGGTGAGACATTTTAAGCACTTTTTCATGCGAATACCCTTCAGAAAAAAAACCCAAAAATATATGAGCTGTCCAACTCACTTGGTCCTTTGACTGAGACGCTCAGCGATCCACTGCCGGCTCCCTTGGTGAAAACTTTGAAGTCTGCCACCTCCTTTACTCTCACGCCTTTAGGCTGAAGGCCTCTGCCTGTGGCCCGGCAGGCATTGGGGTTTATTGCTGAAAGGAAAAACATCAAGTGTGAAAGAGAGAAATATTTAGCAAAGCAAATGGCATCGGAGAGTAGCCTGCAGTTGACAGCAATGTTAGTAGCAAACACATTAAAATGTCCAATTTTACAGGGATTCCTTAAAGCTTGACTGACAGGACCTGCAAATGAGAGAGATGCTTTCTGCAGCACATATAACACACAGTGCAGAATGTTGACGGTTGTTGGATTTTGAAACATTTGCGAGCACCAAGGGAGCGTCTGACAACATTTCAGTAAGTCAAAATGTTGATTGCAGGCTTAAACTGAATGTTGGATGATGCCATTTTTTTATGATAGAAGAAACAAACATGTCGAGAGCACAAGCAAAGATATTCAACGGAGAAGAATAAAGTAGGCCGAGATGCAATGTGCAACAATCTGTAAATTTTTTGTACCACATTGCATCTCATCCCTCTCTGAACATAACAAAACCATCAAGCTGCATGACGCAAGAAGACGAGCGGGCGGGCGACCAAGCACGGCATTGAACCGCGGCATCGGAATCATGAAACAAGCACAGAGGGCGTCTGCAGGGCACGGCATAAGGAAAGTTTTCGGGGGGGATATGGCTGAGCCATGGGCACAAGCTCCTCCCAGCAAGCCATACTAACTTGGGCGGCCAGGCTTTTGGGGGGGTACCCCCTTCCCACCCTTTGCTCCGGGAAGGGTGCGCACTGACTGAGGGACTATCTGCAGTGGAGCTCCAGTGGGAGGAGCAATGGGCAGAGCTAGAAATGACAGATAGGAAGGGTTATGGTCTGTACTGAGTGGTATGTTCCCTGGGAGAACGATGACTTGTGATGGATAGATCCCCTCGACACTAAAAGCATGAAAAGAAATCTGATTTGTCTGACAGTAATTTACAACAGCGACAGATGGCTCACCCTCTGTGATGTTGACGGTGAATGGGCTCCTGGGGATCTCCTGGCCTCCAAACAGCACGTGGATGGTGTGAGGCCCTTCCAGCATGGGGCGATAGGTGCAGCGGAAAACACTGTCGCCCTTGTTCTCCAGGAGTAGCTCCACCGTGTCCTTTTTGCCCTGAGGATCAACGATTACCACACTGACGTCGCCATTACCAGCACCTGAGTGGGAGGGTAAAATGATCACTTAATGAATTGCAAGCCTTTCACCAGACCATATTCTAGTTTTATGTGCAGTGGTTGAATTGTTCATGCTAACCAGCTGTGTAGATGTCAAAGTAGGTGGGTTTGTTCGCCACATTGCCGTTAGTGTCCAGGCCTGGTCCCCTGGCATGGACTTTGCTGGAGTCGCCCATGTCCCTCGCCACATTCACTGTGTATGGACTCTTGTCAATGTCCTGACCTGCAAACAGCACTTTCACCTTAAGAGAAAAAAAGGCAAGAAAAAGTTAAGATCCTTTAAATAGAGCGGTTTGCTCATGCTGTGCTGAGTGACGTGTTGATGTTAATGTTTTACCTTGTGAACACCTTCAACTTTAGGAACATAAGTGACAGTGTAGGATCCGGTTTTCTCCCTGTTGGGTTTAACCTTAGCCTGGAGTACAAGACAAGTAAAAGAGGCTTGGATTAAATGAGACGCTACGCTTGTTGAAGTTGAAAATGAGCAGGATTATCTGCTAGCTGTACGCTAAATTCACTCCTCTATCAGTTATAACTTACCTCCTCTTTGTATCCCTCAGGATCCTCCACATAGACCAGGACCTCGCCACTGCCAGCTTCCAGAGTATCCACAGTGAACACGGCTGGTTGCAGCACCTTATTGCCGTGAGGCTCAATACCTGTCAAGTATGACAAATTATGGGGTCATATATTCTGCAAGGTTTGGAGCAACTTTATTAGTAACAGGCGTAACATTATTAGCAACAGGCGAACACATTTATCACGAACTGTTGCAAACTGTGCAGGTGTCCGTGGCTACTCTTGGGCTACGTACCAGGCCCATAGGCTTTGGCTTTGTTTGGGAAAAGCTGTTTGGGCTTGAGAGAAGCGCCAGGCTTCAGCTTTGCCTTAGGGAACTGAGACAGGTAGGTCATCACTGAGTGCTCGTCCACATCTGGGTCCACAATTTCCTCAGGGGCAATCACCTAGAGTGCAGAAAGACAACCAGCAAAAAAAGAAAAAAGGTTCATAGTGTGCGTAATAAAGTTAAGTTTCACAACATCACAAACACCCTAACTTATGTTTCCACGTTTACATTGATTATCTTTATACAACTTTCCCTTATCAAGCATTGCGTGCTTCAATTCAACAACTTATCCCCCCCCCCCCCCCCCCCAACAACGGTTTCCCTTGCCCCTTCAGCACTTATTTAACTGTCTATAACAGCGCGGTGCAACTCTCCTGGGTTTATTTTACCCCAGAACAGCAAGGGTTACAGGTTGTTGCCCTCAATACCCAGACAGGTGGATTAATCTTGAGCCAGACCTTTCCAGCATCTCCTTAACACCAGCACTCTGTACACCAGCCCCCAGGGGTGCAGAGCCATGCCAGGCTCTGCCTGACTATCTCATCAATGCTTAAGACAAACAAGTAAACAACTCCAGAACATATACGCGGCCGTAGAGTCTTACAAACAGGACTGGAAATTATGCATTGTGCCTCGGTGGGCACATTTACACCTCTGTTTCGCAAAGTAAAATCTATTACGCCTCCACAGTCAGAAATCTAAATGAAAGTTTTTATTTGCATATGTGTCTTGGCGCTTGCTTTAAACTGCTTTGAAATGATTGGTGCTTGCTGAAGGTCTACCCACTGAGTATAAACTATGTTTCCATTTAAAACTTACTTATCTTGTTGCATTGTCCTATGAGATCAACTCCGCACATCTAAGACCCAGTTGAGCTGAAGCAACGTAAAACAGCCAGTTGTTACATCTATCATGCGACTTACCTGAGGCACACCCAGCCAATCGTCAGCCTGTTGCATGGCTTCTTTAGCATTCTCCACAGGCTTGTTTGGATCCCAGTCAGACCAATCAGGACACAAACCTAAAACAAAAAAGGACCGTTACACAATTCATCAAAGACGAATGCAGTAATATGCTGCTGTTGCTATAATAAGGCCACTTGGGCTGCCACTACTATCTGGCTAACACCTCTAAGTACAACATTGCATGACCTTACCCACGCTGCACCGCTCCTGTGAACCCGCAATGTGCAACAATGGAGGTATCTCGACTGTTCAAAGGCTCGAGGCGCTCTGGCACTTTCACTGTGGCTAAAGCTGAGCACACCACTAATGCCTAAATTGGATTAGTTTTGCAGATGGAGTGGCCAGTTGCTCAAAAGGCCCCTACAGGCGCACCGCGGAATACTGTGATCCAATTAATATAGACACAGGGCCCCCAGTATTAACAGGGATGAGTTTTACCTGAGTCTGCCAGGCAGAAGTGAGCGATAAAATCTGTGTAGAGCTGTCAGTTGGGAGGCACCAGGGTGGGCCTTGATTCTATTGGAATTCAATATTCTTCAAAATGATGTCAGCACTGCAAAGCAACAGCTTCATGGCTCATAACGCAACATCACTGTTATACAAAAGGAGGCGGGCGCATGCTGTTAATGTTGAATCTGAAAATATTTATATAGTAGCAGAAGATGTGTCCGTCTATCAAATATTGGTTTCTTCCTGGTCTGGTAATTTAACTTTTTGTGTATATTTGTATCTAATTTAAATTTAAAGGCGCTTCTGTGTTCACTTTTGTCCGTAACCCTGCTGTTTGTTATTAGCCGATGAAACAACAGGACCTTGTATGGCCAGTGCTGAAGAACAGTGTTTGAAAGATGCGTCTCGGTAGCTCAATGGCTTATATAAACACAGTTAAACAAAGTTGCTACTCCTCCACCTTTTGCAATGTGAAGCACAACCAGGAGAGGACTAGCATGTTCCGGTGTGGAATCTGCGGCCTGTACTGGCAGTGACTCAAACTGTGGCCTTTGGATCCGCGGCTTATAGGCACCTCCCTGTGACAGATAACTCTGCATTCTGATGGAGAGCCAAGCATCCCCCCTCGACAGAGGAGGAGGAATGGTGCCCAAATTTGGGAGTGTTTTGTAGCAGCGAGGCTATAAACACCAACACCGGACCTGGGCCTCAGGCCCCGAGGCAGTGAGAGTGAAAGCCTCAGTCATTGTGGGACAGCTGGCAGGGACGCCCCCCCCTCCCCCATTCCCCCCCAGCCATTAGCAACCCTCTCTTCAATCCACTGACCCAACCTGCTCTCCAGAGACAGATTACACTGACTGAAATCTGAGTCTGGACATGTGTGTGTGTGTGGATGTGTGTGAGAGATTTACAGCCCTCCTTTCTAGTTAAAGGAGCAAAAGGAGGCAAAATCTCCTGAGAAGGTTCTACTGATGAAAGATACACTGACTGACGCATGCCTGACCTCAACCCCCATAGCAACCAGGGAAAACTGCTATACACAACAAGCCTCTCAACAGTCGCGGCATGAATTGTGACTCAGCACTTACTCGGCCTGTGCACTCAGCAGATGCTACTACACACGCTTCTTACCAGGGGCACAGTTGTCGACTAGGGCTCCCAGAGCTTTGCCATCCCGCCAGTCACGGTTGAAGTTGTTGATGGGCAGCTGGGGCACCTTGTTCTGAATCCAGCCCAATAGGCGCTGCTTGGGGGTCAGCTTCTTAGTCTCCTCTTCATCCTCGTCGTCCCACATGGGCATGGAGATGGAGTAGTGGAGGATGAGAGTCCAGATAAGACCCAGGATCAGCTTTAGATTCCCATCCACGATGGCTTTGCTATCTGTGGTTGGACAGTAGAGACAAAAGTGTTCGTGAGGATTTATTACTTCCAAAAGAGCTTAGAAAATGCCGTGTGAACTACAGCATATGACGGGTTACTTGTTGTAAATCTCCCAGCTGTATTTTCATTGTCCCTTGAGGGGAGATTTGGGCAATCTACAAGGACATTAGTTTGCATTGTGTATATTGTCTTCACGAATAGAGACACCCCAAAGCTCAACCGAAATAAATCAAGTCCTTGTATATGGACGTAAATGTATTATATTAGAATAGTCTTTCCTTGCTGTTCGGCACAGTTGACCAGAAGTATAAACAATGATGATTGACTGCTGAGGAGGCAAGAATCTAATGCTCCCTCGAGCCCCTTTCTCAGCTGCTGGCTGAGGACCCCGGACAATCTGTCATCCAGTCAAAATGGCCCTCTGAAGACAGTGACAGCTGAGGACATACGGAAGTGGATCCCACTCTACATAAACACCACTTAGATTTCAATTATGTCCAAAACTTCTAGAGCTAGAGCGAGGTCAGTCAAATCGGTGGAGATTAGATTCATTGACGGCGAGCGTGCAGCTCATTCCCCGGAGTTCTATGAGGAAAAGTTAGCAAAACAAGCCATTTCAAATCCAAACCAATTTAGGGTACCAGCCATTTAGAAGAACCTCTGGGGAACGCTTGTCTGTGATGTTTTATCGACTAATCTTGTGTGATACACGCCACTTAATTGAGTACGACTTTAATAACAAAGGGACCTCGACGGCAGCTATTTATCACAAGACTATTTTATTGAGCGTATTTATCTGTTCATAGATGAGGTCCTCCTATCAGAGTTTGAATGGCACGGGCAGGTGGTACGGAATGGCACAGTGCGGTTGTAATCCTTCAGTGTCCGGATCTAATGGCAACTGTGTGCTCAAAGAGACATCTTTCAAGAGGTATCCATTGACACACTGTGACACATGTGGTACTAAGCCTGTGGGGAATCCTTTTTCCGTGTCTTTGGATCCCTGAGACATTATCTTAAGAGGTCTGGGTTGACCCACTAGAGCCGCTTGGAGGGAGACGGCAGGAGGGGCTGAAATGCCAGGACTTCTATTATCACGCCCTATTTCTGTCAAAACGGTCTGTCCTGGTGTGTGTCTGCACAGCCCCCACATTGACATATTAAGTTCTTGACACACTGTCCTGGACACACACCCTGCCGACTTTGAGTTGGTATCTATGCTAGCGGACCATTGCCCCTCCGGGAGCAATAGGAAATTTGAGCTTGCCGTAATCCACCACAGTAACATCACACACTCTCAGTATATTCAGGTGGACAAACTGTGGCCTTCACAGTCCACCGGCCAAAGCTTCAGCTGCGCCGGGAATTTCAGTCGAGTGGCAGAGTCATTAGTCACCAAAACAGAAAAATACTGTCAAAGTTTGAATAACTGGTGTAAAACTAAACCGTAACTCTTCATCTTTCAACGTGTGTGTGCTTTTCGTGTTGGGAGACCAGTTTCCCCTCAGTCATCAAAGTTTAGAGAGAAGGCATTGGGCTCACTCTGGTGGAGTCAAGACTTCTTCTGGTGACACTGTCGGATGTGACACATTTCCGCAACAGTTTATTGTAACTTCAGCTATCTGCACCACAGTCTGATCCCTAAATCCCTCCAGAGTTAATCCTCACCTCACCGGAGCTGTTGATGGCCACGGACAGCAACGGGCTGTCAGCAAAGAGGCCCGGTGAGTCTATCTGACCTCTGACCGGACACAGATAAGAGTGCATGTGTGTGTTTGTGCCTGTTTGTGTACCGGGTGCGTTATGCGTGTGTGGTTGCTGTCCACATGTACATATAAATTGTGTCATTCCCATTAGCACAGGCCTAGTGAATTTCAAGCCCAGTTAGTGTCTAGTAAATATCGCTGCAGCAGGAATAGACCTAAGTATACAGTGGAGCCACCAGTCCTACTACTCCCCTGACACAAGTAAATGACCTCAGTGATGCCCGGTCTGCAGGAACTTTCCAATAAGCTGTTGACCTCAGCTCAATGCAGCATTCCAGAGGGGAGGGGGCTCCCAGGCCCACCTGTTTTTCCCTGAGGGGGGGGGGGGGGGGTGCTACAATCCTACTGTAACCGCCATACGCATTCTGCACAGAGCAGCAGCCATGTAAGTATGGCACGCTCTCAAGCTGTGATCTGTTCTGAAAACACCTGTCAACCAATCACAGCAAAGTATCTTTCTTTCTGTATCTTTACAAAGTGAATCATTCTTGTTGCTATAATAATGCGCTAAATGGTTTATACAGCTCCTTTAAAATTATTTAAAAAAAAAAAATATATATATATATATATATATATATATATATATATATATATATATATATATATATATATATATATATTGAAGTTTGTAGCTGTCCTGGTCAATATTTTACACACTGTCAATAATCATAAAGGCATCCTTTTTTTTTATAACTACCTAATAATAACATGGCTCTTTTGGTTGTTTAATGGTTGGCCACATTTCCCCACTGTGTTGTTTCTACAAGTCTTACCAATAGAGACCAGTTTGATGTGTTCTCTGTCCAGGAACTCGAGCGCCACGGACACGTTCTCCAGTTTCATCTGACGGAAGTTGGGTCTGGAGTGGCTCTTTCTGTACATTTTCTTCTGGCTCAACACTTCGAGGAGCGAAATCAGCTTCAGCCCATCGGTAAAATCCCTCTGCAGGTCGGTGACGGTCTTGTTGACGCACTTGAGGTGCTCGTTGCACCACCTGGTGAAGGTGTTCTGCTGGATCTTCTTCCACGGCGCGTCCTCGGCTAGGTCCTTCTCCGTGGCCGGCATCTCCTCGTCCTCCTCGTCCCCGAAGTCGGTGCCCTGGTAGTACTGTGGAGGCAGCTGGTCGTCGTAGTTATTGCTCATCATGTGGGCGTTGTCCGACTCCAGTTTTATACCTCGCTGACACTTACGTGTTAAATTGTGCGCTCAGCAGCGCAAAAAAAAAACTTTAGCGGCTCGATGGCAAGCGCGCTCCCGCGGCGGGGGGGGGGGGGAGTTCAAACTTGAGGGAGTTCAAAAAGCCGCCTGGAGATTTTTCAGATGTACTCGCGAAGAAACAACTCTAGGTCTGGACAGTGATCGATTCAAATATCCAATTTTTTTTTAATTGGCACCCTCTCGACAAGTAGTCGTCCTCTATTATGGCCCCGAGAAAAATGTCTCCTTTTCTTTTCTTTTTTTTTGGTTCGGAAAATGGGATCTCGGTGGCAGGTGAGCTGGAGCGGCAGTGTTAAAGTTGACACTGAGCGTGTATAAGTTGTATGTGGAGAGAGCAAAAAGTTTGCTTTATATATAAGGAGCCGCGGGGGAGGGGGGGGGGGGGGGGCGTCACTCTGTGGTCATGGTCTATTTGCTGGTCGGTGAGGATAACCCGAGTCGGGGTCGGTTTACGGGGAGGATGCGCCAGTGATTGGCCAGAACACCAGGCAGCGCAACAGTTGCGGCATGCGCTTTATTTTTAGGCTCTCCAATTCGAGAGGCTGAGGATGGGGTGGGGGGGTAGCACTTAACTGATTGTTGCGAATGTGTGTCATGCTCAGGATCCAAATGGCTGAACAATTGGGCTAAGAAAAGAAAGTGTCGCTCAACAGACGTTGCGGCTTAATTGGAGTCCGCACATTAATCGATATCACTGATGCCTTGGCGATGAAACATTTTAATAAGGGATGAAGTCACCTTGCTAAAGACTGCGCTGCGCGTGTGTTTCACCGTTATGGTGAAATGCAATGTCTGTCGAGGGTTAGGGTTATGGAAAGATGCTTGAGAACTTTGCAAAAGCTCATGTCTCCGCAGCATTACAGGTCATTTAAATCACAATTTTTTGCCCAGGGAGCAATTAGGGGTACTAGGTGTCTTGCTCATGGACGCTACAACATGGGGCAGCTGGGGCTCCAACCACCAACCTTGCAGGTCCCGGTGTACCCTCTCTACCCCTGCGCCACAAGCCAAGCAAAACTATAGTAATTCAATTTTAGGAAAATTATTCAACTTTGTCCCCAATAAGAACCAGGAGTAATTCCCTTTCAACTCAAACAAATCCGAATGAACAGCTGCATATAACGATATTTTACTCCTTTAAAAGGACAAACTGACTTTTGGACAGAAAGTAAATTAGTGTCATCTCCAGCTCCGTCAACATGACAGCGTTCATTGATTGAAGACTGGAGCTGTCACCAGAAATACACCGAGACAGTTGGCGGCGTGTGCAAATGGTGAAATTGAGCATCCATAAAGAAAACAAGTCATTTCCAATAAACGTTGTGTCAGCTGCCGGGCCCCGTGGAGGGAGGGGGGGTAGGGGGGGTCTGTCATGCTGTTGTGACTCAGCAGTCAGGAAAATGGCCGTGACACCGGGCACCATCCTCGACAGAGTAGTGGGAGGTAAGAATAACCCTGACACATGTAGAAGGCCTCATTAAGATGCTCAGTCCAGACGCAGGAAGTTTGAGTCCCACCATGGAACAACGTATGCGGAACATTGTGTTTTAACGCCTCATGTTATTTTTAGGGGACATGTTACCTAAGTACGAGCACAAAGGTACTTCTAGAAAAAAGTGTATTTCTTATTCAGTGTATTTAGTGGAATTAATTTACTATTATTGCAATAGTGTTAGTTGAGGCATTTTATAACGCATAGGCAAATTAAATCGTATATACTTGGTGGGTCACTTTCGTATAAAAAAACCTGTAGCGCTATTGACCCGGACACTGTTCACTTGGCATTATACCCCAAAGACTGCCCATGGCTGCTCTCAGCATTCCACCTTTTTAAATGAGTTTTTCCCTGTTAGTCTGTCAGGTGAATACATTAAATATTAAAAAAGGTATTTGGGACTAATTTGCTGGACATATGGGCCTGAGGCCAAGGACCGCTCGATTACATCCCACTTTTGATCTGGACCCGACATCTCCACCGCTGAGACACTTTTTTTTATCAGCTACAACTCTGACATAGAATGAGGCAGAAACCTGATTCATAATCAGTCAGGAATATATGCAGAAACTAATTGAACTCAAACTCAGGAGGCAGAACGCTGCTGGGTGAGAGCTATAGGCTGATGGTACCCGGCCTGCACATCCACGCTACTTTTAGATAATTAGACACACTTGAACCGATGAGTCGTGGCAACCCAAGTAACGAGTGTAATTTATGGGGCTCATCAACAGCGTTGACTCACCAGTTACTGCTATTAGCAAAGAGTCTGTGAGCCCATGTCACCCCTCTGGAGTAACGGCTATTAATACCCATACAACCCATGTAATGCAATCCCAGCCGAGGCAGTTCTCACTCAGGTTGACTGCCAGTGACTTCATGAACGGGACTCCGGGACACTTTAAACCCTGAACCTGACGGTGAGGCCACCTTCCAACAAAAGAAAGCTCTCAAACATCATGTGGGGCACATATATTTATTTTTCTCAAGTCATTTGCGGTACAAAATAGACCTCCAGGTAACAAAATAGCCACAACTAAATTGCAAACAATCAAACAAGCAACAATAAGCTGTGAAACAAGATATGCGCTTGTGAAACTATGATGGCGCTGATAGTCATGAAATAAGGAAAAATGACAAGACAAATCTGATAAATCAATGGCAATCTCATTTCTATTGCAAACTGATCAATTTGTTAATAGACAGTGACAAGATCAGCAGTTTAAGGGCCTTTCCTTAGTATATTTTCATATGCAGAAATAACAGGTCAGGCAATGCCTACCAAGGTTCTGTTTGACCAACGTCATATTGCTCATAGCAACTAAGATCAAATTGAATCTACATGCATGCAATGACAAAATCACCTTCAAACAGATACTGGAAATTGTTAGCGAACAAGCAGTTCTTCTTAGTGATGTCACTATAAATAAACGTTTACACAGAATATAATTTGGCTATCAAATATACAATGCTCTTTCAAAATAGAATAAAGTTTCTACAAAGCTAGTACAAATGGATTTTAGAAACATCTCTCCCGTAGTACCATATGTCTATTTACATGAAATACAAATGAACTTAATGAACATAAAATATATATTTTGCTGCTATTGTTTTTTCTAACATGCTCTTTTCAGTTCTGGAGGGTTTTCCCACACAAACAAAGCGTTTCACAATTGTAAACATAAATTCTTTCACATATACATTTATAGTTTTTGTAATTAATGCTAAAACCTTTTTTCTGACACATTCCTATTTACATATTTTGGAACCATACAGAGTTCTAATACGGCCTCACACTACTAAACCCTGATCTTTCACTTCATGAGATCTGCAGTTTGTTACGTAAAGCTAATTGTCAGTAAACCAAACGCAGTGAACATTCTCGAGTACCTGCAACAACCTGCAAAGGCAATCAATCTAAAGGACAATACTATAACGCTAGCCATAAAAAGAACAAAAGCTTATTACTGCACTTTGAAACGTTAGACATAAAACTTTATCGTACAGCTTGAATGTTCTACAATTGGGTCCCAAAGTTGCGAAGATATCTTTGCGAGCACATACTTTAACAAAACTTCAGAAAACCTATGCGTGGGTAACAATGTCGTCGTGGGTGTAAGATTTCAGAATTGCAAAGTGAGCTGTGGGCAGGTGAGAAGAATGAGAAACACAGCGAAGGCTTTCTGGCTTCGTGGGCCAACTGATAATTAAAGAGGAAAGTGGGAGTTGTTCATCTTCAGAGACGAGACACAAGACAATCAACCGTAAGGCAGGCAGAAGAGACAGAGCCTGCGCACCGTGAAGAAGACCAGCGAGGATTTAACATAAGCCGTATAAGCTCGGTTTAGATTGACAGGTGTTTATTTAGCCATAGCTCTTCTGATTGTAGCGTAGCATTGGTGCGTACAGATTCCATGTTTTGGTCATAATTCAGTGGCAGGAGGATTGCATTCAGCATTCAGTATTCGAGAGGAAAGCTACAAGTAATTAATAGTCAACTTATTCACAAAAAAAGAAAAATACATAGGACACGTGAGCGTTTCAGTGCATTATCTGTCCAGATTCTATCTTCTATCTTAAAACTATGAACAATACGAATGAATAAATAATGGTTAAATACACTTGAAAAAAGATTAGGTGCACATAAGCAATTAAAACCTTAAATTTGTTTGTTTTTTGTCACATTGTTTACTAAAAGCGAGGAAAATGATATACAGTATTCACAGACACAAAGGAGGAGTGACGCAGCACTAGCACACACTTAGTGGAGTGAGGCCAGTCCTCGTGTGGGCTCTCTGCAGGCCAACCCATCATCATCTTCAATCTCGGGCGTGACCGAGCGCAGCCGTTCCCGGCGCACGTAGGACCGTCTCATTGGCAACATCATTTTTTTCTTCTACACAGCTGTCGGCTCCAGCACATTTAGAGGATTACAGTTGAGTCCGTAAACGTGGCGGGAGAAGAACGAGGGCTAGTCTGAAGCAGACCTCGGGCCCCCGCGCAGTTGTTGCCCATCCAATCAACATCGGACGAGAGCTCTCAACAAGCTCGTCATCATCAGCAGCACCGCTGTGGCTGCAGTGATAGTCAAAATGGAGTTCCAACCTACCTCACTCCCCTGAGGGAAGACAGGGAAAGAGTGGTGTTAAGAGCAAGTACGGGTTTGTCCGTCAGCCAGGTTTTGGCTTTTGAAGGAATAGTTTGACATTTTAGGAAGATTCATTTTTTTTTCGCCTCCTTACGGAGAGTTGGCTGGAAAGATTTCTACTTGGCGAGAAAGCCCATTTACCAAAATATCAAACTAATCCTGTGTAGGACTTTATTTAGCTCCATACAAAGGAAATATTTTGTACTAATTTGCCAAACTGCCCACCCGTCCCACGTCCACCTTTCGTAAATGTTTTTCGTAAATTGTCGTTATCTACCTTCATTCAAGATTTTATTTGGCAAATTTGGCATGTCTACAGTTTAATAACGTCCGCCACTGTGAATGTAATTCATCAATAATGTATATAAAAGATTGTGTCCTGATTACTCTGGATATTCAGCATACACAATCTATGGCCCCCTTGAAAACGTTTGATAGTTTCTGTGATTCATCCAGAGCAAACAACACCTACGGTGTCGGGACAGAAGTCGGAATTCTGACAAACAGCAAAACCCGAGCGAATCAGCTACGACTACTTTGTATCGCTGGAAACCAGATGCGAGAAGCTTTGTTTGTATATAACTCGGTTGAACTGACTTGCTAGTCCGTTAAAGAAGCATGTGTAGAATTATGCATCAGATAGAGTTAAGCGCCCCCCATACCTTGCCCTCTGGGATGCCAGCTCCGACAACCAGCACCAGACCACAGCCAATATTACAATCATTCCTATGAAGGGGATGGAGAGAACAGGGTGCTCAGAAGGATGGGTGAATCTCTGAGGAGGGAATAAAAACAAACACAAGGACCATGGGAATGAACGGAATGAATGGATGGATGGATTAAAGTATCCAAATGATAAAAGCACAGGGAAAAAAAGATGCTGTGACAACAGAACAAATGGACCGACGCTACACATCGCTAAATCAAAAGTGTGACATGGTCTATGGTCGTGAAGTAAGGCGAAAGGTTGCGATGAAGTCATTTATATTTCCTGTTAAATAGACGATGCATAACTTTAAGGTGACGTACACATCAACTCAACTTGAGTATGTGTGAGCAGTCCTGTGTTGCATTTGTTGGCTGCGTGTGATGTTGCGGTGACAAAGAAAGTAAGTGATGAAAGTGATTTTTGGGACATGCATATTGTGGCATTTTATTCTCTGTATTCTCATAGATTGTTTTTATATGTTTGGCTAAATTTGTTATCGTACAGGCTGAGAGGACATGGACATTCAGAGCACAAGGACAGCGTCAGAGACAGGCACGGGTAGACAGTTTGACACAACGCAGAGACATCTCATCACGGCTGTGGTAGACAAAACAGAGGTGTATTCCTGTTTAGATCTGTCTTTTTGTTCGTATTTTAAGGTTTTTGGATGCATATTTTCTTTCCTTGGAGGCATCGGTATTCAGGATTGGTATTCATTCCTTTCAGGACTGTGTGAAAATCAACTTGTAAAATATTGAGCTGGTCTTTGTGTGGAAATGCAGTTAAATCCACAGATTGTCCTCGAGTTGTTGCATTCAAGCGTCGCATTGTGCCGCGTTCGCAGACTGTGTCATTGAAAAAAAACAACCCAGAGGACAACAACATTAAAGGAAAATTAATTTGATACTTTTGCTTCTTGCCTTGAGTGTCTTGGATTTTCCCACGAGAGCTTAAAAACACATCAAAACTATCAGTGCTTTCAACATCGGTGTAGCTGGGACTTCAGTAATTGTTTCAATTAGCTACGTTTTATTTCACAGCAAGTTGTCGTTCACACAGCACCTTATTCAAATGAACAGAAGGTAGCCTCAAGCTAGACAATTACAATATCCAAATGAGCAAACAGACTTATTCTCTAGACCAAGAGATGCAGGCTTTCTTGGCTTGAATGCCTGAATATAATTTAGCAGATTTTGTGTTTATGTCTAACAACAATATAAAGGAATTGCTGTCGCATAGACGTTCGAACACAGGAACAGCAGAGAGGGAAGGTTTCCCTGCTCAAAGCACACAATAGATATGGGCTGACAGGCCAGGTCAGTTCATATCCAAACGTATGTCGCTACAGTATGAGACACAGAGAAAGTGGGTTAACAGACACAGGATACAGTAGGTGTAATGTAAGGTGTGTTGTATGTTAGTTGACAGCGTGGGTGCAAAGAGAAAGTGTCATCAACCTTGTCGCAATGATAGCAGGGAAAAAGCTCAAAAGCCTGCTCTACAGACGCTTAAGGAATCTAAAGTCAGAAATGGAAAGTTACAAACCTACATTAATCCCATCAGTTTCTCTTTTTGAAACTCACTGTATATTACTGCATTATTCATGGCTGTCCCTCACCTGAGCGCCTCCTGACAGCTTCTCCAGCTCGGCCTTGCAGCGCTGCAGCTCCTCCTCCAGCTCTGCTCGCTCCCTCTGACTGCTGTCATACAGTACCTGCAGCTCCTGCAGCTCCACCTTCAGACCGTTGCACTGGAGGAAGACAAGAGCTCAAGATATATATTATAGCATATAATGAAACATGTTTTAGAGTGTTGGGTTTTTATTCATATTTCTAATCAGCTACCGCTGTGTTCCCATGTGCACCATACCTCTCTCTCAACCTTAGAGGCCTTCTCCTCTGCCTGTTTGAGCTGCTCCCTCAGGGAGAAAATCTCCCCCGTGCCTCCGTTCCAGCTGGTTGATGTCACTGGCTTCCCATCGAATGAAATATTCTTCTGGATGGAGGCGTCCACCAGGCGACAGTTAATGGACTTGGCCATGGTCATGTAACTCTCCGTTATGACCTCATCCGAGCCGGTCCCCATCTCCTTCCCCTCCGTGCCTTCCTCCCCGTCTTCCTCTTTAAGTGAGAGGTAGACACTGGAGCTGGACGAAAGGAGTCAAGGTGAAGAATACAGCGTTGACTTTCTGTTTCAGGTGAATTAGGTGAAAGCTCAGAAATCGGCTGATCATCTGTATGGTCAACGGCAGAATGTGGTTGCTATGTTATTTGTCTGATGCCTTTTTTTCCATCTTTTGTATGTTTCTGTGACAGATATTCCACCAAATGTAACTAGTCATCCTTTTAATAGGACAACAAGAACATCAATTCATTCATTTTGACCAATCAAACGATTAGTTAGCAGTTAATTTGTTATTTATAACATGTCTGAAAACAATGAAAAAGGCCCATCGCAATATAATGGCTTGTTTTGTCTGACCAACAGTCTCAAACTCTTTTTTTGTGTGTCATGGAAAATACATAAAAAAAATATTAAGTCAAAAAACATTTTCAAAAAAAGTCAAAAAAATATTAGGTAAAAGAAAAATCAAGAAAATCATGGAACTATGTTTAAATGTTTGCCATTTTTGCTTGAGTCGATACATTTGAGGCTTTTTTTAGTCTTTTGACTCTCTGTTTCCCTTCTCCTCTTCCTGCAAAGCAGTGTGGAACTTCTGTTTGTAAAAATGCTAAAAATAAAGTTGGCTTTAACAAGATCTTCCTCAACAGATGGAGTAGCACCAGTTCCCCGTCTGCTGAGGAAGAAAAATACATAACAGCCTCTAAATAGATCCTGTGTGGGGATTTGGCCTCAATCATAAACATCTTCCTATGTTTCTTTTATATTTGTTCTTGAAAAAAAATGAAAAGCTCAAGCCGAGTGGAGCTGATGAAAACCCAGTACAAATCCAATAGGTAAACATGGGAATGAGAACAGGTTTTTTTTTTTTTTTAAATGGACCTTCAATCTCAGAATTGTTACCGAGGGATTTTCTGTGAATCTAATTTTCACATCATATGATGTGTAATCCCTCACAAGATGTTGTGAAGTGATTAAACAGGTGGCCTAGCGGCTTTTTCTAAATGAGACATGACGTGAATGTCTGTGGTTAGTGTGTAGTATTCCCCCGGGTGTCCCCTCCGGCGGAACCAGTAAGCACAGCTGATGGGTCAACAGACATTGACCTCTCACCATGTCCTCTGTCTCTGCAGCAGCTGCAGCCTTTCGGTGAGGCGTATGTTGTCCTCCTTCAGGGTCTGACACTCCTCCCTCAGCGTACGGCACTCCTCCTTCAGCAGGTCCATGTCACCTGACGGAACAGGTCATGGATGAAGGCGTTAATGTCACCGGCTGAGTACGGGATATATTAGAGGAGTAGCTTGCGTTTGAGCTTACTTGAAGATAATTAGATCGAGAAGCTTGATATCACACTCATGTGTGCCTGTTAAATATGAAGCTTAACATAGTGACTGGAAAGGCCTCTTATGGTCATTGATCAAAATGTTACAAATGGTTTGTTTAATCCTTACAAAGATATGTATATAAAAAAGGTATATTATATAAATATTACTCACAATAATGTGGGTCAGAATGTACTTCTTTGTGAAATACATTTATCGGTTTCCTGACAATTATATAACGTGAACTCCCCTCCCTCAGTCCCACCCGGGGCTCAGCTGCAGAGCCCAGCCATGATATCATGTGTGTCCCTCCCCCTCATGACTTCATGTCCCTGGTATCCTACAAGCACACACACCGCTCCCCTTGCAGGACACAGTGACCACATTTGTACCTTGAAATATTTATTAAACCTCACATATGATTTATGTGCTTGGCTGTGAGATGCTAACCTGGTGTGAGCATCGAATGAGAACATTCATAGCATCGTGCTTTGTTTTCATAATATCAGCAACAAAGACCGGTCGGGGGCTGCGGTCATCCGCATGGTGACGATGTGCTGTGCCGCCTAAAGCGATGGTGCTTCATGTAGGCCTGCCGTAAAACAACGGGCCCACTTCACTCCATCACTCCTCCCTGGCATCCACATGTACCCATCTTCTTTGTGTTTTTCTCCTCCTGTTACGACACTCTTCGCCCCCCTCACCGTCTCTCCTCTCGGCCTCCCTGCGCTGGCTCTTCATGCCGATCTCTGCCCTCAGCGTGGTGATCTCCAGCTCGTACTCCTGGGTCTCCTCGCTGAGGCGCTGCAGCTCGACCCGCCGGCGACACAGCTCCTCTTGCAGCGAGGCGATGTCGTTCTCCCTCTCGGCCGCCGCCTCCTCCGCCGCCTGCTGGAGCAGGATCACCTCCTCCTGAGCGATGCGCAGCTCCTCCTGGGCCTCGACCAGCTCGCTCTCCTTCTCCTCCTCCAGGCTGTCCATCTCCTCCTGCACAGAGCGCAGCTGGGCTGTGGGGAGAGGAGGAGGGCCATGTGGGCCGAGACTGCAGTGTCAGCATGGATGTGTAAATGTGTGCGTGATCTTACGTGTTCTTGCATGCGTGTGTGTGTGTTTATGTTTGTGGGGGGGATGTAATAGCTCTAATTTTCTTAATTAGAGCTATTACATCTGTTTTTTGGTATTGGTATGGTGTTGTTTTTGATGTGTGTTTTATTGATCACTCAAGATTGAGTGAGATTGTGTGAACTATTTCGTAAAAAAAAAAAATGTTTAAACAATTAGCTGAATAGTTGCAGATATTTATGGTTTTCTTGTTGTTCACATCCATCATACTTATGTAGCAATTTCCTACTTGAGACCGTCCTGTACATACAAGACGCAGGTCCTGTTGATCAATGTTTACTCTGTAATGGCAATTCTTCTTGTTTCTGGGGACCAGCAGTAGTTGTTGTCTGTTTTCTTTTTTTTTTTTTTCAAAGAACTTCACTTCACCTCGCAGAGCTTTATTAGTGTCAATACCTTGTAGATTCTGGATCTGCCGTGTGAAGGCTTCAGCTTGATGGGCACTTGCCAGACGCTCATCCTCCAGCAGTCCTGGTGGAGAGTGGAAGTGGAGAGAAGTGGAGGAGAAGGGGGGAGGACAGGGGAGTGGGCAGAGAGATAAGAGGAAATGTCAGTTCAGCGAGCCAATAGAAAGATGACAACTTGATAAGCGGTTCAACCTTGAGGCATGACTGAATGACACAGGCAGTTCTGTGTGTCTGCCTGTGGAACACAACATGAACCCCGACATTCAGAATCAGTATTAGATTTGCTAGTATGTCACTTTTATAAATATCCAATAGACATAAAAAATAAGATGACGCACAAAATGACTGCACAAAAATAAATGCACTAAGAACAAATGGGAAATAAAAACACAATGAAACTAACAATCATCATGATCTTTACTTCCACCTCCCCGATGTCATTCTCTGGCCATGTACACTGGGGACCCCCCCCTTGCCCCAACCCCACGCAGCAAACAGCTGCCATCAGCATGCACAGCTGAGTCGTCCCAGTGGGAGTGGACCAAAAGAGATCTCTCGTCGTGGTGTAGGACACCCAGTCGGGAAGCTTCCCTCAGCCTGCACAGCAGTTGTCTGAGGAATGCCTCTAACTCTGCCAAACAAACATCTGAGCTCAGCACGCCATGTCTTTTAGTGTGACGCAGAGTCATAAATACACACTCATAAATATGCTAACACACACACACATACACAGTGAGTTCGGTGTAGCACCATACCCAAGGCCTGACTCATTGCTGGTGTCCCTGGACGTTAAGCTCATCATTTCTAAGCAATGAAGTGATGCTCCGTTTAGCGACCCATGACGAGGGACTGTGTCAATGACCGCATGCATGCATTCATTCTTTCACTTATTCAACTAGGTGGCGATGTACACAAATTGGTTTGAGTTCAAACCGGATCGCATTGTGGTCACATGTCGAAACACGTTGGTCTTATGATAAAGTTGATATTGTGTTAATATATAAGTGTTGATGAAGTTCTTCAGGATTTCCCTTTTTCGGTGCACCGTGGCAAAAGTTTCGCAACTGCGGGATCAATATCGACGATATGCAGAGAAAGAATCATGCATTTAAAATATATTCAAAATAGAAGTTTCAGAACGGCAGTATGTGTGAACGGGAGAATGTTGACATGTAGTTTAAAGCAACCTTAGATGTCTGAAGTCTGGGAAGCTGCAAATAAATGCATGTTGATCCACCGTGGTGAAACTGACCTGTGTATATCGCACGACGTGTCCACTTTGTTGTCAACAGTGTTTATGCTGCAGATTGCATTAAAGTCCCACAACATGATTAAAGGTTAAGGGACATTGTAGTTGTGGCTAATTGAACAGAGACTACTACCAAAGCGTCAGGGATTCCCAGGATATTCCCAAGAAGCGTTTGAGAGGATTTCTTCTTTTTGGGAAAGCTCTATCTTCTTTAGTTCCCTGTGATTTTTTAAGGTTCCTACATCACACAAAGGGGTGGGGAGTAAAATAGTGTCGTCTAATAATGTAATATGTCTAATAGTCATTGAGAAAAGCAAAATGTACCCACAATGACAAGATTTAGGGTATGTGAAAGATGTCTGCATTTGGTTCCATGTGTTTTGTTTCCAGGTCAGATGACTGTTGAATAAAGGGAAGATTAATGATTCAATACAGAACAAATAGAACACTGTTATTTACAAGTCTCACCTTGCAGCTCATGGAAGGTCTCCTGGTGCTTGTTGGCGATCTCTCTGGCATCGTCCAGCTCCAGCAGCAGTTCCAGCACCTGGGCCCTCAGCTCCTCCAGCTCCTGCTCCTCCGTCAGTGGCTCCTGCTCGTTCTTCATCTTCCCCTCCTCCTTCTCCTCCTCCTCCTCCTCCTCCTGAGCTCTCTCTTGGTCCATCTCCTCCTTCTCGTTGTTCTCCTCCAGCACGCCTCTCTCCTTTGCAGTGATGTTGTTGTCCATGGTGGGGCTGCCCTCTGCTTTCAGATCGCACGGGTCATCTGATGAACAAACGGCAGCGATATTAAAAAGGGATGCCCGATAGCTGAAGAGAGGGAAGGAGGCGAGAGGAGATTTAAAGGCGTTTGAATTCAGTCATTCTCTAAACGTGACACAGACTGGGGTTTCTTTTGAATCAACAGCACCATCTTGTGCTTAAAGCGGGTTCTTTGAACACCAACATGAGATTAGAGGCGAGCTTTTCAAAGAAAGGAATAAAGCTCTCCGTTCATGCTGGGAAGAATACATTAAATGCTGAAACATGTGTCAATTATTTGACACTGGGTGGTTTTTAGTGGACACGTCATTAATACACAGCGTGGATGGCAATTAATTACAATGTTAAGTGACATTTGTATTAGATTCCTCTATTGAATCAAAATGTTGTGACCAGTAGGTGGAGTGAGTTAGCTGCCACAATGCGGTGAGAGGGGGGGGAGGTGGGCCTGTGTGCTGAGGCAATCACAATGACTCACCACTCAGCACTGCGACTCCGAGTCCATCATAACCCGAGCTACCACTCATAGTAAGACGTGTGACCAACACACATCTCTCATGGCTATTACACTTTGTAACGTCATGTGCTCGTATGCCAGCATTCTTTTGCTTTTTGCTTTGCTTTCCTTGTTGTCGACGTGGGTCCGTAAAGCCCAACGAGACGTTGTATACGATGGAGAGCAATACTAATAAACTTGATTTAAAATCTCATTTCACTTGGAAGATGCAGTTTTTCTCATTAGTAAAATGAGATTTGCTGCCAGGCAGAAAAGACCAGAGCTAAAAGGAGATTATATCCGCAATGTTAGTTTGTTCTTGGGTGCCGTTAGACTCTGACGGTTAGAGGTTAAAAGATCTCAATTCCTACCTCGTCCCTGGAAATTCTGCTTATATCACACACTGGCCTGCATTTCTCTTCATAACAAGTCCAATCTCAGAAATAAATAGAAGTATAGCATCACACATTCATTTTGGAGTGTTTTCCCGAGGGCATCCAAATCTCTTTCTTTGTCCAGAAAGCTGTGCGGGGATGGGAGAGAAAAGAGCACGTACAGATGTGAGGAGGAGGAGGTGCGGCACGGGGACACGTTGAAGTATTAACTAAAGATCTACCTAATTAAAAGGATGCCCAGCGGTGTAATCTTTGCTCAGGGGACGCTGCCATCTCCTGTGGTAATTATTTCTCTCCCTTGTTGTTCCTCTCACTAAATGTAACCATTTCCATCACAACAAAGCATTGGCAGCATATTATCATTATATCTGATAAGACATTAGCAGCACGCTGCTTCCTTCATGTCTCTTAATAATGTTAATTTAAACAATGCAACCCCTAAGAGGCATGTAAGAGGTTTCAAGAGCGCTGGGCTATGTTGTTGTTAAACTTTGATGCTGGTGTAATGAGTTACTCGTAGAGAGGAGAGCTGGAGGAAGCTGCGTGGCAGGGGAAGGAGCTGGAGCTGCTTGTGTAGCCCGTGGCAACTGAAAGCCATCAGGGACAAAACGCCCTCTGAATGTCACTTATCCGAATCCTTCAGGATTTCTGACTCTGCGCGTAATAGCTCAAGCCATTTGTGCTTAGGTTTGATAGATGTAGCATTGAGAACGACAGTGCAGGTTTTTTATACACGTTGAGAAAAATGTTTAGGATCTACGTTGATATTATGTACAAAAAAATTCCTCTCAACTGTTATCAACTTCCCTTTGCAAAGGATTTAACCTCTACCAACATATTGTTCTGTGTCCAATCAGCAACTGTGTGAATCAGTGTTGGTCCTGCTGCTTATTCTCAACAGATTGTTAGTCATTTATGTCCTTAAGGAAGTTTCATCACCTCACCTTGTGAGTGAATGTCAAACACACAAAATCAGCTGCAGGGACACCTGTGATCAATCCACCGCGTACTTGGCACAGCGCTGGTCTTTAGTCACGCAGGGATCCATTAGACATGGACGCTGCATGCATCAGGAGCAGGAGAGTCATCTCAAGAGCGGTGTTAAAGCCCCCCGGGGAGGGGGGTGGGCTTTATCTGGCCACGGCACATTCTTTTGTAATCAAACTGCGGCAAAACACATTGAGTATTTCATTCCAAACATTGTGCCACTTTAGAGATGGGAGGAAACAACAAACAGGAATCACTGTTCTGCATCTCAGGATACCTGTCTGGCATTGAATGCACGCGTTAGTGTGGCAACAAAAGCCTTTTATTTGATTTCTGATTTAGTGTTCAGTGATGGAGTGTGAGGATTTTTTGCAGACAGAGGCAGGCTAGCAGAGGCGGTTATGTGGGACAGAGCTGCTTTTACCTTGCACCGGGTACACTGCAAACTACTGCAGTTTCACTAGTACGTCTGCTTATTCTGCAAAAAAATCAATCCTGCAGTGTGATAGAGTAGAAAGCAATTTCTGCAAAAATCAGTACGTATTCGTTTGATCAACTTTATAGACAATCAAATGTAGAAAATAGGTCAACAATGTGCATCTACTTTCTCCCCTTCTGACTGCTATAGTTAAAAATCCGATTTCTCTGTATTAAAATCTGATTTCTCTGTATTGAGAGCAACATCTGGAGTTAAATGGGGTGTGAAAGAAAATGACGGCACGCTGAAACCGGAGCTGGTGGCTTTCGACACAGATGTGATGTGACACGGTTGCTTTGTGCTGAAGCAGGCTTGTAAATGGGATTTGTCAGACAGGTGGTGCTGGAAGTGTTGATGAGTGCTACATTTTTGTAATTTATCACAAAATGTTTTGTGAATGTGGGCGTATGTGCTTGTACTTGAAGCTGTGAGTGACTATAGACATATATATATATATTATACAGTGGCATGCAGGCTTATGTGTCAGTATAATCTCCTAGGCCTATTTCTGATATGCTTATACATATAAATACATATATATGTATGAATTCCAGGGATCTCAGCATCTGTGTAGGAGGCCATGCATAATGCACCCCTCCACCCCAGCTTTGAAGCCAGCTCAGCACTGATTTTGTAGCTTTTCCCTTAAAACCGGCACACTTCCTCGCCAACACGTAAGTCCTGGCAGGGAGGAAGAGTCGGGGGAGACTGCGCAAGAGCAAAAGAGGGGAAGGATGAAAAGAGAATTAAAGAGGTACTGAAGAGGAGGAGTAATGAGGTGCCCAAGGGCACTCGAGCTGCTCACTTCCATATGAATCGATGTGGAAGGACTCGGGTGGAGCAGCACGCTAGTTCATCTCCATGGTGACCTCTGCAAACCAACAACCCAGGGCTGGAAAGTTACCATGGTGATAGAGCTGTTGTTTTGCTCTTGCTTAACCTGTAAATCCTTCTGTCTGCCTTTAGCTTTTTTCCCACAGAGCAACACAAGCGTTCCTACCAGGTGTCACCCGTGAAGTCCATATGGAGAAGCATCATATGAGTTTTTCTGACTTCAAACGGCGTGAAGCTCAACAGCTTGAGATGGGGAGCGAGCCACAGGGGATCTCGTGAGGTTAAAGCGGGGTTATCTCTTTCTCTCTCTCAGTTCTTTAAGGCTGAAAACTGAGGAACAACAGCAGCAGCAGAGGAGGCAGCAAGAAAATGAACCGGAACCATGAGCACCCAAAGAGTTGAGTTAATGAGCCTCTCTATTATTTAAATTGAAAATCCATGTTTGCACTTTAATAGTGAGATAAGAGAAAGTGGGTCAATGGAAACGAGAGACGTCGCAGAATGAGCTGCAGTTCTGCTTCATTAGATGAACATTCAAAACGTGCATGAGGTCAGATTTCTTTATTCCTTTATGGAAATAAAGGAATGTCTGTGTGGCTGCGAGGTGTCGCGTGCACGCGGGCTTGTTGCGTAGCTGTTCCATTCAGGGACATGAATGGCGACGGAGAACAAAGCATGGAAACAAGAAGCATTTGATCGCACATATCAGCGCCTCCCACCTGATAGCGATCTCCACGGAAGGGATCACTTCACTTAAATCCCAGAGGCAAGAGGGAATAGCTGCCAAAAGTGAAATGAATAAAGACCCAGAGGGAGAGAGAGTGCGCCCTAATGACAGATTTAACAGGGGGAGAGGGAGAAGAAAAGTTTTTTTAGAAATCCATATATACATAACCCTCGGGGAGGGAGCCACAAGGGTTCCTGAACATTCACTATAGTCATTTGAAAGTTTGAAGAATTTTTCCATTATGAAACCAATCGAGAGAAAATGAAATAACATGTGGCGCACTCAATTCCGCTCGCGGCCTGCAGAGTGCCTTGAAAGCCTGAAGGATAATGGGGGGGGGGGGGTTGGGGTGTAATGGGGATACGGTGCTGCTGAGGGCTGAGGGGATGAAGGGGTGGGTGAGTAAACATGCAATATTTGTTTTCATTTAATGGGCCGTGTTAAACACTGACGTTTTAATCTCGCGCTGTGGTTTTTCTCCGAAAGTCTCTGCAGTGTCCAGGATTTCTAACTTTTCTGTTTATTAGTTCAAGAGGGCTGATCTCTGGGAATAACACTGCTGACTTGAATCTCACAACCACAACACAGGAGAAAAGCAAGAGAGGACAGGGAGAGAAATGTCGTGTGGGCGGACGCACCGGCAGGTGCAAAGGTTGGTGTTTCTATGCGTGCGTGCGTGTGTGTGTGTGTGTGTGTGTGTGTGTTGGAGGGTATGTGTCGGCGCTGAAGAGAGCAGAGGATTGCGTTGAAAGAGGGGGGATGAGATATTGAGTGGGAAACGCAGAGAGAAGGTTGGAGGGAGATATGGCTGGTGAGTCGTGCAAGTGGGAGGAACAATATGGTGCCGGTCGGTTGGAAGACACACAGACAGCTTGCCGATGTCAAATCGGTTTCTGGTGTTTTTTTGATGTCTGCATGAGAACATCTGTATTGCGTGTTTGTAGTGGCAAGTGATTTTAAAGGATTTTTTTAAGAACCCAGACTACTGTTTAAATAACTGACCTCAGCCAGGACAAAACGAATGCAGTTTAATCCTTTTAGATCCGCGAGCGATTTAAAAAGTAATCCCGTTGAATCTCTTTTTTTTTAGTTTGCTGTACGTCTAATACTTTAATGAACAGGATTCACGCTGTGTTAAAGACCCTCGCCGTCGGACCACGCTGACGTTGCAGCTTTTAAAAACACATCTAAGGCTGTGATGAAAGGAAAGATAACAGGAACAACCTTGTTAGGGAGGAAGATTTTTCTCCGGATACAGCATCCATGTTAAGAGGGTCAATACGCAGGCGTCAGCATAATAAATGAAATTACCACCGGGAACAAAAGTGGTTCAACAAGTCAAAGGGATGGAGGCCCCCCGCCAAAGGCTTGTTATTGAGTCCCGCTCTAGGACAGTACAGGAAAAGGAAGCCAGATCCGGGGCAATCTGTCTGGCTGGACGGAGGCTTGTTGACCTCTGGTTCTCTCTGAGCTCCTCCACATCGATAAACATCCTCCTAACAGCGTCCCACCGAAAGCAGCTCTGTCTGCGCCTCCCCACCCACCCACCCACAAAACATGAAGGAAACACACTCTTCTCTCGTGTTGTGACGCACAAACACGAGAAAACATTCCAGACATCGCTCTCTGGAACAAGTAGCACATGTAGTCGTGATTCTGTGAGGGGTGCATTGTGCCGAGTAATCACAGAGCCACGCTCAGGGAGGTTGAAGTCACGAAAACACCACATTGGCTATTCAATCCACTATCAACTTGATACCCATTCTTTAATATCAGAGCTGAGAAGACGTCTGAGTTTAACGTTTAAAAAATAAATAAACCTGAGTGCTCCACATTGCATCTCCCATCCTCATAACAGCACGTGCAGCACAGCTGACCAATCATAGGTTATTTCCATATCTGGTATTACCTGGCAGCATGTCGCCTCCATCAAACCTCCACGGATGCCACCGCCGACAGTGAAGCTCAGTGAGTCAGTCCGTCATCAGCTCGACCACAGCTCCTAATAAAGACGACCCCCCCCCCCCCCCCCCCTCCTCCTCCCCCCGCACCCCTCCCCTACTCCCTACGCTTCCCACCACCTGACCAGCTCTCTCCATCTCCTCCTCCGCCTCCTCGGTTCAGCGCCCCATCCCTCACTTCGGAAGTAAACACAGAGACGAGCATCGTCTCCTCCACCACCATTTCACCTACACACACACACACACACACACACACACACGCAGACACACAAATCCGACTGCACAAAATGGTAAACACACCGCGGTAAAAAAAAAAAAAACACAGCTGCACAGACCTGTAGAGTCCGAAGCCTCCTCGATGAGTGGAGGTAAACGCAGTCCATCCATAGCTGCAACACAGAGAGGGAGAGTGGGCGAGAGAGGGTCAGAGGCTCCACGCGCCCACCTCAGCTGCACGGCGAGAGAGAGAGAGAGAGAGAGAGAGAGAGAGAGAGGGAACTGGGCACAAGTACCCGCAAACACACGCTTCGATGCACGTACGCGCACTCGCACATAAGCAGGCTGCACCTCGGGACCCTTCAGGGAGGATCCGGGGAGCTGAAGGCTGAGCTGCGGAGCGTGGGAAGAATGCCGGGAGGGAGGAGGGGAGGAGGAGCAGAGGGGAGGCAAAGATGCCGCTTTCCAGACGTCTCCCCTTGAAGCGCCCCCCCTCCATCCGTCAGTCCTACATATTATTTTATATTACCACTCTTGCTTCAACTTATCCCTTCTTTTGAGCGCCCCCCCCCCCCCAAAAAAAAACACAATTATTTTGTCCCATTTCCAGAAATCGAATTGAATACTGAGTTGAGTTTTCCCTTTGATATCAAAGACCTCACCGAGTATTAAATCACTCATAGCTCCAGCGTGAAAGAGTTGGCAGACAGTAAGTCTTTAGCGACGATTTAGCAGCCAAATGGTAAATCTATCAATATTTTGTCACCAGCTTGCCTACTTCCTCATAAATAAAGCTAAGCTGAATATATTTGACAACAAACCAGTGATTGGGACAGTGATTGGGGCATCTTTGGGTTTCAGTGAGTTAAATCACAGTATTTAATGTGTCATTAGTTGGAGTCCCAGTATTATTATAAATATAAGGTTGTAATATAACTATTACTTAAAAGGAGTTCATGGTTATGTCTGTTAATGTTGTCAATATTTCCTGCTACCCTAACATCACTCTATATCCATTTCTACAGTTTTCATGGTGTATTCTTTTTCATGTTGCATTTCAACAGCATCTGTTGTTGAGTGATCGTATTGTTTGCTAAAAGATGCAGTTCTAGAATGAAGCTATGCAGGGTTCTAATGAGACCATGCTGGCATCCGGACGATGACAGAACGCTGATCACAACCAAAATAGACTTGAGATTTATCTGCAACAAACAGGTTTCCAAAAAGAGTTCACAGAGGATTGAATGCACGCATTAGTGCAGGGGATCACAGCACCAAAGCAGATGCAAATAGCGTCTTTTGCTTATTCTTTTGTTGTTTCCTGCACACACAGAACCCCTGTGTATGTTGACCGATAGTGAGGTCCAAACAAGCTGTCGTAATGGAGGCTCACAGCTAGCACTTCAGTTTACTGATCACTTCCCCTCTGTTGTTCATTTCCTCCCCCTTGCTGGCTCTCGTTCTCTCTCCGTATACCGCTGCAGAACAGTGGCTATTTCAGTATAAACAGCATCTGAAACACCATCACACGCCCTCCATTTTCATCACATCCTTTCACACACGAGTCTTTCGGTCTCTCACCTCTTTATTTCTCAGCTGCAATCACATCTGGCAACTTCTGGCCAGCGGGCCTACGTAAGGAGCAAGAAATGCAAGGTGTGCCATGAAACTGTGTGAAAATATGCCAGCGTAGAGAGAGAGAGAGAGAGAGAGAGAGAGAAGGAGGGCCTGCACCGCTCAACCCTTTGCTGGCCCAGTTGGAGGATATTTCTTTCACAAAACCGTCAGAGAGAAGGAAGTGAACTCAGATGTACAAGCACACATACGAACGACACCTGAAAGAGGAAATGGAGAAAAAAAACGGAAGTTACTGTCATGGAAATAGAAATAAAAAGGAAGTCAGAGTCTCTACATGCTGTTGTTTGTACCTGTGATCATCAGCAAGTGATAAAAGGAGCTTGGTTGCAGGGCAGAACGGGCGCAGGAGGGTACAGATAACAGATTAGATCATGGTCAAACAACAAAATAATTCCAATAGTTTGCTTCCCTGTTTTGCTGCTTGTTTAAGTACTTCAAGGTTCTTGTTGAATGCTTGGTTGTGCGACCATTAGTCACCCATTTCTTTTCCAAAGGGCCTACAAATGCCATTCAAAGCAAGAAGGGTAAAAGATGATGGGTTTGCTTATAACACAGAGCCGTCCCTCAGAGTGTGAGGTCATGTGCATGGAATCTCTCCACTCATACTGTGGTCTTTGTTTTGTCCAGATTGAAAAAGTCCTACGCCCACGGCTGCAGTGCAGACCTCAGGAATGTGTGCCTGTAATTGACAAATAACTCAAATGGAAACACACAAAGAGCCAACAGTTGCTTAAAATATTTGCAATGCTGTGTTTTTCAACATGCTCCATTCATTTGAGTGGAAATGGTGGAGCGGTTGAAATGGATTTGCCCAAAAATGTGGACCATAAAAATTATTATTTGTTGAATTTGTGTGTTTTTGAATGAATTCATTTCGTTGAGAGCCGCCAACAGGTTGACATTTATACTTTTAAGTAACATGTATTAGATGGAATATTTAAAAAAAATGGGACGGATATTCCCTGGGCAGGTTGATGTTAAGCATGAAAAGGAAATACAGCAAAAGCAGACAAACATCTTTTAGACAAATAGAGCCACCTTCAAGATTAGAAACAAGGTGAAGCTGCCAACTACCTCAGAATGCCAAATGCCCAATTTGTCTAACAAACCGTGACAAACCTGGGACGGGTAGTAGTGGTTGTTGTTTCCAGGTGGCAGTGGGAGTGGGTGAATAAATTCCTGAATAGAAAAGAAAGGAGGCCTAAACGTAGACACAGACAGACCAGTGGTCCACATCATACATGGCCTGAACAAGCTTAAATAAAAACGAGTTCATGTATGTTGATGGACAACGATAAAGTAAATAGTTTTTCAGACAACCAAATGACCAACGCTCAAAGCAAAAGCACCATATATTGTTGAACATCTCAAAATCAACTGTACCATTTTAATGGTTAATTGCTTGTCCAGCTGCTTGTAGAACCGCTGTGTGACTTAATTTGCTTGGATGCTCGTTGATACACCGGAAGGAACAACAGGCTGTATAATTACTCTCTTGTGACAGTGTATCATTGTGACTGTCAGCTGGCCATGTAATGGAACCTCTGAGACATGAAAGAAACGCAGTCACCCTACAATCCTGTTTACACCGAGGATGTCAGCCTTTAACTCGCAGCATCACTGTGGCACTCTGTGGTTGCCTAGCAACTGAAGGGAGGAAGGTGCGTTTGAATTAGGGCATTTTAAGAGGTGATTAATACCTTGGTGATAAATGCTGTCATAAATCTGGAACTTCCCACCGGCGGTTTCAATGTATTGGCACTGCAGGTTCTTATTCTGGTCACAGACAGCGTTGCAGCGCCACTGCTGCAGATCTTGTGCTTTCTGAGGCCTCGGCTCCTGGCTGGATGCAGGGAATATTGTTATGCTATGGCGCGTAAGCAGAGGAAGCGAACATTTCCATGACACCATAAACAGGAAATGAGAAGGGCCCAGCGCTTCCACAGGACTCTAAATCAATGTGGGAGTCGCCAGAGAGGTCATAACTTTCCCATAATATTAGCAGTTCATGCACTCAGGGACAGGAACACACAAACAAAACTCACATATGTACACATACAACAACATTTCAAACCATACATGTTTTATGGCAACCATACATTTCAGTCTCTCTTTTGAATAAGGATGTGTTCCTCTGAAGCAGAGAGCGAGAGTGAAGCTGGGGCAGTCCTTTTGGCGGCCTCCTTCATGCAGGCCCCGTCCCCTACGGTCGCCATGCCAACCAATGTGAGGAGGAAGCTTAGCTGTGGAGCCCAAGCACATTTGATGAGGTCCTGGGATAATTAGCAGCTCATTATGGAGCCGAGTGAATAGGCCATCAAGCTGCAGGAGCCACAAGAGAAGGCTCAATGGAAAACACACAGGATCGGAGCACACATCAAAGGCAAGCGTCCACTTTTCACTTCACATAATGCAGAAGAGAGCCAGATAGGAAACGAATGCTCAGTTCACACCAACAAATATAGCTTATAATCCCCATTTTTAAGTCCATGTGTGTGTGTGTGTGGGTGTTTAGGAGGGGTAGTGTGTGTGTGTGTGTCTGTGTGTAGGTGGGTGGCTGATTGTGTGGCTGCGTCACACCAATGGAAGTATGTCTTCCCACCCAGAGGCCCTAGTTTCTCCACAATCACACAAAACCCATTGTCACATACACCCATGTCAGAGAGATTATTGCACAAAGCTCAGAATTCCACTGCGGGACTACGGGAGGTCCCCGGTTAAGCGACGTGTCTATCATCCACATCCCTGCGTCTCAGCGTGTGTCTGTGCCTCTGTTTTGCATGCAGGCAGGCACTGCTCAGAAAGAATTAACCGTACACCGCTGTGCCAGGTTAACAGTCGACGGGCTTCATTTTGTGTGGATGTGTGTGTGTGTGTGTGTGTGTGTGCTCCCTGTTGGGTATGTGTGACATGTTATCTGGTATTTGAAGGAGATTTGTGGCATGGTATGCACATCATTACTTGCTCTAACGTGTTATTCCAGCCGAGGGATCATTAAAGGGAATGTAATTGAATTGAATTTTCTCTTCATTAGAATCCTGATGGGAGTCACAGTTAGAGCCTACGGCCTGTGGAGAGAAACACCTACGTAACATAAATTGTAAATGAAAAGATACAGAATTATGCTGCAATGAAGCTGCGCAAAGACGTATTGAAATACTAGCTTCTATATAAAACTGTAGAGGGCGCTACTCTTCCCCACTGCTTGGGATATTCCTGTCACACGACACTGATGTCTCTCAACCCCCCTGCGTGTTGGTCGGAATATTTTTTGTGAAATAGTGGCATTCTTTTTGATGAAATGAAAATGATATTACATGCATTATAAGTACATACACACTGTATGCGTTTGGTACCATGGAGGCTGTGTGAGATGCTGCGCCCTTCCAGTATGAAAGAGTGCAGCGCCTACGCCCTCTGGTGGTGCTAAACGAGCAAACGTTTGCAGTATTCATGTTGATTGCTGTATTACGTTTTAATGAGGTCAATTCTTCTGGTGCAAATGTGGTGCAGCAACCTATTATTTTCTGTTATCTGCACTCTTCTTTTAGGTACTAAAATGTGCACAAACAAAAAGGAATCACATGTCAAATACCAGTTGCAAGTTGATTAAAAAGTATTGTTTAATTTAAGAGAAAGTGTCAGACAAAAGGCACGTAATGCATGAAAATTCAACTAATCGATCGCTTAGTGCACCACAGACGAAAAGAGAATGTAAACCAGATCTGTAGGTAAAACACCCTCAAATATATCATAACATGATTAAAACAAAAGATATGACACAATCAGTAGACAACAAACATTACAAACATGTTACGTCAGACAAACATTTAAAAAGTGGTCCGTAGCTTCACTTGAGATCATAATAGGCCATGTTCGTAAGACAAACACAAAACAATACATCGATCGGTCAAAAAATTGGCTCGTTTTTCATCACCTCTGTGATCAGACATGCGTAGTGAAGGCTCTTCGTTGCTTCTTCTGCAAAAATCTGCCCTGTATCACAGTAGAACACATCTCTCAATCACATTATTAGTAAAACTTAAGACATAAAGAGAGACTCTGTTGTGTGTCATCTGGGTCTCTGGGTGTGTGTGTGTGTGTGTGTGTGGGGAGATGGCTTTGTTGCGGTTGATATTTCTATGCTACCAGCGCAGTGGGATTGACTTTTGTCCCTGTAGATAGATGACAGCTGGTCTTATAAGAGCCCAGCAGCAGCTTCAGTGGTTATGAATCTCTCATACCAGCATTAATGACACTTAACGCCCATGACGCCCAACAGCAGTCGCACCCTGTCACTGTAAAACATGACGTAAAAAAAACTTTGCTCGTGGAAGAAACATCTTAAAGCCAGAGCTCTTAGAAATCAAATATATTGCACTTTTAAATATCAGTAAAGAGAAAGAAAAAAAATGTAAGGGACGACTGACCGCACAAAGCAGTCGAGGCAATAAGGATTAAAAAGAAAACAGTACGGCCATTGCCCCCGTGCTGCACCCTGTGGATTTAAAAGATTAGTTCAACATTTACGGAAACAGGCCTCTTGTTTTTTTTTTTCAAACTTAGATTTGAGGATTGATACCACTCTCATGTTTCTATGCTCAATATGAAAGCTATATGAAGCTACAACCAGTAACCTGTTAGCATAGCTCGACATATAGACTAAAACAGGGGGAAAAGCTTGCCTGTCAAACCAAAAACCAGTTTCCTGGATTCACAGGAAATTGTTCAGCACATGACTCAAAAAAAGTGTAAACTTATAGACTGGTTATGCCGGTAGATGCATTTTGCTAAGTTAACTCTCGACAAAGAAACACTTGCTGGCTCACCCTGTTTTGTTATTATGCTAAGCTAAGCTAAGCTAACTCTGCAGGCAGTAGCTTCACTTTCACTTGTACACATATGGAAAGTATTGATCTGCTCAACTAACTTTTGACTAGAAAGCAAACAGGCTTGTTTCCCAAAATGTCAAAACTATACCTCCAAGGTTCTCAATCCATAACTGTGGCAAACAAGATACCAACCATAAGGTTTTGTGTGTGTGTGTGTGTGTGTGTGTGTGTCCGCTATCAACAGTTTGAAATTGACCTAATACAAAATGAGAAAAAAAAGAGTGAAAAGTGAGTCTCGTGCGTACCCCTCTTCACAAACCTTGAATCGACTATTAATGCCTTAAGATGATTCATAGCAATGCCTGGAGATGTTAAAAAATGCACTGTTATATAAATATTATTTAAAAGGTTAAATGGAAATCGTTAGCAACACACATTCAAGTTCTAGACAATAACCATTTCATTTTAGTCGGACCTCTGTAAATGTGTGGCGATCGTGTCTTCTGACGATTGTACAACCAATCCTCTTAGACAGTCCTATCCTGACAACAGAAGGCGTCCATGTTTCTGCAGTATTATTATCGGTGTGCACGTTTCCCTATCAGACAGGCCCCAGCAACCTGTCTATGGCATACTGTAAACGGTCCCAGTTCTTCCAGAAGATGGTCAAAAAACAAACTCCCAGGAAAGTAGCTACTACGTGGTGCCGGCTCCTCATCATTGGAGCCGCGAACTTTGCCGCAGTGGAGACACACACCAGGATGACGGTAATGATGGCCAGCATGATGTTGATGCACTTGCCCAGCAGGACTCGGGCGTCACGGCTCTCGATCTGGACCGTCTGCTGCTGCTGCTGCTGCTGGAGCTCCAGCTTGGATACTCGTGTCTGACACGACTCAAGCGCCTCCTAAGAAAGATGGAGAGAGTATTCGAGGGTATTCTTGAATTCTTGAGACACAAACCTGAATGTCAAATACATTCACTTACGGTAATACCAGTAACAAAAGCTGATGTTAGGTGAGCTTCATCAATTCACTAGTATGTACCTGAATGTCCCTGGCCCTTTCATGAGCCTGGTAGGTCACCCTCTCCTCAATGCTGGCCAGCTCCTGCTTCAGATAAGTCAACTCATGCTGGTGGAGCTCTGTCAGGTCGCTTAGTTGGTCTTCTAAATGGTTGTACCTGGCAGAGAGCACAGAAATGTTTCTTTAAAATGATCATTTACAGGCCCTTTCCAGTACCATGTGTGGAATTCTGTAATGGCTACAATAAATATTAAGTAATAATAAACATACCTGTATCTCTCCTCCTGCAGTGTTTGGCTGATGATGCCATACTCTCTCTTGAACTGAGACTTTACCTCCTCCATGTCTTCCTCCAGCTGGCTCTGGGCCTCTTTGATCTCCCTAACCTCCTCCAGGCTCATTGCGAGTCCGACCTGGCCGTCTCCCCCGGCCTGCTGGCCCGGCACCGGCCCCGCTGACACCCCTCCCCCCATCGGGTTCCCGTTGCTGTCTGCCGAGATGGAGGCGCTACCTGAGGAGCACTCATCGTCGCTGAGATCCTTGGGCTTGGCCACCATGGAGGTGCTGCTGCTCAGCCCCTTTCCTGCACCGTCTGTGGGCAGCGGAGAAGAAGCGTCCAGCGTGGTCTTGAGGTGGGAGATGTTGTCAGCGCTGCCAAACCGGTTCCTGATGAGGTTGGCGAACTCTCTGGGCTTGCTGAAGAAGAAAGGAGGGGAGAGCGAGACACCTGGGCCGATGGTCTTGATCTTGTCCATGGTCGGGTGTCGGCCACTGCCAGTCATGTCTCTCAGCAGCTCTCTGGGAGACTCCCTGGGTAAGGTGACGTGTTTGACCGTGGACGTGCGCCGGGACGGGCTGTGGTGGACTTCACTGTCTTTCATCTTTCGATGGTACTGCTCCAGCTTCTTATGCATTTGGGCAATGTTTTGAGCCGACTTCTGGTTCTTCTTCTCAAAGACCTGCTTGATGCGACCCACGTGCAGCTTGTCCGCACTGTTCACGAGCTTCAGGTACTCGGCCACGTTTTCGTCCCGGGCAGTTTGTTCGATCTTCAGCTGCTCCGTGACTTTCAGGATCTTTTGCTGAAGGTCGTCCACGCAAGAACGACTACGCTGGACCTCGAAGCCCGGTGCAGTACCGGGACTGCCTTCGCTCGGCTCAAGGTCCAGATTGTTCTCTGAAGAACCACGACGCATTGACCCAGAAATGCTCAGGGAACTTCCCTCTGTACTCCGGTCCTACAGGGAAGACAAAGGACAATCAGACACAGATACTGTATTAGTAATGGAGCATTTACAGGGATAATCTCGCACTACGGAAATCGGTTTAGACGGTAAAACAACCCTTCTTCTTCTCCTTCTCCTCCTTAGGCCGTCCGCATACGGGGTTTCCTAAGCAGGTCATCCATTCACTTGTTTTTTTAATAAGCCGGACCGCAACCAATCCGGTGTGGGAATCAGATTTGATTATCCACATTAGGCATGCCGAAAAAGAACATCTGAACTCCAAACAGAAAGGGAATGCCCAGCTCAGGCTGGAGACCAAATCCCAAACCTTTCAGCCCGTTGGGTGCCAGAAGAAAAACGGCAGATTTAAGTTTAAAGTAAATATAAACAGGTTTGCGTACGTAAAACTCCCATTTCAAGTAAAATGAACGAGAACATGACCTCATTTCATCTACAAATGCATTGCAAAATACTTGTGTGCAAATGTGGGCTGTGGTTGCTGCTGAGCAGCTTTGAAATATAAAATGGACATTTACTCACTTACGGACATTATCTTTACTCTCAAGTGTCCTTTACTGCTTTTTTTTGACGTTTCTGAGCGTTCTCTTTAAAGCTTTCATGTTATTGCCACGGTGAGACCATATGGGTGTGTATGTAATGCTCTATTCATAACATCTGTTATTGTTTAGGACACAGAATTTAATCCTCTTTATTTGCAGGATTGTAGACAGATGACACAAATGACCAAAGTCCGACAACAGCTATTAATGTGCGTAAAAGAAGTGGAGCGTGCACATTTTATTTGGGTCAAATCTAATGTCCAACAAGCCCACAGGGCATGGGAAATCCCAGTCTCCTAATTTTACAGTCAATCCTCAATTTTCTGATAAAGGTCCAAAATTAAAATGTTGTTTTTGACGGATATTTCAACAGTAATCTGCTTTAGACTTGAGGAAGTGAAAATGAATAAATATGACGATAGGTTAAACTATGGCAGGAAGTCTTACATAAAGAGGAACCTGAAGAGGCAGAGTTTAATTTTTTTGGTGGCCGAACAAGCCCCCAGATCTTGCAAGTAGACCACAGTTAAACAGCAGTGTAATGACAGGATGACTAAGCTGCTCAGGCAAACACAAAAAGTGCTGTACAGAGCTGCACTAATCCTTAACGAATGTAATACGACTAGTTTTAAGTAACTAAACAGCTAACACAGGCATGCTTAGGGCTGAATCCTGCTTAGCCTTTCCCAATCACCAGGCAGCGGTTACAAGTCCCTCCACAATTGACCCATGCGCCAACTGCACACAGATGCGTCTGGATAAAAAACTGTCAAGGCGAGTATTAGACCAATATGACACGCAATGGACTTACAAACAATAATACAAAGACAACTTCTCACTCAGGATTGTAGAAACCAGGATTCTACTAGGATTTAAGTTATGCAATTATACATTCACATTCAACTACTATTGTTACTGTTACCTCACCCTCAATCAACTAGTCAAACGTGTATATGAGGGCCGAGCACCAATCTGGTGCATCATCTCAAACACAACCATTTATTATTAGGAGTAAGGTATCGCTGTATCGCTCTATACTTGTTTGCCATAATATCAGACATGGCTGTCTGTCCGCCCACCACTTCGGCCCAGACAGGATGGACTGCCATTATACAATGGATGAAATTTGCTCAGACATTCGCTTTCCCCAGAGGATAAACCCTGATAGCGTTCGGTCTGCAAGATAATCTTCACAGGTTAACAATACTTAAAGCCTGAATGCGGTTCCTAGAAGAGCTAACCGCTATGAAAAAAATACACCTAATCAGCTAACGCACTGAATTTATACAAAGGCGACGCCTCCTATGGTCCACAAAGTACCTAACATGCTCAGCTGGGATGGCAAACTAACAATTTACCTGCTTAACAGCGCGGCACAAGGCCAAAACTATCATTTGCCTCAAAGCAAGTACTGTGAACTCTAGAATTGTTCTTTCAATTGTATTACTGCAGTGCCTATAACTATGCTGTACATACATATTGCATACTCGTTTATGTTTAGTTTGTAACCAGAGAATGCCGTGCTTCTTTCTCTGAGCATGCCTCGGGTATTCCAGCCGGTGTCCTCGTCCCACTCGCTCCCCCTCTCTGGCATCTGTCCTTCTTGAACACAGGACTCTTTGTCCGAAGAGAAAAAAGCACACTTTGTCACGTCCTACCTCTGCTCTGTCCAGGACTCCGATGAGCGAGCTGCTGAATATGGATTCACTGGTCTGACGTGCGGCCCGAGGAGCCCAGTAACGATCCTTCCGCAGGGCAAAGCAATACCCCTCGTCAAACCGGTTTGTCAAACAAATGGGAGCGGAGCCTGATGTCCTCCCGCTTCGGGAGGCGCTGGGGAAAGCGCACGCGTACGTTGCTCGTGTGACTCAAGCTCTTTAGTTGTTAAACAACAAACACAAAGGGCCGCCTGTTCGAGCAGACAGCTTAGGCCGTACGCGGTTCATTTCGGTGCTGGAACTGAGCGAGCTCCTCGGGCGAAACTCCGACCGGGCGACCTCGGCTTGATTCAACGTTTTCTGAAACGCAGAACACGGGGGGGGGGGCCCGTTTATTGCCTGGGGTTGCTGTGATGTCGTAGGTACAGGATCACTTGTAAAACAAGATCGGAAGGGGACCTGGCAGCCATCGATGGAGCACTGCTGAAGGCCTCGAACAAACAAATAAACAAACCCGGAGTAGTAAATGTCAGGCCAAAAGTGTGTTACACAGCCGGGGTGACGGCCGCAAGCTTTTTCTTAGAAAAGGAAAACAAGTTTCATGAGAGGAGCTCAGATAACACAGATAATTTGATCCAGATGCTCTAGACGCGCACTCAAACCCCAAAAAACAGTACGACACGTGACTACGTTTTAGAAAACATTTTTAAAAAGCAGATTTCTGTCACTCACTAATGCTTTTCAATCCCTGCCGGCGCTGACTATCTTCCAGAGAAATATTGGTCTCTGCATGAGTGTCTCTGCTAATCGAGTTCTCGTGAATCTGCAGAGTAGCTGAACTGCTTTTCACTCCCCTTTTCCCCTAAACCCTGACCCCTTCTCCAGGGGTCGCTGAGGAAGTGGAGACCGAAGGTCTACGACGAAGGGGTGAAAGTTAAGTTAACTCGGATAAATAGTGCCGTAACCACGCAGCAGATGGCGTCTGTTAAGTCAAAACAGTTGTCCGTCCTTTGCTGCGAGGTCAAAGACCGGGTTGGATGAGATGGAGTTTCCATCTACAGCCAGTTGACCTGGATGATTGGCCTTCCCACAGCGAACCCCTACTTGCTTCCCCTGACTGTGATTCTTGATGTACAAGCTCAGCTGTGTGAGAGACCCATCTGTGTAAACATATGCTCAAAATCTGGTTCATCACCACCAAGGTGAGAAAATAATGTCTTTGAAATAAATGGAGCCAGGCGGCTGCCCACTGCTGTTCGACTCGCCCATTGACAAGAGCAGAGGAGCAAAAAAAATAAAGACAAAGAGTAGGAAGACAGAGGGCGACGTCAACTTGGACAAAGGGAAGATGGTCCCAACCACAGTACAGCAGCCCACATCATCCCAATTATCATCATCATCATCATTTCCAGCAACAGGATCTACAGGGTGCCTCCCTGACACCTCAGCCCTGTTTGAGCCCCCCTGTCCCCCACGCTGCCCTACATAGCAAACAGCGTCTGTCCAATACCATGACCCATTTAACATGCTGTGACCTCGCTAGACAGCATAGCATAGAGATCCGACTGCATTAGCCTCAATCTCAGCCCAACAACGGAGAGCTGAGGCTCTGAGGGCCGGTCTGCCCGAATCAACGATCTAAACATTAGCCACAAAATAGTGAATATTAGATCAAATATTAGTCAAGCGCTGCTTATCTGGCACTGCGGTGTGTTCTCGTTTGGATCAATGACCATGTTTTTCCCAAGCCATAGCATACAGTAGTAATAGTAAAGTAAACATTGCCTCAGATTAGGAGGAACTGCGGCAGTTTCTTCAAAAACCAGCTGTCCCTCCTAGAAAAGGGTGGGGGGGGGGGCGTTAAAAACACTGCAGTCATTTTCTTATGCAAACAGGAAAGCATTGTACCCGTTTCCAGGAAGTAATGTTTGCAAGTGCTCAGAATTGCAGCTGTAATCAGGTGAAACCATCAGGTCGCAGGTCGCGCAGGCATTTGGGCAAGTGAAACTACAGAAACAGGTGTTTGTGAGTCTGTGGGGTTTGGTCGACACTGTGACAATTATTCTGTCACTCCCCCCCCCGTGTACCCCAAATAAATGCACACACACAGAAAAAAAAAAAGAAATAGAGCTGGCACACTCATTGGAATGGAACAAAACCGTCCCTTCAGCAGAGAACAGAGCCGCAGAGGGGAAGAAGCCTGCGGTGCCTTATTGGTATTCCCTCCAGCTGATCCTCATATATACAGACACTCTCCCACACAGAGCTCACACAGGCAAACGGGAAGGAAGCCAGAAAGGGAGAACGACAGGGAGCGCATCTTTGATTGTAGAGTCCGAAAGCTGATCAAACTTCTTCTCCTCCTCCTCCTCCTCCTCCTCCTCCTCCTCCTCTCATCTGCATCCCACAGCTGCCTTTGCGGCAAAACCTCTCTTCAGAGGCCAATCAGTATGCCTCCGCAAAATAACAGAGGAAATAAAACTAGCAGAGTTTGAAGTCTTGAGTTCCCTGAATGATTAATCCCCATGAGTTCAGAAGAGAGAATTGCTGAAGGCATAATTTGCTATTATCTCATAGACAAGCCGGTCCAGGACTAAATCAATAGGCCATTAACACTCCCGGGATCTGCTTGCCGCCGTGGCCTGGGGAATTATTGAATGGGATTCAATTAAGATGTATTTGCAGCTATATTCCATGCACTCATTCACAGGTTAGGGAGTGAATACATTCAGGGATGTCTCAGGGTGGGTGAAGAGGCAAACAGATAATTAGCCATGAAAAGCAAAATAGACCCTAAAAAAAGCCAGAACGAATAAGTGGACCAATATTTGCCAGTTAATAATTCACAACATTCAGAACATAGCGTTTAGAAAGGTTAGTGTTCATACTAATGTGTTGCCCGGTGACATTAACCTATATGGAGCGCGTAAGGTTGAATAAAGACTGAGAAATGGCCCCCACATTTCTACAGAGCCACCTTCCAGTGAGGCTTAAAAACCCCAACTGAGGTGTTGCATCATATTTGGCCTCTAACCCACTATGTCTGCAACACAATGGCTTTTTTGAGGAACAAAACTGGAATGTTATTCGCTGCCAACAAAAGGGAGAAAAGCATAATCACACAGTCCAGTAACGAGCCAAATCTTCTGTTGCGTTGATCCATTATTTTGTGTTGGTGCTTTAAGCAATAATTTACTTTGTTTGTTTACTTTGAGTTGCTTGTGTCTGTGTGTGTGTGTGTGTGTGTGTGTGCATCTTTCACGCTAAAGGGGATGAGGAAAAGGTTGCCTGAGCTCCCTTTCCCTCTGAAGACTCCTTTCCTAGGAGTGGCTGCCCTGAAGGCTCACGCATATACTAGGAAGCGAAACAACCTGCTGCACGATACCCGACTGACTTTCGGGTTGCACAAGACGATGGAGCATTCCTCTCCTCGGTGTCACCGTACTGGACATCATAGATTAGCAGCGCCAAATGGTTTTGATGGTTTTCCCTCAAACATTGCTAATGGTGAAGGCGTATTGAAGGTTGTTATACATTTATTTTGTAATTGACTGAATTGACTACATTTATGTGTAAAGACATGAAATAAGGTCAAAACATCTCTTAAATTTGAAAGCCCATTTTGAAACAGGCTTTCAATTAATGTTGACAAACCATTAGCACTATTTATATCCTTCACTCATTACAGACTCTGTGCACAGGTCATAGGGCTTTAACTGTAAGCATCTGTGTGGTAAACGTTACATGATCCCTGTCATTACACTGTTATATGTTGTATCTTTTGAGTAACATAAAAAAGTAAATAGTTCTCTTCAGAGAAGATCCTTCTACATCTATTTAATACGGTATCGCCTATATGCCAGGATATAAAACATTGTTAACATGAGCCACCACTCTAAGGTGGGGTCAGGGTGAATTTTCAGCCTTGAAAAACAAGGTTGGGCGTTGAGTCATCGAGTAGCCACAAAAACCCAAAACAACACAAAAGAACTGCACTAAGTAGCTCAGTTTCTACACTGTAGACTCCATTGTGCTGGATGTGGAGAGCTGTGTCCAGCATTTGTAGTTGGAAGATAAATTCTTATTAGGTGCGTCTGCAGAGCGGTACAACGCCACCATAAAGGGACTCAATCACATATGGAATAAGTAACATCCATAAAAGTACAAAGTTTTATTAGACAACACAAGAAGTATTCCTCCTACTTGGGTGAAATTTCAAAAACCGAACCGGGCCTGTTTGCACCGGTCGGTCATTGTACTTTATGCCTGTTGGCACTTTGTAGTCTGACTAACTGAACGATTCATTTGGTATATTTTCACTTCGCACTGGAGCTGAGCTACCATGTTATATCATAACAATTACCACCAAATACGTTCCGTGTAACTTGTAAACATCAAGTTGATTAATCAGGTAGTCAATCGGCGAAAAATAGATTCGACTTGTAATTCACGCGTTAAGGATATATTTTGAGGACAGAATGAATGTTTCTTGAACTGAACATGTTTTGGCTTCGGGACTCGATGTAGCCATTTTTCACGATCGTATGGGAGCTTATTGAGCAATGAATTTTAAAAAATCAATCGATTAATCGGTATGGCACATAATCGTTTCGATTTCGTTGCCAGGCTAAACAGGGCCGACTATCGTCCCGTTACGATACCGTGAAAATATGTGGACACGCCAAATGATACATTGTGTCCTCCCTCTGGTGGGGATTTTTTATTGTTAACACCCTTGTCACTTAATAGCTACACCTACAACACCTCCGCAGAATAAACCCTGCTTTATTTACGGTGTGTACCTGAATGCAGCACAGGGAGACGCGCTCTTTGTCGAGGAGAGACGTGCTTGTTTTTAACCAATATGACGCGGATTTAGCGACAATGCAGCGGCGGTGCACGAACGGAGCCCCATTACACCGCCGGGCTGTAAAACACACTCACATGACACTCACCATCCGGCTGCTGAGGTATTTCTCCACTTCGGATAAACTTCTCACGGACACGTTGGCGCTGGGCATAATGATCATACTAGTGAATGCTAATAATGACGATGATAATCCCGTGGTGGTCGGTTGGGAGGCAGGTGAGGTTCTTCAGCTGAACATCGCTACTCGTACACAGTGTTCGCCTAATCTTGTCTCCATGTTGAGCCCCTTTCTATCCCTCCCTCGCACACACTCACGCACACGCACGCACACGCACGCACACGCTGTGACTGGCTGGCTGCCCCTGTTCGGCGTACAAAAGCGATGCGTGAACCCAGACTCCGCCCACTTCTCACAGCAGGGGGCTGCGCCAGCGCGGGTTAACTCTTTCCCCGCCGCGGGAGTCAAATTTGGGTGATCGCGGTGAAGATGAGTTGAACAAGTATTCCCGCAATGTCGTCAATGGTTTTCACTTTAAAAAGAGTTAAAAAAAAGGACTCATCCATTATGTCGCAAGCATTTCAGTTTAATCTGGAATAATGCAATATGTCAGATGCCCATCATCTGTTCTGCCTGTGAACTCCAGAAATTAGTTCCTAGCTGTCAAACAGAAGCACAATATTTCCCTCCCCTAAAATGTAGTTCTGTGGAAATATTGTGTGGTGTATTCTAGTTACTTTGGGTGAAACAGTGTTTTATTGTTTTGGGAGGTATTTATATCAGCTACAACACTGAACACGGAGTTGTTGGTTGCTGTTGTTTTAAAATCACATTTAGAATTATACATAAATATATTTCTTCTCCTTTATTTAAAAGGGGCCATGGGAACAGTCCAACTGGGCCTCTCACTTCCATTCATTCAGCTGGGAATGAGCTAATCCACTGAGCTTCCAACACAAAAACCAAATGTTGCATCACAAATCGCTTAACCCTTACGGTTACACACCAAACATGCCCGTTTTTCCTGTAGTTGCAAATTGTTCAGACTGACTTCTTGTTTACGGAACATACAGTGAGTGCTCGGCACACACCGACTCGCACTGACGCCTGCGCTTCACAGGCGGTGAGTCAGGTGATGAAGCGATGTGTGATAGGGCTCTGGGGAATCACATTGAATAGCAACAGGATGCACTGGACAATGGACTCCTAAGAACAGCCAGCAGTCGGTATCATTCATCAAGTTTTTATGGTCCCATCGGGGCTTTTAGTTAACCATATTCACCGGGTAAGTACAGGCTCCGTCCTCTGTTCAACCGTATCCGCGAGCGCCGATGAAAAATGGATGTACTAATAACGCACAATGACAGCCTTGACCTTTTGCACAGCAGCCTGCGACATCTTCCACCTTCACGTCACTTTGCACACAAAAGCCAACAATGAGCCCCCGGGGCGGGACATAGATGTTGCCTTATTAATTCAGAGTATATGTATCTGCTTTGTTGACAGAAACAAGGGCATGTTCCAAGAGGAGTGGTTAAGAGTCTACCAACAGGTTTATTTAACCTCCAGGAGTCTGAAACAAACAGCAGGTTTTCTCTACAAAGTTGTCCATTTAACTTAGTTGACACACTTCTAGACATTTGAGGACGCACATTTATTATACTCCAGTGCTAAAATCCAAATGTTTATGTCAATGGTGTCTGATTTACTGGAACCAGCTAACTTAAATCCTAATTATTCGCTCTTAAAAGGGACTCAAATGAACCAAGATCGTAAGGTCGCCTAGCGGGGAATCATCAACTAAATAATGTTTTAACAGTTTGAAGACTCCATTGAGGTCAGTGTTAGGGCCTAACAGACGGGTCCCCAGGCGCCAAACACAGTTTTTGTAAGTAAATGATTGTTGCAGCAATGACCTTTTTTGACCCCTGTAGAATACATCTCTCTTGATCCACACTCAAATTATAATACAGACTGTTTTGATCCCAACATGATTGAGGATGAGTTCATACTTTGGGCGTATATTAAAGTCCTCAGTCCTCCTCTTTTCAAAATATTGACACAAAAACAAGTAAAACGAGTAGAGAGCCAGATGAGTTACACATTTGCAAACATTACATGAACAGTGGATACAGAACAATTATCAGGAGTCAGGACGATCTATTTTATACATAGAAACAGTCAAGCCGAGAGCTCAATGTCTGTCAATAATAAAGAAACAAGGTTGAAAGGGGTTTGTTTTTTATTTTCAAATGACACCATTTTCAATCCACATTATTTTGTCCGGAAGATGGAATTAACAAGTGCTTCCCATCTTAGACTTCTTGGTGCACTCTATATACAAATCTATGTACAGTTAATTCAGCTGTCAAATATTTGACGAGCAATGTTGCTTGATCCTTTGGATTAGCAAACAAATAAGAAATAAAAAGGTTATAACCTTTTGCGATAAAGACACCTCACAAATCAATTCACAAAAATAAAAAATAAAGCACAACCTTGCCGGAGAGCACTGAAAAACAAATCACCCTGAAGGCTGGAAGTGGAAACAAAAGCTGCGAAAAAAGTATAGGCCTGGAGAAGATGAAGCATAAAATACTATGTACAATAAAAAGCGCACTCTACTATGCAGGTTTCAAGGGTTCATTCCTGAATGGGAAGATACTGGCAGACTCACTTGTCCCATGGAGTTCATTTTTGTTTGTCCTCTTTTTGGTGTCAGACCCCAGACACGGCCTGGCTGTTATAGTCAGTGGACTCCATCTTGAGGATGTACGGGATGATGCTGTCGATCTGCACGTTGCCGATGAGCCCGGCGAAGAACAGCTCCTCGGTAACAGCTGCACTTATCAGCCGGAGGGCGGGAAGACGCAGCAACAGCTTGGATAACCTTAAAGCCACGAGAGGGGAAATGAGGCGGCAAATAAGGACATGTGTACTTCAGCAAGTACATCCGTGACATGATTTAAAATACGTCCTGCTAAATATAGAGCTATGCTGTGTGAGAACACCGTTCCCTTTCTGACAACGAGCAGGCGTTGTGTAGCACAGCGCTGAAGCCTACTGACCGATAGGAGTCCTCTGGGTAGGACGAGGTCACGTAGTCCTGCAGCTCCATGTAGGCCTTCTCCTGAAAGCGCTCGATCTGTGGTGTGTTATCGATGCCTGGGTGATCTTGTTCAAAAACAAAACACGTGCACACAGTCAGATAGGGGTCCATAATATTTGGTCCCATTTACACTTTAGCCCAGAATCTTCCTCTAATAATTCAGCAGGACATTAACTTGAAAATATGTAATTTCACGCACCGGGACTGAAGAGAACAATGGCTTTCAGGTATGCGTATTCATAAGAGTCTGGGGACAGCTTGATCATGTTGTTACAGAACTCCTGCATTCTCCAGATGTGCTCCATTACTAGTTTTACTCGATCTGGGGACAGCTTATCTGTAGGAGAAGAGGAGAAAAAAAAGGTATGGGGTAGAGCATCAGTTTAGTTTTCTGCAAATTCAAGATGAATTGTGTCCCATGGTCTGCATGGCATAAACGGTTTCTGGCATCATCAAACTTAAAAACATTGATTGGCTTTTCTGAAATTTGGTCTAACAGCGGAGCACTCCTACCTTCCTGTAAGCTGGTCTGCAGATGGTTGATAATGGCACTTAGGATGGTACCAACATTCATGACGTTGGAGCACTGTGCCAGACCCAGGGCAAACAATTCATTCCAGCAGGCTTTCATTAAGTTAATGTCATTGTCTTGACCGCTGTGAAAATAAATAAATAATAATAATTATCACATTTTGCTGCAGGGAACCATGTGGCCGTTTTATGAAAACCTATTCATATTATGAACAACATATGATAAAGTCCAACGACATTATTTAGAACATTGTGATGCAAAAATGAAGTCTTATGAGAAAAGCTTACCCCAGGGTCTGGAAAGCAGGAATGGAGCGTGCCCAGTGCATTGAGAGAAAAAGTAGCCGGGAAGCTGACTCACAAATGTAGTTGACATTGAGGTACTCTGGCACAGGCAAAGGCATCATAAGCTGTAAGAACAAATTAAACCGTAAATAAGGAACACATGACTGCAGGGTTAGATAAATATTTAAAATGTGGCACTCCGTTAAACACAAGCAGGGTTTTGGCTCTCTGTTTGATTTAATCCACAGTGGCTCTGCTCTTACCTTGAAGGGGAAATGGCTGCCAGAGAGTATAGGTCCCTCCAACTCCACTATTGGACCCGACTGGTCCCCCGACATCAGCTGCATCGTGGCCTCCAAGGAATCTCCCACTGTGCCACCACCAGGGTGCAGGACTTTGGCCAGGTTGTCAAAAGCTCTAATTGTACACAAAATATTAGCACAAAAAGTTAACTTGAAAAGATCCTCGTTTTGTGCAATTCACCTAATTTAATAGAGCTTGTGCAGACACAGAAAATATAATACAACTCAGAGCAGCACTGGAGGGCACTTTTGACATATGGTTATTTTTTTGATTAGCTACGGTTGAATCTAATTAAGTCCTCAAGAGTGGAGTCAGAAAGCACATGGCCCTGCAGGAAATTCTATTACAGGTTTGTGACGGACAAAAAAATATATAAAAACAGCCGCTGGGTTTCTTTCTTTTGCCAATGTCAGTTTTTAGCTTATGTAATAACGTATTCATAATAAACTACTGGTTAGTGTCAAAGCCTTGGTTTTCGAGAACATCTCCCTCACCGAGTAATATCACTTGCACTTTGCTCTTCCCCTTGCAGGTCTGTCATCGAGCTGTCCCCGTTGCTAAGCGTTTCATCTCCCATCAGGTCGGTGCCGCCGTCACTTGCCTCCCTGGCTTTGCTGAGGTGGGCGAGTGACGTCACTACATTTGCCAGCGTGCCGAGGTCACTCTGAGATGGGTCAACCTGCTGAACGGGGGTTGTCATTAAGTCATTTCTTTTTCAATAAATACAATATAATAATAATAACGTTTTTTTAATTTTAAATATGCACAGGGGTCCTGATTTTCACAAACGGCGATGTAGGATTTCAATAAAATGTCAATTGGGTGCATCAGTGTTACCTTGTCAGGGGATGCTGGAATCAAGATGGTGTTTTCCATCTTGGAGAAGGGTTGTTGAATGTTGAGCAACATGCTTGACTCAAGCAAACTTGTAGACCTGGATGCAGATATTTCACATTGCATTATGTAATATAGGGCCATGCAATGTGACTAAGGCGATACTTAAACTTATTTTATCAGTCGCATAAAATCTTATTTAATTATATTGCACGCAAAACAAAACACAACTTTCATCCATTTTACTCTTCTACTAGCCAGAAAAAGACAACAATCTTTCAAAGAAGATAATGTTTTCATTATGTTGAGGTGTTTCTAGTTTCTACGAAGCGAGGAAGAAACAAGTTTCAATATGTTGCAATCCAATAGAACACTGTAGACCAGGGGTCTCAAACTCAAGTCAGGTACGGGCCAGATGCAGCCCACCTCGACCGAACGCGGGCCAGACCATTATGGCCGACGGGGGGGATGACACTGACGGTCCGACCGGAACGGTCGGCGCTGGGGTGGAGGTTGTAAGTGGCTGCTAACAGCGAGGTTGCTACAATATAGAACTCGCGGGCCGCACTAACATTACACTTTCATATGAAGGCGGGGGCCACAAAATATCGTCCCGAGGGCCGCAATTGGCCCGCGGGCCGCGAGTTTGAGACCCCTGCTGTAGACCCATTATATTCTCAGAAATATATTAAACAAATATCCTTTTACATCACAGCTATTCATTGTGTTGTATTAGGTGGTACAGGTGCATCAAATAAACAGGTAAGTGGCTAACCTGGCAGTTTCTTTGTCAGTCATAAAAGTGGGTGTGGCAGCCAGAGGACTACACAGGTTTTTGCGGATGTAGATTTTCTCAGTGGAGGCCGCACAGTTGACAGATTTCTCCCTTGGAGTCACTTCGACAGGCTTCCTCTCACACTGCACAGCTAGATGAGTAAAAACAAAGCCACAGGGCCCAATGTTAGCAAGTCCTAGATGGCACATTGACAATGGTTTATAAGAAATGTATCACACTCTCACAATCCTGTTTCATGCCCAGAGATATGCAGCGCTGCAGTCGACAGTACTGGCAGCGGTTTCGGTGGAGCTTGTTGATGGCACACTCTCCGGAGCTTCGGCACGTGTACACTAGGTTCTTTCGAATACTGCGTTTGAAGAAGCCTTTACAACCCTCACAGCTGACCGCTCCGTAGTGACGCCCTGAGAGAGAAAACAGGATCCGATTAGAGAATGCCTGCTCATATCTGTTACCTAAAGAGCATGGTGTTAAAAGTAGATTCAACTTAATAGATACCTGAGGCCTTGTCCCCACAGACAACGCAGTACTCCACAACCGGCTTCACAATGGACTGGTCCGAACCGTCAGTCACAAACTGACAAACAACCCGGAACAACAGAATAATTTAATACAGCAAAAAAAAAATGGAGTAAGTTAAACATGTTTGTGTTTCAGTCATAAGACCTTCAGTTATTTGTTTATCCCAACCGACTGAAAGAGGCCACCAATATCCTCCGGTAATACCTGAATCTGCTGCCCAGCCAGGTCATGTGATGTAAACAACAGCTGGTTAACCCCACAGCCGTCTGGACTGGAAAGGATGACCTTGTTGGGGGAGCCTTCTTGCTTTGCTAGGATTACCTTCCCACCAGGGGAATAGTCAGCATTTGCTAGGATGTACTGCTGCTTTCCTGGGGAAGATGGTTCGAGTGCTGTGACAATCTGGATCTTTTGGCCCGTCTGCGGATCAGTTACAATCTAGTAGAAATTTAAAAAACAAAAGTAAAACATGAGTGAGCGCTGACTGTGTGCAGAAAGAGTGCAGGAGAAGTTTGGCTAACGCTATAACAGAGGAATACAATACATCACATTACCTGGATTCTGTGTCCTAATGCCATGTTGCTGTCAGCTGACACAAGTTGAATCCTTTGAGTCTGTCCATCCATTCTGATAACACGTGCTCCTTCTTGTACTGGTCTTCACATCAGTGCCCCATGAGGCATGCACGCCTGTAAGAAGATGTGTTTCACTTTGTCTTGTAATAAAGCAAGAGTTTTCTCTAATGACCTTACTGCCACCCACCCACCGTGTCTAATACTCCCCAGTTGCCAGAGTTGTAGACAATTCCTGTGCTATTATTAGGTATTTACAGAAGCAGGTCAGGTGTGTAGGATCATCACCAATAAAACGGCAGACCCCCATGTTCAAGCTAGAAACTACACACCCAGTGCAACAGAGGATATTTTCCACACTGAATTCGATCACTAACAGTTTGTTTTGGTCCATCGTGGAAGCTTGTTGACAGCATGATCCCATAACACTACTTCTTTAACTTTCGCCACATCTGTAAATAGTATGTTTTGAATACTAATGTGTGTCGAACCAACCGGACCTCGTGTTTAAATAATTTTCACAGCTCAGCGCTGTTATTAAGGTTACACCAAGGAACCTTAGAAGCGACGCTACTCTTATCCATCCGGTTTACTAACATAGTATAACGTCGCCTTTCCCGTTAGCTTAAAGGTATTTCTGACCAACATACGATGGATTTCAAAACATTTAGGGCCCATAGTTAACTAACTCAACATAAACCTGGAATACTGTGTGTTAACAGGGAATATAGAACATTTGATTTATTATATTGCGTGTTACTAACCTAACGTTAAATATGTTAGTGTGTGGCCTATGCTAACATTAGCAGGCGCTAGCTCAAAACTGTACTCCACCGTATAAAATACAGCCAAATACCACCGTGGGGTTTTAACGAATGAGCGGTAAAGCTGCAGCAGTAACACAAACAAGCGCTTGGCATTCGGCGATTTAAAATCGATACGGAAGATAAAGGTATTTCTTTTCCTGTGGGTGAAAGGTCAACATTGAAGGGTTAAAGCACGCAAGGGTTCAGGGCCCATGGTGCCGAATAGCAGAAGTCAGACGGCGGAACTTCGGTTTTGACAACTGGGCTAATTTTCCCTTTATTCCTGCACCGGATTTCTATTTCTATCGATGATTCAACCAACCAAATACTAAATAATATAACGACGTGCCGTTCTCACGATCGCACTTAATTGTATGTATTGTGGCTGTGGAGTTGGATGAGCCTATTTAGCAAAGCTAGCAATGCAGCTAACTCCAGCTAACGGCAACACGGTTAGCCGGCTGGCTAACTAGCATGTCTTTTAATAATATTAGCATTGTCGAATAGCTACAAGTCAACATACAACGTCGATTGTATGTACAGTGCCCGCGATGCAGTCGCGCACGGGTACCAATAAGATTGCGTACTTGCCTGATTTTAAAATTGTAAACGCTGAGCTCCGGACGACAGCGCTAACAAGCTATGCTAGCTGTTTGCTAACTGGTAACGGAGGCTTCCCTGCTGTAGACCTAACGTTACTGAACACTCCCTCTCTTCCTGTGTTACCGGCGACTCGCGTCTCGTTCTTGAACCCCTCATACGTCCACGTTAGTAAACAGATCTTACCCGTCAAGAGGCCGTTGGGCAAAATAGTGTGTAGTCCTCAATATATCAATATTGTAATTGTGTTACAGTTGGTGGGAGGGTCAGAGTTCATGACCTTTTTTTTCCATCAATAAACTATTTACGCACATGCGCAGTTCGGTGGCCGTGGCTCAGTCTGTCAGTGTGGATGTCTGAGGTCCATCTGTCGAAAAGAAATGCATTGGCTTCGGATTGGATCACATGAATAATGGCATATCTATCACAAAGAGTGTAATTTTATTTAAAAAGACAAGTTGCTTAGCAATTAAAACTTACTCGGACCAATTCACAACACTTATGTGTCATGCATTTGTCTGAAAAGGTCAGGCTTCAGCTCTAAGACAAGTATGGTGAACAATGCACATCTAACTACTGCTCTCTTTTGACTGCTCAAGAATCCGCTGTTATATAATTCCTGGCATTTCTGCAATAGAAATCATTCATACACTGAAAAGTACAGTGAAACATACTCAAAAGTACCTCCCAGGCGTCGTGCAATGAGTATTCATGTCATCTCCGTTGTCCTAAACGATTCCATCATTTAATGTGCTGACACTTTGTTAGTTCCATCCACATTTGAACATGACAAAAAAGAACAGTAAAACAAGAATTTATTACAGTAACGAATTTAAATAATAAAAACCTGATTCATGGAAATATGATCACATTATTTACAGCAGATACGTTTGTAGGGACATAATATATATACAGCCGGTTAAGTTACTTAAGTGCATTTGTCATCATCGTGCATTTAATGTTCAAACAGTGAAAAATTAGACTCAGAGTTAAAGAAAACTTTAACAATGTATGGTGAAGGTTTCTCACAAAAACGTGACAAGTGCACATTGCATATTCTATAACAGGACACACAACGATTTGAAATAAAGTAATCCTTTGAAAACAAGAAGCCTTAAAATGTGATTTGCTTTGACCTAAAATTTACTCAATCTCAAGCAAAATGTAATGTAATGTATTACAAAGCAATTGACTTGAGTAGTATTGTAGAGATGCAAGTAAAATTGAACCAAAAACATCTAAAATTAGGCATTTGACTCCTAAATTGCATAGATTTCTACCCTTTAAACTACTGATACAGGCAAGAAAAAACAATATGTGGAAGATATTCCAGTGCAACTATTATGGCGTCTCCAGATGGGTTTTTTCAGAACTCGGAGAGCAATGAGGCAAAAGAGTATGTTGAACAACTACACAAATCGTCAACCAATGTTAAAGCACTGTGGCCTCTTTGAATGAGTCGATCCATCTGTAATAAAAAAAAATGGTGTTATTTGTATTGTGATTGCAGTCACTATATGCAACAATAAGTACCAACCATCTTTGTACCACACCTCTGTTCCGTTTGGATGTCGTCAGCTTTAAAAATGTAGTGAAGTGTGTTTTTGTGGTAAAGTTTGAACTCCAACTTATGCGATGAATCAACTTTCAACTCGAACCCTAATAGGGGCTGACTCTCTAAGGCGGCAACGTCCTGCAAAAAGACATGATACGAGACGCATTTTATAAGGATATGAACTGAATACCGGTTGGTTAAATAACAACATTGAACAGGGCTCTCGCTGATTACAAAGTACATCTTACCTCACTTGCAGCGTATGTATACAGGACCTTGTCTTTGATAACGAACCACAGCCTCTTCCCCTGCTTCTTACTGCTCTTTGACCTCTGCAGATACCCACTCATAGAGGAGTTATCTGTGCTGGCCGTCACCTGATAAATAAAACATCTGATGAGATATCAGGTCATTATCACCCACAGCGCGTCTAGATCAAAGCAAAACAACAGTGACCTCTTTGAGGGCGGCCGGTATCTTCTTCGGCTTCCTGGGGAAAGCAAATGTAGCTCTGTTTCCAGGGGATAGAGCTGCGGATTCGGCTTGCACACCTGATGCACACAAATGTGGAACGTGCAGTTGTTTATTTCGGTGTTTCGCAAATGGAGTGCCGCTGCCACTAGTGGTGCTTTGGAGTACTGCAAGGGGGCTTTTTTTTCTTAAATAAAAAAAATACTTGAGCAATGTGTGGTTCCTAAAACATACATATGAAAACATCTCAATGGAAAAAATAAAATAATACATTTCATGAACCACATTTTATATTGAACATTTTTTAGTAGATTTAATAGTTAACTACCGCACTGTCAACTGCTGCAACAGACACCATGATTTTGAGTATTCTGTTTGTACAGTGAACAACGTTAGAAGGAAGTAAGACGTACTTTTCTGCAGCTGAAGAATAGGGAAACACTGGTCACACACTCGCCCCAACTGGTTCTTCAGGTATTCAAGACAGCATTTGTTGGCAGAACATGACTGGCACACCACCTGGTGAAGCACACAATCTGTAATCACCATCTTATCCAGCATCTCTCATTTTTGATGAGGAGTTAACTCAAAAACTACATTTCTTTTTGATGTGGGACACTTTTTTCTTACCTTTCCACATGCCCGACAGTGATGTCTCCTCCATGTTAGGGTGAACTCACAGGTGCAGATCATACACATGGTGGCCCGCAGGTCAGGGATCCATATAGGGGCTTTGGATCCCAAAGGAGTACCATCATCCAAATCCTCCAGCTCTACCTGAATATAAAAACATGACAATTTGACTTTGTATTTATTACTATAAGAGAGTACACACTACAAACAGAAGTTGTATGCCGTTCATCTTAAATATATATATTTTTTATACCTCCTCTGAAGGTTTGCCAGATATAAAGCTGATCTTTTTCTTGGTGTAGTCAGTGATCGCCGTGGAGATGGCCTCAAGCCATTCATCTCGCTCTGAGGCCGAACTGCAGAAAGAAAACACAGTGTGATTACACACCTACACACTGTCTCCATACCTGTGAAACTGCACCAAAAAAAACAAAAAAAAAACAGGATGACTGTTATGGAACAACACATGTTCTAAAAAAAATGACCAAAAAATTATATATTTTTTTCCTGATCGTTACCTCGCCGAGAGGATGAAGGAGCGCTCAACGCTCTCAATGTTCAGCTCATTCTGGTAGGCCTCTTGGCTGGGTTTGCTAACCTGCAATTATTTCATTGTGAGCAGTGATTGCGGCACAGAACATATCCTGAGATAATTATCATGAATTAATATGTATATATCCATAAGTGAAAAGATGGCGAGAGTAAAGGAATAACGGGTGATGTTCTCACCTTCATCCCTGCCAGAGACAACATGCTCTTGAGCTTGTACTGGCTTGACTGGACAGGAGTGGTGTACAGCAATGTGTCGTTAAACTAAAGGACACATGACACATGACACACTTAATGTACACTACAGAGGAGCACAAACTCAGATGGAGAATACTGGGAACACAAATATCTACATTTCTGTGGCTTTATTAGGTTCCATAATGCTTTGATACCAGCCCTTACAAAAATGCAGGTCATATCATCAAAGGGGCTCTGATCTAAAACTGCCTCCGGATATTTACAGCAGGATGAAAGCACAGTTGTACTGATAAATACAAGGATGTGTGTATATATGAAAGCCTTCTCTGAAAAACCAAACACCACAGAACACACTTTTTAACTGACATGTGCATTGCAGTATTACCATGAAAACATGGACTGAATTAGCGTAGGAGCGAGATGGGTGTTTTACTGTACCAGGAAGAACATTCGGGGCTGCATGACCTTCCTTGACAGCTTCTTCAGACTGCCCTCTTTCAGGAAGATCTGGAGCATAGAAACGTCACAAAATGTTTATTGTTCTATTTTTCCTTTAATGAGCAGAACGGCTATTTTGAGATTGTTGAGCTTCAAAATGTTGGTTTGATAAAAAGCAAGATATTACCAAGAACAACTATAATACAGAGGGTGTAGCTTTTTGCAGGAAATTCTAGTAATGGCTCATATATCGTTTTGGAGAAAAATGATGCGATGTGTTCTAAACTTTATTCATCTTGTTACATCTTGTAAAAATGTGTGATATGTTCTTACCCGTCCAGGTTGGACTATCTCGTGGTGGCCGCTCAGGCTGCACTGCACCTGGATCAGCTTCTGGAAGTTATGCTGAGAGAAACAAAGAGGACATCAGCAACCCATACGGAGCATTTGATCCACGAGCTCCCCAATATGGCTGATCTCTTGGTTCTCACCCCCTGTTTCATGGTGTCGTTGGCATGGTTGGCCACCGCTTTCACGATTTCAAGAGCGGCTGAGCGGAGAGAATTTTTAGAAAAAGGTGTAAGTCACAGATATGACTTTTAATGGTTACATTCCACTGACACCAGTAGTTAACACTAGGGAGATGTTAAAAGACCTTTGGTTTACCTTCTGTATCCTTGTAATCAACTGAGTCTTCGGACAGATTTTTTAGATAATCTGAAACACAATGACATCAGACGGAGATGTTTCAGACTTAACAGTAGAAACTACTTTGTTCACAACTGCCCAGTGTTGTACAGGAAATTCCTGAAACTTAATCTCAAAATAAAAACACCAGATCAAAAGGGTCTGCAGGTGCTTAAATAATACAATTATACAAGAGCAACGTGAGGAACATTCTTCACATTTTGCTCCAGGGGGAGCGACCTGATCCATTAGTGATCTGATCCACTAAGCTCACTCATGTTAAAGCTTGCGTTACGTCACCAAGACTCATTTGGGTGGCGTTTCAAAAATCTTATTATACAGGGATTTGATGGTGTCAAATTCCAGACAATTGTTTGTTTGCTGGACACTAGAGGGCAGCAAGCTGCCAATAATGAGGTGCAGAAGTCCACAACTACGGCAAATATAAAGCTCAACTTTGACCGACATTTATTGTGAATGGACGAGATGAGTGATTACTGTTACGAAAATGTAGATGTACCTGTGAGCAGCAGCCGGTACTGAGGAATCCTCTGAACCGGCTTCAGTAGGTAATGCTTTAGAGCCAAGTTGGCACAGCGTGGACTAGCCTTAAAACCCCAAAAAACAACAACAACAAAAAGAGGAACACATATTACAGATGAGAGAAGTTTCAGGAACAACCTCACATACACATAATAATAATAATGGAACCTCAGTGAAAGAACACACACGCCCCCTCAGACAGAGAAAACAGGTCGGTCAAGTCTAGTTACCTCAAATTCCCGAACCACTGCGCCGAATGCCGGGTTCTTCTTGCTCTGCTCGTCCAGTAGAGCCACATTCTTGTCAAACTCGCGGATGTATGTGGAGTACATCTTCAGATAGGGACCTTTCTTCAGGAAAATGTCAGCTAGCTGTGCATTTTCATCCCTTTACATAAAAATAAAGTAGAAAGACAAACTAAATTCTCTGACACATCTTTTTGGAATGGATCTATAACAAATCTGTATTTCCTGTAATGATAGATGTACACATACAAAGTATTAAATGTACATATCATTTATAGTATATATATTAGACAATATGCAGTCACAATCACAAATACCTCTATAACAACATATTGTAGGTTTTGAACGTTTGATAAATAATAATCAGTAGTGTGGTAGTGAGTTAAAGTCATTTAAGACAAAACATGAAAGGCCAGGACAGTCTGGTATGTTCAGAAAATGAACTCACTTTGTCGTAATATAGCTTTTAAAAAGCAGGAAAGGACAATACTTAATTACCATTTTACAATATCCAAATTTAGTTTGGAACTAGGTCGGCTAGCCCAAAGCACTCGAACCACCTCAGACCAAAAGTACACACATATACGGCTCAGGCGTAGTCACACACGTTTACACACTTATGTAACCCTTCTCCAGGATGCCGGCGTACCATTTGGCTACTCTCTGCTTCAGCTCTCGGAGGAGGTCGTAGTTGAGTTCGTAGAGCTGCGGGAGGTTGTACAGAATCTGGTTGAGAAGACGCTCCTCGATCACAGGTTTGCCACTCTGACGAGATGCTGCGGATACGGTGTCACGGAAGTCCTGTGGATCAGAGGGACAGACGGTTAAAGAGTCCGCTGGTCAAATACAGGAACACAGGGAAAAAAACAGGAGGTGAATCTTAGTATGTTATTAAAGAAGAATGGGGAAAAATAGGTTTGAAAAATGTCTCCTCATATCATGTAAAATGCTCTCAAGGACAACACTACAAACCAGATACGCTTCAGAAACCTTCAGTTTAAAAGATGCCGACTCATGACCTACACAAACACACACACACACGCACACACCTGATTCACATTACGCATTTTTGAACTTCCACTAAATCACAAATCCAAACTAAAAAAGGAGAACAGGACACCCTCAGGGTGCTGTTTCTGCTTCCCTTTCTGATGATGTGGAGCTTTTTGGTGGTTTATGAGGACACATGGCAAATAAAAGGGCATGCAGACCGAGCACCCAGTAGAGAGCTCCTGTGGTTGACATGCGGGATACGACAGCGAAGGAGGAGCCACATGTGGAAAATGATTTGGCAAGGAATTAGAAAATGTTAAAGAGTTAAGTGGACGAAAAACAGGCAGGACGAGAAGCTGTGGTTTTTCACGGGGTTTTCATTTGACCCGTTTCCGCTTCAAACATTTACACACTGAATTTAAATGAATCTTTAAAATGTAAGTTTGTGCAGCAGTTTAATCAAGCTAAAAAAAAAAATCTTTCTTTTAATGGACATTTAGGAAACAGTGACAGAAGCACAGGAGTAGCGTCGCTGAAAATACGCACAACAAATGGCATGTGGTGTTATCATCGATCAGTTTGTGAAAAGTGCCTGGTAGAGATGGAGAATGTACAAAAACAAAGTCACCTCTACATTCTTTTGAACTTGGAATGGCTGATCCGAATTACTGGACTCCACTCCTCTACAGTCTGCAGAGGCCCGAGCACTTCCTGTGCCTCTCTGCAGCGAGGAGTGATGAATGCTTCTGACGCAGTACCTCTACAATCTTGTTTCGAGACCTTTGTCTCTCCAAACATCGGCTCATAATGAAAATAAAGAAACTGAAAAATACCCAAAAGACTGGCGGTAAAGCAGCCCGAAAGCAGCTTTAATTCAGTAACTACGATTGTTTTGTTAATTCTAATAGTAACCAGTGTTTTGTTGCATTACAGCCCTCTAAAGATTTGAGTCGTCTAATCGTCAGTTGTTCACATCGTACGACTCGATCTGGTTCCACTTGAGGCTAGTCTGTGTTTGATTTACATATACAAGTCAAGGCGTGGTTTTCCTTCATTCGGGACTATTGTGGTTGTGTTTAAAGCTGAGATTAAATTGCGTAAAAGATCAATTTTTTTTTTTTTTTTTAAGTCAGTAGAACCTTCCTTTTCCTTTTTTCTTGCGTGAGCGAACCAGTTTTACAACCCAACATCTGGGATTCTGGTGATTTATTTACAGGTCATTTTATGTCATATGCAAAGCGAACGGTTGGTTAAAGTTACACTGATCTGACGATACTAATCTTTTCAAATCCAGAAGAGTCTTGTGTTACCGTCAGATCCCTCTATTATCGTAAAAGCCACGAGAAACCGTGAAGAATGTGAGCTGTGCGGTTGAGACTGAGAGGAGGAGAGGAGCGGTCTTATCCTGCATGGGGTGTGCCCCTGTGGCTAGCATAATGAAAGACATATGGAGAATGTGACTAGCACCACATTAAAACATAGGGCAGAAGTACATATGATTTGATGAAAATGTTGCATTTATTTTAATACGAGGGAATGGCATTGTTTGTTTAATATTAATGTTTGTTTGGCTGCCTTTAATGAACAGCATTTTATACATGGACAAATAATCTTCTCTTATAAATTAAATTATATATTAAAGTTAGCTGGATTTAAATAGCAATGGGGACTTTTGTTATGTTTTCTACTGACTTTAGGTCTTTAAAAATAATTTTATCACAGAATACATGTGAAGCAAATGCGTCGGGGTACTTACAACATGAAGCAGCTTCAGGACGTCGACAAACCTTGAAAAACACAGAATGTGAAAGTTAGAGAAGTTAATATTATGTTGGGATACATTAGAGCTAGATAGGAATAAAAAGTACCTCCAAAAACTCACTTACCTAAAGGTAGTGGCTGATCATCCTTTACTTTTTTTTACAGACTTTAATGTATACGTCTCAACAATACAGCGGAGGTGAAAGAAGTTTCATCTGTGGTACTCGTAGCATTAAGACAACTACCTGTTGATTGGCAGAAACTGCAACTCTGGGCAGGAAAAACAAAACCACCCTCGAGAAAATAAAAAATGAAGTCTCTTACACACTCTCAGAGCTCATAATTTCTGTGGCGATGTGATGAATCTTGCTCTTCTTCGGCGTAATCTGCGTCTAACAAAAAGTGCAAAAACACAAGACTTGAAATGCCACCGTAGTTCACGGCAAAGCTACTCGTATACACACAGTGCATCTTAATAGTGCATCTCATATTTGAAGAAGTATTTGTGAGCATTCACCGGACTCTCTCCTGGCTGCTCGGGGTCTCCTTGACTCGAGGTGGAGCTGCTGTCGTCGTCCTCCTCTGAGGTGTTGACCAAGTTGTCTTCATCCAGGGGAGTCACCTCCTCATCGACAGAGCTTCTGTCAAACAGTGGTGGGACGTTAAGAGAAGAAGAGAATAGAAGGAAGACGCCAGAACACGAACGAACCAAACGACGGACCGAAGCAGCTAGAGGCGTTTATTAGACATCTTGCACCACGTCGCTCACTTGGCATTAGTAACAAACAAAAAAAAGCACAAAAAATAGAGAGGATGCTATATACAGAGGAGGGGGAAAGAGATAAAGTTTGTAAGAAAAAAAAAAACACCCATGTCAGCAGATAATTGACTCGCGAGTGTCAGCCAAGTCAAACAATTACTGAGAGCTACAAAACAAAGAGCACAGAGGAAGTGACCCCATTTAATATCCATCAACGAGCTCACATGCTAGACTTATCTTGTCTGAAGACACGCAAACCATGAATCCTCTTACATTTCGCACAGATAAAGCTTTGAAATGCCAACATTTAAAAAGCTAACAGGGGGGCTGCAGCTAAAAGAAACTACATATCTAAAATACCACAATTCCCTCAGCGACGACTGCATGTGAGACATCCCCCCCTCCCAAAAAAAAAGAGAAACACAGAGAAAGAAAATAGGCCACGGCTGAGCAGCAAACCCAATAAGTCAGAGTTTGCGGGTCCTTCGCACTACGGCACGTTTACAATGGCTAATGCATTGAGCTGCTCAACGTCTTTTTGCCATGTGATCGTTGCACAGTTTGAGGTAAAGAAGGGTGAAACACTAAGCTGTGCAATGCCGAGTGCACAGTTCTACAACCTGTAATCCTATTTTTCCCCGACTGACTTCTGCTCACTGGTTATTCATGACGCAAAACACAAGTTCTCTGCTGAAGCGATAACTGGAAACATCACGACCGAGTTTAAAATGAGCATCAAAGTAATGCAAAGCGAGTAATGCAAAGTAAAACGAACATGGTTTCCCCCCGACTTCAAACACCCTGCCGACCAAATCCATCTTCATAGTCAGTCTTTATTTTGATCTCAACCACACATGTCTAAAGTTTAGTTGGTGCATCTTGAAAGTGCTCAATCACTTGGTTGGTGGTAGTTTACACTAATATAGGTTTACCGGAACAACACACACACACACACACACACACACAAACACACAAACACACAAACACACACAGTCACGGCAGGTAACAACTGTCTCTGTGGCTAGAAAACACTGAATATGTGTCCTCGTAGCCCCAAATAAAAATTAGAAATTAAAGACTAGACTAGAAATGAAAAACTAAATAGTTGCCTCTGATACGAATTTGGGTCACGAAGTGCCTATCTAAAAAAAACAGCTGTCAGTAATTTAAATTCTCCGTCAACCCACACTTCATCAACACCCAACAGGCTGCACACACGTGCCACTTTACTTGTCTAACTCCCCTGACGGGAACCTGGAACCGAGGTCACAATGTGTCACGCTTTTTTGTGTACTTCCCATCATACAAATTATAAGTTCTCTGTAATCGACTAGATAATTTACAAATAAGTGTTTACCTGCACGCAGAAATCACAGATGTGTGAACAAAGAGACATGAAACGAAGGTCCCAATAAAGTACCTGTCATCGTCTGCTGGCGTCTCACGCTGTTGGAGTCCTGTGTTCTTCTCAAAGGACATGTATGGCTCATGCTCCTCATAAATGTTCTCATCATCATACTCCCAGGCTGGTGGCCGAGAAGATGCAACTGTCCCGGCCACATGCACATTCACGTAGTCTGGTATATCTTCATAGTGCGGGATGTCCTCATAGTACTCTTCTCCGTCCACGTTTTGCTCTACTCCAATCAGAGCGCGGGATAATTTAGGCTGAGCCTCGGGATCTTCTGCCGGGTTTTGACACCGGTCTTGGTCCCTGTCCACTTTTTGTTTCTTGTCATCTGCAGTGCAGTCTGAGCTCTTGCCTCCTTTCGCTTTCAGCTTAGGAAGCATCTTCGCAGAGATCGTCAAGTCCAGCAGTTTGCGGAAAGAGTTTTTCTTTGGTCTGTCAGAACGAAGGCGGTCGGCGCCGGAGAAGGAAAAGGCTTTCTGTTTGCCCAGGCTGGAACGAGAAGGATTCAAGACTCCAGGTGTTACGATTTTTCTGCTTGTTTTCTCCCCCGGAGGCAAAGGCAGCTCCCTGGTTACCCTGTCCTGGAAAACAAGGTCCTGTGTAGGAAAGCCTCGACTTCTTTTGTCATCTTCTGGTTCACGCTCTGCTTCCTCCTCAGAAGACTCCTTCCTCTCCATCGGCGCCGTCGGGCCGCCGTTCCTCTGAGGCTTCTTGGGAGCCACCTTGACCCCAGAGTCCTCCGCAGCGACGGCAGGTGGCTGGCTGAGCTCCGGCTGGTCGAGCGAACTACTAGAAGGAGGATTTTGTGTGAAGTCACCAAAGACTAAATCCTCATCGACCATTTGTTCTTTCTGCACCTCCTCGTCGTACTTGTCCACAGACACCTCCATCTCCTTGACGCTGGTGTCCCAACCCAGGTCTTCCTCCTCCACGTCCTTCGGGAGAGTTTGCGGGGCAGAGGCCGTTGCTTTGTCAGGTGCAGACAGTAAAGGTTTCTTCCTGGGCGGAGGGGCTGGCGGGGCGGAGGCTTTTCTCACAGACAGCTTCTTTCCTACACTTCCACTGACGGACTGCGATGAGCTGCCTTTCCCCTCCGATGACACCTTCACCTCTTTGACGTTCATTTCCCTCCCTTCCTGCCTTACAATCTCTCCGCTCTTCTCCTGCACCTTTTCCTGACGGGCCCGAACCACCACCGCCGGGCTTTTCCGCGGTACAGGGACGGGCTTCCTAGAGGCCACTGGGACCGGTCTGGTCGGGGGGGCAGAAGACTTCTGCTCCGAGCCATCTTCCCTCGGTCCACGCCCGGGCGCTCTGTGAGGAATCACGTGACCATTTGTCTCATTGTTCCGCGCTCGGTGGGGGACTGCCGGCTGAACAGTCCTCTCAGTACTGCAGGTGTCGCCGTCGCCGTTGAGAAGTTGATCCAGAGCAAGCGATTTGTTGAGAGGTTTATGATTTGTGAGAGGAGTGTTAGCGGTGCCGTTCATCCCTTTGCATTTAGCATTGTTGGTTTTCTCTTCGCTGGTGTCGACTGTTCCTCGCGACGTGGAGATAAGTATTCGGTTTACTGATGTCTGCCTGATGCACATGCAGTGTTCCTGGCTACACAGACAAATGGGAATAATATAATCCCAGTCCGGTTTTTTGTTCTCTTGCTGTATTCTATTCTGGGAGTTGAGAAGACCGTGGATGCGTGGGGGTTCTGTTCCAGACGATTGGAGCGGGATCTTTGAAGGAAGTGGTTTGGGATCCACAGCAGTGGTGAGTTTGGACAGGCATGGCTTGGGGGCCACTACTGGTTTTACCCTCTTCTGTGTGGCAGGAGACGCAAGCGTGAGGGCGGCTCTCCTCGGAGTTGAGGGAGACGGCCTTGTCCTCTGAGGCAGGGCCAGCTTGGGTTTTGGGGCCAAAGGTGGCTTTTGCATACCTGAGGACAGAAAAACAAAAGATATGCACTTAAGATTTTATCTGAAGTGTTTTCCTCCAAATGAAAGTCTGAAAAAGCATGGAGACACAAAAAAGCATCAGACACAATGAACACCTCATTCTCAAATGTCCAGATGGCAGATTTGATGGATTTTCAGTAGTTTAACGGATGCTGCCCCAATAACAGTTAATTCTTTAACCCCTTGGCTAGCGCTGATCCTGTAGTCGCAGCTTAGTGTTCAACTGCTCTAAAGTACTAAACCACCCCTCTGGGGGGGTTCCGATATCCCATGGCTTATGTTTACCACTCAAAATACACAACAGCATAGTAATCTGGCTAATGGTGCATGTCAACAGACAGAGAAGAGGGGGGGGGGGTGGTGGAGCAGATGGTGGGTGAAGAGTGGGAGCGAAATGGAGGAGGGGGATGCAGGGACTGACAGAGTCATGCAACCTGGTACATCTGGCTCAAATTGTGTCATTAAAACTTTCTGCGGTAGACAAAACAATAACACACTGACCCCGTTAGCAGGGAGGGACGTTTTCACCCTCCTCAGCACATATTCCCTCATTACACAAACACCAAACACATCTACCATCGAAGTCAAGGAAAACTGTCAGGAGTTGGGATTATAGATACAGGGACAGGAGTCACAAAATACTGCTATTACTCTTCTAACAATCGCATGACCTACCTGTGCTACATGTCCAATACACATACACACAGTATCTTGAGCCCTTTCATACATTTGGTCGGCTGTATCAACTTGTACATTTTAAAAACAACACAGAGTAGAGATGCTTGAGCTCGACAGCCTTCGGTATATTCAAAACGCATGCTTTCTCTTGTACTGCTTGTTAAGCAGTTTATCCGGATTGTATACAAGAAAAAAATAACCAAACACGTGAACTTATTTATCCATGGATTTGGTGTTAGTGACTCAAGTGGTTAAGTCACTAACAAACGTGACATCGAGTTTCTAGTCGCTCACCTGAGCTCATCATCGCTCCCCCGACTTCGCTTCTGTTTTTCCTTTTCCTTTTCTCAATGCTCGTCAATCAGTAACTCGTCGTTGGTTTCCGGATCCATCTCAAGCCGTCGATGGCAAAAACGAGTCATTTGTCCAAAAAGAAAAAAAGAAACACAATCACAAACACCGCTTCCGTTGGAGCGACTCACGTCTCGAGTCCGTCCTCCACGCAGCGAGCCGGTGTTGCCCGCGGCGACAGCTGACCAAAAAAAAAGAAAGAAATTCCTCTTTGTAGTGTTTAAACAATCCGCTAGGGGGCCCCGGGGGCCGCGGGCTGCCAGATCGATCCTCCACACGATGGTTCTTGGCCGTGAACTTAAGCGAGAGTGCCGCGGGGACTTTGGAAGACTGTTGTTCACACTTACACAACTCCTCCCACCCGAGTAACATTTCTACACAATTCTACAGTTGCCGTGAAACTTCGCTCGTGGACTTTGCTCCCACGCATCTTTCCGCATACATCATCGTGGCTATTATTACCCCCACTGGTATGATTAATAAAGACTGCAGATATGAGTGGCAGGCAGCTGATGCTTAATATGCTATATTTGATGTACGGTTGAGGAAGTTAAACTAAAACCCCTAAAACAGCGTTAATGGTTGGTGCGTTCATCGTGATGTTATTTTGTCACCAAGGTTCATTGATAAGTCATTTTTGTAGGAAAACGTTTGGGACATGAAAGATACTGAGACATAAGATTATTATTTTTTTAAGAATACAGAGGCCTGTAAATTGTTTGTGTTTTTATTAAATCTGCTCGTCCAATGGACAAAGATGTTTCCCCTTGATATTTACAGAAGGAGGTAAAGCAGACTGAAACATCAAACTCATTCCCCTTAATAGTCCCCGTTGCCTGTTAAAAATAACATTTTGCATTGCTTGTACAGATGAGACCAATATATGACCCCATGCTGCATTATGATTTGATCGGACGTTAACAAATATAATATATTATATGAATGTAATCCTTTCACTGGATACTTAGTGTGCAGCAACAGGAACACATGAATGCTGGAGTCTTATCTTTCTATATTTGATGTTATAAATCAGGAAGTTGAGTGTTTTTTCTGTTGAGGAAGAAGACATGGGTGACTTATCTGCAGCATTGTGTAGGCAGTAGAAATGTGTACACATTATATAAAAATGTAAGTGCACTAATGACACATCAGGAATGTACAAAGTTGCTTCACTGCAAGGAAATGAAATCTAGAAAACTATTTTACACTTTTGAGGGGAATTAAAAATACAATTGAGAGATAATCAAGTATTTTAGAATATTGTATTCTTAATTAATAATGATAACACTCAAAGAGGCCATTCTACCAAATTGGTACTTTTATTTTTGGCTCCTAATACTTTCATAATTTTAATTCAGTCAAAATCTAAATGCTTAGTAAATAAAATTTGTCATGACCTAATTGTATTTTATTGAAGTAATTCACCTTGAATGTACTTTAGTAGGAATGATTACTGACAGCTATTTTAAGTTTAATCAGAATACTTCACAGCCATGATTCAGGTTCTCGCACTACATCAGATTCACACTGGGTATGGTGTATGTAGTAGTACCTGTACTTGTAGTGGGAAGAGAAGCTTAGACCCAATCTGTAGTCTCCCCTGCTTCTGCAGAGCAGCTGTAATCACTGAAAATGTGGCCCATAAACAGCATGTACATCTATCAAAGGAACACAGATCATTTACTTTAGATGAGTTCAAATAAATCAGTCTCACTGATATAACAAAGGACCCTAGGATGTCTGTTTGATTTATGATTTAATAGAGACACTTTCATTTTACAGGAACAATCAGTGGAGCAGCAGTCATGACTTTGGGTGAAAAATGAGTGACCCTTTTGTAATTAAGAAGCCCGCACTGCTTGCTTGCCTACAGTGCTTTTACAATAAATGTCTGTGTTTCTTGTTAAAGGGCAGCACATTACCATTGTCTTCCTTTGCCCCGTCCCTGTCATAATATCACCTCCTCCGCTAAAGGCGAGCTCTGCTGCTGCCCCCCAGTGGGAGCCATGAAAACCTGCACGGAGTTGAGTCTGCAATGTGTTTACTGACCGGGACCAGTCCAGGAGCAGAGTTGTGTCGCTTCTGCAGCAGCAAGTTCTCCCCTCCACAGCTGGGCATCTCACACCCCACCAGGCGAAATGAATCCATCTGTACTTTGCGGTCTGTGCAAAGCTGTGTAAAACCAAGTACACATTAAGGCTACTTGCTGATGATGTCATCTTGATGCTATTTCACCTACAGTGATACAACAAACAAATAATGCACGCACTTGGAATCAGAGGCCTCAATGATGCCTGGCTGAGTATACATACAGTTTCAGGTCATTTTTGGCGCTGTTTGGAATAATCACAGACCTGGCAGAGTGGGGGTGATATTGAAGATAGTAAATATGCGCTTACTTTTATAAACTACAGTAAAACACTTTAATGTAGAACAACAAAGGGCGTTTTACAAGCTGTTTTAGACAAAGGGGGTCAGTCAAGGCCTCCTCAAAGGTATGTTAGTAACAGATCTATTTAGCTTAGGTGGTTCACTTTGCTTTTGCTGTCTAGGGATCACAGCCCGGGGATTTCTCACGCAATAAGGGGTGAACTTTCCTTCAGTCTATTCAAGAATATCATATCATATCATTTTGTTAAAAACGTGTAAATTATGACGAATTCACCCGTAGTTATCTGCACACTAAACCCTGATATGTAACCTGTCTTTGTCCTGCATGTCAGAGGCAGTTGTTGTTTGTTCATCGGTGCGTCATATCTCACATGCCCTGCTTTGTTCACCCTCAATGTGACATTTCCCATATGCACATCTTACAATTGTTGCACATGGCAGCTTCCTTCCAGACTCTTATCCCCCTTGACAACCCTTGTCACTGAGTATATTTCTGGACCGGTGACTACCTCTGGCCTGATCTCTTTATGCAATCTGTCGTCACTGTGTACAGTAGCTATGTCACAGGTAAAAGGTTTAAAGTTTGTAACGTTAAAGTATGTTACAACATAGTCTTATGCTAAAAGAGTGATTATTTTCTGTGTTGAAGATTTAAGATTTCCATTTGCAGCCGTGTCTGAGAAGGGAGGGCGAGTCAACTCGCTCTCACACAGACGCTCGAACAAAGGAACTGTGTGCGTTACCCCCCATCTTAACCTTGGTTCTTATCTCAACTCTGTTTGCAACTTCTGGTACCTGCCACTGAGGATGGCCTTCACATGTGTGTATAAAAAACTCCATCTCCACAGATCACTGTGACACGTGCTGGTGTATTTGGCCTCCTGCTTGCAAGCAATAAATGGACTTTTTGCAACTTTGATCATTCATCAAGACTCTGTTTTTTATTAGATCAACATTACAAGAAATCATTCTCTTCTCCCGAACTAGTTTATTGAAATATTCCACAAGAAGTTGTTCTTCTATAACTGTGACCTCACCTGTATAACAATCTTCTCCCTGAGTTTGCGGGCTCTCTGCCAGCTCCATTCCTTAGTGATGGTCACATACGAATCCACCGGCCTGGTCCCACACTGCTGTATTGGCCGGGCTAGAGGAACATTTTTTACACATCATTCAAACTGTCATCAGCGTTTTGCCGCACCTGATTAAGACCTAAACCTAAAACGATAATATATACATGTTTCCTACTTTTAATCCAAGAAAAATATTACAACGTAACCACGTCCCTTATTAATGCCTGGGTAACATAGTTAAAACGGTTCGATTAAAATCCTGCTAAAAAGGCTGAACTACGCCACCTGCTGTTACAAACTGGTACCGACACGGACCTAAAGGTGAAAAGAAATGTGGGCAATCCTCTATGCGATTAAGGATTTTTTTTTTGTTGATTTTTTTTGCGGCCCACTAGGTGGCGCTGGCAGCCCAAATAAGAGCACTTCCAATAAACGTGTCAAACTCATGTTTTTTGATGTATTAAAAACATGAGTTTGGACATGGATGCAATATATAGGAAATGATAAAGAATTTATATACACAGACCAGAAAATATCAGGAAATTCTTATTCATATGTAGCATTAAAAACATAAGGCCCTACAAAATGTCATATGTGAGCCAACTTCCTTCAAAATCTCATTTGCTGGCCAACTTCCAATCAATTTCAGATGGGATATAAAAGGAAACTATCAATAGTTACATAATAATTCCACTTCAGGCTGATAGTAGACAACCCCGAGGTGTCACTCAGGGATAATCAGTAGAGAAACGTATATATTGCCCTGCAGGGCAGTTTAGTTCGAGCTGCAACGACAGGAAGGTCACTAAAATCAATTGATTTTGAACAAATGATTCTTATGAATATGTTTGGGCTTCAGATAACTGAAAACACGATGTAAGGACTGTAAGGGAGTTCGCTGGACCCTCGCTCATTTTGTTCCAATTTAAATAGACCAAACACTTCTCATTCTAGGAATGAATTTTTTTTGCAGCTCAAAAAGAAAGACCAAAGAAATCGTATCAAAGTATGTTTCTTTTCCCGTAATCATTCAACCATACACTTTTGCTGATGTATTTTTTATTCAGTCAGTCCTGTGAGTGACTTTTAATAGCAAATTAAAAATATAAACTACCATATGTGCAATTTGATGTATGTGTGTCCTTTGATATATCAGTTTGGACACGTGAACGCCAGCGGATACGTTGTGTTTACATTCATGTCCACGACGCTCTAATTATGTCCCCCCCACCACACACACACACACACACACTCGCACATAAGAGCTCCTCTCGGGACGTGTGCCAGCCAGTCAGCCTCCTCTCTCTCTCTCGAGCAGGAACAAGCTCTCCTGTATGATGATGAACAGCTGTTCTTCCTTGGCTTCCTCACAGGTGGCTGTGTGCTCACTACTCTGTGCTCATTAATGACACACAAGCCCCCTCTCCCCCTCGCCCCCTCTCCTCCTCTTTTCTTTTCTAGATCACGGCTGCTAATAAAGAGCTCGCTCCATTGTGTTCGTCAGATCGGAGGTTAGGAACACCATGACACTGAGTCAAAGTACAGACTGCATTTTCCAATGTCTTTTTCACTGATTGGTAATGAGTGGAACAAGACATAACTGGTAATGTGGTGCCAGGTCATGACATAGACTTAATGGTATTTCTCCTTTTTGTTATCAGCATGTCCTCTGTGCTACGATTGAGCAATTTCAAACCCACGCTGAGTCATAGTTCTTTTAGCCCTACGTTTCACAGGAAGAGTGTATGTACTGCTCCATGTAAATATTCTTCTTATTTATATAGACTCTGGTTAGATGCTTAACTGCATTTTGTTGTCTCAGTACCTTTACTCTGTGCAGTGACAATAAAGTTGAATCTAATCCAATCCCAAAGGTTTAGGTCATGACTTGATTGGCCTGTGTAATTAAATTATAGATGAATCAAAAGTGGGTAAGGTAGGTTGTTATGGTCTTCATTTGATTTAGCTCAACAAGTCCAATATATTTTAACGTGTACTACTGTCGTAAAGCTTATTTTAATGTTGTTGATGCTGTGCAGGAAGGCTAACTCGACTCCCCAGGGTTGGTGTTTGGGGGAGGTGTTGCATTTTATTCTACTGTGATCACAGTGTGTCTGCTCCTCCTGGCTCGCCTTCCATTTGTTCAAAAAAAAACATTTGGAAAACAGGCATATTTTCAGTCCAATAGAGTTCCCTGCAGAAAAAGATGAAATACCTATTTTAAGATTTAAGATTATAAGGAGGGCCGACTTAAACATTATTAAAAAAAGAATGAATGAGAAAACAGGCCTCTAGTGTCAAATTACTATCATTCTACAGTGAGGGTCAAATAGTTATTGCAAGACTGTTACACATTCTACGGCCGATTTATTTCCATTTTTTTGTGTCGCTAAGTGTGCCGACTATCTACGCGCCCATCTGAGAACTTGGCCGGTGAAGTGTAAACATCTGGCTCAGTCCAGCAGCCTGCCGCCTGTTGGGAGCGGCGACAGATGGAAAGGGGCCGTATGGCTCAAACACGTCCATCTTTGACCGGACTGCCAGTTGTCTTCCCAAAATAGTCGAGCACTAGTTACGACCTTATATGTGCAGGCCTCCAGGCGTGTGCCTGAGGAGGCATCATGTATCTGGGCCACACAATACGGGCTGCAGGCTCATTGTTGCCGCTCACCAGCAGGGCCGATCGCTTCCACGGGGACGAGGCCCCTCTCTCTCTCTCTCTCTCTCTCTCTCTCTGTCTCTCTCTCTCTGTCTCTCTGTCTGTCTGTTTTGGGAAGGCTCACCATGCAGCTCACCCAGCTCAACCGCGAATGTCTCCTGCAGCTTTTCTCCTTCCTGGACAAGGACAGCCGGAGGAGTCTGTCCCTCACCTGCCAGGAGCTGCGCGAGGTCTTCCTGGACCCCTGCCTGTGGACTCTCCTCCGCTTCAGCTCCCCGTGTCAGTTGACCAGGGACAACTTTGTGCTGGGACCCTCATTGCGTTACTTGACAGTGTCCTGGTACTCCAGCAGGGTTCTGCAGGTGTGCAACATTGAGGACTGGTTGAAGAGCTCGTTTCAGAAGGACATCTGTGGCAAACACGAGAGCCTGGTCAGCGCTTTCCTGAGCCATGTCTGCCGCATGTGAGTGTTGGTGCGTGGGTCCCCCCCTCTCTTGCTCTGTCGCGTGTTGTGTGACGAAATAGGCAAACAGAGGGTCAACAAAACAACGGTAGTACTTTATAGAGCGCCATCAAACCTAAGGCAGTGGCTTTTTGGCTTGTGACACCTTCAACAAAGCAACGTATACTACTAATATCGGCCCACCAGTTAGTTCCACAAAAGAGTTAGTTACTCGTATTCTAAAGACTTTTGGGGTCCCAAGAAGTGACTAATGACGTAATTCACAAATTGTAAGTAAGCAAAACATTTACTGTACTCTTGTGGTCCCTCTTGTGGGGGGTGGCTAGAAGTATAGTTATTAGTAGTACTTGTACTTATTTGTACGTACAAATCCATGTATTTTATACTTTTACTTCAGTAAAGTTTTGCTTTTACTTCTAAGTATTTTCACAGTGTAGTCTCTAAATATTTCCTCTCCTGGAAAAAAGTATAAACCAAAAATATGACTATTCTCTTTAATCCAAATCTACATGTAACATTCTTGGATGTAATTTACTTTTGTGTTAATTTATTTTCTTTTGGTAGAAGGGTTTTGAGGACAATCAGATCATTTCTGGAGGGAACAACAGTTGTTTCACTTCGAGGCCGCACGGCTTACTAAAACCTGCCATGTTTAGCTGAAGGCAGCAGGGAAGAAACCATTGGAAACAGATGGAGTATCTGGAGTCGCTGAGACAGAATAGTGACATCTGTGGGACATAAGACCTATTCTAATAACTGTGGTCAAATATCAAATCATATTTATTCCATGACGTGACAGTTGACTTTGATAGTTCCCTGGAACTATTCTAATGATGTCTCTGGGTAATTCCTTCAAGGCGGCCGGTAATAACCGCCCATGTGAGGGAGTCCGGCCAGGGACAGGAGGGGGGAGGAGGGGGGCGGCTCGTCGTTTCTCTGTATGACCCTGTGAGATTGTGAAAATCGAGACGCACGACACGAGAGCAGTGGGGGCCGTTGAAACCAGAACCACCTACTTTTTCTGGGTGCTGTTTCTCAACGCCCTTAAGGCACACTCATTGCATACTGATAAACCCTCCCAAATGGTCTCAGGGAGTAAAGAGCAAGTGCACGTGACAAAGTGGGAGGGGACGCAGAGAAGCTGTGGGGGGGGGTAAGGAGTAATTTGGCTGCAGATCCTCCCAGTCAGCTGCAGACTGGAGCTTTACGCAGGCAGGTGGAGCCTACAATTGGCTCTTTGTTGCTGTGAGGGGAATGAACATGTGCGTCTGTCTGTGCCTGCCTCTTCCCACACGAGACTCCACGCAAACTCTGACGCCGTGAGCTCACGTCTGTGTGTTTTTTGTTGTTGTTGTTATCGCATAACACGTCTTTGGGCCTGTGGTTTACATTGTGAAGCCCCATTATGTCCAGAAATCCGGTTTTGGGGATTAGGATCTTGAGGTCACAGTTATACAACATGAAATGAACATGCTCAAAATGCCGGTGTGGGTGGCACAAAAAAGCTTTGGCATGGGTAAATAGTTCTGAGTAGTTTCATTCCAAAACGTCATGCACACAATTTGAATTAATCAATGCTTTTTCTTAAAACAAGATTTCAACCTGGGCTTACTTTTCAGTTGTAAATATGACTTCTGCTCACGGTTTCTGCTGACATGTATTTGTAATAAAATACACAACTGAGGGTATAGCGAGATGTTAAAAAAGTTCAGTTTTACATAATTGATACAAACCCTTCTACTGAATGTTGAATGTTTGTCTGCAGAGCCTGTTGGAGTGCACTGGATCATTTGAACAGACTTTTAAACAAGTCGTTCAATTGGTGATTACAGGTTTGTTCTGCATAGATCTGGATAGATAGAAGGAGAGACCGACGAATAGGATTATGTAACAACGATTTCATATTCCAGTAAAGGTTACACAAGAGGCTGCTGAATGTCTAAATGTCGTTGGCTTTTAGCTGTTGTCTTTCCGCGGCGCCACTCCTTCTTTTTTCTTGGCTAAAGTCATTCCCGTGCAGTCACATCCGCCGATAAAGCCCAACATTGGCCCCACGTAGCAGTGAAACGTGGCACGTGGATTGACTGTGCTGCTGGGGCAGCACCCTCAACTCTTGCAGGCAACTGGAATATGGTCAGCTCACATGTGGGGAAGTGGTAAGGTTATGTAAGTCTTTATGTAATCTGCATCAGCCAACGTGAATGACATCCTCGATCCGTTGCGACTAGAGTGTTTGTCTGCGTGCTCTGTGTGTTCCCGGACTGCCAGTATGTTGCAAGCAGTAAAAATTGCATCTCACAGGAGCAATTCACCTTCGTTTTTAAGAGTAGTTCCTATAAAAATGACGCATTAGAAATGGGCCTTTTGTCAAGCTATAATTCATCACCAACATCCTCTCATTGTTCTCCGCAGTCCATTTATTCACCAAAGCTCTTTGCAGGACGGAAACACATGCCCAGTAGGACAGCATGCAGAGCAAAGATAGCTTGGTGAAGGTATTAACCTTCTAGATCGTTAAAAAACGAACACGTGCAGTCTCACAGCGGAGTCGTTGAGATCTCATTCACACATGGCTCAGATTAGACCTCCAATTTGTATGTTCTCCTCTGTTATCTGATTCTATTACAAGAGGGAACGCACACGGCAAACAGCACTACTTCCTCAAGGCTTACCTCAGACTTAACAAACTACTATCATACAATCCCTCCCCACCGTACGATATGTCCTAAGGCGTGATGAGTAGCGATGACTCAGGCGGCTGTACTACATCACGTTTTTACCAACCTGTCACTTATTAATGATGTGATCGACCGCTGTCTTCGCTACAGGTGTCCCAACCTGCTCTGGCTAACCTTGTCTGGCTGCGGACACATTACTGACCAGGACGTGATCTGCGTGCTGCAGAGCTGCAGGAAGCTGCGCTCCCTCCACCTGGAGAACTGTGTGCGCATCACCGACCGCAGCCTGGAGGGTGTGGCGGCTCACGGAGGCCGTCTGGAGGAGGTCAAGGTAGACTTCTGCAGGAACGTCACTCAGGCGGGCCTGCAGGCCGTCAGAGAGAAGAGGCCGGGCATCCAGCTGAGTGCAGAGCGGAGCGCTGATATGATCCCTGACAGCAGGCCCGAGGAGAAGGTGCCACTCAGGAGGAGCCTGCAGAAACTCCTGCAGTTCTCCTGACGGAAACGCTGGAGCACAGTGGAGAGCGTCCCCGTAACTTTGGACTTTTTAAGAGTTTTCAATAATACCGTTGTTTGGATTGGTATCTGTATTTATGGGATTTGATATATTGTTTTTTTTACCTTTTTATACGACACATGTTAAACACAAGACCTCCCCACAAAGACATGCATTTTTTAGGCTGTCGATTCCATGTTGTTCAAATCAGGTTGAATTTCAGACACGCTCACAATGAAGCGGATGACCTGATCAATAATCCTTAATTAATGCACATTGAAAGGGTGCAGTAATATGATTCCGTGCTTCAGGGAATAGTTTGTCACTTTTTATTTCTGAGAGTTGATGAGATGATCAATACCACTATCACGCCGTTTCCCCCTCAGTCTTTCAGTCTTTATGGTTAAGGTAAAGTAGTCGCCGGCTGGTTCCAGGTACATATTGCCTTATACACTAGAGAAGTATCATTCATTTCTTTAAAACCATTTGATTAAAAACACACACACATCTAGATTAGTTATGCAATGCACAGTACAAAAAGAATGTGGCATCACAACGTGGCCTGTTAATGGACTGTTTTACACAAATCTGTGTTTTCTTTTTTAAGCAGTGTTTTGTTTGTGTGTTTTGAACAATTAAATGTGTGAAAGGGTTTTCTACTTGCTTTTCTGAATGTGATTCTAAATTGTCGTAATGAAATAAGATCAGTTGCAGTACGAAGGTCCATATAGTTAATTGTTAAGTAATATAGTTAATTGATAAGTTTTTTTTTTAATTGTATTAATTGTGGCTGCAATTCCAAAACAAACTTATACATATTAACAGGATTCTATGCAGGAACACTTCTGAGGCAACACTGTGTGTTGGTCCATTATTGCAGAATTATAGCTCTGGTGATTGTAATGTGTATTTTTTTTAATACACACACTTTTTCAAAGCATCATCATGCATAATGTTTTTAATTGCAAGCTGTCCGGATTTGTGATATGTCATTAAACAAATTGAACAGACTTTGTATGTCAAGTGTATTCACTGGCCCTCGCACAGGCACTCACAGGCTGAGTGATCGAATTGAGTGGATTCAGCCGCAGGACCAATTTCACAATTCAGTTTGGCTTTTCAGTCATTTAACAAGCGGCGAGAGTACATTCAAGAGTATTCATACATACAGTGAAATTTCACATTTGTATATTGAGTTGACAGGAGACAAAAAACACATTTGAATGAGGGTGGTTCTGTAGACATCTGGCAACCTTTTAATGCAACAGGCAAAAGAAAGAAGACCCTTGTGACTCAGAGGCGATAGTATAGCATGTGCTGTTTTAATATTCAAAGGATTCCCCGAACCGACTTCATAAACATCAATCACAGAGATACAAAGGCTCACTACTTAGAGGCCGGACCACAAACTCAATACGATTTACTATAAAGAAATATATAACAGTTAAGATTTACAAGTGCCGGGTTGGGGGACTACAGAGCAGGACTCATCTCCAGACGTCTAAAAACAAGGCTGTATCAAACATAACTGCTTATTTATTTAAGTTTTTTAAAGATACAATGACAATCTTGAAAGACCGGTTGCCCAACACGCAAGTTCCTAGAAGCACTGTGTTGTTTTTGTGCAAGTTGCCGTGTTCAGTTTGAGGCAGCAGCAGCCTTTCTGTTACCTCATCCATACTAATGCAAGTAATATGACTCCTTATGCTCCCACTTCAGTTCATATGACTTGTGAATGATGTTCATATGACTTGTGAAGGATGTTTCCATCCTTCACTCTCATTACCTTCTACTCTTATAGTTATATACAATATCTATTGGCCTCCGACAACTGTACTCCTCTTGATGGCCATTTAAAAAGTATTTTAAGCCTAGGCTGGCTTGTTGATTTGATTGTTTAACCATCATGTTCCACGCTTGGTATTACATTTTTGTACAAAGTTTGTGGGAGTGCTGGATTAATATAGATCAACTATGGCCACACACACACACGTTTCTGTCTACGGTGGGAACTGCAAAAGCGCTCAAACGTGTTTAAGCAACCCAGCCTGAGGTGAACAGATTGAGTTGGGAGGTAGGAGCCGGCTATGACTTCAAACAAACCACACTTTGCAATTATACCCTTATGAGAACAGTCTGCTAGATGGTTCATGTTTTAAAAGTACTCAAGTGATATGTTATGCCAAAAGGATTCTGGCTGAGGCCAGAGGAAACATTTTATCTTTATGACCTGCTAGACATCAGAGCGAATAAACACAGCCTTGTTTAAGTTGCCTGGGGAGCGTTTGAGTTGCATCACTGTATGAATTAACACGGCAGGTTTTAACCATTTACTTTACTATGACACAACTCTACCTCCGACGGCCCGATTATTTTGCATCAACTTTTTGTTTCGAAAAATAGTAGCACAAGTAGGCTATTGATAAAGTGAAAGTAGCAAAAACAAAAAGATGTCTTTATATGTTGGGATTATTTACACCATGAGTGATTTCATGTTGACAAGCCAGCAAAGAATCCAGTACGTTATCTTAAGGATTCATAGCGTGAGGAGGCCTTTGTGGGACTAAAGCAGCGCATGGCTTTGCTGATAAAGATAGGATGCTGGCTGCTATATAGGGAAGGGGGTTGATTATTGAGCCCTAAAACCTGAAATCAGCAGTTTCCTGCCAGCCTCATAAGGTCAGCCATGGGAGGTAGAAGGGAGAAAGGAAAAGGAAACTAGGGAAAGTTTGAGATTAGAGGTTTTTGGAGTGCTTTCTTTGTGAGTCCGGGACCTCGTGCTTCTGCAGGGCCTGCAGAGGCTCTGCTGATATCAGATGCTGAGTCAGGTGGATAAAGTAACTGGCAACTTTTTATAACCCAAAGCTTTAGCTCGTAAAACTCTGAGTGAAGGAACGGTCTGGCACCTAAAACCCCAGAATGGAGATGAGTAATGCAGTCTAGACGGCGATGGCATGTTCTCTTCTTGAATGAGCATTGTTGCAAATAGATTTACAATTGTCAGTTTCAATTCATTTAGACATTTACATCTTGCGCAGATCAGATTCCTCACGCAAAGTCTCCGGCTGATGTAATCTGTCAAATCTGATTTTGGAGAACCGCCTCCATTTCTAGCTCCAGCTTTGTAACTGCAAAAGGCTTCTTCCAACATCGTCATGGATGTATTTTCTGTATCCCCATAATGACATTGTCATTGATGGACTGCTATTAACTGCATTAACTGATTTATTGTTATTTATTAAGAGGGACTTATTATTTTTTATGAGTATTTTTGATATACTGTAACTCTAACTAATGTATATATATAACTCCACCACATTTAGCTGTTGTCTTTAAAATTGCAATCAGGTATTTGTACCTTGTTTGTCTACTCTTACTTCAGTAAAAGGGCTAAATACTTTCACCAGCCAAATTCCTTTTAAAGAAGTCATTTTTTTATTACATCACCTTGTTTGGATTTGCCCACATGAACATGAATGTAGCTCAGTCTTATCTGGTAAACAGATGCACAAAGTGACAAATAAACAAACTCCAATCAGAGTTTGAAAAATGAGTTTTGTTCTAAATGATATTTTGGTGCAGAGCTTGTTGCATCTTGTACGTGCTGTCTCACACCTGCTCCTGCGACTTCTTTGGGTCATGGCTGCCAATGGAGAGACCATTTTTATAATGTAGCAGAGATCCTTTGAAGCCCTTCTCTTGTAATAGGGCGGCCTAATGTTTTCTCCTTGCTTCCTGCTTCGGTAACTCAAAGGTTTTCTGCTTGGAGCCTCAGTTGTAAATTATTGAGAGAGCTGTAGCCTGTCCTGTATAATCCTGAATTTGGTGAAATCCAAGATGCACACAGATTTTTATTTTATTTTAACATTAATACTGTGAATAAGAAAACGTAAAACTACTTTTGTGTGGAACATCTCTGCACACAGCTATTAAAAGGGTTTACGGTGGTGTGAGATCGCACATGCAGCAGACACGGAGGTAATATAGAGAGGAATGGTGCAGAGCAGCGTCCTCGCAGTGGGATGCAGAAGGTCGGCTCAAGGACACATTAAGTCCAGGGAAGAAACAATGGTCGTATCTGTCACAACAAAAAGAAACCACAGGATCCGCACACAGATGGAGGTTTGACTCGGTCGCCGACAGTCTCTCACCTCCCACTTTCCTACGCTGTGGAACTGCATCGTCATTGTGAGCTTTACTGAATTCCTGTCCTGAAACATTTGCTGGTGAACGAGTGAAATGAGACAAAAGAGTCAATGCAGATGTGTTTTTTACTCCAGATTATTCTGGCCCCAGGTTCGACACCATGATGTCATTTATGGTTCCTTCCTATCATCTGAAAGCATCAGGTAACCTCCGACTAAAAAGAAAGGCCTTTAGTAATCTATTCACCAGCCTAATGACCATCACTAATTCTGCTTTTCGTCTGTGTCTCTCAAATTATTAAGCTGCAGATAAAAAAGCCCCAGGTTAATGGGAATCTGGCCGACTACGTTTCTCATCTTAACATTTTAGATTGAACTTCGATGGTGTTATTGACAGGCACCCGAAGTTCTAGAAATCAGCCTATTTTCTTAAAAATATGTATTTATGCACACGTTCCTTTTTCCCTTGATATTTTTGATGTTATAATTCCAAATTGGATTTCCCTGTGGTCCTTACCTAACTTGTTGTTGCCCGAGGCACATGCGAAATAGGAGGCACACAGAAGTGGGGCTACTGCTCCCCTGTGAGCCGTAGGACGGCTCTATTTGAGGATCGGGTTCTGTTTCCGTCTATCAGAGCATCCACAAAGGCTGCCAAACGCCGGCCACAGAGAATATGAGGCAGTAACAGCAGCGCTAAAGGGGAAGACAGCGAAGACACTGAGGATGCTTCTTGCAGAATCGAACGCAGTGCAGGATGTGAAGGGACACACTGAGCTGATATCGCAGACCGTGTGCTATTCTGGCGTCCCCCGTGTGGCCTGATAATTAGACAGGCAGCACAAAGGCCCTCTGTGTCCGCTGTCGATCACACCCTCTGCAGAGAGGTTGCACACTTGGATCGAGATTCTTATCCGACCGGTCGCCCTCTGCAGGGGATGTGGGAGGACAGCCGGCCCCCTCTGACGTGAGGATGGATAGAGGACAGAGCAGCAGATGACATGTGCAGATAGGAGTGGGAGGCCTGAAGGAAGCACGGCCGTGAGTCACAGCATGGCCACATGAGCGCGCTACTTATAATAACAGCCTTTCAAATGGGAGTTCATAATGCGTTCACGCTTTAGTTGTCAGCACTCAAATTGCGGAGGGAACGAGGAGGGGAAGGATAAGAAACACAGGGAGATGTAATGGGTTTCTAACCTTGGTGTCTACAACAGCATCAGATTAATCTGCCACTCAACTTTAAAGTCAGTAATATTTATTTTATAGGTTAAGGTACTGTGGTGGAAACTGTGGATTAAGCCCTTGTGAGAAATCATGTGTGCTCACTCTCCTCTGGCAAGACTCAATTAACTCTGTTTGCTTTAATAACTTAATTGAATTGAAATTTAGTGGAGTAAAACCTACAATATTTAAGTGTGAACTGTATTTGAAGCAAAAGGTATTGGATGGAAATACTCGCGCATATTGATGCACTAGTACCACTGACCTTGAATAAATTATTTTGCCACTATAATCTTTACAGTATGTGGAGAAAACTGACGCATCTCATAGTGAACCATGGCATATCTGACCGCATTTACATGATTTCCTGCGTGATGTGTGGTTCAGCTGTGACGTTTTAGCTGTCTCTCTGTGACTTATTCTCTGGCGGGTTGGGCGGTGACCTCACATCTCACTCTGTGTCTCGTTACATTCAACTCAACAGCCAGAGCCAAAGGTCAGGTCAGGCGCTGTAAGAATAGCCGGGAGGCCTTGCCAATACCTTCCTGCAGAAGCCCAACACAATGCAAAGAGACTTATTTAGCCACAAATCCAGTTGCAGTCCATTGGATTTCAATATATTTTTACCAGGGAAATGATGAAGAGAGACTAAATTTAAGTCGTATATCTAATGGTAACATTCAAAAGCCTTCTCATGGATAATATTACCTACTGAGTAAATTGAAGACGCTAAGTACAGTAAACACACTCCTAAGTGGCATGCTTATAGTCTGTTTAAGAGACACCACACATTAATTAATAGCATGCCAATGGGTATTTACTCTTTCATCAATGAGAGCTTTGTAGTCTTCAACGGGACAGAACAACTGCTCCCTTTGTGAACTTTAAATTGCAAAAGGCTGACTTGTAGAGAGGCATGCAACAGTGAGATGAGATGATAAGTAGATTGATCTCATTCTCATATATGTTTGTTATGTATGAGGTACAGACAGTCGGATCACTTAGTTATAACCAGTGTTGGGAGTAACGCGTTACAAAGTAACGCATTACTGTAAATCCACTACTTTTGGCGGTAACGAGCATGTAACAAAGTATTTTTTTAAAATAAATTAACGCAGTTACAATTACTGAAATTGAAATGAGTTGGTTACTCGTGTTACTCTCTTTTGTGACGCGAAGCGGAGGGCCGGCAAATAGTAAGTAAATAGCTGCCTGTCAGCACAAAATAGTTGTGGGCACCAAACGTTGTGTGTCACAGAATAGTCGCCGTACGTGCATGTAAACAGCATCGCCTCGCTCATGACGAAAGAGCGCAGGCCCGCGGATGCTGCAGGCGCCGCTCCACGCAAACAACCACGGCTCCACTTTACACGGACTGCAGTGCAGCCGATAAACCGGGCAGAGCTGAATAGATTGATCGCTCGCTATGTTGAAGATGAGATGCATCCTGTCAACTGTCGAGTCAGTTATTTTGTATTAAGTTAAGTATTAAAAAGGACTTTTGGACTACTGCTTGATTTGAAGGCCTGTTGCCCTGTTGATTACAATAAATAGGTCTAAAAAATATGTTTATTGTGTTTGACTGTTCAGTATTATTTATATTCATTACATTTAAAAAGCAGACATAAAAGTAACTTAAAAGTTACTTTCCAGAGTAACTAATTACTTTTGATACACAGTAACTGGTAAGTAATTCAATTACCTTTAAAAGAAGTAACTAGTAACTGTAACCAAATACTCATTTTCAGTAACTTGCCCAACACTGGATATAATACAATAATAATAATATGAAAAAGAGGCTATGACTGTTTCCTCTGCCTGGCTCTGCCTGAATGTAACACAGCTGCATGCCAGCCGCTCTGAAGGTCAAGGGTTAATATATTAAATAATATTTGTTCCATGTACAAAAACGCTCAGCCCGCTGCAAAAAAGTGAAAAATCTGTCATTTTTGACTGAGTGTTACTTGCTGGGAGCATTAACTTCCTTGATTCCCGCTGGTTGCCTACCAACCAGTGCATTCCAAGAAATACCTTCATGCATAACTGGTAGGTATTGTTACCTTTGGAAGAAACCAGGCTAGCTGTCTACATTTGATCCCAGTCCTTATGTTAAGCTAAGCAAACTGACTGCTGCATGTAATAAAGGATATTTATGCATAGGATATTCATTCCATATGCAGCTCAGACCACAGCTCATGTTTTCATAACACAACAGAAGAACACAAAAGCTCTACTAAGACCAATGAAAGGTCACTGTGGGTTAAGTGCACGGTCACTTGCCCTCTCAAGGGTTTTCCGTATCAGGTGCAAGCGAGAAGTTAGGATGCAGAGCATTTGCTATTTCTGGCACAGCTGGTGATTTCTGACTGTGCTTCTTGCAGTCTTCTTTGAGGTGGGGAAGCTCATTACTCCTAAATGAGTTACTGTAAACCTTCACTATGACATAGATCTGTCAACGAGATGATGTCATTTCAGGTTCACTAAGTGGTTGGTCTTAAAAATAGTTGGGAAGCCAATAGAGACGGACTAATGTGAGAAACCATTTCTCGACATACATAATTAGCACGTATACTCACACAGATGAATACAAACCCATTGACCTGCTCAGACCGTTTACACACAAACCCACACACACACATACACACACAGCCATCTGTGACACTGAACATGCTGACCTTATGGAAAAGCAGACCCACAAATTAGCCTAAATCATTTGGTTGAAACCTGTCCCCCCTGAGGATGAGCTGTCCCACCTCCTACCATCACACACAGGTCTGAGAGGTACGTCAAACTGCATACAAATCTAAATGTATATATTGTTGATTACATCGTGTATCCAAGTAACATCCTATGGTTTACTCTAACCTCTCCTTATATTCAGTATTTTTGGGATTGGCACCATACGTTTGTCCATTGTAGAAAATACAAGCTCTGAAAATGTGTTTTTCTACTTTTTTGTGTTGTTATTTACGGGTAAAAAACAACTTCACTGTAGTAGTGCTTTACGGGTAAAGAAAACATATGACTCAAGAGTCTTTGTGCATACAGCAAAGTAAGATTTAGTGCAGGATACATGGTTGTAATGTTAAGTGTCCTTAAGTTCAGGATTCCGCTTAGCTCAACTTCAACCAAGGCTGCGTTAATACAGAACTCCTTGGAAAGTTAATGGGCCATTTGGGAGGCTCCAGCTAAAATTAGAAAACTGAGTTTCATCTTGACTATTAGATTTGTGCCCAAAGTCCACAGAATCCCGTAACCACCCCCCTCCTCCCTCCCCTCTGTCACCACTACTCTTTAGGCTGTTGGCAGATTTATTTGCGCTTGACCTAGTAAATGTCTCTGCAGAGACGGAGGAGTAAACATGCTCCTCTCAAGAAAACCTGGAATTTTCCAGACTTTACACAGACCGGTTGACAGCCCAGGCTGGGGGAAATTGTTTCGCGTACAACATATTGAAAAATCACCAGGTTTATTTACTTAACAGCCTGATATTATACGTCCCAGACCTGGTAGGGTCACCATCCAATGAGGTCACCCTTTTTAGCAAATGAAATGTAAATGACGGATTCAGGGACTGTATATCCTGGACAGAAATCGCATATGGAGTGAAATTAAGTTCAGGATTACTCAGGAAGTAAGTTATTCATGTGTCTTGTTGGTCCTGCCTTCAATGCAAGTGAACATGTGCTAGAAATAGGTTGTAAGCCAAGCTAAACGGAGCAAGGAGGGCAGATCAAATACATCCCATTGGCAATCAATTACCAATGTAGTAAAACCCAATATCTAACATCTAACATCTTCTCAAACATTTAAAACACTTCATTTCTCAGGTCACCGTACTAAAATGGACTCAATATTGGGTCACAGGCTTCAAAATGTAGTCAGAATAAAGATAACAGAAAAACGTCTTCTAATTATATTCTATCATGTTAACAACAATAACAGTGGCTGTTGTTTGAAGAAGCCAGCTCTTCTCTTTCTCCCTTCTTCCTAAAGTCCACACAGTATTGACAAAAAACCTGTAGTGCACTTCAACGCACGTCATATTAATTATCTTGAACTACCGAAAAGGTATTGGAATACGAGCATGACCGGCTGAAACGAGACAGCAATAGAGACGGGGGACCGGAAGGTCAGTCGAGGAAGTAGGAATGGGATTGTAAGACATATGATAACGGGTAGTGAAGGGGCACGAACAGGATCAGTTCTCTATGTAAAATGATAGTAGGTGTTCGTGTGATTACATCTTTGTAGCACGGTCAGAATAGCCTTGCATTTGCAAAGCTACGTGCTACCTCGGGGGGAACAGTCAGCACATAAAGGGCCATCATACTGCTCCTCTTTTAAAGGATGTTGCCGAGAAGAAGCAAGCCGACCTGTGTGGCCCTTGTTGAACTCCCGCACTGCTCTTCTGAATAAGACTTGAGATATGTGAGGTACTTGCAAGGTTGGGATGACATCCGAGTAAGAGGGCTGCAGTTCTAATGCTGGCTTCACCATGTTATGCAAGTCTATGACTGCAGCAGCATAACAGCCCTGACGCACATTGTAAGGGACAGATGACATAACTCTCAACATTGTCAACATGGTGTGCAACAATATAACATACAAGATGAAAATGATTTTGTAAAGGAAATGATTAGATGCTCCTGTGCTTTTTCATGCAGAATTACCTATTGTTAGGTGAAATTACTTTCCCAGATACACATTTTGAATGTAATGTGAAATTCACAAGGCATACAGATTTGACATTATTCGTGGCCTAGTTAGGTAACATAGATAAATAGAAAAGTACAAAAGAAATATCCCTGTGCATTGGAGATTTCCAGTAGTGGGAATATAATCTGTAATTAATTGAAAGCTCTTCAAACCTCAAAAGAACACATCTGGGATGAAGTTTCGGGCTAAAACTCTTCCATGAAAGCACTATAATCATAACCTCCCCCCAAGTGAAGTTGGTGGGCTGCCTACTGAGAAATTATCAGCCCATATTGCATCACTTCTAGATAGCATCTCACACTAAAACGCCCACATAATGATCCCATAAAAGTGCTAGCAGAGGGAGCGTGGGTAGTTCTACATTGGCCATAGATTTGGCAGCTAGCCTATTGTGTGCACTCTCCAGAGAGAACTTCAAGGTACGATGTGGTCAACCTATTGCAAAATGTCCGACCCATGTCTGCATGTAATGACCACTCAATTTTCTGCATGTGTCGAGAACACGTGATCGCACAACAAATCCAACAAGAGCAGAACAGTGAGTGGAGCAGCCACCGCTTATTTCTATCTCACAAACGCCCTTACATAACTCTCACCTTCACATTGAGATAGGATTATACTGCTACCAGCTCAAAATGTGACACCATCTGAAATGATATGAACACATTTACTGATGTGAATCCATCTAAAAAAAAAAGAACGCAAAAAAGTCAACCAACATAAATGGGCTCTGACCCTGAGTTTCATCCGCGTGAAGAAATGATTCAATGTGCAAAAGGTAACGCTCGTGTTGAGCGTTCAGCCCGCTGCATCTTTTGTAGTCCTCCTCATCTGTGCGCTGGAGCACTTATATAACCCAGTTAAAATATACCCCGGTCACATGTTACACTCGGTCCTGCAGATAGATGTCCCACTGTCGCTAGAGCTGCCCTGGCAGCCGTTCAGACCCCCCCACACACACACACACATAAATATCTGACAGTGATTTGCTGGCAGACATTCTTGACTGATTGTGAACTGTGTGTGTGGAAAATAGTCAAGAAAGCTTTCTTGCTGTGAGAAGCGCATGTGACTGAGTGGAGTTGAACCGGGAAGAAGCCACAAAGGGGGGAGGGAGCGAGGGAGGGAGGGTACATGACTGGGAGCCGGAAGTCCAGCCCTTTAAAGTCACAGAAATGCGCCCAGTATCACTTCTCCTCGGACTACATAACCCTCCCTGCTGCATCATGCCCACGCTACGTGCAGCCGCGTTCCTGGTATCCGGGGCGGGGGGGATTTTCTGTTACTGTTGTTTGGAACAGATGTGGAGAACAGCATAAAACAATGGCATTTAGAATGTGCTGATGAAGGTGGGGTCTGAGATCCAGGCCACAAAGTTGCATTTAGCCTATGAGGCCAAGGCCTTTTACATTTTTTTTTTCAAACAAGATGAGAAGCAGCAAGGTCGTACATTTTACCAGGAAATATTATGTAATCTTCTGAGAGCATTGAGTCGCTGGAAAGACAGGATATTCTGTCCCTGTCAATGGTTTCCAGGTAGCGCATGTGTCTTCTGAGGTCTGAAGCAAACTGGCCTCGGCTCGACTTCATGACGTAATTAACTGTCAGTAATGCCGGGGAAAGCCGGTTGATTTGGTGTTCTAATGTGGAGCAGCACTGCAAGGTGTAAAGCCTGCACAAAAAAAGACGCTCGTAGGCCCCGACTCATGCACGGGACACAAGACCGGTCCTCTCGATCTGCAGCGTGCGGGTTAACTGAGGCTATCGGCGAGCGCTCCGCACCCCCCCGTGAACCGTTTCCAACGGACAGCTATTGCGTGAGGCACGTCACGCCGCCTGAATACAAGAAACAACCGATTTTGCAATATTGTACACACGTGTATGAAACCCTCAAGAAGCCAAAAGGCTGCCAACGGCCCCGGCGTCCACGGGGTGAGGTGTGGCACAATGCGAGCCCACGCACGCCTGCTGCGCTTTTCCAAAGGGGCCGGTGAGGGCCGGTGGGGGCAGGTGTTCAGCGTCTGCCCCATAATGAAGTGAGCGTGGGGCTCTGATTTGAATTTATCTCTTTTATGAATGAGAGTGGGAGACATCCGGGCCCCGGGCTCTCTGGGATACATCAGCCAGCCTCTCTGACAAACTGATAATTACAGTGCCAGTTTGTGTTGTGTGACTCATCCCGGATCCTGGGAGGAAAATGAAAGACAAAAAGGTTTGCATTGTGGGGAGAGTGGGGAGGGGGTTGCAAATTGCTTCTGCTATTGTTCTTTATGTGAATGACAAATTGCTGTGAAAGTGAATAGAACTCGAATATTGTAAATATTCATTACTGAAAAATTCAGAACTAAGACAAAGAAAACTCTTGTAGATGTTTCCTGTGCTTTGAAGTGGATGCAATACTTCGCAGTGACATGGGAGCCATAACGACAAAAAAAAGAAGGAGTAATGACAGTTTGCAGGGAATCTGTAGGAACCTCACGGAGCACAACGCCAGGAGAATGTGTTTTGGGGTGCTTACTAGATTGCAGCAGAGTATTCAAATTCGACATGGCACAGCGGGCCAGCAGGGAAGTCCACCGGTTTATGGATACTGTGGTGTGTGTGAGACGGTGCCTAAAGAGCCTATGATTACCTAAAGTGCTGATTGAAGTGCTATTTTAATTACCGTTATTATAAAAAGCATAGAAGACAATTACAAGTAATTTTCGCACCTAGTCGAGAAAACCTGAACATCGTTTTTGGCTCTGCAAACATCTCGCAGTGCTTTTTTCCACATGTGACCTGTTCACTCTGTGTGTGTGTGTGTGTGTGTTGCTTAGATTCCGCTTGTCCTCGTCTATTGAGGAAGACAAAGAGAGGAGGCCGGCTTAGCTTTCAGTGGGAGGGGGGGCGGGGGCTCCCGAACGCACGTGACCGTGTTTGCCGTGGGGGGGCTTCGTGACTCACCGGCTCCAAGCTCCAGGCTCAGGATCTTCGTCTGGCCTCTGACGGAGCATCCTAATCCCACCGTGTGAGGCAGCATCACAGAGGTCCTGTGGGTCACGCCTTCACCGTCACTGTGTCCAACACATAGAACTCCCTCGGCATGTCGATGCCATCTTCAGTGCAGCTAGTTTGGATCATGACTAATGAATAATTGGAGCTAAATTCATCACTTCTTTACACAGAATATAGAGAGCTCTGTTGACTGTTTTTCAATTGTATGAATGAACTAACTAATTAGGCCTACTGTATTTCATCTACCTCAAAGTGAATTACTATACTTTTCAAAATAAAAAGCTATCAGTTTATATATATAAAATAAAATGTATATAAAATGCTAAAATGTCCTCTAAAAATACCTTTCAGACCGCACTGCCAGACGGCCCCGCGTGTTCTGCCAACGTGTCCTTGAGGAAACTCTCACATGAACTATGACATCTGTCCCTCACGCCGCTCCTGACGTGCCAGCAGTCAGGCAGCCTCAGCCGGATGACGTAAACGATGACCAAAGAACTCGCCCCCTCGTTGACTTTTCGCCCGGCCGCTGGCTGAAGTGAAACCGATCCGCGTGTCCACGTGTTTTCCGTCATTTGCATGTCATTGCATATGCACACCGGTCCCCGCCTATCGGCCGGCGGCCGCACCGAGGGAGAAAGCCGATTGCCCGGTTGCGGGGGTCGCTGGAGGAGCGAATAGAGAGGCCGCTCCCCGCTGGCCCCCGCCCCCCCCCCCCCACACTCAGACACGTTGCGCTGGGAGAAGCAACACGGGGATGAGCGCAGGCTGAACCGCGTCGCCAGCCACTCGCACGCCGCACGCCCGTCGCATCAGCTGCTCTCTGCCCCCGACAGCGCCGCAGGATTTACCGCGGAACGGACGGAGGAGTTGGACCAGGCGGTCTCCATCCTTGGGGGGGAAGGTGAGTGCCCTTCCTCCGATCCTCGTCCTGTAATCACACGAATAAACATCACTGGTTGTCCCTGCGCGAGGAGGAAGAGGAGGAGGAGGAGGAGGAGGACACACGGGGTTTATTTTGTTAAACCATCCACGGGAATTTGGCGCAGGCAAATGCAAAGTGTTATTTAATAGGCTACAGATGAAAGTGTGACATCGTTTCATACGATCAAATTGTCTGAAGAGGAAGTCTATTGTGTCTATTACCCAACTGATTTGAAACCTTAAGGCGGACAGATCGGATCATTTACTTAATCTTTTTTGGGATTCTCTTCGGGAACAATCGTGTTTTATGATCCCTGGGAAGGAAATTATATTATCATATAATTCCTTTTCATCGCCGTGTTTCAAAATCAAAGTGTGTACGTGTGAAGTGTGCATCTCCTGTGCCCCACCTAGACAGGTAAATCTATTTAACAAAGACATGTCTTATTTTAAAGTGTATGTTTGAGTTAACAATTTGAATTTCCTTCTGGAACACTGCGTGCCTGTGAGGTGCATTTAAAGTGAATGAAGTGAGGTGTGTGAATGTTATTCACGATACAAATCAAACTAATTCTGTCAAAGGGAAATATTTTAATTTATATGAATATTTTTTAGGTTTTAGTATGTAAAATTTACCATGGCTTAATATCTCCCTGGTTTTGTGATGGTGTGTTGAAGGAACGTCTTATAGGACAGCAAGAACATGTGACTGGTAAGATTCATAAGATGTGTACTGGATATATGTGATATGAAACACACGTTTGATGGTAGACTCCTGGCGTATGAACATGCAGTTACATTTAAATTTGATTAGACATACAGCAGATACATACTTTTAGATTCTTCACTTCATAGATTCTAATTTGATAGTGGACAACTTGAATGTGGATACTGTTTAATTCCTAGTAGCCTATATTTGGAAATGAAATAAACTCAGTGTTCTATTACAGCTCAGCTCTTACACGCGATGTTTGGTAATCTGACCACTGCACAAACTTTTTTCTTTTCTTGCATCGTTTAGTTCTCAAACTGTGGTTTACAGCAATATTATACGCTGCCATCAGAAATATCCAAATAGACGGTTTTTCCAGCTTCTCCCTTTGTCTTTTTAAAGCTCGTAAAATCTCTGCTCCACCCCCCCCCCCCCCCCCTTAAACTTACCCCGGAAAAAAAAAAATCCAAAGGGGGGGCCCCCCGTGGGAAAAACCCAGGAGGAAATTCCTGTGTCTTGTTCAAAATTTCCCGGGGAAAAGAGAACACCGTTCAAAACCCCCAAGATAATCCCCGTGTCGAAAAATGCTGTAAACATCCCACAAGCAACTTCAACCCTCCTGTGAAGAGCATTTTGCCAGAGGTGCTTTTGTTCACCAGGCAGCAAACCGTGCCGGCCTCTCGTTTTGTAAAGGCCTTTTACCCCCACAAACGTCAGTTTTCTGGATGGGAGGGCGGCGGCGGTGGTGGTGGTGGAGTTGGCAGACCTCTGCCCCCAGACTAAAATGGGAAATATACTGAGGCTGGCGATAGTTGACAGTAAATGATGCGCATTTTCTCTCGTCACGACGTGGAGATTTCTAATAGAGAGCTCGGCTTGACCGCCGTGGATGTTTGGTGTTTTGCTTTGAACGGTGGCTAGGCTGTGTTTACTGGCTCAGGTGTTGCGTCTGCCAAACGAACAGGTCATTGTGGTCTCAACAACTGTGCCCCCCCCGCTCTGCTCAGTCTGCGCCTGTATTCATGTCTGCTTGGCTGGAAGTGCATTTAAAAAAAAAATCTAGACACATCAGTGTATAAAACGACGAGCTTCCGTACGGCTTGGATGTGCTACATTTTTTGGCCCCATGTTTCTGATTAATATCTCTCTCTACCTGCTGACTTTTCAGCTGTCCCGTCTCATGCGGTTATAGTAACCGTCTCTTCCCGTCCGCCAGGTCAGTGATGGTCAGTGCTTTCTAGAGCCTGCAGCCGAGGATGTCTGCCACCGATTCCGACAGCTCCATCGACTGGCTGGCGAGTGACAATGAGAGCGAGCAGGAGCCCGACTGTAGAGGAACGCAGAGCCAGACGGAGGCTCCTTCCTCCCCGAGCGGCTCGCCACACCTGGGCCCGTCTGGCGGCGGCGGCCGCCGGAGCGGCGAGGCGAAGGAGGGCGACAGTCACTGCAGCGAGGTCGGGGTATTCACCCCCGGCCGCGGGGGGGCATGGGCCGGCACCACGGGACTGCGTCATGCACAGCAAGCGGAAAAAACGAGCGGCAAAAACTCTCAGCAGGCGCTGAAGAGACCTCGCGGCTCCACAGAGGAGGACTGCAAAGAGCGGCAGCTCATTTCCAACGTGTCGGAGAAAAACCACATTTTTTGGAAGAAGGTGAGCACCACGGACTTGTGTTCTGTTTCCCACCGCAGGTGTGCACAGTGTCGGCAGGAACTGTAGCGTGACCCGTCACTCAGATCAGCACCCCTGCTGGCCGGTGCCTCACGTTTCCAGTGAAGATGATGCTAGAATTATTATCTGGTGGAATGAGTCTGTTGAGGAAGCGTCATCATTCTTGTCAAACAGTAGGAGGAGTTTAGGGTCTATCGAAATCATGTTCAGCAACTTATATATGTCTTTATACTTACAAATGAATGTATTTTTGTGTTTTCAGTGCATGGAGCTGCAATGCTACATTCATCCACTGTCATCTATCTTGAATGGCCTTCGTTCAGGGAGATACAGAGAACGTAAGTTGGTCATTTAATAGATGTTCTGTTTTATGTCATTAGGAAAAAATCTCCGTAGCTTCATATTGTCTTAACACAATCCTTTCATAGTTACTGGATAGAGAACGTGTTTTTTGGGTTGGGGGTTACCAGAGAACATGCTCCAGTGAAGCAGTTGTGGTTTGTTACTCGTCTGATTGGCATTTTTTAAGGGTCTCTGCAAGATAGCTCTGAAAACTGCTTGTTTTGGGATCTTTGTCAAACCTTGTGTGACCCGACACTTCCTGGACACAGAGGCGGGAAGTCTGTTCCCCTACACACACACACACACACACACACACACACACACACACACACACACACACACGTTTCACGCAATCCATCTGCTCCACAGACTCGGACCTGCTGTCGACACAGTTCATGTGGCTCATGGTACAACTTTCCTCTTTTCCAGGACTCAGCAGTTTCCAGGAGAGTGTAGCCATGGACAGGATCCAGAGGATCATGGGTGTCCTGCAGAACCCGTGCATGGGGTACGTGTCCTCAGCATGACCCACGTGCTGTAACACATGAAACAATATCATCTTAATATTCAGAGTATCCCTTTTGTTTTTGTTGCTACAAACGCATTGCGGAACAGTGTGATGTCTGTGCAAGTATTTTGATTTAAGGTCAAAGTCACACTACAATACACTCAAGGCAGCGTTCTAATAGCTAGAAATGCTGCTTGTTGTCGGCGGGTCAAAGTGGTTTACAGCAAGTCTGTAACACACGGCGCACAGCAGGTTGCCCCTTGAGGAGCCACCACCCACACGCATTCAGGACGGATTTACTGCAGAGATGGTATATAGCTGAGCATCTTGTTAAAAATGTATCGGGCTCCACTCTGCGAGCAGCACTCTTGTGTCTGCTTGATTAGCTCTCCACTGGCCAGACGGTGTAATGGAGGATGATATCGCCTCCACGAAAGGAGAATGTCTTAGTCTGTGTAATACAATCATTTTAAGATGTTTTGATTTTTATACAATTGTAATACGTCACAAAATAGCAAATCATGCCTTTTTAAGCATCTATCTTTCTATTCATAAGTACAGTAATGTGGTTGAAATTAATATTACAATGTCTATAATGACTTGATTACCAGTGTAAAGCAAATTTATTTTCTTTAAAACATACATTTTTTGTATTAGGTCTACAACTAATCATTATATTTTCTATTGAACAATATTTCTGGATTTATGAGATTAGTCTAATAAATGTCCAACAGCCGCCTTTGTTCGCCCGACCGTCATTTAATTTACAATGGCAGGAGGGCGACATTAAAGCAGGGCTCGCGGTACCTGTATGGGGAACATTGCATCAAGGTGTAGGTCATATATATACGGATTTAAGATAAAGTGCTGCTGAGTTCGGCGCCGACTAATTGGAGCCCTCACCCACCAGCTGCTGCCCTCACATGGGAGACAAAGAGCGGGTGTGGCATCTCCATCCAGACAGCCGGGACAGAGGCTGGAAGGTGGACCAACCCCTCCCTCCCTGTGCCGGCTCCGTGTTGCCAGCTGGCACCCCCCCCCCACCCCCCCACACAAAAAATAAAAAGGAACAAAAGGACTTTTTTAACAGTCCCTGGCGGGGATAATCCTTCACATGAAATTAAAATGCCCCGAATGGGGGGGGGGGTCCTAATCATATGACCTGGGCTAATCCCTATTCACCATCTGGTTTTGAGGGGTGGTAGTTAATGGGGGCGCCGCGCTCGGGGGCCCACCTCCAACGCAGGCTGCATCCCCACGATTAGTTGGATGTTCACGATGATGCCGTCGGGGACCGAAGCGGCTTCGTTGTCTCACGGCCGGCCCCGACCACGCCAGCACACCTACACACACATAGAGCACAGGCTTTCCCACGTGTTTGTAAGGGTTAACCCACTGTTAACTGGCTGTTCAGTGTGACGGGTAGATCCAACGTTGGCAAGATGATTGGTAGCTTACCGAGACGCAAACATGCCACCTTGAATCGATATGTCTCACTCACTTCCTGCGTCTTTCTTCCTCGATTTCTCTTTTCAGGGAGAGATATATTAATATCATTCTCAAAATGGAGGAGATGCTAAAGACCTGGTTCCCTAATATACAACTCCGAGACCAACTCACCATCACCCAGAGCGAAGAAGCTCTTCCTACCAAGAAACTGAAGGTGAAGTTGTACAGAAGCAGACATTTGTACTACTACTACCAAACTACTACTTGTATTGTGAATGAGGCTTCGCTAATGGTGACAAATTGCGCGAAAGAAAAGGTATCATCTACCGACTCTGCAGTTCTAAGCTCCATAGAGCATTTTAGCTTCTTTCAGCTCATTGTTTGCGTTTTATGGTTCTCAACTTTGGTGTTTTGGTTCACTCCCATTGCTCCCATCAGCGCCGTTTTAGCCACAGCAGTTGCGAGTGAGAATGCTGCGATAAACACAGTGTGCACTTCCTGCCAATCAGGCAAATTCTACCACAGAGGCCCATTCCATATGAATGAACTCTGACCCCTTTAAGGACCATCTTATTGATCAACGGGCATTTCCCCATAATAATAAACCACTAGGTATTTGAAATTAAACCGCTTCCTTCATTCCCAAAAGCTATCTGCAGCGACGGCCCCTGAAGCCACGAGCCCCGTCAGCGATCCTCCAGCAGGCGTCGAAGCCCTGAGAGCCACTGACCCCGCCGCCCCCGGAGCCTACTCCGCCAGCAACCTGAAGTGGCTCCACACGTCACCCATCTGCTCGCACGCAGCGGAGCGGGCCGGCCGCGGGCACCTGCCGTCCCCCAGAGACCTAACGCAGGACAGCGCCGTGTCCTCCAGCACGGACAGCCGCGCTAAGACCGACTCGGCGCCCAGATGCCCTCCGCCGGGCAAAATAAACGCACCCTGCCTAGAGCGGCTCCTCATGTCAACTGAAAGCATCATCGTCCGTAAGGGGACGGGGGGTTTGACGCACAGCAGCTGGTCCTAGTCCTGCGTGGACGGCCGGGTGTCAAGCTGGAAGCGCCGCCCGAGAGAGGGAGCCAGACGCTCAGCCCATTCCAGGCATCAGGACAGGAGCCCTCCACAGGGATGTCACAAATACCACTTCAACGTGGATGGAGCGTCGACGAACATGGACTGTGTGTACGGGAATGCGCCCTCTCTGACATGACAAGTGTCCGCTTTGGTTCCCCCCTGTTGAGTAATCTTTCCTCTTTGTTTGTTTTTTTGTTGCACTCTTGAATTTGTTGTGGGAGAGCGGGGAGGATGGATTTGACACGCAGGAGATCACCACAACTGAACTATTCCCACTGGCTTGTATATGCAATAATACAATTTGAGTAAATGTGAAACCGCCATTATGCCTGAAAGGGAAAGATCTGCGCGAGTAGTTTGTATCGGAAGGGGATTTTTTTTGTTTAGATATCCAGATTCGTCAGTGGTCTACATATTGTGTTGAAAATGTGGGTGAAATGTGATGTTACTCTCTCGCCCCCACCCAACCCTTTGAGTTCATTGGTGTGACTGTTACTCATTTGTATACTTTATTAATAAGTCTTTTGGTACAACTGTTCTACCTCAGTGGGCACCACGTCAGCGTTGGTGAGCAGGAATGTGAACGCTCCACTCAAAGTCTGGACACGTCTTCTGCAGCAAGCCGGATGGCGTCTGACGGGGACGAGTCGTTGCGGAGGAGGATTCTCTCCCCCCCCGTGGAGGATGTGGGGGGGTGCTGTCATGGCCTGACCGGTGCCAGTGTAAAGAATGTCAACTGCAGATTTGTTTTTTCGAGTCTCCCAGTAGAAGGCAAACAGTGCCTGTAATGTCAAGCTGTGCCTGTAAGCCGGTATGATGAAGAGGGAGAACAGTTCAGAGAAGCTGCTCCTCTGTGGGATGTACAAATCGGGAATTCTCACTCTCCTACCATTCCCTGTATCGAATAAATTATTCAGATCTTGCCAACTGCTTTCTGTGGTTGGAGTAGAACAATTATTTTATTTTGCCACAGAACTGGACAGTAGAGAGGGACGTGATATTTCTCTGTGCAAATCTTACAGAACGGTTGTAGATTTTCCCTGAAAAGTGGCCTTTATAGTGTGAAATTTTATACTTTCAAAAATAAATGTGATTTTATTTGTTTGATGCAAAATGGCTACAGATTGTTTTATTCTGAATTGTCTTATTGCAGAATGGTCTAATTTACTTACTTGAAAAATGCAGAAAATGATCAAATGCTTAAAGATTGACAATTAAAGTGTCATTATTCACAATGAATTTGTAAAGATTATATAAGAATTTTTTTTATTCTAATGCGCAACTCAGCTCTGCCACTTTTCAGTTGAGTTCAATAGTCAACAGCACTTTGCTGTAACACAAATCATTATCTTTAAAGGGTTTGGCAGAGGAGGAAAGGCAGACTGTGTCAGCAATCTATGGGATAGCTCATTGTAGGTCTCAACCGAGCTCAATTACGAATCAAAGATCTGATTTATATAATTTAGACCAATTATGGGGTGAGTCACCCGGAGACACTCAAAGAGAGCTCACTTCCTGGAGGAATAATAAGATGTATTGCTTGAGAGGAAGTATGTAATTTCAGTCCTTTGCACGGTCATTTGTACCACTAAAGTGGCAGAAAGTGCGTTTGGGTTTTATTTCCGTCTGCATACGTGCACGTTGTCACAAGCCGAACAGCAGAGAGTTCAAGCTGTGACCTACCTGTACAGCAAGTACAATGACCAATCACTGCTGCTACTGCTGACAATGACTGACCGGAGCTGTACTCAGAGCTTTGCTTATAAGGAATTATAGAATTTCTGCTCACAGAATAACTGTCACCAGATATATAACAGAATAGTGCCACCTATAGGTAAAACCCTGCTATTGCTCTGCAAACAGAATCACCAGTTTCGCTGCGCCTATGCCAGACCCATTTCATTCTCTTCAGTAAGAGGTTCGTACTAATAATATTGTTGTCTGGAAAACAAGCTGTCAGAAAGGATGTTTAAAAAGCGGCAGCTGTATTTGGGGGATTTGTCTTTCTCTTCATTACACATTATTCACGTGGCTCTTTTTTCCAGATTAAAGGGGTCACATTGGGCAGTGATGAGATTGTCAATGGTGAATATTAGATGTTCTGAGAAATTAGAACAACTAGAAAAGGGAATTAATGTACTTTGTTTGGGCATTAAAAGAAAACTGCGATAAGGGACTAAAAGGATAGGTCAACTCCTCAAACGCATACGGCTTTTTGTCAATGGGGCGTACAAGTTCACCTCTACATCCTAATGAGCAACGTCTACTCACACAGACGCTGGGTAAGCAGATCGATGACGACGAACCGCAGGTGGCGCTCGGTCTAAATATGGCCCTCCTTCATTAAGTCTCATTTCCAAGAATAGGGTGCAGGCTGTGCTCTTGAAGGTGTATGAATAATGGAAGCAGCCTCCTAAAGCCTATTTCTAGGGAGCGATCGTCATGCTAAAGTACAGCTTAGTGATCCCACAGATAAAGTGAGGGACCGGCGTTTTGTGAATAATGCCCTCACGTCCGTTTCCAGAATTACATGATTTCCTCTGTCACATCTTCTGACACACAGACCTCACATTCTGGCAGAAAATGAAAACACATACTGAGTCACTGGAGTCGCAAGACTTGTACTTTACATATGTCACTAAGCACAACATTCGCTTTAACATCAGACATATCATTCTGAATATGCAATAACTGCACAATTCAATTTCCAGACAGCTTAAACGTCATTTTGTTGCACATGTGATTGATGTTCTATGATTATAATGATTCATACTTACAAATACAATTTTGTTCATCAAAAATGTAAAAAAGAAAGGCTTATTTTAGAAATGTCTCACTTGATGTTCTTATATGAGTTTAGTTTTTCTTTATTCTCCTCAAGGATATTGGTTTTCTTATCTTGGAAAGCCATAGCTACAAACATTTAACATTATTTTTTTCATTTAATTGTTAATTAGTATACGTGTTTGCTTGGCTCTACTTTTAACATTGATTTCTTTGCCTTGAAATATTTCCTTGTAGCCTTTACATGTGCTGGTGATCTCACACCGGACGTCTTTACTGTGCCCACTAGGTGGCGTAATTGTCAAAGAAACACAAAGTAGCGGCGGAAGGCGTCTCTGGCCGAGGTTTAATTCTTAAAAAGCGAGGATACGGTTCACTTGTCACTTGCAATGTGCTCATCAGTTGATTGTGTGCGCCTTTTAGAGTCAAATGCCCATTGCATGATGTTGTGAGTCCTCGTGGTCTCGTACACTTCAGATATACGTGCAGGTCGTACATTATATTATCACCGATGGGAGTCATCGGATTACGCCTGATATCTCTATCTCTTCCAATAAAGGCCATTGGTTTTGTGTTACACATGTGCAGCATGTACAACACCCGACAGCACTCCTTATTCGTGCGTGTGTACAACCGATCCATCGCATCACCCGCACGCCTGCTGGGATCCCGTGATCCCATCAGCCTGTTTGCTGGTAGACCACAGACTTGATCCCCAACACACCAGCTGTGACTCTGCTACACGGGACGCGTCACACTTACTGTGTGACGTTTGCCCGGAGGCCGCGTCATTTCCCTCTCTGTCAATGGCAAAGCTGCAGAGGACTCGGGTCCCATTTCAGTGAGACACGGATGAAATATTTACAGTCGCCTGCCGGGCACAGAGATTCCGTACAGACGAGGGACACGAGCGTGTTTTGAATGTTTTCTCTCATCCTGATCCGGTGAATCACAGAAACCTTCAAGTGTACAGTTGAATTGCACTGTGTGCTCTAATAAGGACCTCTGAATGAGAATAACTTTAATATAATAATAACATTTACAACATAGGTAATCGGCTTTGGTAAATAATGACTTTAAAAGGCTTTTATCAATATACACTAAGAAGGCGAAATGTAATTATACCATATTTAAGACAGGATCCGCAGCTCAGTCTATTTAAGTACTATTAATGTGTATGATGTTTGCGGTCTGCATGTATTTTTTTTACTCAACATGAAATCACAAGAAGAAAATTCTGACGTACCGGTAGATCAAAGCAGTGAGACATTTGTGCGGTTTTCCTGTTGTTCCTTGAATAGTATTTGCCGAGCAATGCAGTGCTACTCAGCCTGTGAACACAGTTGTTGTCATTTCTACTCCTTACTTATTTAGATGTCTATATTGGACAGTTGGAGCAATTTTTTTTCCGTGTCTTCGTTGTACATTCCATCTTTCAATAAAGTAAATCAAAACGTCCCACAAAATGTTCTCTGCCTTCGCTTGGAGCCTACATTGTTTTTAACAAAGAGCCTTACATCAAAACTGGGATCATGGAGATTGAAAACATTCATCGCCGTGTTCATCCTGCAGGGAGGGTCAAATGAAGCCATTGCTGTTACTGTGCATGGTGGGTCATGTATGATTCAGGGATTCTTAGCTTTACCGACTTCTTTTGCTTTATTTCGATCATTCGTTTATTTATTCTTATTATGGACGTGCATTTCTAAAAGCCCCTTTAATCCCTCTCAGACTGTAACATGCGATTCTATACAGTTTATAAAAACAAGCGTGTAATTGGCCCTCATTGTGTCGCTGACAAAAATGTATTTACTTCAGCCCAACTGGGTCCAAACAACACGTCACTTGTGATGCTGAATAATGAAGCGATCGTCATAGGAAAAAACTGTAGGAATGCACGATGGCAATTAGTGCTCATTGACGTCCAGATAATTAGTTATGTATTTACTGTCGGGGCCACTGGCATTCAGATAACCTTCATAATGTTACTGTGGTTCGACAGGAACATTGGCTCGAGGCGTCACATTGAAAGAAACCTTTTTGAACAGCACATTCATGGTTGTCTTTATTTATTTATATGTCACTTATTTTATTGTGATGGACTCATTTTTATTTGTTTACTCTATAGAAGCACACAAAGAAAACGTCATGATCAGTCATTTAATAAACACATTTCAAATTACAATACATACAAGTAAACAGAAATAAACATACGTGTTTTTAAAACAGTGTATGATCATTTTAAGATATGAGTTACGGTGAAATTAAGACATTTGGCTGTTATTATATTTACACCATTAATACATCAGAATCCAACAATTGTTTTATAAATCCAACTGGTGAATCTCTTGTATGTGTCACTGCCTTTGTGTGTGCAAGATGAAATGTGATTATTGCTACATTGGACATGAGTAATTGAGAAAATATTTTACGATAGCTCACTGTCTTCACTGTATTCTGATTCAGCTTGACTGCTAAAAATAACATAATCTAACGCTGTCAACACTTGGATTTTAACAGCTGAGGGACTTTTAAGACTGCAGTCAAAGGAGGAAGCTACATGCCTACATGCTTGTGGCCCCTCACTTCCTGTCAACAATAAGCTTCTCATGTCAAGTTAGCATGAATCTAGAAATGGCAGAACACAATTGCCAGATGCTCTCTAAAATGCTGCGTGTACCGCAGTCACCCAAGAAGACACTGCGAGATGACTCTTCATGACACATGACAGCTGTAGAGTGTCTGCCGCAGAGTCGCCGTTTGGCAACCACAACGCCGTTGACGCTTTGCTCTCAGGAAGTGCTGCTTCTCTTTCTGCTCCTCGGCCTCCTCTTCAGGACATCTTCTTCTTGGTCACTTTCACAATCCCTCTGCAAATCATACAAAATGTTTGAGCTGAGAAACGACTGAGAGATAGTGAGGCGGCAGGTGATGACAGTTCCAGGACCCCGCGAAAAAAGAGAGAAGGGTTTACTGGCTGCAAAATACCGGCATTAACATGACATATGAAGTCCAATGCAGTACAGTTCAGAGGAAACTGCTTCATTATCATTACAATAATTTGTCTTAAGGCAAGTATTGGGCTTTTTTAGAAAATGCCAAACACAATGCGTATTTGCTTTCTTGCTTGGAGTTTTAATAATAATATTAATAATACATTATTTTTATAAAGTATTCGTCATCAACAGATCTCATACTGCGACAGCAATGGCAAATCAAGCTAGTGAAAACATAGGGGGGAAAAAACCTCTAAAAAGATGCCTTACTGAATAAGTAGGTTTTTAGGCCGGTTTTTAAAGCGTTTTCGTTGAAGTTCATACCACTCATGTTTGTACAGTGTGGTAATTGGCTTTGCTCAACCCAAAAAGAAACAGGAAGAAACAGCTTACCCAGGTTTGTCTGAAAGTAACGAAATCAACCTACCGGCTACCACAAAGCTCACAAATTGGAACCTTATAACTTGGTCATTTAATTTGTATAACAAGTATTACATTTACAAGTTTAAAACCTAAATTTGCATCCTTGTGAAGCGTTTTTGTGCTGCACTCTTTCTTGACCGGGGAAGCCACCTGGCTTTTTCCACTGTCGCTTATATATTTATAAGCTTTATATTTACCATACAGATGTTAAAGATCCTCATGAAACTTTTCAAATCACGCTCAGGTACAAAAACCCCAAACTGGACCATTACACTACAGCTGCCTTTCAAAAGTAATTTCTTACCCCATTCTGCTCAAGTTGTTTGGGCCCCTTCTTCATGATCCGCGTTAAGTGATTGCACAGAGCCACAATTCTGAATGACAGCTGTAAAACACACGAAAGCAATGACGACAAGGCCTGAAAGCAGTCAAGAGCCACATTTTTGTAGGAAGCTGTGCAAGAAACAGTGAAACTTTACCTTCCACCTGCGTCTGGCATACTGTCTCTTGAAGTTGTCCAAGTTGACCACAGACAACCTCTTCACCATGGCCTGTCTGGGATTCAGAGGCTGCAGAGACACAATGAGGGATTAAATAACAGGGGAGGTGTCTTTAATACTGATATAAAATATTCAATAAAATTAAAAAGCATAACACTACAGTTGTTGGCTAATGTCATTTGAGTTACAACAGGAAATGTATTCTAGAGTCTGAGATCACAGTGGAATCAGTTTAGGAGAGAGACAATAAATGCTGAACATTTATTTCAGTGTAAAGTCAACAGTGCAAAAGGTCAGTGTGCACATCAGAGGCTCAAAGTGTGAGCCGGGTACAGGAAAATCCGATGAATCTTAAAACACACAACGCTAAAGTGACATTTTTGAACACTTTTGAAACACTCTTATCATTGATAAACTCATAAAAACATCTCCAAAAAAGAAAGAAAATAGTTAAATCTTTCTAAAAACCATTACCTAAATAAATGTAATCTTTAATAAAAGTGCATATTTGAATCCATAAAAAAAGGATCACAGATCACAGAATAAAAAATGATGACTGCACATGTAACTTTACAAAACCTTTTTGAAAAAAAACCCCAAAACAATAAATAAATACAATCAATAAATTAAAAGGATAATGGAATAAAAAAATAAATCAATAAAACAATTGGGAAATTATGATACATTACATTGAAAAAAATAAAACATGCATAATATTAATTTAAATTATTATTTCTCAAAATGAAAAAGCTATACAATCCTTTCAATTAAACAAGAGCATAATCGTATGTTCATATCACTCGATTTTAGAATAATTCCCCTAGTAATAGTGCTATACAAAATAAATAGTTGGACATTTCCCAAAAGATGCTTATTTGTTCTCTTGCCGAGAGTTTTATGATACTCTCATGGCTGATAAATATGAAACTGCAGCCAGAAGGTCGTCAACATTTAGTTAAAAGTTAGTTAGTCAATATTGGCTGGTAGAAACAGATATCCAAAAGTCTCCTGAGTATTATCGTCATATTTACGGTACAGATGTGAAAGTGGTATCCATCTCATCCTCCCCCTCTTAGCAAGAATACTCTACAGAAATCCCATGCACAATAAGCAAACGTAAAGACTAAACAGTTATAAAATGTGCTTGAGCTGCTGAAACAAAAAACAATGTGTAGAATTAGATCATTTTTATTTTCAAAAACAACGCACATTAGTGCATCTTCCTTTGTTCGTCTCATCCGGACCTGAGTGGCTGTTTGGCCTCAGTGCTCGGTTCCTTCCTGCAGAACGGATGCAGCACTTCCTTCATTGCGTATTGCATATTCCCCCTGCTGTTGTTGGCCTCTTCCATGCTGCAATGAGCCCATCACCTCCTCCAGCCACCGAAGCTCAGTGCTCAGCTCCTGCCTCAGAGCGTCCAGCTGACTCTGCCTGTGGTCGTACTTCCCACTGATGCTCTCCAGACTGGCATCCATGGACTTCAAGTCCTCCTGCAGCAGTCTCCTCGTGGCCTCCACTTTACAAAACTCGTAGCGGACCTGGGACAGATGCTTCCTCGCCGTCTCACTCTCCTCCTTGTACCAGCTCTCTTTGTCATTGTAGATGGTGAGCAGTGCTTCTATGTCGCCTTGCAGAGAGTGGTGGGCTACTGCCACCTCTGACAGGCCCCGCTCCATCAGACTTACATCCTCCAGCACATGGGCGAAACGCTCAAAGTTTGCATACGTGTTGTTATGGGGCACGCTGGAGTGGGACTGAATGGTGTACTCTTGAAGACGCTTCGTCTTCAGCTGCTCCGCTTTCTTCTCAGCCTCAAGGGCAGCGCTTTCCTCTTCCATGTGGTCACAGGACTTCAGACGCAAGGACGGGGAGTGAGGGGGGAGGGGGACACTGGATGAGAGGTCTCATTGTTGTATCTTGAAAACACACAGTGATGAATATCCCAGCAGCCGTGGTAACGTGGGATTAGTGTGTGACCCTACAGCAAAAAGCCACGGCAGGTAAGAGTGCCAAAAGAACAAGGAACGATCATGGTGTGTTATGTCTCCTGCCGCCATGCTTGTGTCCAAAAAGAGCCAAGATTCCACAGCAAAACCCCGTTCATGTGCATCTCAGAGGGGACCTCTCCAACATTACATTGTTAAATCTCCATGCCATTAGAAGCACAATTAACAACACATTGCTTCAGTTTGACCACTTGAACTTTAAGATTCATGGGTAAATGGTGAAAGGTTTAGTGCAGTGATGGAAATAACACACATGTCACCTTTGACATCAATCTATGCTTCACATGTGACAGGAAGTGGGGCTGTCAGTAGTTATTAAGAAAAACACGCTATAATAAACACAGACCAAGCTCATACCTTAATCCAGGGATGGTTGAGGGCCTCTTGAATGGTCATCCGTTTTCTAAAATGACGAGAGAAAGAAAATGCAGCTGAACAAACACACCCGAGCAGCTCAAGATCACGCGGATCAGGGTGAGCAGTCACACTGAAGGATGTGAATCCTTCAGGACTACGTTCCCACCGGCATAACTTTCACTGGAATATTTGGTTTCCTAGGGGTCCACGTTTCAAATCGAGAGATAGCACTACTGTTTTCTTACTTTCACATTGTGTACCTACAAATTAAATGTGCCATTCACCTTGCAAAACATTCTGTAGACTGGCTCTAATGGATTAAGTCTGCACATTATGTGTGCTCTGGATTTTTTGTGGCGTAACATCAAACACCGGGCTTTGCTTTATCACGATTGACCTTTGACCTCCAGCCGTTTCCTTTACCTCGTGTCCTTCACCAGGAGCTGTCTGATGAAACTTTTGGCCAGCTCGCTTGTGTTGCTGAAGAGCTCTTCGTCAAAGTTGTAGTCCATCGCCGAAATGTTTCCCAGGGTTTCCTGCTTGGTGTCACCCAGGAAAGGTGATGCGCCGCTCAGACTAAAACAACATTCCCACACACACTTTGAGTGACCTCGATAACGTCTCTGGGTACATTGAGCTTCTCCGTCATCACGAATCACGCAGACTTACAGTATATATGTGATGACTCCAATACTCCTGTGAAAAGTGAAGCACACGGTTAATCCAAAGCAATGCACTGAAGCCTGATATATGGAAGCAATTAAAAGCTCTCACCACATGTCCGCCTCCAAGCCCAGCGGCTCATAGTTGACTATCTCTGGAGCTGCAAATAGACAGCAAACACATCACAAACAGTGTCAGGCAAAACGCCGCACGTCTTCTTAAAATGTCCTTCATTCCAAAAACGTTTCATAAAAAAACACTTACCAACAAACTCAGGAGTTCCAAAAATGTTTTTGAAATCGGCCCCAGCTTCTAATTTGTGAGCCAGTCCAAAGTCTATGAGTTTAATTCGGGGGAGAGCGACATTCCTGTCCAGCAGCATTATGTTTTCAGGCTAGAGTTGAAAAAACAAAAATTAGGCTTATTTTTAAGCAGATTTTGATCAATATTGGACCATTCATGGACCACACAATAAGTAAAATAAGTTACCTAGTTAAAGTCGCCTTTTGTGTAAGCATAAAAAAAAAAACATTACAGTGTGAATTATTAAAATATAAAAAAAACACCTTGGAAAATGTGCTTTTTTGATTTCCTGCCAAAGGCTTGATGAGAAGATGCTGATTTTGGTTTGTACGCTTGCTATGAAGCCTCTGCTAGCAGCTTGTTGACTGTAGCTCAGCATAAAGACCATAATTATTGCTGCACAGCCAGCCGCTAATCCTCGCGAAAAGCAATCATGTAAAGACAAATTGAGTATGACAAGTAAGTTCCTGTTGTGGTCCTGACCAAAAAACAGCTGGTAAATAGTTTCGCACAAAACTCTTTGCAGAACCGCAACATGCCACTTTTACACTTAATTTGTGCGCATAGCGCAGCAGCTGCGTTGCTCTGGATTCCTACAACCTTAAAGCTCACGTCCACGCTGACCGCCCGAACTCATCACTTCTCCTCAAATGACCGCACACGGCTGTCATTGTTAAGTAAAGGTCACCACCTCCGGCCGTTTCAATCAAGCCCTTCACTGAATGTTCCTTTTCCTAAATTGCCAGATGTAAAGCATTGAGAGCAAAGTGGAGCTGCAGCTGCAGAGAAACAGCAGAGTGACTATCAGCAGCGTGGGCGACACAGCTCTCTGAAGTGAAGAGATAACGTTGCGGTTTCTATAACTGAGCGTCTGGACTGCTGCCGGAGAAAACAGGAAGGATGTGTGATACATTAAACATCTGCTATATATATTTGGTTCAGCGGCAGTGGCGGTAAAGAGTTTCATCTTCCTCACGACACAATTAGTGTTGCACTTGTGATGCGCAGATGGAGCACGTTGTACCTTCAGATCGAAATGCACGATCCTCTTGGAGTGTAGGTACTCGACTCCATCTAGGATCTGTTTCATAAACTGAGTAGCCTCCTCTTCACTGAGAGACTCCTTCTGAGCTAAGAAATCAAACAGCTCTCCTCCGGACACCCTGTAACACACACACACACACACGCATACACACACACTCAGGAATGTATCGTGTTGACTCATATCATCTGGAGCAAGGACTCTCGAACATTATCTAAAGTGAGTTTTTAGATGCGGATGCATTGGTTCTGGATGGGGGGGCGCGGTGGTGTGGAGGTCGGGTCCTGATGGGTTCAAACCCGCCCGGTACCTTTCTGGGTGGAGTTTGCATGTGTGTCTCTGGGTACCCCGGCTTCCTCCCACAGTCCAAAGACATGCAGGATGTGTTCAGTAGTGACTCTAAAATGGCCGGTAGGTGTGTGAGCAGTTTCCTTTACGTCAGGCCTGTGATTGACTGCCATCCAGTTCCCGATGTTGACCCCTGCGACACTCCAAGGATACAGAGATGGATGATTGAGGATGCCTTAGCTATTGGCCTTCTTATTGCTAATTTGCCCTATTTATAAATCAATGGACCTCTCAACCGTTTGACGGTAAAATACTGTAATAATTATTGTCCTTTGACCGGCTGCCCACCGATGAACAAGATGTTCTCTGATATTCATACAGAGAAAACATAGTTGACCGAATGATGCATCACGTGCATCTAACAGTAACTCCTCTGTCCGTTAGTTCAACCGTGCTTCAAGCAGACTGAGCTTTCTTTTAGTCCTAATTGTGCCCTTCATGTTGCCAGTTAGTCACTGGAGCCAAACGTGTCCCTGTGAGGCCTCTTTTGAACACAAACCTTATTGACTCTGTGGAAGCCTTTGCTCCTTGCTGGCACACGTGATCCGGGCAAGTACTCAGTGTGGATGTTTGGATGCTGTGTGGTGCTGTGGTGACATGCGTTGCATTGTTGAATCATAAAGTGACTCACAGTTCAAGTATGAGCACCACATCCGTGCGGTTCTCGTACACGTCGTGTAGCGTAACGATGTTGTTATGCTGGAGCTGCTGCAGGATGTTCACTTCCCTCTCAATCTCATCTCTTTTCACGCCTCGTCTACTGGCCCGACTCTGCCGCTTCTTGATGAACTTGGCTGCATATTCGACGCCAGTGCTCCTTTCTACACATCGTTTGACCATGGCAAACTGCCCACTGCAAACACAAAAGAGGAAAAAAGACACAAGCATTACTTTGTTTCAGTTATGTTATCTTCCTCCTGTGTGCTGGCCATCTTTTTAGAGCTGGAGAACCATTTGGAATGGATTTCTTAACAGTTAGCGACAGGATAGACCTGCAGGTGAAGACGGACGTCGGAGAGGAAGCCATGTGTCAAAAACGTCTGAAATATTCACTTCCTGTTTCCCTGCCAGACACAGAACAATCGGGAAGGCAGTGTGGACAGAGTTGCTGTCCTCCCACTGCAGCAACCTTCCCGCCTGTTCTAGCCATCCTAGAGCAATTATTCTGCTGAAAAAAATCCCAGGAGCCCTAAATATTTTTTAAACAGAGGTGTGGTTTAAAGTCACTCTCTCAGCGGTTTATTGTTTAACGTTTCACTCTGCTCTCGTATTGCATGCTACAGCCTGTGGATATGTGATCATGGCATCTAGTTAGTGAGTTTAAGTCCTCATATATACTAACCTAGAACTGTCTTTTCATCTTAAAGGACTCCACCAGTAAATTGGGTAATCTCTTTTGTAACTCTCCCCCTAACAAGTCATTTCCCGTAATAATCGACCAACTGAAAACACCTTCCAGCACTGTCGCCAAACTAAATATCTGTTTTGAGTCTCCATGGCTTGCCTGCTCAGACCAGCCCTTATGGTCTCCGTTGTCCTGCTGCTGTAGGCGGACCTGCCCACTCAATAGATTCACACAAACAAGCGACTCATTAATAGGCCACAGAAGGTCACGAGGGCTGCCAAAAAGGTTTATGAGCGGGGAAGACTAACTTTATCCCTCACGAGTAAGAAGAGGAACAATAACTAGAGAATGGATCAAATATAAAAGCCGGCGGACACAATCATTTATTGTTTGCAAATTTGCAACAAAGAAAGGTCGTATTTTTAGAACTTGTTGAGGAACACACAGAGAGAGGACACAGGTAATGACTGGCAGGAATATGTTTTGGACATAACTGTCCACAGAGAGATTCCAAGGTGGCCGTGAGAGGCTCTCCAGCCTGCATCTACTATCTTCATAGTGTCTTTAGAGGGCTAAGAATAAACCGGCCCAAACGCACATTCTCCACCTGCTACGTCACTGCTGCTGCTGGGGGAGAAGGAAAGAGCTTAACAAGTTGGGTGTTGCTGTAAAAAGGTTATCCAAAAACGCTTCCCCTGCCACTCGCCTCTCACAAATCAGTTCGCACACACAGAGAAAGCTCCAGCTCATCGTGAAGCGAATACATGGAGTGCATTAGTGTGGGACAGTTTAGACAGTTTGCTCTTACACAGTAAGTTACACAATCCCATCCGGGAGATGCTCCAAAGAAGACTTACACTTCTACTTTCCTCACACAAACCCACCTTCAACAACTATAACACTGGGGGCACAACAGTTTTATAAATGGTGCGATACTGTGCAATCAGGTACAACCACTCCGCAAACACTGACCTCGAATGCATGAATCAATATTTCTCTGACAAAGTCTGAAAAGAATGACTGGAATATAAGCAGCAAGCCTCAGCTGCTGGTCAATCGTAATTTGGAATGAATCAACTCGGGTACTTCATTGAAAGCACAGATGTTGGTCTGAATATGATCCAACAGACAAGGCTGGAGAGAAGAAAAGAGCAAGCCAGGGGTGTTCGTCTTAACAACGGTCTCCAAAGACTCGCACACATGCCACAAAGGAAAAATAAAACCAGGTTGGGTGGGGTGCACCTGCTGAAGCAGAAAGGCAGCACAGAATCTGAAATGGTCTCTCGATCTGTTCTGTTCACAGGACATTTCCATCCCGCGGGACCTCCCTGAAGAGCTGACCCTGTTTGGAGACGCCCGCAGCCGATGAGTGAACGTTAGGAGGAGTGTGACGCGCTGAAGGAATGCCACCATCAAAAACATCAACCCGAGGGGAGGCACTGTTACACGGCGACAGCATCCCCGATGTCCTTGATTCGCCTGTTGGATTAGACTGAATGACCCCCCACTTGTTGTGTGCAGGCCGCCCGTTCTCGCCGGGGCTTTACTTTATTGTTGTCACGAGATGCAGAGTGACAGCGGTGAGAGCGGCGGTGCCGCGAGCGGTATTCCCACAACGGGCCGGGCGTGCCGGCTGTCTTAGCTCTAAGCCGGCCGCTGCGACAGAAAGAACCGTCTCCCTGCAGAGTTTCAGCGTCCAACAGCTGTAGGTCATTATCCACGGCCTGAGGTCGGAGGAATGCTTGGACGAAGTGGCGCCGGCCCAATGTTTAAACAGATTTCCCAACTGAACCTTTTGGGACGGCCAAGACGGCCAGATTCATAATCAGCCGAGCCCCGTCCCTATCGGGCCCTGAAGCTTCTAAAATGTGACTCATCATTGTTTGAAATTCCATTTACTTGCTATCATCATCATCATCATCGTGTAACATCCCCACATTTACAGTATGCACATGTGTTCACTCTAGATTCACACTCGTTTAAACGAGTCCAAAGTCAACAAAGCCGCTGCGGCCTTGTAAGTGTCTGCTGACAGTGACGGGGTGAGTGGATTTCCCTCTGTTGCTGCAATGAATGGATACAATTTCCATCCACTCGACAGCAGGAATGATTGAGCTGAAGAGCTGATTGCCTGTTTTCTTGTCCCACCCTTTGTACGAGCAGGCCCACCGTCCGTGCTATAGATACATCCCGTACAGTAAATCCCTTTGGAGAAATTCTAGCTCTTTGCTACGTTCATCGGCGGCACCTGTCTCCCTCGGGAGCGTCGGCTCTTTCCACTTCAACACATCTAGTCCGTGAAGGCTCCGGCCTCAAGTCTGCACCGTTGCCCTTTGCAGCATCTCCTCCGGGGGCAACAAACGTCACCAAACCAAAAACATTTCTCAAACTCATTTCCTTCTGCAAGAATGTGGCTAGCATTCATAGAAAAATACCACAGTACCAAGGAACATATTGGGAAACACTTTGCACGCCAAGTGTGAAGTGAGCTTTTCAGTGTTACATTCTGTTGGAACCAGATATTTGGACAACACCAAGAGACTGTCCAAGCTCTCAGGGTCAAAGGTGCTTTTCAGGTAAACGTTTATATTAGCACGCCAACATGCACATAATGACAATGCATGATGATGCATAACGGTGGTACTGGGCTGGGGGGGGTCATTTTCAGGCGTTTGGTTGTATATTAAATATCAACATTTTGCATTGGCATCAACCGATGATGGCACCGGCTGAAAAGGGGGACATTATGGACAAATTTCACAGCTGTCCATCTAACAGCGAGGCTGCTAACATGGCTAAACACACCAGAGACACACAACTTCCTGTTCTAACAAATGGAAAACCTGAAGAGGGTCCAAGTGCAGTATATTTCAATTGTACCATTAAGAGAATTTACAAGCCTTTTATTTTTATTCAAGCATGCAAAGACAATGTGCCAAAAGTGTCAATTGCCTTTTCAATCTAGCACCCTTTGAATTTTTTTCCATTCGTGGATAATGTCAACAAAGATCACTTGTTACCTACTTGTTGACAGTTAAAAGTCCACATATTATATTACGATTACCTATATCTGCCCTTGACGTTCGCTTCAACGCCAGCTCGCCGGCGGCCTCGCCGGTGCTGCTGGGGGGCCGCTGGCAGCTGTGGGCTCACGCTGAGACCCTTCCCACTGCATGTCAGCATGTGTCGTCACTCGTATTGTAAGGTGGCTCCGGAGGTGCCTCACATCCCACGCAGAGGGTTGTTCTACTCACGGCAGCGGAAAGAAACATGGGGTACGATTGCGTTGGGCGCCGCTACGTCAGAATGTGGCAGTAGGTGGAGACTATGATGAACTGACTTTCCTGCAGCAGATGGCTCAAATGTTCCACGGAGGGTAGAAAATCTCAAATACTCCTTTAGGCCCCCTCACTAAATCTCCCCGCCCTCTCAGGACGATTGAGTAAGAGCTCCGTCTGTGGAGAGGCTCCATCGAAACAACCTCGCTACACACTTCTCAATGTTCTCAATGTTCAAAACGAATCTCAAACCGCTTTTAACCACGTGAGCTTTCTATTTTCCACGACAGAAGAGCAGCTCACAGCAGTGGTCTTTATCAAGCAACATGTTTCCAGCTCCAACCACAACTCGATAGTCTCAAAAACATATTTCCATGCCTTTCATTTACCCCAGTGCTCTCTCTCTCTCTCTCAACCCTTTCTAAAAGCTTCAGAACAAAGTAATCTTTCAGATTAGATATATTTCAATGTTTATACGCTTTAATTAAAAATATCCACTTAACAAATTACTAAAGCGTAACACTTGCTATGTCTGTTACGATGCTTTAAATAATAAGCAGCTTTAATATTTAGAAATTGTGATGGCTTCAAGACAAAAGAAATATTAGATCATAATACATTTAGAACCAGTGCTTTTACGTCTATGTGTTCTGCAGCTCTTTCCCACAAAGTAAGACAGCTGATCCTTCTTATGACTTATAATTGATCCGTAAAGCATGAGCACATGATTTACAAACTCTTCAAAAATCGGTAGCAACTAATGAAAGGGTGCCAAATCTATAAAATACAATGAGAGTGTCAATGTTGGACTCAAAACTCACATGGGCTTAAAAATACAGTTTGAGCACCAAGTTCAGGTATTGGTTTATTCATTCGGGATGCGTCGCAGTAAAACACCGGAACACACCAGGACATGTGCATATTTTGATTAATAGTGGACCATTAGAGGTCAGACACTTTTATTTCTCACACCCTCTCTATCTGTTAGCAAGTAGTGCACAACCCTTCCGTGCTGAGCTGTAGCTTCCCCAATTTAACACCTGCCAACTTCCTTTCATCAATTTCCCCCAAGGGACCCCGTTTCCTCCAGGAACGAATGATTCTCATTTTAACGCAGAATCTGCTCCTACAAAAGCAACAAATTTAACCGTATTCTCTTCCCTGGTTTGGACCTACATGACAGCCAAACAGAGCACGTTCTCCTGTGCGTTTGGAACTTTTATCTCTCCCTGTAAACTTCAACCTACTTTAAAGCAGTGAACACTCCCCGATTCAAGCTTAAACAGGCCGCTTGTTTGCATACCTGCGTCCGCACGAAGACCACAGTGTGGAAGCTGAGTCACACTCTGAGTCATTTAAAAAATCGGCAATCTACTCACCTTCCTAGTTGTTCTCCAATTTCGTAGAAATCATCGATATGCTGCTGCTTGAATACCGCCATGCCAGGTGTCTTCATTGATGTAGTTTATCTCCTTGATGTGCACCACTAAAGCCCGTCTGTGCAGCTGGTTCCCTTTCTCCACAAGTCAAACCCTGCGGATACAAAGAGGTGGACGTGTGGATTTTTTTGACTGAAGTGATGAAAATGTTTACATGTTCCAGCTTGTAAAGCATTCCATCTCAGAGCTGTGCCAACCTTCTGGTTGAGAAAACCCTGCAAGCTCGCCAGCAAAACAGTTTCCCTTCTAAAGTCTGATTATTAGCTTTCAAATTGAACAAGAACAGTCCAACTGTGCCAAGCTGGGCTGGGATTATAACGAATTAAAAGAAAGGAGCATTTGTGGTAATTAGGACAGGATATGTGAAACCCTCTTGTTGTGAAACCCTTTGTTTTTGCAAAAAGGAAAAGAAAAGAAATGCTTTGTAAATAGCAAAGCATCTTGATAATGCAATGAATTTGAATAAAAACATGAAAACTGATTATTTTTAAGAGCGATCACTTATGAACGTATAAAATGTTAAAATGTTATAACAAAAAAAAACTAATATGACGAACGTCACGTCAAACTTTTCAAGCCTCCGCAAACTGACCGTATGTCGAACTCCTGTATGTCAGACGCAGAGCTGACGACAACCTGGCATCGGTCCCTACAGCCGCTCAGCTCTCCCCATGGCCACACACACAACTGCTCCTCCAGCGGCACCGTCGGGCTTTTTGTGTGTGCAGAAGTCCCTCCCCCCTGATGGCTCTATTATCAAACTGTGTGCACGGGGGAGACGGTCTGTGAACCGAAACTTCTGGTGTTTATTCTGGACAAGCGTTTAAGGAAATGAGGATTGTTACAGCGAGCGGGGGCTTTTTATTTCTCATCAACACCTGCACATGTCTTTGCCAAAGCGTACATTGGCATATACAACATTCTGTAACATGAAAACGTTTCTATAAGTGATACAGATTAACAAGATATCATAGACGTTTACAAAAAAAAAGTGGCCAATGATATTCTGATGTCATCTTGGGAGTTACACGTGTGCAATACATTGCAGGGAAAGGCTAAAGAGAGATAAAAAGAATAGGTGATAACATTAAACATAGCTTACTCCAACAAGAAAATATGAGCAAACCTGCTGCATGAGCCCTCGGACAAAGTGACTCGTCCTCAGACATCTTTCCATCCTGAACTGACTGAAGTCGGGTCTCATGAAAGACCTGCTCTCATGAAAACGAACACATTGGATCTCTTCTTCTAAAAGGTTTTCCCATTCACATTTCAATCATTGCAAAGAACCGGTTTGGCCATTTGTTCACAAGCTGAACGCCAAAGGCCAACAAAGAAAAGGTAGTCCACAGCGAACAGCACAGGAAAATCCGTCCAGAGCAAGTAGGGTCAAGTAATACAAAGATATAGGAAAGAAAAAGTGTAAACAATACATCGACAAAAGAGAAGGGGCTGCGTAAAAAACCCCACCTTCCTCTCTTGCAGATTACCATTCGAATGACAGTTGCTGTATATAAACGTGGTTTCATCACAGTGCTAAGAGTAAATGTCTTCAATAAGTACCTAGATGACGGAAAGATGCTCCCGAAACACTTCCCTTGTCTATTAAAAGCTAGATTTATATTCTGAACAATGTCGACTGACATGCTGAGAGTACGTTTGGGTAACACTTTGAAAGACAAATGTTACACTGCCACACTGAGGACAATTAATGCAAATACATCTGAAATGTAATCCAGCATTGTGCATTTTCTGCGTTTCTTGCAAAGTAGGCTTCAGTCAGGGGAAATCAAATCATTTTAGCATGTAACAAACCCAAAAATAAAGAAATCCAGAATATTACTAAAACAAGCAAAGCCAAATTGATCAAAATACACAGATTGAACTACTTACTATAGCCAAATAATGGATACATTCATATAGTTTGGGATTTCAAAGCCAATTTGAAACCTTCTCCTAACCAAACACAGTAGTCGTTAAACAGTTTTATCGTTAATTTAACGACAGATGAAGGTGCAAAACGGTTCAAGGCTTTCAGACGTGTGTTTGGGAGTAGTAAGTGATGAAATTACCCGAAGAATAAAATAACATATTGAGAGGGATACTCCTTAAAAAGACTCAAATACAGACTGACAACCTGTTTAATATCTCAACAGGAACGTCTCTAGTCATCTGGTCTGACCCGTGATGTATAAAAGAATTACACGTGCTCTGGCATTGGAGGTTGAAGAGCTGTGCATTAGACACGTACACACAAGCATACGACAAATAAAGCATTTAAATGGCAGGAATACTGAGAAAAGGCACATTTGGCTTTCAAAGTTAAGGTTCTGACGCAGTTTCACTCAAAACTGCATAGAGAGTCCATCGGCCGCGCTCTGATATCCGACTAACTCGAACCATTTTATGTGTAAAACGCTTCACAACCGCAACACGTGAGCGCCATCCTTAACGTCAGTTATCCTCCTCATCGTCGCTGACGAAGCTCCGTCTCTCCTGACTCGTCTCTCTCTCCCGGAGGAAGGTCTGTCGGATGGCCTCCAGCTCGGTCAGCTCCAGGCGGACCTTCTCCAGGTGGAAGGAGCGGCGGTTCTGAATTTGTCGCATCGGGAAAGGGTTCATGTCACCAAAGGCGATGTTCATCAGCTTCCTGGAAAAAAGACAGTCGGTGGAATGTTTTTTTATTTTTTATTTGTCATGCTTTGTGTGGATTAAAACATCCTTTTTTTTATTATGTGTATTCCTTGATAATAACCTTTAGGGTCATTTTAACTGATGCATAACTCATAGACCGTAGGAAACCTGCTACTTAGTCCGTTGAGCCAGAAGACACGGAAAGCTGTTCCGAGGTTAATTATCTTGCACCTCAGAAATACCAAAAAACTCATTTCAGTTGTTGTACCTTGAATCCAGGATTGTGCGTGTAAAGTATCGGAGATATTTAAAGATGGCGGTTGAGTCCTCCAGCTTCAAAAACTCTTCCTCTTTGTACTTGAAGAGAGCGAGGGCGAAGCGAAATATGATCTGTAGGGATAAATGGACAAAAAACTAATATTCAGCGTATAACTTTCCACGCGTGACTATATTTCAGTTTAAAGTTGCTTTTATGTCTGACCATGCAACACAGTACAGAGCTTACGGTCTTGTTATCAAACTAACAGCTGGTTGACATTATTCCTACCAAAGATTCCCTTCATACGGTCTATATTAAATCAATAGTTGCACATCAACAATTGATCAGAAGACTAACAGGACCACAGAGTTATGAATTCGCAGTGTATTATCACCCAACTGCGCAGTTACACTCAGCTTCACAACTCTCATGTGTCATTTTTAGCCACAGCTGTCAGCAAAAACGCAACTTGTAAAGGTGAAGAAGAAACACTTTGTATAGCCATGGCCGTTAAGAGTGAAAGAAGAACACAAATGGCGGTTGCATAATGGAACTAAGAAATGAAACTTGTGTACAAAAACAGAAAACTAATCCAACGCACAGAGATCTGCAGAGTAGGGCAAGATGAAAGCCAAACGGATGTGTCCTTATCTCATGTTTAACATTCTTCAGAGCTCTGCCAGCATGCCAAGACCGATCTCTGGTCTCTTTCGCTCACCTTAGGACCTTCGTACAGAAAGGAATCCCAGATCTTGAAGAGGATGTCGCTCACCACACTGTCCACAAACACCACCAGGAACCAGTTGAAAGTGATGAGGGAGAAGTCCACCTTGTACTGCTCAAAGTGGGCGTGAAGCCGGGGGAGCTTCTCGCACATCAGGTCCTTGAACACACGCTGGTCCACCTGCAAATAGAAAAACGAGACACACACACACGTTTACAGCCTTCATCGAACAAAAAATGCACCCAATCCCCAAAGGCAAACTGTGCTACATCCTTTGTAAACGAGTAGACTCTTTTCCTTCTGTCCTCCTCTGTTCGGGCATAACCTTATTCACCTGTGAGCCCAGCAGAGTCTTGGTGTAATAATCTCTCGGCATGAAGACCTCCACAATGGCTATAAGGCTCCAGAAGGCGTCCTCTTGCTCCAGATAGAGCAAGGCAATGGCCGCCAGCCTGAACAAAAGCAATGAAAAGGAACGGTTACTACGGATGGAGGGACAGAAGGACAATAACCAGAACCGTAACACCTGAACCCATCTCGTACCTGTTTAGCCCCTGACAGTAGCCAATATCTGGATTCCTCCAGGAGAACGCCATCAGGACGTTGCGGAGTTTCTGGATGCCGTCTGCACTCGGGGAGGAATAGTGCTTGTTGTTGGGCAAAGTACGCAGCAAATCCAGCTCGATCTGCTTGGAGGCCGGGTTGGGCTTGTCCCTCGCAACGTTCAGCAGGGTCTCATAGTAATCGGGAGCCAAGTTGTTCCGAAACTTCTTGACGTGGAAGGAGACACACCAGCGCCACACCTGGGAGCGGTGCTCGTGGGGCACGCCGTAGCGGAACAGCGCCTTAAGCTCGGGGGAGCGCACCAGGTCTCTGTTCATGGTGCTGGCCAGATAGTTCTCCCACTTCACGCCGATGGACACCTCCTGATCCGTCATGGAGAGGGACTTCAGCTCCAGGGCTCTCACCTTGGCAACCAGCCTCTCCTCTTCCTCCTCCTCCTCGGGCACCGTCTTGAAGCCGAACGTGTCGTACTCACTGATGTCAGGCGAAGGGAGAGACAGAACGTGGAAACGGGATGTCCAACGACACTTTTAGTGGCGCCCCGCGTTGGCTCAAGACAAAAGGCCCACATTTAGTGGCGTCCTCCTCGCATGTTCTTGACAGGAAAAACTAGCTCGGCTAATTAGTGTTTTGCTTCCTACTGATGTTGCTCGTACTTCTCTGCAAGCCCAGACATGTCCTTTTGTGGGTTACTAGTGTAAGTGGAACGTTAGAGAGTCAAGCAATCCCTGACTGATGTAGCAGATTAAGGCAGTGTTTCTGCTGCCATGGATTGGACCTGGATTTCTTATGCGATTTTGGTAAAATGATACTAAGGGGATGGACACTTGATATCCTCTACATTTAGAACTAGCAATACTTTTTATTAATCAGTTAGAAATAATTTAACTTTCAATACAAACAAAATATCCACGCACAGGTCGATAAAGTCTCTTTGGGAGAGAACATACCTGACAGTGTTTGGCTTAAAGATGGGGTGGTCTGGATGGTCGGTGCTTTCTGCCTGCAGCGCGTCCTCCAACAACCGGGAGATGACTTCTCGGGCGGGGCTCTGTTCCGAAGACGAGCATACGGGGTTCTTCAATTCCTGAAGCAGTACCAGATACTTACTCTCCACCTGGCAAAGCTTGGCCTCCAGGGCCGTACACTGCAGCAGAGACGACAGAGAAAGGTTAAGGTTAAAGGGGGCACCAGCTTGGGTAACTAGCCGTGGACTTCAGCTCCTCAGACTTCCCGTTTCTATTAACAGAATAATGCACCATTGACCACGGTACCTTTGCTTCTAAAACCTTTTCTCTACTCTCTGCGTTTCTGCGTAATACTGTCAACTCCAGGATCTCTTTGTTCAGGAACTTGTTCTGGGATTTGTAGCCTTGAAGACTGTCCTGCGAATTAAAGAAACACAGTCAATCAGACTACAAGAAGCAGCTAAAAGAAATCAACATATTTTGTTTAGCTTCACACACCCGCGGCTCTCATAAGCTGAATCATGTTTCCTTCTGTACCTTCAGGATGTCCATCTCCTCCTGATCTTTGACGGGTAAAGGGGAGCCGTCGCTCTGAGTGGCGCTCTGCTCCGAACTCTCCTGCGACAGCTTGATGATGACTTCGTCCTTGGCCTGGATGGTCTCCATCAGCATCCCCAGTTGATCGTTTATGTCGCCCACCTTTATCTTCAGGCCCTTAAGCTCTTGTTGCAGACTCTCCTTCTCCAAGGCGAGCCGCTCCATGTGGCCACACAAGTCCTGGACCTGTCCGTCTCTTTCTTGAAGGAGAGCCTCCAGCTGGCCGTTCTCCTGCTGGGTTCCTGCCAAACCTGGAGTGTGGTCTGAAGCTGCGGAGGAATCTGGAGCCGGACGGGGAACTGGCTGCCGATCGCACTGAGAGGTCCTCAGAGTCTGCTGCAAAAGTCTCACCAACTCCTAATTGAGTAAAGAGGATTTATTTTTCAACACTGGATTATTAAGGATTACGTATTCAGATGTGGTCTTTGTTTGACCTGGTGGAACCATTTCACAAATAATGGTAATAATTTAAAATAAATTATTTTTTTATATCTGCTGGCCATATTTATAGCATCAACATGCAGTGTTTCCTCTACTATTATAACAGCTGAAAAAGTCTGGAAAAATTGTATGTATATATTATTTTTCCTCCCACGCACGGCAGTTCCGCTCCGACAGGTGGCGCAAATATGTCCATGTCCTCATAACAATTCTGTGGATTCTCCCACTGTCACAACCAGCTGCTTTGTTTCATAGCAGAGGTGAGCTGCCTCGGGCTAAAACGGAATACACCAAAAGATGACAAAGGACTTTTTTATCTTTAATTAATCACATTTTCACATTCTACTTTGTGAAATAAAAAGACACCAATGCGAAGCCCTAATTTACAGTGGCTAAACTGGAAGAGGATGCATCGGGAAGCTGCTGCTTCGCCCCGTTTGGCAGAGGACACCGTCATGCTACATCACCCAACACGTAGGACAGACCTCACTAGGCCAAGAAACCGTATCACATGCAAGGACAGAGTATAAAGTCCAGTAACAAAAGATCACAATGGTCATCAATAAGTAAATATTGTCACGAGTCCGAAAAGACTCGGCTCACACGTTTGTCCCTACGTGTTTGCAAGTGGCCACACTGATACAGATGCACTGTGACAATTAAACTTCTAGTGACTATTCGGTTGAACAGTGTGTCCACAGAGAGGTTTGTGGATTAAATTAAGCACAGACGACATTGTTTCCTTCAAGAACAATTGCCTTTGTATTTAAACACCATAAGCAAGTGAGATTATGTGGCGACTTTCCAACATTACAAACAAATCCAGTCCCGGCCCAACACAACCTGGAGATAAATCATTACTGGTAAGAATACAATGTCAGCTTTTGTCCCATTGAGTCGACGATGTCGGCTGTGACTAAATATTTCCAACAACACGTTTGCAGTTACAGCCAGCTGAGTCCGCTGCTAAAGAGCTACCAGGTTCATTCCTGTAGCGGTTTGGGCTGGCAGCTTAAACTCATATATTATACATTTATCTGGCAGCCATTGGGATCAACCGGCTGATCTCAAAGCGCTAAAACAAGAACAGAGAGTATTGGGAAGGAACGACGCGGCTGCAATTGTTATTCAGAGAACTGCTGTTTCCTTGTTTCTCGCTCAAGTATGACTAATCATTTGCCGTCTTCCTGTATCAGAGAGAGCATCCAGATTAAACCAAAGTCACCAACCACAACCTCAGGCCTGTGCTGAATTACAAGATTAAAGTAAAACCAGCATGGTGTTCACCTTAATGTGGATAATGAACACATTAAGTCAATCCTTGACATCTACAGGGACACATGAAAGCCATCGACTCTTATCAGTCACACAGGTAATACCACAATCACTAATAGAAAAGCGACGAGCCAGTTTACAGGCACAAACGTTTTGTACAAAACCTCAATGATTGTAACCACTTCCCCACCCTTTCTGTGGCCAACTCTGCCTCTGAATGTCACGCGCATGACATTCCCTCTTCAAATGCAACTACCTTCTGGCTGGCCAGCTCCCCCCGGAGGTCGGCCTGCTCGCGCTGCATGCGGCAGAGTTCTTCCTGTTGGCTCTGGAGGCGAAGCGCCACGTCCGACGGTCGGCTGCCGTTGCATTCCACCGGGGGGCTCTCGGCGCTGCGCGTCTCGGCGCTGCGGCCGAACCTCCCGGAGGCCATCATGTCGCGCAGCAACGGCTTCTTGGGCCGCGACGCGGTGCGCGCAAAGTCGAAATGGAACGCCGACCCGAAGGAATCTGAGAGACAAAAAGAGATGACGACGCGGTCAAACCGCCGACAGACGCATCGTTTGTCAGTTTTTCACTGTGCAAATAAGTTGAGCACAAAGACAGCGCTCCTCGGGGGAACGTGAAGGCGATTAAGTTTTGAAGCCCGGCCGCAGGAGGGGGGGGGGCAATTATAGGGATGAAGGAGTGGACGTACGCCTGTGTGTGTCCGTGTGATGCTTCTGTTGTTCAGGGAAGTCCTTGGTCGGCGTGTCCACCAGCTCCCACTCCTCGGCGCTGCTGTTGCTGTTGGCGTAAAACATGCTGCGTCTGCTCTCAGCTCCTCTGCCCGGCCGCAGATAAGACATGGAGTTCCTGGCGGGAGAGAAACCAGACGAGAGGGCGAGTGAGGCCGCGGCGCTTCAGTGTTGAAACGCTTTTCAAATCCTCAGGGATCAAGGGCAACGCGCGGCGACGCCCGGGGGCCTTTGCTCCTTCGTAGATGGGGAGATGAGCGCAAACGGCCTTTGTTGAGGTCTTTTACACACGTTGGCTAACAGAGCTGCGGCTAAAGCAAAAGGTAACACACAACAGCTGAGCGCATCTGGGTGACAATTAATGGGAGAGCACGTCTTACAAATAAAGTGTCTATGTAAATTAAAATGAAAGGTTACACAAATGGAAGGCCTTCTTGAAGGCGGGTTGTCGAACCACAACAGACATTTCTATAAGAGAGATCATCGTAACCACATGAGTGTTTGTGAGCACTTGAACGCAGCACAGCACGTATACACTGGACCGCTTTCGTCATTAACCTCGTGTCCATGAGACGGAAAAGACACACTTATTACATGTATTAATCAATAGATTTGTCAACAGCGGCCCCAAAACGGATTCACTCTCGCTTTATGAATACGGAGAGTCGAGGCATTTTTTCAACATCACATTTCTGCTGGGGCCACGAGTTACAACTGTATACCCTCATAGAACTGTATGCGTTTCAAAATGTACGCCGCCGGATCGGCATAAAAAGGCAAAGAGCAAACTGCCGAGGACACATGCTTTAAGGCGCAGGCATCGCGGCAGCTCAAATGCTCCAAGGTTCCTCTGCACCTATTTTTTTCCCCCCATCACAGATTCGAGTCGAATTCCATAAACAGTTCAAATTTTTAGCGTTCCAGTGTTTTGCATCATTGGATGCGTTGGGCGGTTCTAAAGGGGAACTGTTGAGAGCGGCATACTAGTGCAACTAGTAAACTCTGTAACTGTTTCCTCTTCGTCGAGTTGACCTCAAGAACAGCTGCGGAGCGCTCTCCTTTTCCAGAGAACAGCTCCGTCGCGGCGTATTGCTGAGATATTTCTGGGGGGCGGTTTGGGCGAAAACTAAAATGAAATACACTTCCTGTTTTGAATTGTCGGTGCACTGTCATCTAACTCGCACGGTGAAGGCTTTTGTTCAGCCTTACCGGAGTTCTGTGCCGAAGTTTTTGAGGGAGAAGTTGAGGGGGTTGGTGGCAGAAGGCCCCCGGGCTGACTGGATCCCCACCATTCCCCCACCATCGCTCTCCGTCTCCATGGCAAAGTCGCTACGGACCTTCTCCATGCCGTCACTTTGCTTGGGAAAGACGGGTGCATCTGAAATGAAAACATACACAGAAGACAATTCGAACAACTCGGTGATGACGTTGCATTGCTCAGATTAAACGCGGCTGTTTTGCAGGACTGCTGCAGGTATTCTTTTTACTGTTTCTTTGGGAAATTGGATTATCATGAGAGCGTTTGCCAGAGAGAAGTTAGGCAATATCTTAAGTTACCCAGAATGATGTTTACAGAAGAGCGTCTGGCTGTTGTTTCACGAGCCGCCATGCAGCATGTGGTCATGTTGACCAAATTTGGCGTGAAATCGACTTGGAATGTGTGGGAACGTTTTATAAAGAACGGCAAAACGGCTTCAAAGATAGGGAGTCACACCCAACAGGGAAGTCAGTTGTAACCACATAGTTGTCACAACTGACAATGAACAACCTCCATTTGCATAGAGTCAATCTTTGACAAAGAAAAACAAACCCTGTCTTCCTCTCTGCACCTAAACCAAAATCTGTGCCAGTTTCTCGTGTCACAGAATGCTTTGTTTCACTTCGCAGTACCCAAACCTTTATACTTAGTAGCTACTAGCATGGAACAGAAGATTGGAGATGAAACAACTCGAATTTCTTGTCTTTCAACGTCTCTTTAACTCCAGTTAAAGAGATATTATTTATTCTACATGCGTTTCCTGCTCCTACACATTTCACCCCAGTGTGCTGATAAAATAATCAATGGCTTCTTAGGCAACAAAACAAATTCGGTTTGAAAAAAATGTTGATGGAAATCTGATTACTTCTGAGCACAATTGTCTTCTATTCATTTACATTCGGGAACAGCTGAAGCTTTTTGTAGGAGTGTTATGTTAAGAGGATGTCTTGTATGGTGATGAGCAATGTTGACAAAATCATGCATTGCAATATGTTTCACTACCTCTATTTACTAAGCATCAATAAACGGGGGTCACATCATGGTAGGTGTGCCGTTTTAAAGACACATGCACACCAAGACAGAGCAGCATGGAAGACCAGCAAAACAAAAACTACGTTTCTATCAAATAAACTCTTGTCTGAGATCATAATGTAAATTCTCTGTGACATGGTAGAGGTGTATCCTATAATGTTTATATTGTAAATCTGGTTGAGCTGCATTTTTTATTTAGAAAAAAATGGGAGTAACTTGAAAGCAGCGAGCTATTTCTTTTCTTCCAAATGTGTTCAAATAAAACACACCCCAGATTAAAGGAGATGTGAACTCTCGCCCAGTGCAGTTGGTTGATTCCTCTATTAATTGCTACTTAACAAAAAACACTCCTTGATTCTCGCTCTGCGGCAACTCGGGAACCAACTCAACCTGTACTAGGGGTGTAACGATTCATCCACTGAATCGATTAATCGGTTTATATTCCTGCGATCCAACTGAATCGATCTGTGCTCCGCAAATCGGCATTCTGGACGAAACCCTGAACGACAACAAAACACAGCGTGGAGGAGACGACTGCGAGCAAGACATTTACAAACCAACTTAAACTTAAACGCCGACAGTCAGGACCTCTAGCAGCGTCACCGCTGCAGCAGCAGCAGCAGCAGGTAACTCCAGCTCTGCAGACACCTCAGGCCTCGCCAGCACCAAACTCAACATCACAGAAACAAGTTTATCTGTAAAGACATGCGACCCTACAATGTGGTTGAAAATCCGGGGTTCTGTGAATTGATCCAAACATTGTGTAATTATTGTGTAATGTTTACATTGAAAATGGCACTTGATTCAAATAAAAGGTTAATACCTTTGCCATTAATTGTTGTTTGCTTGTTTATAATATCCAGAATGAATTTAAAGCTGATTTCCTCACAAGAAACAACAGGGATCTCAGAAACTTTGCCTGCACTGTCCAGTAAAGTTACTGAATCGATTTCAAGTCACTGAATCGAATCGTTCTAAATTAACCCAGATCGTCCATGAATCGAATCGGCAACCATGAATCGCGATTCGAATCGAATCGTTGTTAAAATGAATCGTTACACCCCTAGTGTGTACCTGCTTACAATTGTCTTTGCCCACGAGGCCCGTGGGGGGGAAGGCCAGGGTCGGCGAGCTCCAGCTGTCTCTCTGACCGGAGCCTCGCGTGTTGCTGTACTCCCAACGTTTCTGCTGCAACTGCTGGAGCCAGAAATGCATCACCTGCCTGGTGGGGGCCTGCAGAGAGAGACACACACACAAACGCACACTTACCTTCATGTACAAGTAACACAATCAAGATCACGTTAAGAGGCAACTCAAACTTCATCACTTCTAGAATGACGCCTAGAGCAACGAAGAAAGCATGTGAAACGGCATCGGTCACGTGGACGAGCACAGGCGCTGGTTTCGGTCTCAGTTCCAGCCTCGGGCCGTGCAAGCTGTTTGGCGTTAACCATGCTCACCATCTGCTGGGTGAGAGAAGGCTCCAGCCTTTGAGCAGCTGGGACACCTGCCTGCTGGCACTGAAACCAGCCCCCGTCACGTGACAGCGGGGAAGACACCGTCACATGAGGGGACAGGCAGATGAGGTCATGGGCATGAAACACTGACCCTTGACCGATCTCTGCGTGTGAACAGTGGAATGACACTGCGTGTGCGTGTGCGTGTGTGTGTCATTCAGTTGACTAATGTGCCAATTAGGTTCTTATCTGGTAAACACGTGCAGCCCAATTGTTTTGGGGTTTTCCGCGCAGCTTTTCTTGAAAGTTTCCAAAGGCCAACCGCGTGCGCGTAACGGTCACTGCGCGACGCGCCTGAAGTTCGGATGGGTGTGTCTCGCGATTTTGTGCGCACTGACAAAGGAAGTGACACATGCAGGAGAAGAAAAAAAAAGTTCCTACCTTCATGAGAAACTCCTTCCCGGTGGTGCGGATCTCGAACTGACCCTCCTCCCCCTCCACGTCGTAACTGAAGCACGCGTCGCCGATTTCGATGTGGCCGAGCGGCAAGGCGTCTTGGGGAGTCTTGAAGTAATACAAGTAACATTTCCTGGGATCGTACACGAACCATCTGGGCTTGTAGCCCCTGAGAGGCCCCTTGCCGGACAGTTTGTTCAAGTACCCGCACAGCTTGGAGGCCCGCTCCTTCGCGCCCTCGACCTCCGCCGCCGCATCCACATCCGCGGACTTGGCGGCCACGATGCGCGCGGCCGCGCAGGGGCTCGCGGCTCCGCCGCTGCCGCCGTCCTCCGCTTCGTGCATCTTTCGCTCCGAGTGTTGCGCTCGCGCGGCGCAGCGGATGCCCACTGCTGTTTCCACCCGCATGACCGCCTGCCTCTTGGAGGAGGGCACCATGGGAGATGTAGTCTGAGTTCTAACGTGACGCGTGTGCGCGCGTGAGGACCGCCGCCGGGTGGCGGTGTTGAGCCAGATGTGCCACCTGAGGTACTGCGGCTGCTGCGAATGGTTTACACAAACAATACTTCCTGTTGTTGGTTTTGTTGCTGTTGATTGGTCATAATAAAATATTAAAATCCTTATATGAAATACACAAAACTCATATTGTCAAAGTGAACATGGCCAATGAACTCCTGTGTCTTAGATTTGGTAGAAAAGTACTCAACTGCAAATTCAGTCCACCATTCAAAATAAGTAAAAATACTGAGGTATTACCAGCAAAACTAAAGTACATATAAGGCAGAATTCTCTCAGTATTTTAATATTCCATTGTTAAGGATGTGTCAATGTATACATTTTACTTTAATATTATAGCAAGCTCATTTGAATTGATACGAATACTTTTGGGATGGTTTATTTTATTACACTCAATAAACTAATTGTATTTTTTGTATGTAAATGGTGATATGTAACTAGTACTGTAACTACAGCTGTGAAATTAATGTTGAGTAAAATGTACATGTGTTTCTCAAATACAGTGGAATAGAGGTATAAAGTTAAAGAATTCAAGGTAATTACTTCAGAATTGTACTTTATTGCAATACTTATGAATGCACTGCCAAGCGGTATTTCTTTGCTGGCATAATGCATTTTAAACCAAGGCCTCTCCACGGCTTTCAGTAAATGATAATTGATGAAAAACAACAACGTTAGTATACGTGTGCCATGGAACCACAATACAAAATAATTGAATAGCTAGCAAGCAATAGTAACTTTACATCCACAGATGAAAAGTATACCGCCGTAATAGTTGAGATGCATACTCTGAAGGTCCTGGGTAGATTTTGACCTTCCTTCTTTCCCCATGTCTATTTGCCTACACTATCAATAAAGGTGAAAACAAAAAGCATGACAAACCTTTGACATTTGCATCCAAATGATGAAGTAGGAAATGAAAAGGGGACTCACTGAAATACAAGAACAGCACCTGCAGCTTTTATAACAGTATGTAAAGTGAAGTTAATAATTACTCTTTCCACTCTTTTAAAGCTACAGTATGTGGATCAATAAATCAATCTAGTTCACAGCAGTTTTATCACCAATGCATAATTTGGGATGTTGACGTGTACTTAACCTAGTTATTCCCAATGTGTCATACAGCAAAAGCGCTCTATTGTTAGAATATGTCCTGCTGGGCTCATTGTTTATTCCACAGCTGCAGACAGTTGTCCAGGAGGCTTCAGGTTGATTGGTGGTTGTAGATGTGAACAGGCAGACATGATCCATGGTTACAACAACAACAACAACAACAACAACAACAACCTAGTAGTGTAACTTGTGTTTTTATTAAGGAGGTTAAGTTGAACTTTGGCTTACTTAGGTTATTTGTGGTGATGCTCGTTCAACCCTCGGGTTTAAATGTGACGTGCTAAAGTTTTGGTGGAATGACATTTTACAAACCTCAACTCACTTGTGACCTTTAGAAGATCAACCTCCGCCTCAGAAGACTGAACAAAGATCTTAAGAGCCCTTTTTCTGTTAACTGTCTGATACCTCTGCCTCATTTTCAGTTTATCCGTCTACTATGTTGGATCTTTGCAAGCACAGAAACAATGATGACATTTGACCCTCAACCTCTCGACACCCTCAGAGGAGAGCATGATGACTCACAACGACATGTAAAACTGTCAGACCGTACTGTCGAGGTGATGTTGAAATTCTGGGGCATGGTCATGGAGCAATAAGTCATACTCGGAACACAGCGATAGAATTATTGTGTAAGCTGTGTCTGGGTAGATGAGACATAGGCTTTTAAATACATTATAGAAAAATCTGAGAAAAAGTCAACTTTGTAGTCATTCAGAATCACACTGATCAAACCTTTAGAGACAGGTTTGCTCAGCTGCCCTTGGGGAAGAGTAGCAGTGGGCCTTCTGACATCAACGTTTGAGCAACATTGTATTTTTGGAACTGTGGAAATAGCATGTCCGTCCGTCTCAGTATGAGACCCACTCTGTCTGGTTACGGTCCTCTGGTTAGTTGTTATTGCTCACCACAGAGCAGAAACCGAGACAACGATGATTCACAACAACTGTGCAATTGCAATTGTTTTTATGACAACCTTAAACTCAAGGCTGGGAAGTATCTCATCTTGTTAAAGTTTTGTTTCTGCACCTTGGAAACCTTCCCAAACGTTTCCGTTTGTTCACACATTTGCTGCTGTCTTATGAGCAATGATTCGAATTCATTGCAGAGTGAGGTAAAAAAAACAACAGAAGATCCACTGCTGACGCAACTGATCCCCCATTACTTCAGTGATCAAACAGCCTGTGGGTAAAACATCTCCCGTTGCAAAACCAATGCACTCACATGCACACAAACCACAGCTTACTTTCCGTTTCTCTTCAGGAAGCTCCGGCTTTGTTCAGACGGCTCTTTTACGCAAATGAGCTGCATTGAGCTCTACTGTGCCGTTGCCCAACATCAATGCTTTCCAAGCCAGTGGAAATGTATGTGCAATAGTAAATGTCATCTGTCTATATCTCCCGTGCACTGTGGGCTCCCTCAGAACAGCCTTGGTTGGAGGATACAGATTGTTAAGAAGTTGACAGAAGCATTTGAGTGTTTGCTGAAATGACACCAGGTTCAAACCACGAACTCTCAAGGAAAGGTACGTACCTCATCCTAATTAGTAAAAAAAACACAAACCAACAGTTTTTGAGATTTGCTTTTGTCTGAATAGACAAGAATAAACTCGTATTTGTCTATCTCTTTTCAGCCATTGAAAGAAATTTCTGCGTGCTGTACAGACAACAGAAGCCCAGATCTGAGAGGACCTGCCGGTTGGGGACCAGGACAAAGGAGCAGAGACAAAGAAAATCCCCTCACTCTAAGACCTGTCGGACGTTTTTGCTCAACGTGAGTACTGCTGCTACATTCCTACCTACCTCCCCAGAACCGGTCCCTTCCCGCTTCAATGTCTAACTTATTAACAAAATAATCTCCATGCAAACTAGAAGTTTGCGTAACACCGATGTGACATTACATCAGAGTAGGTGAGTGTACACAGAGGTCTGCCTGGATGAAAAGGGAAAACAGCCTCTTTCGTATGTAGAGGGAGAACAGACTTTTGATATCGTGAATTCTTAATATTTTTGATTATATTAAATTGAAATATTAAATATTGTCACTTAACGGCAAAGAAATAATGTACAGTATATGTTCAATTCAAGATAAGCATGAATGAACGTGTCTTTTCCTGCAACAATAGAAATGTTGAGCTACTTTTAGGTTTTGGACGCTTCCTGGAGAATAAGCAAATTAGTCAGTTAAAATGCCCTCTCCCTTTGTATGTTTTCAAAATGACTGCTGGTCGTGTTGATCGGCTTTCTGTGTGCCTTTGAAAAGGGCCGGGTAAGGATGGAGCAGAGGGAACCGACAGTTGACTGTCATTCGGAAGGGACTGAAGGACGACTCAAGGAACTGGCTTCCAGGTGGTTTATAGAGACGCAAATGCCGCTCATCGTCCACAACGGCTTCTTCCCCACGTGGTTCCTGGGCTTCATTACAAGAAAGTAAGTATTCATTGAGGAAACATTTCATCAAATGGCCAAAATAGATGTCAAGTGTGCTAGGGGTGTGTTTCCATCCTTTTTTCAAGTTAGAAATCAACTGCTCAATAATATACTTTGTGTGGAATTCAATTCTCAAAAGTGTTATTCTTCCATTGGAAATAATAAATAACTGAATTATTTGCTGATATATAACGACTTAAAAACTCCAGTACAGAGTAGTAAAAATGCTTTCTTATTTTGCTTGTGAAGAAAATAATAGAATATGCGTTGTACTTGAGCTATATCATCGCACAGTCACAGTATACATCAGGAGCATTGATATTTTAGTACAGCAGACATTAAAGACCTATCCTATGGCCGACATACAGTAAACACCTACACAACCCGTGTATAGGTAAATTACATGGTTTGTGAAAAAGACCTGAAACTAAATGGATTTTCCTGTGATGAAATGAAATTTCTAAGGGGAATTACGTGATCCGCTTTGCCGTTCCTGTAAACTCAAGTCAAGTTGGGCTTTTTGGAAGCTCGTTTCAGTCTGTGTTTTTAAAGTTGTAATATTTTCAGGGAGGCTGAAGAAATACTCCGGGAAAAGGAGCTGGGGTGTTTCCTGATCCGTCTCAGTGACAAGGCCATGGGATACATACTGTCTTATAAGTGAGTAGTGGTTTGATCTGAACAACAACTGTTCTTCAGAAAACTTATTTTGAAATGAACCTGAACCAAAACATTTGCTCTCTACATTTATTTTCATTTATAACAATTCTTGCTTATACTTTAAATATAATGATATGTAATATATAGCTGTTGGTAATTAAGAGCTCAGGACGAAACCTCGTAATTCTTTTTTTACTTAACCACAGATCTCATTTCTGTTATTTAAATCGTACTCCAACTTTGTTTTTTTGTCCATTTTCAGATGTGTTTTTTTAATCAATCAATTTAAATTTTCTGTTGCAGGGGGCAGGATCGGTGTAGGCATTTTGTGATAAACCAAAGTGAATCGGGGCAGTTTGTAGTGTGTGGAGACACCGAGGGACACGACTCAGTCGCTGATCTCATTGAGTACTACAAGTCGAGCCCCATTCAGCCGTTTGGAGAGTACCTGGCATCTTCGTGTTTTGAGGTGAGCTAAAAAACCCTCAGTCTCTTTCTGCAAGTAACGACAATTGAGAATAAAGATCTAACTGGTGCTTTGTTCCCTGCAGGCACTGGATGAAGAGCTCTATGATTTCATCCAGGTCAGCCCCAAAGAGAAACCTCTAGCCACCGACAAAGCTGTGAAGCCCAAGCGAAAGCCACTGATTAACTCTGCCTCAGAGCAGCCGCCTGCACGGCCCCCAAAGGGCAACAGGACCCAGGAGGCGAGTATATTCCGCTATATTCTGGAAGAATATTCCAATGTCTACAGCACACAGAAATTGTTTTTGTACTTATATGGAGGTATGTACTTATACCTCCAAGCCGACTTGACGAACCTGGCTTCTTGTGTAAAACAGGTGGTACCACCTTTGCCTCGGAGGAACAGGCCAGTTGCCGATGACCCCCTAAATGACCCGGACAGGGCTTTGTACGCTCAGCTCAAAAAGCAGTCACCCAGGGAGATCCCGAGATTCCAACACGCCTCCCAGGACAATCCCCAAGGAGATAAGGCCGGGAGAGCCGAGAGATCCTCAACCCAGGATCAGAGCAGGTGTAGTTCTCCATCCGCAGCCGAGTCTGTTTACTCTCAGCTCGGCCTGCTGGACAGCAAGAGCAGATCTCTGCCGCTTCTGGACAACATCGTAGATGGAGAGCAGTCGTACCGGCTGAGAGCATCTCCCCTGACTCCTCCGAGGCTTTCCCCCAAGCCCGTCAGAGAAAACACGAGCGTCAGGCCCCTGCCGGAGACGACGGACTCCAGCAGCAGCCAGAGCCTGGAACACATGGGCGACAGCGCCGTCTACCTTCTGGCCGGCAGGCCTGGTAGTCCTCCCACCACATCCTCTGCGACCAGGTACGCCGAGGTCCCGATGACGTCTCCCCCTCACGAGAACACGTATGAGCGGATTCCTGGCCACGAGGAGCCAGCGACACCCGAACCCAACTGCAACACGTACGAGCCTCTGGAGGACATCAGACCAAAACACAAACACTCTTCCTTTGGGTTAAAGGTTAGTAATGTCGTCAACAGCAGTTGATTGTTATTTCATTTTCATCCAATTGTAGTTATTGATTTCCTTTTTTTTTACTTACCTACAGAATGATAAATGGAAATGGCTGTTCCCTGAGGTCAAGAGGAAGTGGTGAAGATGTTACCATTCACTAATAGAAACTAGTTCACTAGTTTTTCTTTGGCACTACAGAGGTCAAGCCTAAAATACAGTCTGTGGAAGCTTATTTTCGACGTGGGCTCACATGTTCATAGTTATTCAAATGACATTTTCTGTGTTTTTGCTTTTTAATGTATTTATTTAATAAATTATGCTGTATTTAAATTTCATTTTCTCTATTTAAATAAAACGACAGATTAAAACAGGAAAACCTATTATTAATAAAGGGACCATAAAGAGAAGAGACTGTTACTAATCTGTAAAGACATTTTGCTTACAGGCTGCCACCATCAATGCTTCATTATGTTCACAGGAAACCTTATTTGCATACAGATTTCCAACGTCTGCATATAACTGCAATGAGGAAGTGTGTCAAATATGTTGAAATGGAATGTATTATCTTCTATCATCTGCTGTTCTTTAACTTTGTAGTTCTAGTTCTAGTGTTATGCACTGAGATCAAGACAGTAACATTTCTGTCTTCCTACTTGAATGCTTTTCATGGTAACAGGAACAGATACGTACAGTTTTTAGTTGTTCCCCTGAGAGTAAAACAAGATCAACCAATCATTCAGCTTGCAGCACCAACAATGTTTTTAAATTTCAGTCTCTTTCACAACTTAAATAAAGATTATAGAGCGACTTCTAAAAACAATGAAACAAGATGTCAAAAATGCCCATCTGTGTATCATTTGGTTTCTGCACCTGTGAATACCACAATGCACCATGTTCATTATATGCAAAATAAGAGATGAGAAGAGAGAGAACATATCCTAATTTTGTTATCACAGTATTATAGTATTGTGGTGAGATTAAGAGATAATTACAATAACCAAAAATATTTCCAACACAGAATAATTATTTTAAAAACTTAACTTTAACCCCTAAAAGAAAAAGACACCAGACAGAGGAACTTGCTCACAGTAACGGCTGCTTTACAGCTCCAGTATCACAGTTTACCAGAAGCTTCTCTGCTGGAATCATAATCAAACAGATGCTCTTTGTGAGACCAGTAGTTAATGAATCCACACAGTCAGCAATGAGTTGCCCTGAATATTTGGAGCTGCCCTCATAAAGGAGCCTGGAGAATCGGGAGGAACTAAGTGACTGCTCTGATGGCTGCTCACTGATCTAATTAAGACACTCAATTGTATCAGCTCTTCCTAACTATTCGTAGCTGGCAGTATGCGGGAAAATAATCATCCCATTCACCACAGTGTCTGTTTTGTAAACACGAGTGTATTCTGTGTCTGCTGTCAGACACGAGATCCAGCCGTAAGCTGCATTGGTAATAACAAGTACAATGTGTTCGACTGTGTCGAACTGTGGTGGCACTTCAGGAAGACCAATGGCTGACAAAATCAGTAACATTCCATTACACAGGTCCCCGCTGGAGTGTTTGTTACGTTATGTAACCGGTTGAGGATGTCACATGTAACAGAATTTTCAATAGCTGCCCAACATCCACATTTTGATTCAGTTGTATAACTGGAAGCTGAAAAACATACATAACTCAACAGATAACTGCTGCAAATGTGTACCCTGTAGCTAAGAAAGCAGGGTTAATCACACAACAGGACCAGCACCGTTTTCTTGCAGCAATCCCGTTGAGATTAACAGTGTGTGCAGGATGTAATCATGCCTGAGAGTGCTGAGGCAGCACACTCCTAACGATCACATCCGGCCCAACAGGTTATTACTGCTCATATGATGCAGAGAGGCAGTCACTCTGGGTCTTTACTGTGCATGCTCCTTGTCAACATTGATGGGTGGCTTGAGGTAAACTGGTTATATGGGGCCGGCTTTACTGAACTGATAACAGTTGAATGATTCAATTTTGGTTGACGAGAGCTCCTGTATTTAAGGATAATTGCAGGCTTTCTCAGTGACCACAATTGACAACATAAATATCTATTGGCATCACAAGTACCTTCACAGAAATAAGAATCAAGACAGAAAAACATATTTATTCTGAGACATATATCTGAGGTCACATAAAACACATGTAACATGTTTATCCAAAAGATGGCTGCATATAATACATTGTGATAATGGCTGAGGCAGACAACAGACAACAGAGCCCTTCATCTAACTGGAGAACAGTAAGATATGATTGTCTTCATCTTTACTTACACATGCAAAAAAACAAACTCAAAATGTCAATAGCAATACACTGCATTTCTTTATATTGTATAACTTGTATAAAATATCTGCAGAACCTTGTTTCCTGCTCTTCTGCTTTCATTCCCTTCAACCTTTTTCCTTCGCCTTATGAATACTAAATATCGTGTGTGTCGGAAGGAAGTCGTGGGAGTATCGCATGTGCAATATTCTGTAGGTAGACGAGCTTTGTAGGCATCAATCCAGAGTCTGGCTGTTTTCGCACTTGTTTCACTGACTGTGATTCAACCTTAACATGTGGAACACATAGGAGACCCATCCAGGTTAAGCCCTTTCGTAGGTGGTAAAAGGAAAATACATTCTCATCTAGAAATAATCGTTACTTGGAATTCGGCTTTAACCTGTATTTTTGCTTGAGGAGGTCAGGGTGTCTTTAATGTGGGAGACAGGCACTTTGCTGTGGCAATGACATGCAGGTAGAGTCCTGAGGTTCACCACGCCGCCGACCTTCCATGGCGCCCTCTCAGATTCGTATATGGAAGGTACTGAGGTGACATGAGACATGATATGGGAGAGTTAAGACAATGAGTTACTGCAAAAGGGGGCAATAAACAAACAGGAATCCGGAATAGCGGTGTTCAGTTTTCCTTTTTAAAAGTTTCTTTTTAAAAGGTCCATCGCTTGTCATATAGAATGAGGTATATACAATGTGTTGACAAATTTATCAAACATTTGATCACCTTAGAAAGTCGGGAGCCCTCGTAATCATGTTTTCAAAGTCAGCAAAGGAGAGTTTGTGGTCTCCGTCTAAGTCCGCCTCCTCGATGGCCTTCTCACACACAAGCTGCACCTCTTCAGGAGTCAACTCCTCCTTCGTCAGCTTATTCAGAGTCTTCTCCAGGTCCTCTTTGCACAGGAAATTGTCCACGTTGTAATCTGTGGGCAACACAGATCCATGACAAAAAAACAAACAAACAAAAAAATACATATTTTCACATGATCAGTTCTTCACTTCAAAAAATGACAATGGAATGTGGTCAAAATATTCCTACCGTATATTTTGAAGGCGTATATTGCCTTGAGCTCTCTCGGAGCCATTTCACTCAGGACGGAGAACATGTCCACAAATTCATTGAAGCTGAGATTCCCCATCCCATCCTCTGAGAAAGACTCTACGATCCTGCTGCAGAACGGGTTCTCCTACGATGAGGGCGAAACATTTAAGACAGATTTGTGCAAAGGATGCCACACTTTAATGTAGCTTTTACATTCTGTTGTCAGTTTGGCATACGATCTGCAGTGGTATGAACTGGAAGGTGCTTTTCTGCTGATCACAGGGTTTGAGTGAAAAGGGCTGACTCAAGCTCAATACAACATCAGCAAAATAACCCATTTGCATGAACAGCCAGCAGCCTCCTTGGGCAAAGCCTTTTCTAACTGCGTATCCTGAGACATGTCGGTGACTGTGTCATCCGGTCAACTCAGCAACGCTCATCACAACCCAGCAAGATATGAATTCATCTACGGCTATGCAGCTGCGTAGAGCACTTTGTGTGATGGCATATCCTCTGGATCTCCGTCTTCCTTCCCCACATGCAATCATGTGACCGTTTTACAGCCGTCGGCTACGTTGTACTTCTCTGTGCTGAACTGCAGGTGGATGAGGACGCCTTATAAATGTTGTGGTATTTGCGTCTGGTGCGCAGGAGAAAAGTGGAGGTAAACGTGTCGGCAATGTGTTACGCAACAGGCTAAATGCAATATTCCTGGATGCTCTTCTCAGATGCCAGGTGCTTAAAAATAGGAGGGCGTGTGTCAGTCAGAGCAGGGAGGCTGAGCGTTTCATGGCACATTAACTTTCACGAGCTCACCGAGTGTGGTGTCATGCAATAAGATCAGTGATGACGACGGCTAGAAATCCATTCTGTCTGCTGAAAGAGAGTGTGTATTGATTAGGTGTCTGCCCACATGAGTAGCGTGTGCCACATTTGCTTCAGTGTCAATACAGCACAATCCCAGATAAGACAATTTGGTGAGCAGAAAGGTGCGGCTGATCCATTAGCAAATAAGACCTGAACTGAGAAATGTGGTAAAGAAGGATTTTTTACCTTTAACTCTGGCATGTTGACTATTAAGGCTAAAGGCAGTTTACAATCAGGATCGTTGGTGTAGTCCATCGGTACGAGGTGTGGAGCCAGCTCATGGTATCTGGCATGCAAGCTAGAATAAAAAATAAATAAAAAACGTTTATGCTTCTGACGTACTGACAATATCAAACATACATATATAAAAAAATAACAACTTTATTATTTAGATAACATTTATATGTGTAATACATTTACAGGCTTTTATTTATAATATTATAAGAAACAATTAAAAACCTAAATTCTATAGCATTCATGATTGAAAGATGATTGAATACACACCGTCGGCAGAGTGTGTGCTTATCAGCCCCAAATTAAGATGATTTGTGAAAAATGTCTGGATTGGCCAGTTTCTGCAAGATACAGAATCACTGACGTGTTTTAATCTAGTGATTGGTCACAACACTGAGGGGTTGAAATTGTTACATCATCATTGCAGCTGGAGACAGGAATAAGAAGTGTTTTATGAAGGTGTGTGCGATCCGATTAGGTCCTCTTCTAATTGTCAATATGTTTTCTAGTTCAAAGATGGTCTTGGAATCAAAGTCATGCCAATTTTAATGATGAGGAAGAACTACATATATACTATTTTTAATAAAAGGAGAGGAAATCGATGCAGTGAAATGTTATTAGAGAAAGATAAAAATCATAAGTCATAAGCATGGTCCTGCTTAATTTAATGGACTGATTTGATCCCATCTGATTTACAAATAAAAATAAATGTAGGATCATTTGTAATGCATTTTGTAACATGAATTTTAATCTTTAATTAGTTATTGATGGTTTGTGTACTTTTAGAAGACAGCTGAATTCAATGTCTTATTTTTTGAAGAAATAATTTAAAAGACAACCTATTCTGTACAAACTACCCCAAATTCTCACTCTCATCCTTTTCTAATGTTACACTGCAGCATTCTTTAGAGATTCTTTCTGAGAGTAGATGACAGTTATTTCATGTTTGTAGGTGTTGCGGATGCACGTGTAGAATGAGGTAGAAACGCGACAATGGAAACAACACCAGCGTCAAAAGGTCAACGTGATTTTCAAAGGTTCATGTAACATACTGATGCTACAGGACAGAACCTTCTATATACTCATTGCCGAAACACCGTTAGATTTTAAGCAACCTTGATGCACAATGAACGCACGTTGTGTGACATTGGGAGCAGTGACTTGGGTCTTTATTGGTTGTTATGTTGCACACTGTTTGTATTTGTCGAGATGTTAAGTCGATGGGGAGCTACAGGAAGATTAGTTATGGGTTGTATAAGATGATTTAGGATGTCAGGAACTTTAGTAGCCAGTGAACTGTAAATGGAAATACAAAAATCGATGTTGAATAACGTATTTCTCGGTTTTGGATTATTTTAAAGGAAGCTTAATGCAGACTGTGTAATCGTTTCTATATAATCCCTTGTAATGAAAGTATGCTTTGTGATTTAAAATACAGAACCACGTGTCACCCTGGTGTTCACTTAAAGTGCATTTTAAGCCCAGAGCAAACGGAACAAACAGGAAAATAAAGGACAGGCGCATCACATTTTGGTAATATCTTTATGTGTATAGGCTTATGTTATTTGTAAGATATGCATCAGAATCAGAAACAAATCTTACCGCAGAATTTCTTTGCGGGTGAAAAACGTACAGTCCTGCAAAAAAGGAAAAAACACAAATATGAAAACTAGGAAGTCTGTTGTTATGAAGCCATAGATATTTACATATATTATTTGAAAAAACACCCTCAATAACACATCTTTCAGTCACATAAAAAAATAGAACGTGAACAACTCTAGTGGGAACATAGGCGACGTGTCTGGTGTCACTTGAACGAGAATGTGTGTGTGCGTGAGTGTGCGTGCGTGTGTGTGTGTTGTCACCTGCCACTTATACGATATGGCACAAGGAACACTATCTGCTGTTGTATAACATGCATGTATTTGGCACACACGACATCAAGAAGCCCCACATGAGGCCCTTCACTTTACATTTGCTGCACTCTGAGCTGTGTTCATGCGTGTAAGGAGGAAAGGAAAAGCCAGATGAGTTCTATCCGCTCAAAACAGCACCAAAGAAATTGGAGTAAATTACCATTTTATTTGTGAAGCGACATCAATTCATTGTACACTTGTCTCAAACATGTCAGATGTCAACATCAGTAAATTGGTGACTGGTGAACAACGAAACAAGCAAGTTCACTCAATTGATATCTATTGTACCATATTTAATCCTAAGATTAAAAATGTATTGATACCCAAGACAGAATAACCCAAAAGCATTGGTGTGCTGATAAGGTTTTAAAGAGCAGCAAGAGTAACCAGAGAGGCTGTCACCTGAGAGTAGAGTTTCACAGCACATCACACACCCGGTTTGGCATCAATTATTAAGTCCACACCTTCTCCCATGATAAACCTGTGCACTCAAAGATGCGTTTCCTCCCAGGAAAACCTGGACTATTGTTACAGGGAACAAAGCGCCTTTTCTTATCAAATAGTGAAATAAAATCCAGCGGTTTGCAGTGAAATCAAAACCGTCTGCTATTTGCACCTATCGAGACGTATACATTACAATATTTAATAGTCATAACTGAAAACACTGTTGGGAAATGTATTAGTGTCTATATATAGATGGGGATTAGAGCCATGTGGCACTAATGATCAATATTCATCCATTTGACTTTTTCCTCTATTTAAATATGATGATGGAAGAAAAGCAATTCATGCAATTAAGTCTTGAAACACCAACACCTAATAACATTAACAGTTTTATAACACTGACCCCTAATAACTACAAGCACTGCAAAGATGTATAAGCCTCATGCCCAATTTACACACTCGTTGTGCTTTAAGTTTTGGTTTTTTTTTTCGGATGTAGCAGCTGGACAAAGCTCCTCCAACCATCTGCACTGACCTGGTAGGCATCAAGCTGCTCGTCGGTAAAGATCGTTTGCTTGTTGCCCATGTTAGTCAGGTAATCGGTTGCTTGTATTGAAAGTCCGAAGCCTTTTCTCAATGAAAGGCATTTAGGGGGTCCGCGGCAGACTCAAGTCTCCTCCTTAGAACGGGTGGTTGCTGTCGTCCGTGCAGGAGCTGTGCGCCATGCACGTTAAAAGGTACTGCATGCGCGACAAAAACATTGGAGAAAAGGGAAATAGAAAGTAGAAGAGCGGAGTCAGTGCAGGTGGAGGCGGAGGGTTTATCTGCGGAGACGTGGAGCTGCAGACGGATGCTGCGTGTCCCCTTGAGCTAGGAGAACCAATAGGAACTCAGCTATACAAATGAATGAATAAATAAATACACACACACACATAATTAATCCATAGATTGTGGTTTGCTTAGGTGAAGAAAAGCAAATATGAAATGGATTGCTGCTGTGTATGTTAGATGTTAAATGCAGTTGTATGCACGTCGACAATATTTTGGGAGTGTGCAGTGGTGGTGAATTTAGTCAGTCTGCCTGAGATGCGCCAGTGGGATAAAAATACAAAACCGGTGTGAATATACAAAGTTACCTTTACTGGCAATGTGTACATGCACTACAAACCCCGGAAAGACACCTGGCCAGAGTATCTATTTTTTCACATTTGTCGTTTCTTTTCAAAACAAATCTTAGACTTGCATGTTTGCATTGAATATTTCACCGCTGATTGAATAAGACCTCGAATGCTCATTTATTTCCCATCCTTTTGATTTAATTAATTGTACTAGATATTGACGAACGTTACACTTACACAAAACAAAACCCCATCGATAAATAACTGATCATTGCTGTGCACAACTTTAAACTTTGAATTGCAAACGAACCTGTTGACCAGTCACATTGCATAACGAATAATGCAACAATTTGTCCCAGGGACGCCCCCGTCCTCTCTGTAACACAACATATCGCTTTATTTTCACCGTGCTGGACTGCGGACACTGAAGTCCGTTTAATCCACCTGCGTGCTATCACACTGCACTCCGGGGCAGATGCCTATTTCACATTTCACCTCCCCAAATAATAACCACTGGCGTTCCCTTCCCTTGCTTTAAAACCGTCGCTTCATTTATTGCGATAAGTAGCTTTCTAGGCACCAAAGTTGCCCGCGATGGAGTCAAAGCGAGATAAAGACCAAGGTAAGTTGAGACGGGTAGCTTGTTGCTACGCTAGCGACGGGCAGCGCGTGCTAGCTAGCCGGCTAGCCGCGGCGTTAGCTTAACTGTAGCCGACAACGTATCGTTCGTTACATAACATGTTGCGTGTGTCATCATCAGAAGAATAACGAACAATTACCATCTTCGTGAGCTAACCCTCCCACTCTCATTCGGCTGAATCATCCTCGTGGAATCACGCACAGCTACTAACATTCGCTAACAGCATTTACTGGTGCTAAGCTAAACACCAGCACGGTTGTTGCTTTCTACGTTTATTGATAAGTTTCAAAACGTATTCAATGGTCCTGCTTATCCCACACAAGTGCCCCCCCCCCCCCCCTTTTTGTAGCAGGGTGTAAAGTGCCATCAACACTCAAGTTATATCTAAAAAAATATGTGAATAAAATAACCCCGGTGTAATTATTTATCCTCAACTTGTCAGGGAGTCTGTGTTTCATTTATTCAGGCTCATGAAAGAGTGGTCATGTGTAGTTAAGGGTTGGGGACCTAAATTCTGCCCGAGGAAATTAAGCCAAATATAACTCCCTCCGTTGTTATTCATGAATGTTGAATGTCAAGCTTCTACAACACACACACACACACACACACACACACACACACACACACACAGCACATCTGCCTGTTTGTGTCCCGTCTCAACAGAGCTAGAGGAAAAGCTCAGCATGCTGCCAGATGAGGAAATCCCATGTCCGCTTGAATCGGTATTTACTATTCAGAGCATGATTTCACGGGTGGTTGGATTGTTCCTCTGCAAACAGAGCAGCATTCTGTTTCTGGAGCGCTGAGTCACAACTATGGGCACGAGGATTTCGCTGCATATGTAGGAAAAGAAAGGTGAATGTGGCTTGTTTCTCTTGGTTCTTTCAGAGGCAGACTGTGAGAAGATAACCGCTGTGCTGCTCAAGTCACGTACTGGAGAATTCGATTTGGAGTCGATACTGTTCCTCAAATTGAGAGGTCTTGGTAAGAATTAAATCAGCGTTTCTCCTGTTAATTCCTTTGAAGATGCGTTATTGTTCGTAATGGTTGGTTGCATGTATGTCTTACAGGAATCCATGATCTTGGATGCCTTGGGGAGTGTATGAGTTTAGAGAAACTGGACCTCTCTGCAAATAACATCACAAATTTAGCCCCTCTGGCATCTCTTCGTCTTCTTTCTGTTCTTGGTTTGTCTGCCAACAGGATTTCCAATTTAGGTACTGTTTCAGGAACGGAACATTCTTTAGATGCATGCTGTGTGTTCTCTTGTAAGGAAAATCTCTGTCATGTATGTAATTAAATGTTTTATTGCATTGTTATTGCTTTTGTGCTTACAGATCCCCTGCGCAGCTGTGACAGTTTACAGCACTTAAACTTGGCTGGTAATATCATATCCAGGTAACGTGACGATGAATAGGATTATGAATATGTCAGAAATTACATTGTATACAGACAATGTAATGTGTCATTGCTGTTAAAGATTGTAATATTTGGTTACCAGTAATTATTGTTCCTGAATTGGTAAAAAGCATCTCTCATGGGTTATTTCTTTTAAACAGCATTGAGAGCCTCCACTGCCTTCAGCCTTTGAGAAAGCTGGAAAATATACGTCTTAAAGACAACACCTATAATTATAGTAATCCAGGTAATTATTTTGTGACTTAATTTTTTGCATCCCTGTAAATGGAATATCTTGTTAAGAGAACTCACAGTGACTTTCTCTGTGCACAGTGTGCAGGAACTCGGCATATAGAAATACAGTTCTAGAGATGTTCCCCAACATCAAAGTGCTGGATGGTAAGATATGTATTTTTATTCTTTTAGTTTCTTGCATAACGTTAACTCCCAGACTCTTGTTACATTTTATAATCGGTTTCTCATTTGCAGGTGAAAGAGTGGTCGGACGTGGGAGTGACTTGTACCAATTATGCAAAGACATTGATGATACCATCAAAGGTATTTTAGTTAGTTAGGGTTTGACTGCATCCTGACTGGTAATTTATTAATACACGTCCATTAATCTGTCAGTTGTAGAAAAAAGTATTTATCGTCCAGTGGCGCACCTGACGTGTCTGTGATGCACAATTGTAGAACAATTTTAATATTCAAGTAAATTGTGACTTAACTGTTTTTTTTATATTACTATCTAGCTGGTTTGTACAAGAACGGACAGCTTGTTGAACATTCTGATTGCAAACCGTGGGTGGAGGATAATTACTGGGAGATAAAAAGATCAAATAATGCCATTATTGAAGAAGCTTACAAACAGTTTAACGGTAAGTAGTTCTTTGCAGAGCCATTAAAAAAAAGAAGAATCAGATATATTGTGTTTCCACTGTGGTACAATGTATACCATTTCTTTTTCTCCAGATGTACTTCATGAATGCAGACTCCTCAACAACAGAGCCACTCATGTCATTTCGCAAACTGAAAGATCTATGAGCCTGAAGAAGCAGCCAAAGCAGTATGCTATCTGAGTTGGGCTATTTTAAACACAGTTTTTGTTTTTTATGGTATACCATGGCTGATGTACTGTATTTTTTTTTCAAATTGCTAAGCTATATCCAAATGCTTGATAAGTATCATTGCCAGACACATTCTTTGTGTTGCAGTGTGAGGCATTTGTTGAAATTCTATCTCATCCTATGCAGTGCGTATCAAAGGGTAGACTTAAGTGGTTTGGAAACCTGTATCCATACTGAACCCCCTCAGTTTGGTTTCAAAGATGTCTTTACTTGCACAGTGTGCATTTTGTACCATCCTGTAGCCTGCATTTATGCTGAGCGATTTGCTGCTTAAGATTTTCTATAGGTTTTACTTAAAAGCATTTTTTCCATTTTGCATTGCTGGATAGTTTTGGGAGTAAATTTATCCCATGCTGTATGATTTCTTTGTTAGATGAACCTTTGCAAAAGTCGATTGGATGATTGTTTCAGCTGTTTTTACTTGTTTTGTATCATAATGTTGACTATGTGTGGAACCACCCTGTGGCAAATACAATGCTTATAAAGTTATGTTTTACCTCCCTGATTTTTACTCACACTTACAACTGTTACTGTACGTACATAATATACATTTTTTGCACATCTACTGCCAAAGAAATGGACTCGGAGAAGCAGAACAGTTACAACACAACACATACTTACAACAAACAAAAGTCAATTGCCTATTGATGTTCACAGGTAGCTTTTTCTTCTCATAAATATGCATAATTTAAAGAAATATTCCTACAATTCCCTGCTAATCATGGAAAGTATCCAGAATAAGTGCATGCGGGAACCCTGCCTTTACTGTTACATTGCATGTAACATCGGTATTATAGTATATAGTATTATTCCATTTTAAAATAGTGTTTAACTCAACGTTAGATTCCATGAACTCATTTAAATTGTCATGAATCATGACGTTGATTGTATGTATTTAATGAAGGTTTATTTTGGAGGGCGGACAGTCCCGAGCGGAAGTCCGCCGCGTGCCGTGTCGAGCTTGACTCTGCTGCATCGACCTTGGCTAGTTGAAGATGGCAGGGACGGCGTGGAGGTCAGCGGTATGTACGGTGGAAATGTGTAAATAGTATCTTAAGTATCCCACCACACTCATGACATTGTGTTTAGATTATCCCGGTGGTGGTAAGACTGCAGAGAATACCGTTGACATTACCTGCTCGTTTAACTAACGTTAGCTCGCTCGCCGCTACTTGCTCTTAGTTACTATAGCAACCTGATCATTGACTGCTGTGTAGCTCGCTAGTTGCTAGTTAGCTTGCGTTCCACAGAAGGGTAACATCAGCTAACTTGCACGTCTCCTTTAATCGTAATTTATTGTAAAGGTTAGCTTGATTGCTCAACAGATGTCACTGAAATGTCCCTCATCTACAGATTCTTAATCTACTAAAACAGTGGGGTTTGTCGCTCTATGGCAAGGATAAAATCAAGGCTCAGGAAGTAAGTTAAGTTAAGCACTCTGATTAAGCACACAGTTACTTGTTGACCATCTTTGCTGTTGTTGGTAATCTAACGTGAACTGTCATGAGAGAATCAAAGCGAACGATCTCCTCTAGCATCGCTTTTACTGTAGGTGATCTACATCACATGGGATGTTTTTTATCAACGGCCAAGGCTCATTTGTTGATAGTAGCTTATTCGAAGCAAGAAAACAGAACACTGCCTTTTCAATACAATGACCACGATATTCAGGAACTAACAACTCCTGCTGGGAATTGGATTGAGTCTCCTCTTTCGGAATATCCTTGCTAATTGCTCCCAAATCACGCTTATCCATCCATCCAGTTATTAATCGCTTGTGTCTAATGTAATGATGTACTGCTTTTCATGTGTGTGTGTGTGTGTATATATATATATATATATATATATATATATATATATATATATATATGTATATATAATTACAATAACCACAGATTGCTGCAACAGTAATTATCCAGATGAATTAGTCTCTCCTATAAAAATGAGTGTACAGTTTTGGATACTTCTTTAGGAATATGTTTTTTTTAGCCTTTACAAACCTTTGGCCATTTTGATTGTCAGGTTTCACAGGTGGTTGGAGCTCTGAAGAAAGAGTCTCTACAACCCAGGACGTTCACGCGTGGAGTATGTGTCTTTCCTCTAATGCTAGACAAGTGACGTTTTGCTTAAATGAATCTGTGACTCTAGAATGTGTATTTATTCTTCTATTGTTGAATGTGTCTTTTTTTTTTCTGGCATTCAGATTCATACTGTTACTTTAATCCCGGGGGATGGAATTGGTCCAGAGATCTCCACTGCTGTCATGAAGATATTTGAAGTAGCTAAAGTTAGTACTGGATTACGGAACCAAACATCATTGTTCACCAGCAACATCAACCAAAGCAAATTCATTTTTTAGGTTGCGGTGGATTAAACTATATTTGCGTTTGAAACAATCGGATCCAATCAAATCATAAATAAAGATTTAAAATCTTGATAAAAATCTGCATAATGTAAACTAATGTTTTGATTCACTTTACATACAATTTCTTATTATATAGGCACCTATTCAGTGGGAGGAGAGAAATGTTACAGCCATCCAAGGACCTGGTGGCAAGTGGATGATCCCTCCTGATGCGAAAGAATCCATGGACAGGAACAAAATCGGCCTTAAAGGTAACCTCTTTAGGTATATTTAAAGCAACGACAATAGCAATATCACAGCAATGTCCCTTGTGTTGGAAAGAGGTTTAAAAACATGTGATGCATACGTTACTAATCATTACTGACCCAACACATTGGTTTGGATCTAACCCCTTTAAAGTAGAGTTTTATTTGTGTTGTAGTTAATAATATTGAATTGCTTAACCTGCAGGTCCTTTGAAGACACCTATAGCGGCTGGCCATCCCTCCATGAACCTCCTTCTGAGGAAAACCTTTGACCTCTACGCCAATGTGCGCCCCTGTGCGTCCATTGAAGGCTACCAGACCCCCTACACAGATGTGAACCTGGTCACCATCAGGGAGAACACTGAGGGAGAATACAGTGGGATTGAACATGTGGTGAGACCCTTTTAACAATACATAACCTCTTTACAGTTTCTTTTTTTTTTTTTAAATAACATTGTTATTTTTACATTTTGATTTCATTTAATAGATCCCCAGTGAAGACACCTTTTGATATTAAGGAGCTGAACCATTAGCAGTTTGTTTTTCAAACACTAGTTTTATTTTACATCTTTGACCTAAATGTCTCGTGGATTTGTACATTTTCAGATTGTTGATGGAGTTGTACAGAGTATTAAACTCATCACAGAGCAAGCCAGCCAACGCATCGCCGAGTATGCATTTGAATATGCCAAAAATAATCAGAGGGCCAGTGTTACCGCTGTTCATAAGGCCAATATTATGTAAGTTGTATTCTGTACAAATGACTTGAAGTAATTTGTCATTCTAAAGCTGTTTAAAATGACTAAATGAAATGGTTGTCCTCTGTTGACATTGTCTATAGGCGCATGTCGGATGGCCTTTTCCTACGAACATGCAGAGAGGCTGCTGAAAAGCACAAAGATGTGAAATTCAATGAGATGTACTTGGATACTGTGTGCCTAAATGTAAGTCCCGGTCGCTTCTGAGAGTAACGTATAATCTTTCAGATGGATGTAAAGAAATATTTTGTTGGATGTTTTGTATATTGATAAATAGTGGTATTGTTCATGAATGTTCTCATAGATGGTACAAGATCCCTCTCAGTTTGATGTATTAGTGATGCCAAATTTGTATGGAGACATCTTGAGGTAAGTAAACCTCTTACATAGTGCACCTTTGTAAATAATAAGTCATCCTGTATGGGGTTCAATGAAATGGAGCAAATTGACATATTCACAAATTAAAGTAATTGTGCAGACAGCAGATGATGTAATCCCGCAGCAAATGTTCTATTCCCGAACATGCATTTACACACCACTGTAAATTCTGTCATCTTGTTTAAATGTACCTTTAGAAATAAGGTGGAACCAAGACAGTAGAACAGACTGTATTATGCTGAGAATTAAAACATTACATTGCGATCAATGTGCTTAGTATGTTCATGAAATCTAGTTCGTACGGTCAATATTTTTGTACAGAATACATCTAAAGTTAACTGTGTGTTTTTACTATTACAGTGATCTTTGTGCTGGACTAATTGGAGGTCTTGGAGTGACTCCGAGTGGGAACATTGGTGCTAATGGTGTTGCCATATTTGAGTCGGTATGTTCTTTTTATTCCCAGTTATCAGACTATTTTGTCTTTTATGTTTATGGTTAATAAGCGAGTTGTTTCTTCATCAGGCATACGTGAAAGAGACGCAGGCCTCTCTTTTAGCAGGGGAAGAAAATATACCACATTTAAAAAGGAAAGACGATTGACCGCGGGGACAACGGACGGGGCGGGGGCGGGGGGGGGGGGGGGGGGGGGGGGGTTCTTTGATTTTCCGTTCTCGAGCACTGCATCGCCACCTTGTGGTGCATTTCTTCCCTGTTATTTGAGGACCAGCAGGCAATAGTGATCCGGGTTGATTGCCACCTGCACAAGAGAGGCCAGTGTAATGGTAAAATATGTTATAATATTGTTTTGTGCTAAAGCCGTGTCTCAAGTGTCCTGTATTTGACCCTGATGTGCAAAGAGCAGCATGATACAAAATGTTAGTTTGCAGCTGTGCCCTGAGAAGGGAGGACGGTCGACTCGATCTCATAGAAGCTTCAAAACAAAGGACTTCTGTTCATGGCCTTAGTTCATATCTTATTCGGTACAAAAGTTCCGGATCCACGTTTTACTTTATGTCAATTAATTATGATTTGCACCGGCCACTGAGGAGGATCTTGTCTGTGTGTGTGTGCTACCCTCAGCTTCACCTGGGTTCTTATCTCAACCTGCTGTGCAGCTTCTCGTAACTGGCACGGAGAATGTCCTTCACATGTGTATAAAAACTCAGCGGTTTTACTGCTCGGGGACGCCATTTCCACAGAGCACCCTGATACGTGCCTGTGTATTTGACCTCCTGCTTGCAAGCAATAAATGGACTTTTTGCAACTTTGATCAAGACTCTGTTTTATCAGACAAATCATTCTCTTCTACCGAGCTTTTATTGAAATGTTTCCCTGCGGAGCATCGTACAGATTGAAATATAAAACAAAGCTTTAGTTATCGTTATGGCATTTCAAAGTGAGCCCCGTCATGTTTCTTATCTATGTGAACAATAACCACACGTTGCGATTAATTTCTCCTGCCAGGTTCACGGAACGGCCCCGGATATAGCAGGAAAAGACATGGCCAACCCCACCGCCTTGCTGCTCAGTGCGGTCATGATGCTGCGGCACATGGGCCTGCACGGCCACGCCCAGAAGATTGAGACGGCCTGCTTCGACGTCATTCGAGACAAAAAGGTAATCTACTTTTAAAGCAACAAAGGAATGTCATTTTGATTGTATTTTTTTTTGTGTGATTTCATCTTGTGTCTTCAAGGCTCTGACCAAAGACCTGGGAGGAAACTCAAAGTGCTCAGAATTCACTGATGCAATATGTCAACGAGTGCGGGAGCTGGTTTAATAAGACCACAAGGTATTGGTAAGGGTCACTTTATTTCATGTCAAGTTGTATCTTCACGTAACGCACATTTTAAAACATGGTTATGGTTGAAATGCACTTACTGTAAGTCGCTTTGGATAAAAGCGTCAGCTAAATGACATGTAATGCAACGTGTATTTATGAAAACACTTAACAAAATCCCAAAGGTTTATTATTCCTGTTGCACTTTGATCACGTTTATCACCAAAATATGTTAGACATACAAGGAATTTGACTTGGCGGTTGGTGCATAACATCAGACCACACAATGAACAACAAGACAGATGAGACAACATAGTGCAATAGGAATTTAAATTATTAAAAAAATAAAGTGTAACTTATATGTAATATGGTTTTATTGACCAACTCTTTAATCTGTGGTGGATATTGTCTGTGTATTTGCGGAATTACAGCTTTTGTCGTATGCAATTAATTCTTATTTTGACATAAAAGATGCCATCTGTACCCTCCATGACTATAAACACCTAAAAATGTCAAACCCTTCAATCGTGGTTAAATGTATTTCACATTCATTTATGAAACAAATGTGTATTTAAGCTTTAATATTTAAAAAAAATTACGGTTAGCAGTGAACGGATATCATGAAACAGATATTTTTGCAATCAAGTATTCATGTCATACTGTGTTTCTTGCTGCAAGTATATTGAATGTATAATGAAAAAAGAATCACAGTAACATCAGAAATGTTTTTGTTTGATGTTATGCAAATGACTTGTGGTTGTCATAAACCTCAGCTGCTATGATGACGACTCCTTTGTGATTTGATTCCTGGTAAAAGTAGTTTTTATCCAATTTGGATAAATATTTGTACTGCACATACCACATTATTTAAAAAGAAATACCAGGTAAGTAACAAAGCGGTAAAAATAAATAATAATAGAAATATTTCTGCATGAGAAGATGAATCCAGATAGTGTGACTATAAAGAGTTTGCAATGTGTAATTAAAAACATAAATATGAACATGTATATGGATCCTGCATTACTTATGCATTTCTAAACATAAGCCCCAGAGATAATTCAATTCTGAGCATTTTGCAGTTCTTAAAATTGCTTTGATTACATAAAGCATAATTTCTTTAGTACATAACATTAGTTAGAAAGAAAGTTAGAAAGTATTCTCTTACAATAGTCCACTTCTCTACATGTTGAAGCATTAGAGGTGTCTGCAGAGCAGACTCAGCTCATTCCTTCTTTAATGGTCTGGTACACTTCTTTGTCCTTTCCCCCGAATTATGTCAGCCACCTCGGCTGACGACAAAGCGGCACGGCCCCGCGCCCCTACTCCGCTTTATTCACAAAGATCCAGTTCTGTCACTTGACTTCACGTTAGATATGGTTGATGTCACGAATGCAGCACATCCTTTTTCCTTATCTGGATAATAAGGGATTTCCTTCAGTGTTAAAAGCATTCACAAAAACTTCCTCTTGTCCCCATTGAACATGACATTGCTGATGGTTGCTCCTTTTTCAGTGCTTCCCCTCCTGCTGTGATATTCAGCTCTGAATGGAGGGAGCGAGACAGGCCACCCTGACATTACATGCCTCATAACAAGGATAAAAGAGCCGTATATTCTGTGCAGAACTGCGTGGACCCAAGTGTGGGTAACGTACAGAATGTGAGCTGGAGGCCTAAGAGGACCGTTTTTTTCTTATGACAGCTTAATTTGTTCAGACTTTTGTATCATTTCTTTTCCCTGTGTTGTAAGATACACCTTCTTATATATATTCACAATGCAGCTTCATTATTTTGTCTTCCGTATTGAGGAAACCTATGAAAACTTTCCTTTTCCTTAGAGTCTATGTTGACCATTTTCTATCAATGGTCAGGAACAACTTTACCACAGCTCTGTCAAAAAAAATCTTGGACTTTTTTTACCTTCGAAGTTTGAACATTTTGGGACTTGAGAATGTGCTGAGTGGTTAAAACCCAAAATATGAGGGTACCTGCATGATTTTATCCAAATGCTTTTGGCTCTCCACAACAATGTTGGCGTTGGAGTCACACGTACTGGGAAGCTTGTGGTGAGTTTGTGGCATGAATCCCTGTCACTGTGCCCTAAAGGAAGGATACAAGCCATTGTAGTACTCATGGGAAATAGAGAAGTTACTGATTGTCACATGGCAGCAGTGAAGAAGTCATGATATAAGCGCAATAACAACTGCAGCATTTATTTAGATGCAGATAGAGGCTCATTCAGGTCAGGGCTGTAGGATGTGTCTCTCTCACCCTACTAGGATGCAGATGATGATATCCTGCAGAGAAGAAACCGACTGCTGAATGAAATCCTGTTTTTTTCACTCCATGGATCGCTCTAAAGCAAGCTGCACACATTAAAACCTGTTTTTGTCTTTTCCTATTTATAAAGGTCCATTTATGTTATTCAATAGTTGTCATTATGTATCAATACCTTATCTCTTTGTACCACATACCTTTATCAAGGTAATTTTTCTTTCCTGACATACTTTTGGCTTCGGTCCCTTCATGATAATTTTAATAAAAGAAAAAAAAGCTTTCCATTGAGAGTACACTCTGTTCCAACTGTCATCACAATTGATTTGTTTTTATTTTATTGTGAACTTGCAACATAACTAGTGAATGTGGTTGATTCAGCCTTGACTTAATGATGAAAGCTACCCCACTGCAACACTGGCCTTCTGCTTATTATCTTATCTATGTCGTCAGTGTAGCGTCCCATCATCATAAAAACAAAGATTCATGTTATGGTTGCCTACTCACGGTGAAATATAGCAAAGTACTCCTTCGGTTTTATTTGATCACTTTAGTTAGTAGTGCATTATTAAAACTACACTAACATTAACTACATTAACTCCAATAGTTAACGCATACATTCTAATGCTACAGCGTTAGTAGTGGTCACGTGCTACTCTCGTGTTTCTTCCTGCCTTAAGTCGCTTGGGATAAAAGCGTCGGCTAAATAAAAATGTGAATATAAAATTATATATGTAAAATATTTGAGTTGCCTTTGGCCCACTTCCCAGTAACTACTAGAACCCCCCCTCTCCCTCCCTCCCTTTAGCTCCAACGACACTTCCGGCCTGCTCTCCTCTCAGCGCTCCAGAAAGTTCTGCACCGCGGAGCCTTTATAAGAACCAGCCATCTTCCGTCCCCATTCTGCGCGGAGGCGAGGACAGTAACAGCGAGCTGCCAGTAAGTACACTCCGCTTCGACTTGATACCGCCGTCTCTCCGTCAGCCCGCAGGACGCAGCACCGGGCTCGTGCTCTTGAGTTCTGGGTTAACGCGACGGCGGCGAACCGCACGTGCTGCTTGGCCGTAACGTCGGCTCGCGAGCTCGCGTTGACGCGTAAACCGTACGCAGCTGGCTCTGCGTTATTCGTGCTGACTATTTTAGCCGACGTCCCTTAACGCCGTTGAATTGGATAGCATTGGATCTGCTAACGTAACGTTATATCTGCGTTTCCCCCCCTCAGGTTGTCACCATGGTTCACGAGACCGGCTACTACGATCTACTGGGCGTCAGTCCCAAGGCTTCCCAGGAGGACCTCAAGAAGGCCTACAGGAAACTCGCTCTGAAATATCACCCCGACAAGAACCCCAATGAAGGGGACAAGGTACGCTACCGCGGCTAGCACGAAGCTAGTGTCGCCGGGGCCCCGCGGCCGTTTATGGTCGCTAGGAGCGCCTTTTCTAATTTTACCCCCCCCTGGAACTTTCTGGAATGATCTCGCAGCTCCTCCCACCCCCACCGGTTGAAATGCATCTGTCACGTCAAGAAGTTGAGATGTTAACATGTAAACGGAAGGGGCTCGTGGTCGCTGTAGCCACTGCGTCGTCTGGTGGATTCTGTATTGACAACGAGGCAACAGGCATCTGACAATGTCATCAGATTGACACCAGAGCTCTGGTTCCATTCAGTAACATTGTGATGCCTTCAGGGTCTCGTGGGCGTAGGTCCATTGAAACGTTATCATGATGTGTGCACATTTCATTTTTCAATGATGTAGGAAATGTCGTTAATACATATTGACTAGATCTTTTCAGTAATTTAAAATGAATATCACAGATGCATTATGACTGGCTGTAAACAAATATTTGAACCCATTAATATGCAAACTGTTATGTTTTTGTATTTGTAATATTTTTGATTTGCAGACTTGGTGGTTAAAATATTATTTAGTCTTGTAGACCAGCTGCTATAATTAAACCATAATATGGATCATTCGTATCTACAACAAAAAGAACCTTGATCGGGGATCTCCTTTTTTCCTCTTTTGCACTGAACCATACCTAGACAGATACTTATTAAAAACATGTTGCCTTTTTGGCTCAACAGTTCAAGCTTATATCTCAAGCATATGAGGTGCTGTCAAATCCAGAGAAGAGAACCCTTTACGACCAAGGAGGAGAACAAGCGATCAAAGAGGGAGGCATGAGTGGAGGAACGTCCCCCATGGACATGTTCAACATGTTCTTTGGAGGTGGAGGAAGGATGCAGAGGGAAAGAAGAGGTAGGATTTAAGTAATCTTGCAGCAAACTGTTTACATGTCATGTTACATGTCCAAATGCACCAGTATTCAACTTGAATATATGTGTGTCTTCTGCTGTAGGGAAAAATGTTGTTCACCAGCTTAGTGTTTCGCTGGAGGAGATGTACAAGGGCGGCAGCAGAAAGCTTGGACTTCAGAAGAGTGTAATTTGCGACAGTTGTGAAGGTATGTAGTGCAGATTTTTGTTTTTAATCCTACATAACATGGTATTTTTTATTTATAATGTTTATTATACTGCATTCTGCATTGATACAGGTTACGGAGGTAAGAAAGGTGCCCTGGAGAAGTGCTCAAGTTGCAAAGGACGAGGAGTGCAGATCAAGGTGCAACAGATTGGCCCAGGGATGATTCAGCAGATCCAAAGCATGTGTGCAGAATGTCAGGGACAGGGCGAGAAATTCAACTCCAAAGACCGCTGCAAGAACTGCAACGGACGCAAAGTAGAACGGCAGAAGAAAATTCTTGAAGTTCACATTGATAAAGGTAAGCCGCCCCCCCCCCCCCACCACCACCCCCCCTATGAGAATGGTCATATTTGACCCTGTATTGTAGTTGGGTTGAGTACACATTTTTGGCCCTGCAACCTAAACTGGAAGATGCATGTGCTGTACAGGTATGAGAGAAGGTCAGAAAAATACATTCACTGGAGAAGGCGACCAGGAACCCCGGGTGGAGCCTGGGGATGTAATAATAGTTCTGGATCAGAAGGAGCACCCTTTGTTCCAGAGAAAAGAAACTGATTTGACAATGAAGATGAACATTAAACTCGCCGAGGCTCTGTGTGGTTTCAAGAAGACGATCCAAACATTAGACGACAGAATGCTCATCATTAGCTCACACCCAGGTAATGATGACAGATGTACTAGAGTACTGCCTTGTCTGGTAGATCGTAATGGTAATAAATGTAACCAAGACCTGTCTTCTTTTTTTTTTTCAAGGTGAAGTAATCAAGCACGGTGACATTAAATGTGTTCAGAACGAGGGCATGCCAATCTACAGGGAACCTTTTGAGAAGGGACAGCTTTTCATTAATTTTCAGGTGAGCTACACTCCACACTTTTCCCCACTGTGAAAACTCTTATGCTTTAGAGGACTTTAAATATACGGTCATTGCAATGCATCTGGCAGGTGGACTTTCCAGAGAAAGGCTGGCTACCAGAGCATCTCATGTTCCAGCTGGAAAGATTGCTTCCTCCCAGGGACGACGTGATGATTACTGACGACATGGAGGAGGTTCAACTTTGTGAGGTGGATGTGCGGACACATCAGCGAAGTACCAGTGGGGAACCTTATGAGGAAGATGAGGAGGGTCCAAGAAGTGGAGTGCAATGTCAGACGCAGTAATCAAACAAAAAAAAATCTGTTGTAGAGCATGTGGTTTTTCTGTTTTTTGGATTCTTTCCTTGGTGATTTATGCTTTTAGAGGTCTGCCTTTCAGAGTAATATAATGGAAATGGGTAGCATTAGGTGTAAAACGTTTGCCGACGCAATTTTGAGCAATTCTCCTGGTTCAGATATGCAAGTGGAGTATTCATTGCACGTTTCATTTGTGCACCAAGTTGGCAGAACTGTATGTAGGCTAACTGTGCTATGTCTCTACTTAAAATCCACGTCTTTTTATATGTGTGTGTTTTTCTTAAATCTATGGCACATATTTTCAAAAGGCCCAAAACAATTACTTCTATGCTTTCTGTGAAGGTAATTTTCAAAATTGTGACAAACTGTTGTTCTTCAATAAAAGTTCCCAAATGCTTCACATTTTATAACCAATTAGCCAGTTATTGTTCATTTAGAAGGACTTATTTATTTCAGTTTATGAATCTTTTTAATAAAAGTTGGACACCCAGTAGCAGAACCTGCCATTAGTCAATGAACAACAGTTTTGTAATTGATGGAAATAGAGGGATTTATCAACAGCATGGCTTAATTACAAAGTGGGGAATCCCTCTTTAGTGTTGCTTCTTCCTGAAAGAACAACCTGTAAAAGAAAGAACGTGAGTGAGGCAGCCTTCTACTTCTAATTGACATGTGTACACCTTTTTTTTAAAGGTCAACTAGCAGTGATAAAGCGTTGGGGGGGGGGGGGTTACCCTCAGTCAGTCTGGCCTTTCCTCCACTTGACTGGCACAGCACGGTGGCACATCCCACGCACAGCACCACGGTCTGCGCATGGCTGAACACCGTGGTGATCTTGTAGCAGCCTGCACAGAAACCAACGCACCCTTATGATCAACAGTCAACGTTTCCATGAATGCAGAGTGATAAACCACTGGCCAAAAACGCATGTGCTGAGTGAACGTGTGACGCTGTACCTGGACACTTGACATCCATGAAGTAGGAGTTAGGACTTTGGACGAGTCTTTTCTTTTTGTGCTGTCTTCTTTGAAGTTCAATAGAAGGATGGAGGAGGTCTCTGGCGAGCTACAGGGAAAGTACATTCACTATAGTTAGACAAGTTATAAGTCAACCCGAGGCAGCCGGATAGGACTAAGCTAAACGCCAGTGCGTTGTCTTTCCAATACATAACCCGAGTGTTGTGTAATCGAGCGTAACGCAATGTCAAATATGTCCACAGTTTGCCTAGCTAACATTCATGCAACATTTTACCGCGGACGTTGACAAACCCCCGACAGAGCAGACGTAACGACAACTTACGCTACAGTTGTCACTGTAAAAACAAAATGTTGCGTTTCAGCAAAAAGTGGTCGCTGTCCGGGCCAGCGAGGCTAACGCTAAATTAGCACTAGCTAACCATCGCCATGTGCTTCTGCTGCTACGTACGGCCACCACAACCTCCGAGGGTCCGGACACGCAAACAACCGCCCAGTAGGACGATGGGAACTCGGTAAAGGAAATACTGAGAGAGGACTACATTGTTCGATAACAAAGAAAATAAATCAACGAAGAAGAACAGCGTAACTTACAGGCATTTTCACCGTGTGAGGCTCGCTGTACTGCGCATGCGTCGGCTGGAGGCAGCGGAACGGCGCGCGCTGGCGCTGCTGTTCCAGGAATTGTTGTTGCCAGATCTGAAATATCCTTGGATATTGTGAACATGATACATTATTAACATATAATACACGAACATTGTCTTTCAATGCAATTTTGTTTGACGAAATTAATCTCAGGACAGACAGGCCTATCAATAAGGGACGTTGGACCCCTAAGAAACAAATATATGTTATATGGTTTAACGTTACTCATCATCAAATTTATCAAAAAGCATCAAAATTAAGGGATTCATTCGACCGACCAACCACTAGTATATTATACTGTTATATTGTATTTTAGCCGATCCATTCGTCAATCATTGTCAAATAAAATGTAAATACCAAAAGTTATGCCTCGCCCCTTATCCCTTTAAACTTCATATACCATAATGCAATTCGGCAAGTGACGACACTCCCCCTCGGCACCGGTCAGTTTCCCTAATCTCCCAAAGACAGCTGAGGTTTTCCAGGCGTGGGGACCCCGGCCCAATACGGCGAATTACTAGCGAAGCGTCGAAGTCTACGGTGTTTTGAAATGGCGAAAACGTACGATTATTTATTCAAGCTGCTGCTCATCGGAGACAGCGGAGTCGGCAAGACATGTCTGCTGTTCAGGTTCAGCGAGGACTCCTTCAATACCACCTTCATATCCACAATAGGTGAGCAGCCCGCTGCCGCCCCTAAAGATCCATCTGACAAAATGCATGCCCTTATCAGCCGATGCATCCAAGCGTTGCAGGCATATCGTGGTACTATATATGGACATATGGCACTATTCATATTTTATTGTTTAAAGAGACTGTACGAGCAAGACAATGGGAGAGACTCATTGTAGTGATCACCTGTCCTTGATGGCTCATGTTTAGCCACTAGAGGTTAAATGTGGAATGAAATGAAATACTACAGTGATGATGGTTAACGTTTGGAAACCTCATTGAAACACAAGGCTTTCATTCTTGTATTCAGAATTGTTAAAATATAGTTATGTCCCCCATTAGGCTCTACAGTACACTGCAGCAGAGCTCTGGCCTGTGACATTAAATGATGCCATCCCAAAACTTGACATAGGATTAACAGTTCATTGAAATGTTATTTACTCACATAGGGGAAGAAGATTAGCAAAAATGTTTAATAATTACATGTAACTAATCAATGCAGTAACCATACGCCTCTGGCTGTGCTTGTTTATTGAAAAAAAGGAATAGACTTCAAAATCCGAACAATAGAGCTGGATGGAAAGAGAGTCAAACTTCAAATATGGTAAAGGATATTTCACTATTTCAGTTTTAGTTTTTTCTTTAAAAATCTAAACGTGATCCTATTGTGTACTTCTAACTTGATGTTTTTTAGGGACACTGCAGGACAGGAGCGGTTTCGCACCATCACCACAGCTTACTACAGAGGAGCAATGGTGTGTTTGTACTTCACCCTGCACATCCTCCCTATTGGTTTATTTCATGTATTTAAGGGTTGGAATTGTTATTTACGAGGAGGACTGTTTTTCTTCACAGGGCATCATGTTGGTCTATGACATCAGCAATGAGAAGTCTTTTGAAAACATAAAAAACTGGATCAGAAATATTGAAGAGGTGAGCACTGAATTGAAACTAGTATTAGTAGCTGTCTGATATTATAAGCACAACTTTGCATAATGAGTCTCCTGGATTTCCAGCACGCCTCGTCTGACGTGGAGAAGATGATACTGGGTAATAAATGCGACATGTCCGACAGGAGACAGGTGTCCAAAGACAGAGGGGAAAAAGTCAGTTTCCGCAACCAAATCATTAAGAATCAGTCAGAAACAAATTAAAATGCTGGTACGGTTGAGTGACACTCTAACAATGTATTTCTCTCCCATTTAGCTGGCTATTGATTATGGAGTTAAGTTCTTGGAAACAAGTGCAAAGTCTAGCCTAAATGTCGAAGAGGTGAGTTCATTTTTGTTAACCCTGAAAGAACCAAATAACACGGCCAACAAATATGTACATTCAACATGTTTTTTTTATTTTTATTTGTCATTCCAGGCTTTTTATAACATGGGAAGAGACATATTACATAATCTGAGCTCAAAGACAGTAAGTAATTGATACTTTTACAATATATGGAGTCATGTGACTTCTCAAACGGGGAGGTTACAGATTCACACCAATTCACTGAAATCGCTTGTAACTTTCTTCTTATTGTCCAGCTGCCATTTTTCAGATAATAAAGATAAAAAATATTAAATGCTTATCTAGGTTTCCTCAGCATTAGTGGGTGCATGTATTCCGCCTCTCGGACTACAAACTGCCTCCAGTTTATTGATAGTACCGTTACAAGCATAACATTTCTATATTTTTCCAACCCTGACAAACAGTTTCATCATAATGTTTATTCGCTCGATTGATGTGAATATAATTCAAATCTACAACCTTGACAGGTGCTACAATTAATGTGTAGCTTTATTTATAACTTTTTCTCCACCACTTTTTTTTCATTCCTAGACTGACAACAACGCCGGAGGATCAGGCAAACCTGTCAAGATCACAGAGAAGAAGTCGAAGAGGATAAAATTCTTCAAGTGTACACTCCTCTAAGCGGATCATCTCTAGTGTTCACAGCTCTAGAGGGACTTTGCTGTTTCCGACCCGCCTCCCGGGCGTCCTCCCAGCAGCGAGCGCAGTGGTAATATTGAGAGTTCCTCACCGCCAGCTGAAGCTCACGGGTTCACCGGCGGTCGTGATGCCATCCTGATTGGCTGCTGACCAGGAGAGGATCAATAAGGACTCAGGCCTGATACTGTACAGTAGATCCTCTCATTCAAAAGACCTGTGCGTGACTGTCAGAATTAGTTTTTAACGGGTGCTGCGGAGTCTGCTCACAGGAGGCAGAGATAATACCTCTGTTGGATGTCCAGAGAATTGTCTTTATCTAATATGATACAATTCCACCTAGTTGTCTTATAAATAGGGGGGAAAAAAAACAAAAATTTATTTCATAAATTGTAGCATCGTTTTATACACTCTATATACTATAAAATATATGCTGTCGAATGGACATATCATGTCTCAGTATTGATTGTTCTTGTCTCTGTTGTTCATGTATTCATATATGCCTACAGTCTCCTGTTGCACTGGCACCATTTATAATTGTTATTACGTGCCTCTAAGGAGCTATCGTTTTGTGATTTAAAAAAAAGTATAAATATTACCTACCGTACTGAAGGAAACCTTCATTTTAACAGGTTTGTGTGTCAAAATAAAACTGCGAAAGGTGGTTTGTTTCTTGGGAGCTGTACATAACTACATATAGTTGTGCCATTGTCAGTATTTGCATGAAAGCTATAAGGTGGAAAAGTATTAAGCACATTTTAAAGTATCTGAGAAGAATATGTTTACAGATTATTCAAAAGTGTCAATCATATCTGAATTAATGTTTGTGATGTTCAAATAGTGTCTTGATTTTGGCCTAACTAACTGATGTGTGTTTACTTTATTTTCACCATAAAATGTAGACATTAAACATGAAAACACAATATTTGAGGAAAGCTGTTATGTGAATGATTTGGAATTACTGTTTGTTAAACCAATGAAAGAGTAAAGAAAGTGAATCTTTAAAAGAGAAAGCTATGTTTTTTTCACTACTTTGTACTGAACTGAACTAACATTTAATGCACAGAAAGAAAATAAAGTGTGGGAATGAATTACTGCCATTCTATTTTTTATCATTGATGTGAGACATGAATCTCCCGACCAAAGGAAGGATAGTTCTCTGCATCGCTGTAACCATTCAATTCCTCCTCCATAAATGATTAATTCCTCATTTAGTTTCATCCCTCCTCTCTTTATGGCTCGTATCTAATTTCCAGGCAGAGTATCTTCTTTCTGCTCTGCCTCCATCTTCTTCCCCGCACCATCGCCTGCTACCCTGCAGGCTTCAACCAGGTCCCTCTCGCTGCTCGAGGCCCCGGCCTCCTTACTCACCACCTTTGCTTTCCTCTCACTGGTGTTGAAGCTCTGCGATCTGTGCGATGGAAATCGCTTTTCATCAGCCACAGTCAGATACTCGGTAGCGTCTGAGAGATTCCGCTTGGCCTTCATCTTTGTTTGGCCTCCTGCGGGTTCCTCCGCCGGACGAGCCCCTTTGCTTTCCGTCTGGTACTCCCCTGTTTTAGGCTCTGTGAGTGCAGCGCAGGCTTGAAACTGCTGGGAGAGAGTTCTGACCGTTGAAACTTTCGGCATGGGACCGGTAGTGCTCGGGTGCATCTTGTTCTCCAAGTTCTCTGGCCGCTGGTTCTGTGTTTTAGTGAGCTGCTCCACTACCGACTTAAAGTCATCCGTTTGCACATCATCACCTGCCTCCGCTGGTTGGTGGAGGATGCCGCTCATGGCTCTCCTCTTTGTCACGGCAGACGTCTGACTTTGGATTTCACCGTGGAAATATTTCAACGATTTAGTCCTCTTTGGGGAAGAGGAAGTTCCAGACGGCAGTTGGGCCTTCTTTGAAGTCTCATCTGCCTCCTCGGGCTCATCAGGCGGGCTGACAATTATGGTGCTCATAGCCCTCCTCTTTGTCAAAGGAGAAGTGGCTTGGTCTTCAACTGGAGAGTATCTCAAGGACTTGGTTCTTTTTGGTGGAGAACAAGGCTTTAGTCTGTCCAGCAGCATCGTGCTGCCGTTTTTTAGGTTGGATAAGGTCTCTTGACTCGATGCAGCAGAGGCAAGCTTCGGTTCACATGGCGATATGAGAATGCCCACGCAGGAACCTGGTCGTGATCTGTCCAGACCACCGACCTCTAAGGTCTGTCCGCTTTCCTTTGGGTTGCGAATACTGGAGGCTTCCCTCAGGCTCCTCTGTCTCTCTACGCCAGTTTTCGTTGTCTCATCTGAGTCCTTCTGCTTCGACGCAAATTCCTCCATGTCCATGTGGAAGCGGTACAGACTGTAACCATCAGCACTGTTAATGCTGCCCTGGCGCAGCAGAGAGGAGGGGTCACAGGCGGACGAGGCTCGTGAATGGCTTCTGGTCAGTTCCAGTTTGTCCACGCCCGCAAGCTTTTCCAGGGCGACCGCCATCCTTCCATGGATCTCTTCGAGCTGTGCCAAGCGCAGATCCACTGTCTGCAGGGAGGCCTTCATGGTGTTCTCCCTTTCGTTTACCTCCTCCAGACGCATGGACATATTCTCAACTCTGCCGAGAAGACCAGAGAAAAAATAGTTTATGCGATCAACATGCTTACAGACGTGTGAGACGTGATTCAGAGGGGTTTTCACCTTTCTGAGGTAACCTTGATGCGTTCGTCACTGGAAGACTGCTGCTCATCCTCTTTCTCGCGGAAATATTCCTCCACACACTGCTCTTCAAACTCATACAGACATTTGAGCTCCTCTGGATTCAGCCTGAGCTCTGATAGAAAGACATCACAATCAGAACCTTTACCCTTCTATAACTGAGGCTATATTAATGTGTGCGTGCATCATTAGATAACTTACTGAGTCCGCGATCCTTCTCATCCAGCTCTCCATCTTGTTTCTTTCTGGCACATCGGCGAAACAGCCGGTTGAAAAGGATGTAGATGTGGCTGAAAATAATGAGAGGTGGCGGCAGGATGGGGCGGTCATGGAACGTCATGATCAGCTGATATCTCTGGAACTTCCAGACCTGGTTGGAAATGGACTTGATTTCACAGAAAGTGTTGCTGTGGGACAGGAAACCAGGACCAGTGAGCACGCACTTTACTGGCAGATGTTCCTTGGAACACGGTAGAGCAGTTAGACATACAAGCAGAAACTTACTTGAACACGGCGATCAGCAAGTTGACCAGAAGAATGTTTGCCACGAGGAGGTAACAGGCCATGATGGCAGGTGTGAGCCAGGCACCGGGGATACACGGAGGCAGTTTCTTACCGTCCTCGTCAAATAAATGGTCACCACATGGAGCTGCAGCGAACAAAGAGATCTAGCTGTAGAAATTGAGCTGTTTGGCTGAACTGATTTGAAATGCGTTCTTGGTTTGAAGACTACTTACGGTTGATTTCCATCGCGTAGACTTGGGAGAACATTGAAAAGGCATGAGAATCAATAGTGCCAGTTTGTTTCATTTATTGCCCTTCTGTCAAGGTCAAGCGGATGTCCGTGAAAGACCGGACTGGTTTTCTAAAAAATGTTTCCCCAACTTCCATTAATAAAAAAAGATCAAAGATTTGTTTTGTATCTCTGGCTTCTGTTTTAGTAGATTAAAGCAAACACAAGGATCAGCAACTTCCTCAGAAAACATCTGTGTTAATATTTAATAACCAATTGCTGGTTATTGCTTTCACCCTGACAGAAGAAACACTGGCAAAAAAATGTTTAAAGGCAGATGATCATGATTGAGAAAATGACATAATAATACATATTCCGCTCCTCCTCAATGCAAAATGATTACCATGTATTGAAGACTAATATAGATTTGCCAGCAGAGGGAGACAAAGTATGAAAGGGGTAACACCGTGCTATGTTACTCACAAACATCAGGGAATATGAGACAGGAAAAGTACTGTAACATTGATCATCTGCCCAGAATCAGGAAACAGAATCTTACTATGAACTCGAGTCTTACGGTCTATCGAGTCCGCAAAAACCTCTCCGTAGATCATCCAGTAGGGCATGTAGAAAATGTTTCTGGCCAGGCGCCACGTCGGCTCCTCATCGGGGTGAAGGATGGCTTGCCGAGCCACCCCGAAGCTCATGAGCACCACCAGCATGATCACCACAAAGTACATCATATCTATCATCTGAAAGACGAGAAGCAAACGCAAATTTGGACTCGGTGTGAACCACAGTTCATTGTGTTTGTGTCGCATGCCAACAGTAAATGTTGTTACCATCTTCCCTATCATCATCACATAGGGTCCCAGGTATTTGTTGACTCCAAAGATGTCCAACACACGGATGTACCAGAAGATTATGTCTATGCAGTAGATGACTCTGCCGTAGCCCATGTAAGGCTCGTGCTGCAGACGGAGCATCAGACCAAGGAGGAAGGTGCAAATGGCCGCCAGGTCTGTGATGTTCCAGTACTCCTCCAGCCACACACTTATCTTCTGTTTCAGCTTCCCCGGCTCGGACATCAGAATCTACACATTTAAAGGTTATGCAGATGTAACAAAATGTCTACAATTTCTACATGTATGTATATGTATACACATGTAAAGACTCATGCAAGAGCAAATTGATCATATTTAATGGCTTTTACCTGTCTGACTTTTTCTGATCCAAGCGTGAGGATGTATGCAATGACGGTCCATTCTTGTAAACATGGCAATCGCTCCATTTTTACCAGGATTATGTAGTTGTACAACATCAAATATCCCAGATAGCAAATCTAAAATAACAAAATACCATTGAATTTTAGTTGCTACACTCTCAAGTGAAAAGATACCAAATAATTGTTGTTTACATGTGGGAAACTTACGGTATTGAACCAGAATTTGGTGAATGGCGCATTATAAAACTCAAAGAACCTTTTGCCAATGGGGATTTTGCGGACATTAGTGTTGCCCTCCTCTTCGTCCCCCTTTCGGGAGGTTGCATCATTATTGGGGTCCTACACAACAATAATAATATAATATATATAATATACAATATAATATAATATATATATATATACATATATATATAATTAATTAATTATAATTATAACAACATAACAGCAAACTCTTTAAGCTCATAATTTTCACCTTTAACAAATAAAGGTATTCAAAACGTTTGTGTAAAATTACTTTGCCGGATTTTGTGTCGTCATCCTTGTCGTTTCCTTGTTCTTTGTTTTCAGCTGTACGATAAGATGCACCCTCTTTGAGACGGAAATCCAACAGTAGGATCAGAGGAGGAAAGACAATTCCAAGAATAACCTTGAGGAGAAAAACGTTTTCATAAGACAGTTTGTTGGCAAAATTACATACACTTTATTGATTATGTTATTACTGTGAGATATTTATTATGGATTCTTAAGAGAAAAGATTTTGTGATGTCAACCTTGAGGCCGGGATTTTTGCCCATCCTTAAGCAGCCCATCCACATGTCAGTGAGCAACATCTGGCTGCAGGTGTGGGCAATGAAGTCGCGTTGCTTAGCAGCCACAGCCAGCTTCAGACAGGTGGAGTTACTCCAGTTGACCAGCTCGTATGTTAGCAGTTTCATGGCGACCTGTTCGTCATGCTTGTAGGACTGGTCCAACAGCTCGTAGGCAAGCTGACCAAATTCTCTACGAAAGAGAGGAAGCTAAATTATTCATTTGTTTATTGCAATTGTACACTCAAAAGAGTTTGAGATCACAGAGATTAAAAGACATGCAAAATAAGCTGATAAAAAGTCAATGACGATAATTGGACAATTATATAACTATTAATGCCTTGTGAAAACGAAAAAGTGTGAGAGATGTTAAATGTTCTCACTTTGAGTTGTTCTCCAGGTCTTGGGAGATGTCATCCACCAATTCACTCTCAGAGCACTCATGTGCCATGGCTTTATACAGTTTACAGGCCACCAGGGCCTTCGCCATGGCTTCTTCTCCACGCTTCCACAGAAACAGTGCCATCTTCTGGCGCTTCATCAGCACCGCCCACAGCATCAGCTCATGGAAGGGAAACTTGAATCGACAAACCTCGGGGTCATCCACGTCAATTTCCACCTCTTCCTCTTTCTTCTTTTTGGGCTTTTTCTTTCCCTTTGACCTTGGTTCATCATCCTGACAACATGGAAGCATAACGGTAGTTTTGTATGGGTTGTATTGTTTTGTCTACTTGACAGGTTTTGTTGTGGAATGGATGCCCACCTCCATTCCGAGGAGCTTCAGAGCCTTCGGCTGCAGGAAGAGCGCAAAACATCATTAATACCCAAGCGTTACTTAATATAATGAACAAGCTGTTATCATTCCACCCCCAACCAGTCGTACCCTTTTTAGTCCATACAAATTATTGTAGAGGTTGCGGAAAGCCTTCCTGGTGTAATTGCTCCTGTAAGCTCCCCCCATGAAGCACTCCAGCACCAGACCAATATCAATCACAGTGATCTGATAATCTGGAGGAAGGTTTCCCTGCAAAACCACCAGAGCAATATCTATTATAGCAAGTGCCTCAAGATGATGTACAACCAGAAAAGGCCTTGAATGTACATTATGCAGAAAATAGCATGTAATTGGAGAGATTTTTTGTACCTTTTTGACATCTCTCACCACAGCATTGAGTGAATTAGCAGGACCAAGTTTCTGACGGAAGAGTAAAGAAAAAAAGAAACAGGTTGTGTAATTAGTCTCAAGCAAACATATTTGTCAGATCTGTATATTAAATGGGTTCAGTCTCATTTTTTATTTCATTTGCAGTGTGTCAGGCCCACCGTGTTGTATAACTCCTCCAGTCTGGGAATGGTGAGGAAGTGGTGAATATTGACCCCATTCTCGAGGAGCAGTTTGACAAAGTCCACTCGGTCAAGCACGAGAGCATCCATCATGGCCTGCTCCAGAGAGTTCACCTAGAGCCAGATAGGTGACTTAACATTTACACGTCACAGCTTTCATTATATATTTATGCTTCTAACTAAAGTGAGAATTGTTTCCATGAACTCCACTCTCACCCAACGCATCAACTCCAACTTCCTGGGGTCTGTTTCCTCCGGGGGTTCAGGCTTTGTCTTTCCCTTCCCCTTTCCCTTCTTTCCTCGGCCTTTATTTTGAGGAGCACGGGCAGGACTCTTTTGCTTCTCTTGAGCCGAAGCTCCAGAGGTCGTAGCGTTGGCGATGGCGCCGGCCGGCTTACAGAGGAAACGCAGGGAATCGCAAGAATATAAATAAAAATGAAATGTCTGCCGCTAGTATTAGTTGTCATTGGAATTTGTATGAATCTGAGAACACCCAGTTTACAGGAGACATCTACTAAGGATACTCTGTTGTTTAAAGATCCCCACCAGATATAGTTGAAGGCATATAAAACTACTATGCTTTTTCCCAAGTGAAGTAACAATAAGCTACACACATTTTCAGTGGAGGGGGACTTTGAGGAACTCCAATTCAAAAGCAAATAATTTTCCTCCTGTACTAAATACTTTTACCAAAAGTACTGCACTCATGTGAAATGATTAATGCACACGATTCAGATGCGAGCCCCACTTACTGGTAAATTGTGTCCGTAAACAAATATGTGATTGCGAGCGATGTCCACTCTGTTCCAGGCCAGGGCCAAACTAAGCTGATCGGCCGCTGCTGCATTTGTGCCTGATGCCATAGAAATGGAAGGACAGAAAGAGAGAGAATACCACGCATGTAGTAGATCACAAAAGAAAGTAACACACGCTGATATGCCTGTTGCAATGCAGGCCGATCATACCTTTTAACAGGGCGGTAAGAATGGCCATTTCAATATCTTGTTGTCCCTCAGAACCCATTCGAAAAACTGTGATCTGCGTGTGAAGAAAAAAAAAACGTAAAGAGAAGAAACCGCCGCAGATGTGAAGCCGTACCCTAACCACCAAAACGAATGGAGGAATGATCTAACTGCAGATGTAAACATGTGGTGATGAACTGGTGGGAGATTGTTTTCAGATAGACCTCTCGTTGCAGGCTGAACTCATTTTGCCGGTCAGACAGCATGATAGTGTTTTCCTTTGTTTATGGACTCAACTTTATCTAATGAAATTACGCAGACGGGGCTGTCACATGTGCAGCCATGCTGAATGGGATTAAGTTGGCATGCGCATGTGGTGCGGCAATAGGAACGTCTGTGCCGGTCTCGGGATGCGTCGACAATGAAGGCCGATAACCTCTGCGGCTCTTTCAGACAGTTGTGCTTTTTTCACAAATAGGGAGACTATTATATTAGTGAACTCCTGACTTGGTTATGTATTGCAGCCTGATGTTACATCACTGCAAATCTCAGCCTTCTAAATGAGTGATTGTTGAACCCAGCTGTTCACATGGGATGCACTTAGGATGAAAGGATTACTTGGGGACTAGACTGTGAAACTGATTCACCTGTAGGTTAGTCATGGCACTTTAGATTAAGAACAGTTGGCCGTGGGGCCTTTTAGCTGCTCATGAAGACCTCAAACAGTCTGGGTTGAGTATCAGTGAAAACCAAATGCCCAGGGTGGAATGATCTTTGAAAAAGCAGTTTAAGTTGCTTATCTGAGTGTGTTAGCGCATTAGGCGGTCTAATACGTTGGGGATAGGCGATGCAGAGTCGCTGGGGAAGTGATAGCACTCAAAAACATGGGGAGTGGAAAGAGAACCTGGATGAGGATTAGGGAGATGGATCCCACACTCCATCTGTGTACTTCATGCTTACTGTGGATGGATGAAGTAAGAGCCTCTGCTAAGCAGGTGGCAGTGTGACCTGATCTGTTCCACCCAAATATATGGAGTCTGCAGATTAAATATACGCTGGCTATTACAAAGTACATATCACATCGCTTGCGGAAAATTCGACGGAGATGCACAAATGCTGCCAGTATTTATGTGCTGAGGTCTCCTAGAACTTCTCTGCATTGTTTAATTTGAAACCCAGTTCATCCCTGCAGAATCAGACTCATGCCACTTCACAGCGGTATGCTTATAGATGAGGATTGATGATGTCGTGAAGATGCGAATGCCCTAGATTACATGAACATATGGCACATGACCACAAGGAGAGATGAGGAGCACGCTGTGGGGATTATGTTTATTCAATATGTTAATGGACATACACAGATGAGTGCAGTGGATAAATGACGATGGAGACCAGATGCTTCACAACTCAGAGATGTTTATTTATTGACACAGACGTGTTATTTATAAAAATTACTTGGAATAACTTGAAGATGTCAACACCTTCAGTTTACTCTCCTACTCACCAGTTCCCTTTTCTTCATGCACTCCATAACCATGAGCAGTATCTGCTGGGACTGGCTTTTGCTATAGTTGAAGGTCTTCTGAATAGTTACCAAAAGTTGCTCTCTGACATCATCATTGATCATCCTGCAAAAAGGAGATTCAAGGAGAATACATCAGCTTTATCTGTTTTTACTGGAGGAGCGACAATCAACGCACACAAAAGGAGAAATGAGAGAAAAGCTCACCCTCCGTCCTCTGAGAACTTGTGTGCGAAGGATATTATGTCGGAAGCTCGGCCGCTGCCGTCGCACACCACCACGGGGACGGGCGGATCGTCTCTCAGACTCTCCAGAGCGATGGAGATCACGTTGGGGCCTCCCTCCACTATCATGCACACTAGAGGAACCCCCTGACCCAGACCTGGAACACAAAGCCAGAAATACTTGTAGTTCTTCCGTCCAACCATGTGTGAGTGTCCCCTCGTGATAACAGAACATTGGAAATGAAATGTTGAAGGGGAATGTCTTGATTTGATGGGCCAACGGACGAAGCCGCGGGAGCGAGTGAAGTCGGTGGTGACAGTTGAGCATCCCTTTGCTGTCCCTGCCTTATCCGAGCTCCAGGCATAGGATGACAAAGGGAAGCCCATAGGTCCCAGAGGAGGACGACTGTGGCTCGCACTCAGACACGCCACGGACGGCGTTTCCATGAGGTCCACGCAGCGCTGCTGGACTTACGCGTGTTGATCTTCTGCAGGGAGATGTGCTTCTCCAGCAGCCGCCGCAGTTTGACCTCAGAGCCGTACTTCCCACAGGTGCCGTTGTCGGTCAGGATGAAGTGCGAGTGGCTGTTGTTGAGCACAGCCAGCTTGCTCAGTGGGTTGGCCATCGTCTGATAGGGTTTGCTTACCTGGAAAAAAGGAGGGGAGATTTGTAAATTTGAAAGGGTGTCTTTTTTCTAACTAAAATCTGAAAATATTCTCACATCTTTTCCGATGAGGTCGTCTTTGTTTTCCAGGATTCCCCATGGAGCAATTCCTATAGCGCACACCTTCCCTCGTGACTTGGAGGAATGGTCCTTTAAGGCATCTCCTACGTGACGGATCACCCCTGAGGTGTAAAGAGCAGAATGTCGCAAACATGAACAGTAACTCTTTGTGATGTTGCTGGATCATGGGACACAGCGCTGTTACTGACACGCACAACCAAACCATTGTCATTTGTGATTAATTTCCCCAACCAAATCTCTAATTACAGGGTTTAAACCTGTGATAATGGGTCAGTCAAATCACTCCCAGGAATTTGCAGAACAGGTCAAATGCAATTTAGAGCAACGGTAATCTTCTAATGCCACAAATTGTTATGTTGTGAAGGGAACGATAAAAGCGTTACCCTGAACTGCCAGCGTCCTACCTGTGTTGACCCCACCGGTGAAAATCCAAGCTCCTGTGGTGACGGCAGCTTTGATCAGGCCTTTGCCAAACACTTGCTTGAGTTTGGGCTGCAGGTCGAAGTTCTGAAGACCTCCGTGGACGGAGATGAGCAAAGTAGGCAGTTCCAGCTGCCAGTCCTTCACCATCAAATGCAGGAGGTTGTCAGGTTTGGTGTCATAGGAGACTCTGATATACTTTGGATAATAAAAGGGGAAAAGAAACTCGCGGTGAGTTATTTCTAGTCAGTGTGGATTCCTTTTCCGTGGGCTTTGACTCACCATGGCCTTGTTGATGAATCCGCCGCCCTGGAACTCAATCAGGCCGTAGGCGTCCGTCGGGTAGGTCCTGGTGTGCTTGATCACACTCCATTTATCTTTCGGGGTGTCAATCTGGACCAGCTGGTTCGCTTCCTCTAGCGAGTTGGCACCGGCGGGGATGGCCACGTGCTGCGACGTCAGCTGACCACAGGAACATCTACGTAGACACACAGAACAGACCGGTCGGTCCGGGGGGCCCTGCGGGGACGTAGACTTAAAAACGTGTGTCGACCGTTCATAGAAATCCCTTCAGCAGTGTCCCATCCAGCGCCGAATCATGAGTGGAAGCCACCGAGCTTCTAATCAAGCGTTGTTGTGTCTGCTGATGAAGGCCGTGTCTTTTCCTCAAAACACACATTGCGCAGGCTCTTTAATGACCGTGTGCTCATTTCTGGGAAGTGTGTGCCGCGGCGAACAAAAGCCTGCAGCGCCTGGCTGCTCCCAGAGACCCGGACAGTACGCATGTCCCACAATACACTGGGAAATACAATGCTGATAAATGTCTCATGTAAAAGATATTTCATTTATTTATGTCATGATATAGTCTTTAGTAATGTAAGATCTAATCAGTTTTCACCAGCCTGCTTATTGTAATTTTTTTTTTAAAAAGCTTTGCAATTTTATAGAGTAACATTCTTCTTCCAATTGTTTATATAGCAGTAAGAATTAGCAAATGAAATGATTTGATGATGAGTTAGATTAGTTTTTTTGTGATTTTGAGTTATATTTAAATGAAAATGAGATAACTGCTGTTCGTGGCTCAGTCCATATCTACCACAAGTAATAAATAAGCACTTGAAAGGCGGTGCGAGGAGTGGAAGTACCTGGCCGGGTCCTTTGTGGGAAATTTGTGAACACATTCTCTTTTCACAAAGGTCCTCTCAATCCAAGCTTTCTGTGCCTGTAAAGAGGAAATATAAGATGGGGAAAAGTGTTAGTTCACATTGTGTCATACCACACTCACAGGGAGATCATCATTGCAGATATCTGTATTTAAATTTAACTATTACAATCCTCTTGGTAGTAATCTATTATTCCTGCCAAGAAACGTAGTGCGCTTGGATGAATCAAAATGAAAATGTTTCTGCAGAAATAGGGCGTGCGTGTTGACTGGTTTCAACAGGTAGTAACATAGTATTCAGTAAGTGATTAACGCCTTTCATTGCCTGCTCGAGCTTGATAAGCTGCCAGTGAAAAGCGTCACACAAAAGTACGGTGCCCACGCACTTTGTCAAATCACACTCTGATTGCTGCCTGATTTTTTTTTCTTCAGTGCTGGACAAAAATAACCAAGTTGAAAGCAGAGTTTCATCTGAGGGTTTATTGTTGACGATGGAGCACCAATTAAAACTGAAGCACTGGATGCAAATCTTTCCACGAAAACTGAATGCGGCGAACAAAAAAAACTATTTCAACGTCACCTATTAGTCTCAAGTCAGAGGACTATGAATGAAGGACTGTAAATGAGTTTTGTCCAACAACACAGTACAGTAACTGTTCTCTCTTGATCAGCACAATGGTCTCGGCCAACAGCCCCGCTGCAAAACCCCAAACTATCCATTACGTTCCACATAGAGAAAGAAACGTCAATTGATTGTGTCAATAGTCTTTTTTTTTTTTTTTTTTACAACCTTTCTTCCCATAGTCATCATTTTTTATTCTTTAATCCACGCTTTTCATCCTTCCCGCCTCATAGTTATATAAATAAAAACTAAATGTTTCCCTATGTTTGCTACTGTGATAACCTAATTTCACCTAATTGATTAGTAGTCATCTGATAATGTCTTGGTTGAGTAGATAAAATCAACACGCAACATTTTTTTATAGAAATATATTCTATTTTATTTATATTATTTTTGCATGAAGACTATTTAAATAATAATAAATATTTTTTCACGGCATCTTTTGGAGAAAAAAAAATTCCCGTGTTGTTGTTGTTGTTGGTCTTGTTACAGCAGTTTTCCATCTCGCCATTATTATGTCATTAAACATCCAGAACTCCTCAATCGCTGCCTTCTTATCTTTCACACATCTGAATTAACTTCCCATGATCTGTAATTTGTTCCATATGTCTGTAATATCTATCAAATTATGCCATAATGGAAATCCCATTAACTTAAAAAGATTTGCATTTACAGAAAATAGATACACTTACACACAATCTTCTGTCCGAGCTCCAGAATCTGCTTCTGACGGCTACGCCTAGCGAGTCGGGAGGAAGTCTATGGTCTGCTGCTGCTCGGGCAGAGCTTTCTCCTGGTGCTGCACTCCCAGTCAAGTGCTCTCATTGAGTCCCACAAGACATGAAACTTCTTCACTTTATGAGGACCGGCTAATATGATGAGCATGTGAGCAGGGTCTTTGTTCGCCCAAGTCTCATGACTCCAGTTCGAGGTAATCCCTTTGGGAGTCCCATGACCCCTTCTCCATGCCCACAGGGTATTTTCATCCTCCGCTTGAACAAGGCACAATAAATCTACTTTGATGACCGGCCCCTAATCTCCCAATTTGTTGAAACTCCTTTCTTTGTGTTCACTTCGCGGCGTGGAAGATCTTAGCTTGTGAGAGAAGACGCTGCAAACTGGCCAACCTGAAGGCACGCCAGCCTCGTTCGGGGGCTCCCCAACTTTTCACTTGAAACACTTTCACCCCCTTCGACTACTTTGATTTCAACCAAATTTGCATAATTGAGAGAATTGGTTGCGGGCATTCTTTTGGAAGGCGCCTCGCTAAGACACGACTGCTCTCCAGTTGGGGGCAAGGTCAGCCAATGCTAATTGCAGTTAATCTCTATTTCCATCCACCGTGTTATTGTGGAGCAAAGGAAGACTTAGCAGACCACCTATTTACTGTTATTGCTTTTTACTTTTGCTCATGTGAGGTGGATTTTCATTTTTGTATAATTTTGTACAATAAATGGCAAAAAAAAAGGATAATCACAGTGAGCCTACAGGCTTAAATGTGATATGCAACAGGTTAAAAGTCAAAGATGACCCATTTAGATTAGCTTAAAATGAATCATGTTTATTGTACATTAATGGGGTAACGCAATTAAGAACATTTCAAGTCATTAGGGGATATCAGGAGCGTACTTAAATAACTAGAGGGAGGCATTAGGTGAGCCCAAAGCTGAGATGGAGTTAACAAGCACAAAGTTGTTAAAACCTTCCACATGTGAAATGGTTTGATAAGCTCTCCTTTTATGGTGGAAGTGAGCAGTTTGAGCCGGACTGTAACTCAGAGTGAAAAAGTCACGGGAGGTTGGTGGTTGATGATTCAGAAAGACAGAGAGAGAGAGAGAGAAGTCCAACATGTCTACCCCCTTTTGGTTCGCCTCCGGTTTAAAAACGCACGTGGGCCGCTGTTAATTATAGCCGAGGAAAACAAAGCGCGTTTCCAGAGGGGTTTGGTGAGCATGTCGCACTCCTTTCAGCTTACTTAAACTCATTAACACAGCAATTAAAACCAAAATCGATTCAGCCACCAGCTTCCTCGTTACAAACTGCTTTTGAGCGCTTGACAACAAAAAACGCTAAAGAAGTAGATACTGCAGGATCAGATTGTGTCACACCAGGCAAATTAACAAGACTTACGACAAGCCTCTGAACAATAAACAACACTAATTCCAACGTGCAGAATTTTTTGAGGGAAGGACTGTGTGAAACAAAAAGGCAATTGTGTGGAAGAGAAATAATAACTGCTTGATTGCAGACATAGATATAGAAAAAGAATACAATGTATAAAAGCAGTGCTCTCATAAGAATAAGAGCTTCTCTCAGTTGGCATTAGACACAGTGTTGGTGTCAGTCAACATGCCATACATTCATGCCTTTTTGCACCAGAATCACATGGTCCTGGTCTCCTGACCCTCAGCTTAGTGAGCCACCACATCACAGCAAATTTATTCCAGTGCTGCAACAATTACACGGACTATTCAGCTGCCGACCGTCACAAGGAAAAGGTATGACGATCGCCGTATCTCCGTACGTGGACGTCTGACCTGGTCGGTTTCGCTGCATTTTGAACACACAACTGTTTACATCTGATTCATAAAAACTATACTTTGGATTTTTTTCTGAATATTTCAGTAACAACAGACTTCACGTACACAAAAGCCTCATCAGCACAAGTGAAATGGATCAGGAAGGATTTGGGGTTCCAAATGGAATGTCACCAGGGTTGAAGATAAAGCAACTAATTGCTGGGCTTTGGTTTTGAATGGCAGTGTGGTCCGATCCTGATGCAGTGTGACAGGAAGGGAGCCCATGTAGACTCCCTTTACTGTCTAAAATAATTTAGACTCATGGTCGATCCCACGTGGACTCACTAAAAAGCTGCCTTTTACATATTTCAACCTGAGGGGCAACAAAATTTAGACAGAATTACACACTTGAGTTATAGGCTCTGGATAGGCAAATTTGCATTGACTGTGAAGCAAACCCTGTTTGTAAATGCACCCATTGTTCCTCCTGGGTCTGAAAATCTAGTTAACCATCAACATGAAATCAGGGATTCAAAATGAAGATAGAACCCACAAATAGCACGCCTTAAACATTTTCTTTAGTAGAAGATAAGCATTTCCATGCATGGAAATAGGTCTGTGTGAGATCCTGTTCAATTATTCTAATAAGTACAACAGGTCACTCGTCACGATTTTAAGGGTTTTGATACTGAATATATGTAAAGTGTTACATGACATTTCTTTTAAATAAAAATAGATTTACCACTGCGAAAAAACAGATATGATGTTGAGTGTATCATTCTGCAACAAACTATTTGAAATTATAGGAAATGTATGTGCAGAAATGTTGATTAGTTTCCTTGTGCCCCGGGATCACCAAAAAAAAAACACATCTTAAGAACTTACTGGTGAAGCTTTTGCTCTTTATACGCTTTGCTAACTCAGACCTTTTACATTGGCGTCGGCCGCGGTCGTTCAAGGCTTTTTGGGGATTCTTGGCCCTCACCTGACCCTCACTTGATGCTTACATCACACAGTCATATGATCTTGCAAATTCTTGCAGGATTTGTTTATCCCTTATTTATTTAGCCTTTCGCTGTAAAAGAGGTAAAACGTCAGAAGAGACCGCTTATTTGCAAAACAAAACAGTATTCAGTCAGTAGACAAAAAGATAGAAGTTTACGCACGGTAACGAGGTGATATCATGTGAACATATTTAACTAAATGTGCTCTTTGTTGTGGAGTGCTTCAACTTTACCCTAATTTCTAATCATGTGTCATCCACAATGATGAAAGAGAGATATCGCATTCACCCTCTTTCTGATGCATTTTACCGTGTGTGAAAAATAAGTCCTTCATCTTCATACCATGAGTCCCTCTCAATGATAAAGTAAATATGTATCATTTGAATAAAGCAGACTGCAAACACCCTGCAGTTGGACCTGTGCAGCGTGTGAAAGTCATGACATTGCTGATTTCAATACAGAGTAAAACCTCATAAAAATGTTAACGATAATAGAAGAATATTGATCGCACCACTTTATAGAAACCCATCACACTAAATTATTTGTATGATGTCTGTGTCAGATTTACCCTACTGGTGACTTTTTGCATCAGGAGTTAGGTTGATTTAACCACAGGGTGAAACATTTCCAATGGTCATTGTGAAGTTGAATATTGACGTGTAATCTAGTAAGAATAAACTCAAAACCCTTTACGGTATGTTTAATATTTTATTTTTAAATAGGACAGTCTAGTAGTTCTTTTTCTTCATTGTCCTGGGCTAATATGCTTTTTAAAAAGCACTGAAGCAACAGAAACTTGGTGCGTTAGTTCGCATTGTGCATGGTTTAATCCCAGCATGTTGGATTTAAAGCAGAAGCACGCATTTGAAAATTGCATCTTTTTTGCTTTCAAGGACACTATAACAGGAGTATTTTAATGGCATGAAAGCAGAATTATTACTCAGAAATATAAAAACGTCCTGGATCTGTCATGTTTGTTGTCATCCATATCGGTCCATTATAAAGGATTAAACTGGGCCGAGCATCTCTTGAAACATGCTCACCCTTAAACACTATTTAAAAGTGCGTGCAGTGCAGACTATGTGCAAACCAATGTATGACCATCTGTAGCGAAGGGTGCGCGTCGCTGGGACACGGGGGCAGCGAAACGGTCGGCGAGGAACTAATGTGGCCGGATAATACAGTTTCATGTGACATACTGTCAATGCAGGTCATTCTCAGTCAAAGCAGTCATTGTTTCTGCATACAAAAAGTTACAAAGAAAAGAGAGAAATATGAACTTATATTGCAGATAACTTGTGTGGACACCAAACATTAACTTTCAGATTTAATGCATTTTTCCAACAAAAATGGAAACACTCCAGGTCAGATCCGTCTCAGTAGATGTGCAGAGTCCAGTCGGATTCTGGACTAAACAGGCGTCTTCTTACCTTCTGCGAGCCAGATGGAGTGCGTTTGAGGGAGGCCCGTCTGAAGGTGCTACTCTGGCCTTTGGTGTCCATACTGAAGACCGTCAAGTGGATTTAGACGGGCAGCCTTTGAGGAATGGCCACAGGTCAGGGTTCAGTCAGAACCAATTTTAGACACCAACTACAGAACCAAGGCTTGACAGCAACTTCAGGATTCACACCTAAAAAAAAAATAGTCACAATTTTACATAATTCAAGGCTTCAGTGCGTTGCTCTCCTCTGTGCAGCTTACTCCCGACTGACAAGATAGAGATCCAAGCCAGGGATATAAATCGCTCGATGACACACTTGACACATAGACCCTTTTCCTCGGCCGGGCATCCCATAATCAGGCTTAACGCAGCCGGCTCTTACGAAGCCTCTGCAGTCTAATGGATAGAGATTTAATAAATGGTTATTGAAGGTAAATCTACTTTGGCACGGCGCAAAACAGGCTTAGAGAGACCATGCAAGCTGCGAGGCTGAAGTTAGCTGAATGCTGTCCCACCTGAGGAGGCTCAATCCGTCTGAGGGATCTCCCATCCCGGGAAATGTGGGATCTGTGCACACATGGAAATGTGTGCACACATGGAAATGTGTGCACAGATGCAGAGTGACGATTACTCAAAGCGCACACCTGCTACCTATAAACGTTGTAAAGCCTCTTCGGATCTCACCTAATTGGCATTTCACATGTATTTTTTTTTCTCCATTTAAAGTAATGTCAGATTTAGAGCAGCTTGAAGTTAAGTATTGTAGAGTTTGAACTCTTATATAACACCAACAAAGGTGATTTTAAAAAAGGCTTAAAAGGATGAAGGCTTAATACCACATTGCATTAACTGGCCTACGCTGACAGATAAGAGAAAATGTTTTTATATATTCACACAGCTAGAATGTGAAGAATATTGGCAATAAGGAATTGTAGCGCTTGAATTCTGATGTCATCACTTACCAACCAAATTAAACCTGTAATGTCATTGTGACATTATGAATGTTTAGCTGAATAAATCAGGTGCTATTTAAGTATCTCAATATACAAATCGAATTGATCTGTTTCCTCATAGAAGATTCCGCATACAAGGTAGGGAACAAATTAAACTGTTGTGTACATTTGATTGTCTCTTCAAACAAAAAGCAGCTGGAATAAGATTCAAATGTAACTCCAGAGTCAGACGTATTATAAATGCAACAGCTTCCCCTACTGGGTACTAAGTGGAACAGTTATAACCATCATTTCCAATATCACACATGAAGGAAACACGAAGTGTACAGTGTATGATATTTACATTGAGGAAAACTTAAACCTACGATCTAAACAATTATTAGGGCTGTAACGATTCATTCACTGAATCGATTAATCGATTTATATTCCTGCGATCCAACTGAATCGATCTGTGCTCCGCAAATCGGCATTCCGGACGACATATATCGATTACAAATCGATTGAAATGGTACATAATCGATTGAAACTGCACGTTGGATTTAAGTACAAAAACGGTATGGATGCGTGTTTGTTTGTTTGTTTTTTTTAGCACTTTAGACACGTTAAACGTTACTCGATTCAGTCTGCCTGTTTGTGACGTCATCAGTACGCAGCGACAGCCGCGCGAAACTCGGAACAACAACAAACACAGCGTGGAGGAGACGACTGCGAGCGAGACATTTACAAACTAACTTATCGATCCAGCGTGTGGAAACATTTTGGCTTTTGCAAACACGGAGGTGTTCTAAATAAGTCGGTCGCTGTTTGTAGAATATGTGGAAGACAAATAAAAAAACACGACGAATCTTTCCGGCCATCTACTAAGGCGCCGTGGGATTAAACAACGCCGACAGTCAGGTCCTCTAGCAGCGTTACCGCTGCAGCAGCAGCAGCAGGTAACTCCAGCTCTGCAGACACCTCAGGCCTCGCCAGCACCAAACTCAACATCACAGTAACAATTGGCAAGTTTATCTGTAAAGACATGCGACCCTACAATGTGGTTGAAAATCCGGAGTTCTGTGAATTGATCCAAACATTGTGTAATTATTGTGTAATGTTTACATTGAGTTTACAAATGGCACTTGATTCAAATAAAAGGTTAATACATTTGCCATTAATTGTTGTTTGCTTGTTTATAATATCCAGAATGAATTTAAAGCTGATTTTCTCACAAGAAACAACAGGGATCTCAGAAACTTTGCCTGCACTGTCCAGTAAAGTTACTGAATCGATTTCAAGTCACTGAATCGAATCGTTCTAAATTAAGCCAGATCGTCCATGTATCGAATCGGCAACCATGAATCGCGATTCGAATCGAATCGTTGTTAAAATGAATCGTTACACCCCTAGTGTGTACCTGCTTACAATTGTCTTTGCCCACGAGGCCCGTGGGGGGGAAGGCCAGGGTCGGCGAGCTCCAGCTGTCTCTCTGACCGGAGCCTCGCGTGTTGCTGTACTCCCAACGTTTCTGCTGCAACTGCTGGAGCCAGAAATGCATCACCTGCCTGGTGGGGGCCTGCAGAGAGAGACACACACACACACACACAACACACAAACGCACACTTACCTTCATGTACAAGTAACACAATCAAGATCACGTTAAGAGGCAACTCAAACTTCATCACTTCTAGAATGACGCCTAGAGCAACGAAGAAAGCATGTGAAACGGCATCGGTCACGTGGACGAGCACAGGCGCTGGTTTCGGTCTCAGTTCCAGCCTCGGGCCGTGCAAGCTGTTTGGCGTTAACCATGCTCACCATCTGCTGGGTGAGAGAAGGCTCCAGCCTTTGAGCAGCTGGGACACCTGCCTGCTGACACTGAAACCAGCCCCCGTCACGTGACAGCGGGGAAGACACCGTCACATGAGGGGACAGGCAGATGAGGTCATGGGGATGAAACACTGACCCTTGACCGATCTCTGCGTGTGAACAGTGGAGACGTCTGCGAGCGAGACATTTACAAACTAACTTATCGATCCAGCGTGTGGAAACATTTTGGCTTTTGCAAACACGGAGGTGTTCTAAATAAGTCGGTCGCTGTTTGTAGAATATGTAGAAGACAAATAAAAACCACGGAAACACAACGAATCTTTCCGGCCATCTACTAAGGCGCCGTGGGCGCCTTAGTAGATGTTGTTTGTTGTTTGCTTGTTTATAATATCCATAATTAATTTAAACCTGATTTACTCACAAGAAACAACAGGGATCTCAGAAACTTTGCCTGCACTGTCCAGTAAAGTTACTGAATCGAATCGAATCGTTCTAAATTAACCCAGATCGTCCATGAATCGAATCGGCAACCATGAATCGTGATTCGAATCGAATCGTTGTTAAAATTAATCGTTACAGCCCTAACAATTATGTATTTAAAACAACACATTTGTAATCTTTTTAAACTTTCTAAACATTTCTACACATGTTGTCGTCGCAGCACGTGTTGGATAACTGAACAGCAGGATTCATGTGGATGAATAAAATCAAAAAGTGGAGCTCACAGAAACACATTGGAACAGTGAGGAAAGTAGGACAGTTTCCACTTCTCTTTATTTCAAACTCAGTGTTGTCCATTAATCATTATTATTTTTTCCCTACTCCATCCCAACCAAGTGTCTCAACGTTGTCTCCTCCTAAGAATGGATGAGGATAAGGACCATTTCTCCTAGTAAGCAGACACATATGAGCTTTATCAACGGCTGAGGCTTTAGAGATTATTCGTCTCTAGGAGGAGTAATAGCACTCAACGGAGCAGAAAAAACACGTAATATTGTTTTTTAACAACTGATATTGTTTTTAACAAGTCTGGTGTGACCAATGAATATGAAAACTCTTCACTATAAGCGCAACTGTGTGTTGCGTTATATGAACGATGTATGTCACGTCATGGATATCTGTAACATCATTAATGCTGGAGAGAAAAGAAGTTTGGCGCCCTCTGCCGATTTGTAATAGGAGGTATTGGAAACGACAGAATTTTGCCACAACCCAAAGTTGTTGACATTACATAGTTTAACTGAAGATAGATCAAATTGAAAAAAGATCCAACCGGATATGACCATATCTGTGGCAGATGAGGTGTGAGCTTTCCAGTTAGTACTGGAGAAATAGCTCACCCATGTGCCTGACTCTATGTGGGGGGACGGTGAAGCAATTTCTCCAGGGCCTGCTGGAGCTCCGGGGTCAGGGGGTCGTGGACAGGGGGTCGTGGACAGGGGGGTTGCCGGTACCAGGACACGAGCTCAGGAAAGGGGGCAGGAGCCAAATACCTGGAGGGAAACAGCAGCACACACAATGACTCACTCAGGGGGGAGGAGTCTAATGCAGCGGCGCCCCTGTGTTACCATGGACACAAGGATGCAGAATAATCATCTTTTTGTTACTGTCCAAAGATTAATTCAGTCAACCATAAAAAAATGAATGTGATACTTTTACTTTATTATAGTAAACTTTAATATATTATTGTTCCTAAGTGAGAGATTTAAGTAAATAAAACTTACAATAATAAAGGATGTGATTGAGAAGACTTGCAGACCTGAACTTGCTGAATGGGTGACTTACAAATCGGGGTGAGGAGGAGGAGGAGGAGGACGGGGAGCAGAGCCTTCTTGGCCGCTCTGAGGAGCTGTTCTTTGGTTGAGACTATAGTGGGGGTGAAGGTCTCTGTGGTCGGCTGACTCAGGCCTGGGACACACACACACACACACACACACACACACACACAGTCCCTCTTGGTTGAACTGGTCACACTGGGAACACATGATGAGCAACCAGTAACAGAAAAATTATTTTAGATCATCAAATCTTAAAAGTAAACCCGATTGGATTAAGCTGAGGGAACAAGTGCTGCACTGTTCAACTTACCGGCAGCAGGAGGCTGCTCCACCGGAGGGTCCAGGGGGGCGGCCTTTCGGGTCCTCTTCTTGAACACCCTGACAAAAAGAAGGTGTAAAGGTGTATAGACTGGATCTTGCACACACACACACACACACACTTACTTCTGCTTAACCGACGTTTCTTTATATGAAACGACCCCTCGGACTGTGTGTGGACTACGAGGCCTCACTGAGGGACGGAGACAGAGACAGAAAGATAGATAACTGATCATGTTAAGCACTTTGTTCCTCTGTAATCTTACATCCTTCATTTACCCAGCTGGAGCTGTTGAACTGCGGAAACTGAAAAGAATCTCACTATTTGTTCCTTTTTTAATGCTTGTTGAAAGGTATTTGTACTTTTGATATTGTGTAAAGCAAAGTCTCAAGTAGGAAAGTAACGTGTACATAAGTGCGTTTGAACTGCGGTCATCTAATTTATCGTCATCATAGCAAGTCTGATTGACACCAGTCATCCATCCCGGATCCAATAAGAAACCAACGACCGATGACCTCATCACGTTAGAATATAAAGTCCATCCTTTCCCACTATAAGTGCCTGGCCACAAAGTAACGGGAGCAAAGAGATCTTAGTTAACCAGCTGCACACCGAACAAGTTTGAGGAATGAAAGGCAATTTGACAAAGATTCCTGGGATTCCTGTCTTCTTTCATTCTTGTCTACTACATTGCGATGACATCTTCAATGACTCCTGATTTAACTGAACTGAGAAATAAAGTGTCAAAGATCAAGATGACTCCAAAGGGGAATCTCTGGGCGACAGGTAAGACAAATAGAACTATCCCGGCTCATTTCTTCATATTTTTTTTTACAAAAACAGTTTATGTTGACGTGTTTGTTTTAAGGGCATTTCATGGGCACGAAAAGTGTTATGGACAGTCCCTTAATGAAGTCTGCCTTTGAAGATGTAAAGATCCCCACCGGCAGGGCGGTTAGTCTGCACCGAGTGGAAGACCTGCAAGCACTGCTCTTCCAGATGTGGAAAACTGCCCAACAACCCAACAGAAACATGCATTGAACGTGTAAGATGATGATGCTGTTAATCTATCATTATTATTATAGCCAATCCTTGACTTCACAGCTGATTCTTTTCCATACATGTAGAGGAGGAGGGCGTCCTGCTTGACGAACATTAGAACCAACGAAGAACCAACCAATATGAAGACCCCTTGAAGAAGATGAGGGTTTTACTTTTTTTTCTTTTCTTTTAAAGCTATGATATATGAATATGGTGACGTTTTCAATGTGATATGTAACATTATATAGGTTAATATAATGCTGATTTTCTGTTCTTGTGTGCAGTTATTTAAACCCAATGTACAATTACCAATAAAAAGGTATAGAAAGTCAGTCAAATGACTAACGTTACGTCCTTTAGCTTAGTGGCGCCTCCTGTTGGCGGTTAATGGTAAACTAATAACAAACCAGATCCGGTTGAAAGTGCCAACATGCTTTTTCATCAAACCTTAGGCTGCGTTGTTCGGTAGCAGTAATGCCTCTTATAGTTTTGTGCGGTTACCCCTGCAGCGGCAAAACACAAAGGGCCGAAGAACTGAAGGTGTGTTTTGAACGCCGCACCGACCGAAAGGTTCACATTGTAGGAGACGCAGCGCTGGGCGTTGAGAAAAACACTGTTTACGCAGGCAAGTTGAGCTAATGTCTGCTAAGCTAATGCTAAGCTAACGTGAAGTCTCCCGTTAGCCCCAGCGGGCAAGTTAAGCTAATGGCAGCTAAGCTAACGCTGAGTTAGCCTCAGCTGCTTATTAAGTTAGTTAACTTTTTCAGGTTTCAGGTAAATCGTATTGAGTTATTTTGGGAAGTGCTTTTTACAGGTTAGCACCAACAAGTTTGCATTTAACTTGTCACGTTAATTCAACCACTATACGTCACGCAGCTGTGTGAAACGAGTAACCTACCGTTGAGCAAACTGAAAGAAGCCGCTAAATTGACTCTAAATGATATAAAACGTAACTTAACGTCACATTAGCTGCGGAAACTGTATCGTTAAGCAGGATTAATTCAAGAGTAGTTGAAGTGAAGCTTGGTGTGAAAATACTGTTTCCTGATTCCTGTTTCCTGATCCTGATCCTGACTAACCCGTGATAGAGGCTCTTCCTATGAACGACAAAACAATAATATCTTTAACCTTAATACTACAACAGTCAACGTTAGTTAAATATATGGTTATTATGTTTGGTTTGGAAAATTATTTTCTCAACTAAGTCAAAGCGAGGCATTTTATTTGCATTTAACGCTAACATTTCAGCGACAATACCCATTCCACGCGATGTGGCTATACAAATGAAACGTGTTGTCAAAGACATTGTAGAGAATTAACAGCTCAAATGGAATTAGAGAGATATTGAATAGAATCTCAAAATCCCAAAGAAGACTATAACTGTAACTTAAACCTGGTTGGAAATGTTGCAGATTCACAAAAGGAAAAAAACGTCCGAGCATCGCTGAAAGCTGAAGTGGAAAGGTTGGTTTTTGGATCCCATTCATCAGTTCCCTCCTGCTGTCGCTGCTCCTTTTAACCTTTATTCATTTCTTTTTTAGGAAAGTCAACAAGGATGACATTGTCATTTTTGATTCATTAAATTACATAAAAGGTAATTTTCTTTCTTTGTGCTGTGATACGAACGAAAGCATTATGATTTGTTCCTGCGTTGACCTTTTTAAAATCCATACACTTTTCAGGCTACCGCTACGAACTGTTCTGTCTCATCAAACATACGCAGACACCACACTGCCTGGTAAGTAAATAAGTAATATTGAATATCTAGAAAACTATATAAACACTTGAGCTAACATAAAACATACTCTCTATTTTGATGAAGGTATACTGTTTAACGTCGGGTGAAATTAGCTCAACGTGGAACGCAAGCAGAGATGCGGCTGAGCGGTACAACCAGGACATGTGAGTGAGAAGCTTCTGCACACTTAACCGGCAAGCTTTTACAATAATGAAATTACCTTTATTGAGATGGAATATTTTGGCCATATATCGCCCTGCTGCAAATACAGAGCAAGTGCATTTCAGGATTTGTGTGGATGCCTGTGATACAATTTATGTTTTTTGTGTCTGGTTCTAATTTTTTTTTTAGCTTTGACGCATTGGTGCTGAGATTTGAAGCTCCAGACTCCAGAAACCGATGGGACAGTCCCCTCTTCACCATCCTGAAAGACGACGCGCTTCCATATGAGGACATTTCTGACGCACTTTTCAAAAGGAAGGCCCCGCCCCCTAACCAGTCTACACAGAGTGTAAGCAATAATAGAATACAATATTCTATAGATGTAGTGCTTTTGTGCTGCCTTTTTCATTATCTGATCGTAATATTCTTTTTCTCTGCAGCAACCACTGTCATCTGTGAACTTCTTGCACGAGTTGGACAAGATCACACAAGATGTGTTATTGGTATGTTTTTGAGAATTTGTGGGTATTTTTTAACCGTTACACGCTGGGATATACATTTTGCTGGAGCCGGTTTATCTTTTGATCACAATGGTGAAAATTCAAAATCCCCAAAAAATTAATTCTTAATTCTTGCGTCATGTCCCTGAGCTCACAACCCCCCTGATGAAGCCGAAGTTACAAAGCCTTTATTAAGCTTGTTGAAAACAGTCAAAGCACCGAGGGAGTTAAAGATCTGAGAGCAGACTGCTGCATCGCAGCAGGTATTCAAACCGCAGTTATTTTTCTTACAACGTTAAGTTTCCTTTTATTATTTACACGCAGTTTTTGCAAATAGCTTTGCGGCTGTAAAGAACCTCAACCTTTTTGCTGTTGAGTAAACCTGTCAACTGATTTTGCAAAGAAATATTTAAATTAATATTAAATTATTAGAAGAACAAGTAATTTCCTTATTTCAAAACAATTATTATTATTATCAGTCCAATTAAAATAATTAGTGTAAAGATTTTAAACTCCTCGCATACCAATGCATCTACGGAGCTGTATTTGTCATTAATATTCTATATTTTGTATGTTATTTGTGTTCAATAAATGTTTTTAACATTTTCAGGCAATTTTTAACTCACTGAAGACGAGCGTTCCAGGCGATCTCATCACAGTACCCGGAGCCACCGAAAAGATATCCTTCTTACATACTTATACGTCATTTTTTTAATTTAAAAAACACCCCTTTGGAGGACTATTTCAGAGGTGCGTTTATTTCAATGTGGGATGTCACAAGTCCAGAGAGCAGTAACCTTTCTCATGAAAATACTACTAGTCGTCTACCTCAGATGATGCGTTTGAAGGAGGTGGATGAATGCATGTTCGGCGATTCTTTTTTTTTCATATGAAAGGCACAGCAGCTGATCACTTTTAAATGTCTGTAATAATATACTGTGGGATACGTAGAAACCAAATTACATAGATAAGTGGCTTTTTATTGGCATCTGCATGTCATCACAACCCAACCCTTTTATTTTTTCTCTTGAACGTTGCCGTTCCAGGCAGGGACAAAATCAAAAGTACGTTAGGTTCTGGTTCTGCTCCCGTCAACCCTTTAATGGCAGGTGCATCCACTGACGTGGCGTCGGTACATCGACTGCTTTGTGTTCTCCTCAAAGGCTGTTTGAGATACGGGTCATTGCTTTTCACCTGCAGCAAAGTTCTTCTTGTACCAAATGTCCTTAACCTGAGGTTTTAACGTCGAGCTCACCAGGCCCATCAACATGGCAGAGCTGAGGAAATTACGCCGACAGTTCATCAGCTACACCAAGACACACCCAACGGAGAACAGCGGACACATTTCCAACATGTTTGTGCAGTATTTAAATAAGAGTCTTCACTGAAATTTTAACAGCAGAGGTTTCAGTTTATTATTTGCTTCAACTGATAAATTAATTCAATGATATTTGTTGCGTGTCTTTGTGTTATTGACTTTGCATTTGTTATTGACAAGAAACTAGTTATTGCACAACTTTAAAATCCCCTGAAACAGAAAGACATGTAATACCTCATATTGATATAATAAATTATATACAATTATATCATTATAATAGTAATGATTTTTGTTATCCATGTTTTTCTAAACACCGCAAGCTCAACTACGTTAAAGTTAATCTGTCAACCTAAAATAAAACAAACATACTCTTTAGTTCTTCTAAACACCAATAGAAACAATAGTACAAGACTTCACAATACAAGAAACCCACACAAAAGGAACTATATCATAAGTATTTATTCACAGAATTGTCCTCGAAGTCTCTTTCCTCTGAGTAAAGGCAGTGCCAAAGATTCGGTCCCAGTGGCAGAAGAAGGGGGCGTAGTTGCTGCTCGGCCTCTGGTGGTGCATGTCGTGAGCCGGTGCACCGCCCAGCAGACCGAAAGGCACCAGGTGGTTGAGGGTCCACGGCAGGTCGTAACCTATGTGGTCCTCCACTGACATCCAGATGCTGAAAACCGTCACACACCATGTGGTCAATGGGTGGCACCTTAAAAGAATTGGGTCCTGGTTGCTCCACAATCCAACGGACATCAGCTCTGGGATGCTGAGCAGCTGAGTGCACCAAGAAAAAGGAGCCACGTATTCATGGTGGGTCGCGTGCATGAACCGATAGAGCTGTGGTTGCTTGTGATGAATGAAATGCCAGATGTAGTACTGAGTGTCAAAGAGAAGAAGTACAGCCAGCCCATCGATGATCACCTTATACAGTGTCGGAGCAGTATCTGGCAGTTTTGGTGTAGGTAGTATGAACATGGTGAGCAGTACAGTTGGCAGGACAAAGACAATGTTATTATACGCGGCTGTCATGAAGCTCCTAGACATCATTCCCACAGTTGGTCGCCTGTCTGGTTGGATCTTGTACCGATAGAACAAAGGAACTCTTTCTCCCAAGAGGTCCAATGCAGCAAAAGGTATGCTAAAGAAAACATAGCTGGAAAAGGCAAGTAGGACAGGGAACAAAGGAGACGAGATGAGAGGCAGCTGGTGAAAAAGCAAATAATCCCAAACCGGCTGCAGGAGGCGGCCAGAGGCTCCGCAGGGAGGAGGCTGCAGAACTTCACTGCTGTTCAACATCTTGCTGTGGTACCAGTGACGACTGCTGCAAGTTCTGCCTTTTATATAAGGGGGTTCAACAGGGGGACCGAACAGACCAAGAACACACACACACACACACACACACACACACACACACACACACACACACACACACACACACACACACACACACACACACACACACACTCTTTGACTTAACGTCGACAGAAACAAAACGATTAACAAAACCACTGAATATCATGCATTTCTATTCATACTAATAAGCTTGCAAGGATTTAATCAGTAATAATGCATCTACGGTTGGACAGTAAAAAAAATATTTATGGGGAAATACGCCAATTTGTTGTTTTTAAGTGAAAGAATATTTCAGAATAGATCTTAATCAATATCTTTGACAATATTGAAAAATTAAGATTTGATGAAATTGTTCACGACATGTCATCATGGTGTCAATACAGGCAGGGAACAGGCAATTCCTTATAAAATCCTTATTAGACACAACTTAATATAGTTTTTCAGTCCAAATGTAACCAAAAGCATCTCATTATATACAAGGATTAACCTTGGCATCTGAACAACAACTTGAATTGAACAGTTTATCTTTTCTCACAATCACACAAAATGATCATAACAACTTATTGGGTAAAATAGACAATTTTATTGAAATCAATTAGCAAATTCAGAATTCACTTATTAAGGCAATAATGCTTTTCTTTGTCAACTACTTCTTTTCAGCGACTGACTTCCTCGAAACCGTTTTGTTGGTGTTGGCATATTTATGTCGATCATTTCTGAAAGAAAAAAAAGAATTTGAGCATTTGTTTTTCATGAATTAAAGATCCACATTCTTTTTTTAGCAATAATGTTGGCAATAAACAAACGTGAACCTTAAAGGTCGTTACACATACCTGCTCATTTTGACTTTATTTCTGCATCCCAGTCCTCCTTCCCAGTGAGCGGAGCGCGCACCTCTGGTCATCATGCTTCCACAGCTCACGCACGGCTTCCCGTTGCTGTACGGCTGCGACAAGAAACATTTTACTAAATCAAATTCCCTTCAGAGCAGCGGCGGATTGGTGGGTCAGATATTGGCCAGAAAGATGGTTTGTCCCTTGACTGCTGATCGGGACATTTATTGAAATACATTGGGTGTATCATAATCATCGTGATACATGTATTGTTGGGTTGGCTTGAGGTTGTGGATGTGGGATACCAGACCTGTTATCTACACGCAATTCATCTCTGGATGAAGAAGTTTCTACTTCTTTAGCTCACCTGTTCTTTGGCACAGTAGCCACAGATCATCCGGTTGGCCAGTTCCATGGGGTGGTCCTGGTCCTCATCATGGCACGCATCACACGGGTAAGCCCGTCCACAGCAGGGAAACCTGAGGGAACACAGAGGCACAAAGGCTTCTTATATTTTGGCAATAAATGTTTCCTGATTCTCCTTCACGGTGCTCTTCATCTTCTTCTCAAAACTTTGAGAGACGGTCTGTGGCAGGACACAGGGATGATGATACCTCAGCCAGCGATGGCTCTGTTTGTAGTGTTTGCATCCTCCTTTTTCGGGCAGTGGCTTCCCTCTTTGCACAGCAGGATCTCTTATCATCTTATAATTAACAGCGCAAGCACTTGGACCTGCAAAAAGTGAAAATCTACATTTGGTCTTTCTGATCTGTTTGGGCACAGTAAACATTTGACATAACGATGAAAAGCGGCTTTTTAAAATAATGAATAACATTGCTGAGGGCGCCAAATGGGCTTGTTGTGTTGTAAAATCTTAATCCTCTGCTGATCCCTGTTGTAGCTAATGTGGCAGAGCGCTGACCTGATCGGTTGACACTTGGCTGAATGTACTGGAATCTTGTGCTCTCGGCCAGAATAGTGAGTTTGCTGTGGCAGTGTTCGCAATTTAACTCTTTTGTTTGACCGTAGCAAAGGTTCTGGTAAGAATACAAAAGAAAATAAGCAATTTCAGGAAGAGCTCGTCATTATAAAATACAGTATATACAGACAGAACATGTGTGCAGTATTAAGCGGGACTGAATGTTACCCCACCTGCACGGGGCACTCCTCGGAGCAGCTGAGGCAGCCCACGATCAGTTCACACTCCTGCAGCACCAGGTCGGCAGGCACCGCGTTGTGAAGGTCCAGGTATCCCAGGACATCGCTGTAGTGGTGCAGCATGCAGGGCCTGAATGCAGCCGTGATGCTCGCACTGCACTTCTCGCACTGAGCCGTGCAGGCTGTCCTCCCGCTCAGGGACAGGTCCGCAGTTACCTTACACCTGCAGACGGTTCACAAGCGGTCAAGCTTTCAAATGATGGTTTTAAATAGACGCTGATATGACATTTAACTCAGTTTTCTTCACCTGTTACATTGAAGACAGACAGTGATTTGTTGGGCCACTACTGTTGCCGTGTTCTCTCCCATCCTCAGTCCCTGCAGCTTCACTTCGGTGCCTCTGCGGGGATCGCTGATCTTAATGTTCTCCACCAGATGACTGGCTTCCTCATGCTCACCCACTTCCTGCCCTTCATCACAATCGGTGCCCTCCTGCTGCACTAACTTCCCTCCCTCCACTGCACGCTTGACGTCCGTCTCTTCCAGCTGTCCACCGTCACCATCGTCCGCATCCGCGGGGTCTTGAGAGCCGTCGTTCACAGATTTTTCACACACGGTTGCTTGCAGCTCCTGATACGTTATGAATTGCAATCCAGCTTTTTCCAAGTCAACGTCTTTTTTCAACTGCAAACACATTCATGGAGAGAATTGTTCAACTTTTGATTTTGTTTCTTAAAAGCATTTATTCACAGGTGCGTTTAGTAGATCTAAAAGGAATGGCGCACGAATCATCATCTTCTGTGATCGCATGTTGCAGTCTCACCTGCCGGGCTCCTTCAGTGAAAAGTCTCTCCAAGCTGCGGTCGAGCCATCGGAGAAAAGGCCGGAAGAGCAGCTCTATCTTTCCCAGAAGCTGATTGGTTGCATGCTTGGCTCGAAGCCACTCCAGTGACGCTTGCTGCAAGTGTCTATTTAGCGAGTTGTATTGAAGAGATTTATAGAAATGGCAACACCAACGATACTAAACATTAAATGTTTAAAGTTGTTTACCTTGCCATTACTGGTGGAAGCTCCTGGTCCAACGGTATGTCCAATGTGAAAATCTAAGACAATGAATCAAAGTGATGAGGAAATGTTCTTTCCACAACAACCATTTACTGCGTAGCATATTATAGAACCTGTAGTGTAAATTTACCTCCTGCGGGTAACTGTCTGGGAAGCTGACCATGATGTCGACTTCTTTCAGATCAAAAGGCTAGAATTTAAAATGCAGGGTTAGTATATTTCTAGACAATAGTGAAGGGTCATTTGCACTGGTCATCTACTTACAAACCAAAGCTAGGCAAATGTACGAAAAGTTGGTTGAATCATGAATATCATTTCCAGTAGAAACATTATGATTGATTATGACTTTAATAGTGTTGAAAAAATGGATTAACCATTGTAATTTGCCAGTGGCGTTCATTCAGTTCAATACTTGGACCCGTTCAACCCTACACTGGGGTTGAGTCAGTAGTAAACACAATGAGGGAATATAGTTATTATAGGCCTCGATTGCCAACTTTTTAAATCCTTGGTTTACCCCATTTCTCAAACAACGGTACGCTTTCATGATAAAATCCCTATGGGGTTTGTTGTGGAATATTTCAATAAACTAGCTCGGGAGAAGAGAATGAATAATGATCAAAGCTGTAAAAAGTCCATTTGTTGCTTCAAAGCAGGAGGCCAAATACACCAGCACGTATCACAGTGCTCTGTGGAGATGGAGTTTTTTATACACACACACACGTGAAGGCCATCCTCAGTGGCAGGTACCAGAAGTTGCAAACCGAGTTGAGATAAGAACCAAGGTTAAGATGGGGGGTAACGCACACAGTTCCTTTGTTTGAGCACCTGTGTGAGAGCGAGTTGACTCGCCCTCCCTTCTCAGACACGGCTGCCAATTAAGTTTTGTATCATCCTGCTCTTGGCACGTCAGGGTCAAATACAGACACTCGAGACACAGGTTTAGCACAAGACAGTGTTATAACGTATTTTTACCAGGTTTGCCACAATATAGTAGCATTGATTCCAGTACTTACTTGATTATATTTATCTGCAAACACAGTCTTACTTTCGGTCAGTTAGTTAAAGACAGACCTTGAGTCTTACGGTATTACAAAGATTATGAGGGTGGTGGAGAGAGGATAAGAAGGTGGATTAAATGCTTACCCAGTCGGGATCAGTGGCCTCCACAGTCGCCCTGTAATAAATCACCATGCCATCACTGCGTTCCTGAACAATCAGCTGATCTTTGGGAAAGCGCCTCTTCAACTGCTTGATCTCCGTGTCGCGCAGCTGCTTGGCGACATCCTCCGTCAGGTCACACAGCTTTATCTCCTGGAGAATGCCGGGGCAGGAGACTGGTGGCATCCGCTGCGCAGGTCTTGGGTGATTGACAGGAGCCGGCTGGTGATCCACCGGGGGGAACTCTACCGGATGCCAAAAGCGACATCGGTCCTCCATGGTGCAGTGGCCTGAGATAAAGTAGCGACAGGGGCGGCGGCGGTGGCTAGCTGCCGGGGCAACCCGAGAGGTACTCGGAGGAGGCCCGTGTCCCACATCTTCTCCAAGGACGTCGGAGTTTGAAGTTGGGACATGTGTCACGGTTTTCTTCTCTTGCTCTTTGGCGTCCTCTCTCGTGTGTAAGAATCTGCATTTCTTCCCAAAATTGCAGTGTCTCCCTTGAGAGAAGAAGCGACACCGCTGCTGTGGATGAAGCTCGCGCTCTGATTCACCAGTCTCGTCTCCCACTTCATTCTCCATCAGGATCTTCACCTGAATGAACGAAAAAAGCAACACAGATTTGTTTTAGACTGGTGTTCTTCTTCTTCCATCCTCGTGGCAGGGTTTTTGTTTAAACACTACTGAATTAAAAGCCTATAAATAAAGTAAGTAGTCATTTACTTTTATGTGAACACTATAGAGCCAAACGTATATAGACACAGAGACAATATGGGACGCGAAATAATCTACATTCTTCTGAGAAGACTTGCACAATATTTCGGTGTTTTGATCTCATTCAGCCACGAGAGTCTTAGAAAAGTTGGGCATCACTAAGCCTTATAGTAAGGCCCTAAAAGTTGGGGGCGCCCCCTTTATTAAAAGACCCCGCGGGGGGGGGGGGGGGGGGGTGTTACGGGACAGGTAGCTCGGGAGCTACCTCCGCCATTCTTTCAAATCGACACTAAGTCAGAGTCCCGCCCTCCTCTGACTCTGTTTGGTTTATTTCAGGTTCACGGCCAATCAAACCAACGATGGCAGCTAGTATTACCCAATACGGGGCCGAATAGGATGCTGCATTGACGACCGCTCGGAAAATACGGGACAAACCCCGTCCTGTATTTATTCAAAACGGGACGCGTTATTTTATTCTCAAATACGGGACGATTCCGTATTTTAAGGGACGCTTGGCAACCCTACTTACATGTACTTTGCGATGAGGCCCTTTCTCAAACTGCTGCCACAGAGTTGAGCACACGCCTCGTCAAATACAGTGCTCTGCTTGTTTTTGACCTCGCCATGATAAAGCCATGCCAAGAAATGGACTTTAACCGCCTGTTTTATTGCTTTTTGCTTGTTATGATCTAAAGTATTGGAACTGGTTACATTTGATATTCGAACTAGCAGCATTTATCACCGTATCATCTGACATTGTAAACCCCAATCAGTTGCGTGCCTTTTTAGTCTAATGCTAGCTTTTATATTGTCATGAAAAGACAAACGTCAGCAATCTGACTCGCTAGCTAACGCTTACCAACAGCGGCTTAACGTCAGTTGGTAAAGTGTCAGTTCAAAGTTATTGTAATAATAAGAATTTTAATAAAATTAAACACAACCGTCCGCTTTAAATTTAAATACCAAAAGCTACCTCAGAAGTGGCTCCGTCGTTCAGTGTTTCAGCAGGAAACGTAAGAGACTATTTAACGACAGCACTGTGGTTTACGGTACTACGCGCGAGCTTCAAAATCGTCTCGGGTAACGATTCTCTCCGTGATACAGCCAAAGCAGTTTATCATGGGCAAAGGTTACGGAAATTTGGGGTACAGACGGTCGGGACGTCGTCTGTCGTTAACTTGACGCAAACTATGTCTGTCGCCCTCTACAGTTTGGGAGGGTGGAGAAGAAGAGGAAGCGAAGAAGTTCAACATACGACAATAACAAAAATTATGATCAATGAATATGATGATTATTTTTTCCTTATGTACTGCACGCCCCCTCGATCCGTGGGTTAATACGACCTCCTCCCAAGCATGCATGCAGGTCACGCTACCACTGCTTGTTTAATCGGATTATTGTGTTGCACGCCATTGCGCATCTTGTTAAATTGAGTTGTAGCCATAGGAATAAATTACCTTTTAAACTCAGTTGGTTCTGAATTCCACTGAGGATGACTGAGAAAATGAATGAGATGTTTCCTTGTAGGTCTTGGCTGTCGACCCTGGCCAGGTACAGACTGCTGCATCGCATTGATCTTTTCAGGGGTCTTAACAATTTTTCATAGGACGATTTACTAACTGCTTAGAAGCTTTTAATTGGATTACGATAATAGAGTGTAATGGGATTTACATTTTTCTGAGCACTTGGTACTTATGGTTGTATTTATGTCAGAGGCGGTGCGAAGTTCATTTCCTTCCTGGAAAACAACTATTTGTAAACAACGGTTATTAGCTCATACTATCATTATGCCAACATGGTTCATCATAAAGATGAGAGTTGCAACTCTCCTCATTAAAAACGTTTGATATGAATATGCTTTAGAACTGCCACTAACTACACATTGAGATGTTTTTTCTTAACATTTCTTTCTTCTGTTTCACAGTAAACCTACAGTAGGCCTTCTGTTGCACGAGGTCCTGTTTAAAACGTCAGCACAATGAAAAATTAAAGCTATCAATATTTGTACTACATGTATTTTCCAGTAAATATTTTCCAGATTATGCACCTGGTTTGAATTCAAATAGACTTGCATCAATAAACATACTCACTTAAGTAGACAGAAACACTATATATTTTTTATGCTATTTCATTTTGGGCTTGTGTCTATTATATTTTGTTGTCTTATGTTCTTTGATTCTCCCGCTGTCGTGTCCATAGCTGTATTGTGTTTAAAAAACAATACTGTGACAATAGTGATTTTAATGTTTTAATGATGATGATCATTGAACTACATGCACAATATAAATAATGCCTAAATCCCTGTGTGTCAGGTTTCCTCATTTGAATGTGATCCTGTGCTTTGGACACGGCGTTACAACTTTACACTATTTGCCTTCAGTTGATTCTACGTCATTTTGACAGTGTGGACAAAAGGGGCAATTTCGTTTTACAAAGTTTGCACTTTGAATGTTCATCGCAGGGGTGACATTGGTTATATATGCAATCAAGTAATATGCACATCACAAGTGCACAAATTGATTATTCATTGATTGCTGACTGAAGATTTAATATTTCACCCATAAATCACCATGTATAAGGAACTCCACTGTATCGCTTGCATTATTTTGGCTGACAGGGAGTCACAGAGTGATGATAATGATACACTCACAAGTGTATAATGGACTACAAGGTCAAAGTTGACTTACATTTTCCACCACTAGATGTCCCAAAACCAACCCTATTGGTGTATTGTCCATAACGATTAAATGTTGTGTAGTCTATGTCTATAGTTAACAGAGCAATATTAAAAATGCATCGTATTCTGGTAACTCGATAATAACATTCACTACATTTGGGCGTGGTTGCGGGACTCCTTTGTAGAGCCTTTGGAGTTGTAACTCTGGTGGTGTTGGTGGCGCTGCGTAGCTGCGACCACAGGCTCAGTGCAGCCAGTGACGCGGCGCTGGGATGAGTGGTGGAGCGGACTGCTGGGACATGTCCGAGTAGAAACCCGCAACACCCGTCGACACACCCAGCATCAAAACCCTTTTGAGATGGGGCAGTGTGGCATCACGTCGTCAAAGACGGTCCTGGTCTTTCTGAACCTAATATTTTGGGTAAGTTAAGGAGTTTTTTTATGGACGGTTTGAGACGTGCGTCACTAGCTAAGTTAGCCGTGCGTAGCTATGTTAGCTGTCGGTAGCAATGTTAGCTGTGTGTAAGTATGTCGGCTATGTTAGCTGTCAGTAGCAATGTTAGCTGTGTGTAAATATGTCAGCTATGTTAGCTGTCAGTAGCAATGTTAGCTGTGTGTAAGTATGTCAGCTGTGTTAGCTGTGCGTAGCTACGTCAGCTGGGTGTTCCGTCAGCTGCTCGGCCAGCTGCAGCAGCCGACCTTTGTTTACCGAGGGGGGATAAGTTTGCCAAAGCAGTACGAAAGACACTGCATCGTATGATTTTTTTTGTTTTGTTTTTAACGGTTTACTGCTAACAAGTCAGTGATGAATGCAGAACATTTCATTTCGTGTTTGGTTTTTGCTTACATTTACTAAAGCGATGTGCCTAACTACTTGTTCGAGAGACTTCACATTTCCTTTTTAAGATTCTTTTACTACTTGTTGCTTTAGTTACTAATTACTTTGCACGGTAGGATTATTCATATCAAATGTAAACAAAGTACGATATATTATTATAGGTTAAACCAATTCGTATATAAAATAGTTAATTTGAGGTCTACCTTTTATCTGTAGTATCATATAAATGATTCTGAAATAGGCCATTCTGCATAAGTAGGATTTTCTTTTTCTTTTGGTGCTGTTTTAGACTTTTACTTAAGTAGGTTTCTGAATGCTATTCTTTTACTTACTGAGTATTATTACACTGTGGTACTGTTTTCTATACCAAAGTAAAATATCCGAAGAGTGCTTCCAACACTTTCTGTGACAACTGACTTTCCATTTGTGAATGTAATATTAACATGTTGATTCCTTTTGATACCTTTTTATTTTTTGGCCCCTCGCAGGCTGCTGCTGGTATCCTGTGCTACGTTGGAGCGTACGTCTTCATTACATACGACGACTACGATCACTTCTTTGAAGATGTGTACACTCTTACCCCGGCGGTGACAATTATCGCGGTCGGAGCCCTCCTTTTCATTATTGGACTCATTGGCTGCTGCGCTACTGTGCGAGAGAGCCGCTGTGGTCTGGCAACGGTCAGTATTTTTGTTAAGTGACCGAGTTTGAACTAGGAAAGATTATGAACCGAAAAGTGGGCGTTCAGCATGCATTAGAACAAGACATTTACCGACAAATGTGACCAAGGCATTTAGTAACTTTTTAATTAAAAAGTTCAAATCTCTGAAGCTAATGTACGCTTCAAATAACAGCACAAGAAGCCTAATTAAGCATTTTTACGCATTTATTTTTTCTAACATGACCATCCAAACTGGCTGACCGTTTTAATTAAGTGCACGCCTGTGTCTGTTATCTGTGCATCTTAAATCTCTCAATTGAATCCACAGTTTGTTGTTATTCTCCTGCTGGTGTTCATGACGGAAGTGTCTGTGGTGGTTCTCGGGTACGTTTACAGAGCAAAGGTGAGAAAGTAAAATGCTCACGATCATATTTTTTTTCCACAACGCTAACAAGATGTTGACAGAAGTTAAGTTTTACACCTCTTAAACCCTCGGTAGGTTGAAAAGGAAGTAAATGTTTCCATCAAGAAAGTGTACGATGAGTACGATGGCACCAACAGCAATGCCCAGAGCCGTGCCATCGACTACATTCAAAGACAGGTGATGTCTCCTCGGTGAATCAGATATAATGCTGATATTACTCCCTTTTTGTATTTCTGTCAGACCTGACTGATTAAGTAGTTGAGATCTTGATATTTCCTTTTTTCCCCTAACAGCTCCAGTGTTGTGGGATCCACAATTACTCAGACTGGCAGAATACACGCTGGTATGAACAATCCAAAAACAACAGCACACCCATCAGCTGTTGCAACACTAACTTTGGAGGCTGCACGGGGTCTCTCACACATCCTGAAGATCTCTACCAAGAAGTAATGAGAACTCTAAATGTGTCCTAAACCAAACAGTTTTTTTTTTGTTTTGTTTTTAAGAGGAGTGACTGGTGTTTAAACATATTCTGTGTGTGTGTGTGTAGGGTTGTGAAGCTATGGTCGTGAAGAAGTTGAAGGAGATTATGATGTATGTCATTTGGACTGCACTGACATTTGCTGCAATCCAGGTATGTACCTGTAATGAAGGTAGCTTGTTTTGTGTGACATTGCCTGTATTCTGTACAAGCTGTATTCTCTTTTTTTAACTAGACGGTCGCCACATTTGCTCTTAATGCAATAGGCAACCAGGTGAAATAATAAAGTTCACGTCAGCAGCCATAGCCTCAGTTTTTATAACAAAGAGATAATTGCTGTATTTTAGAAAAATCATGGCACAGTCTACATCATTTTTCTACATGCTTGAGAAGATTAATGTGTGTCCGATAAATATTATCAGCAAGCCCGGTGAATAACTTAGCTTAGCATTTAGTGTAGTTTAGCAGCCTTCACTGTTCACTTCACAATCATGCTTTTGAAATTGCGTTGTACAATCTACAGTGAAGCTCCACAAACATTTCTGAGGACTGATGTGGTATGTGTCTGTTTCTTCTAGATGCTGGGGATGTTGTGTGCATGTGTCGTGCTGTGCCGCAGGCCCAGAGGTCCCGCCTATGAGCTTCTTATTACCGGAGGCACCTATGCCTAAAGGAGAACACATTTCTCACCACAACACACTTTCAGAATGTGTCATTGGTGAGAGCCTGAAAATAATATATTACCTCACTAGCAGCAACACTAAAGTTCTATATTTGACCTGTTTTTCCCCAAAAAAAAGCTACAGACCAAATTGTTAAATGGTCAATGTAAAGGAAATACAGAAAACTGATACTTAGGATGGCAAAAGGGCATAAAGGGGCATGTTAAGCGCCTGAGGATGAAGTAGAACCTCATATGTGGCGTAAAATAACGATGGGATGTTTCCTTATGTTAGTTTGCACTGTGTGTATGGCTTTGACAATTTTGTTTTTAAATCTGAAATTTTGATTAAATAAAATTTACCTCCACTAATATTATTTTACTACTATTACAGCTTGGTTTTGGTATGGAGCTCAATTTTCAGCAGAAGGATTCTGTAAAGTCGTTGACACCAAAAAATGCAGAATATCTAACTTAAGTGACGTCTGCATGTCCAATCTTTCTTTTAAGATTCAAGCTTTTGAATCCCCTTCAGTGTGTGTTTTTTTCAAGAAGTAATACATTATTGACTCAAGATAGACTTCCGGTGGTGTTTTGTTTGTTTTTGTCCCAGAAGTCCACTCCTGGTAGTTTAAGCATTTGATTTGCAGATATGTAGCAAGGGTAAGACTAAAGAATGTCAATCAAATTTGGGGGAAGGTTGAAATTAAAAGATTGCACAATTTTCTGACAATATGTTACAAAGTGGGAATGTTACTTCCCAAAATGTGTTTCTCTTTCTGACTTGATAAAGCTCATATTAAAAAGTCAATAAGAAAGGTGTGAGAGTTCCCATACTCATCAGAATGCTTTGTTCTCTGTCTAATCTTTGTTTTATACCACTTCTTCTCCAAAGTTACCACGGGCTCCACATGTACCACATGCCTTTTATAGATGAGACTTACTGGAAACATTAAATGTTGTATTTTCTTATTATATATAAGGTATATTTAGTCACCACCATACAACCATTTTTGAGATGCCTACACACTTACAATAGTGCCCGGTGTCATTTCAGCTACTTTCAGAAAGGAAACAATCACCACACCGAAATTATACACAGCTTCATATTAAAAAACTGCAGACATTAAAGAAAGCCACAGTATAGTAATCGACTTAGTGCAGAGACCTTTTGCAGGAGATCACTTAATCTCCCAGTGCCCCGAAATAAGGGCAAAGTAACATGAATATGTGCCATAACAATAAATAACATTAATAAACTCTCGTGCTATGATATACCCTAACCCATTTTCAAATCCTACTCAAAGGGGCCGTAATGGTGCGTTGAAAACATAAGCAAAACAAGCTAACACAAGGTCATTTGAGATGGCAAGGCCTGAACAAATGTGACAGAATGAACTGTAGTAGTTCTACTTAATGGCTGTGAGGAAAACTTATGCTTTGGCAAGGTAGGAGCCTGGGACCAATCCAGTTAGACCGTTTCTCTTCACCGTCCACCAGCCATCCTCGCCTTCCTCTAAGACGACCACAACGTCGCCGACCGACACAGAGAGCTCATCCTCCCCCTGAGCAAGGACAGAAACATCCCGTCAACAGTCGTCACTTGAAAGGGAAAAGGATTTGAACATTTAAATGCGCCTCATGTAGCGGCTGACCTTTGCCACATATTCGTAGACGACCATGTAGCCGTCACTGCTCAGCCGGGACCCCTCAAATCCAGGAATGGCAGCGTACACTCCGTCTGAGGGTTCTGCTGGGGAGTTGACAGGATGTCAGACACAATCATTTCCTGTGTGATACCATTTGTAACTAGCCACCACCCAAAATAGCGAAGGTGGTCCCTTCGTCGCCATCTCCCGTTTTTTCACACCAGAAGAACATTGATACTTCTCTCCCTAGTTGCGTGTCGCCATGGTGACGAATAATAATCACAGTATGTATCTCACAGTTGCTCTGCCGCATGTGCAGAAAGGCTCGATGTGTCTTTCACAGTCATTTCTCTCATCGGTAATTTGGTACTTTACCAGGTTGTGCGACTTGTTCATTGATGCTGTATTTTGAGCCACTGGACGACTGCAGAAGATTTGAAAACCTACAAATTGGGGAATAATGCAATAAAGAGATGCACAAAAAGAAGAAATATTCTTTTCAAATGTTACTTTATATTGTGTATTTCTGACCTTTTCATCACTCCTCCTACAAATCCACAACTGCCGTTTCTGTTTTCTCCGGCGTCCGTTTCATAGTAATTTTGGTATTCGATTGGAGCTGTGGAAGAACCATTGGAATGAAGTAAATAAAAAACACAACCACTCACCTGCTTCTGAAACAATCAAACATTTTGTTGTGTGTTTTAGCAGCATTTGAGAGACAGTATTACAATTTCCACCTTAGAACATGTTGAAATCCAATCATCAGAAAAGGCCGCAGGGCAGTTGCTTACCCGGGGGGGCGGAGCCAGTGCTTTTCAACTCCACAAAGCCGTTAATGTCTGTGATGATGTCGCAATTTTCTAGCGTTTTCCTCACAGCCTCGTAACACTGAAAGAGAAGTTTCCGCCGTGAATAAACACTTCACTGCTTTCTGTAAATCCATGACATACATATGTGTGAGAGCAGCTGCACACACCTCATCATCCTTAACACTCTGCATTGATAACTGGTTACAATGCACCCACAGGGCATTCCGTAATACACTGAGGCGGTCTTCTTCCTGCAGCTGAAATATCTGCAAAACGAAATGATCAGAACGTGTATAAATAATCTAGCAAAAATTGAAGCACGGTGCATTTACAACACTGAAATATACTGTTGCAACAACCTCTTCAAATAACTCAAGCATCCAGCATGGATTCTAGTCCCTGTGTTATCTGTCGACTCAGGCCATTTGAGTGCTTTCTTCCTTGTTTTTTTTTATTGGTTTATTTGGTTCTGTGTTTTTAAAATGCCACCGACCTTTTTGTTTTCCCATCTAGAAAGGTTGTGCGCAAAAAGTTTACAGATGAATGACTAACTTTATAGTTTGTTGACAGGAAGTTTCATACATCCTCATTGACGGGCATTTGGTATTGCCACTCTTGGTCTGTACATTCTTAAATGCAGCGTGCTGTAATTGTACATTCCTACCGTGACAAATCCACGTCTGGTGTTGTGATTTACCTCGCATGTGTTGATGTGTGCCGATTCCCACTCTTGACGAGTCTTGTCAAGCTGTTGGATGTTCAGCCTGTATTGTTTCTCTAAAGAAAAAAATCAAGAATTACTCAAAACAAATGATTTGTTCTTCCTCCATGAAATGACAAAATGCAGCATCTCGCTGCGGTTATCTGTCCTTACCAGCCTCTTCTGCAGCTTCTCTGCACTGTTTAGATTTGTTGTTCATCTAAAGAAAATATTGAAAAATAAATATTAAAAAAAAATTAGGCAAGATGTTATCTGTAAACCTTTAGTTTTCCAAGTAACTTACTACGTAGGTGCTTTGAAATCATCTTTTTTTTTTACGTTTTAAATGGGAACAGGAACTCTCTTGAGTTCCCTCATCTCCTGCTGCAATCCATTCTAAATACATCATCTTCTACGTGATAAAAGTATTTCCATATTGAATATCTAAGGTAGCATTTGTTAATAACACACGTTATTTGTGAGGTGCACAGTACATTTTTAGATACCAATTGCAGTTATGGTAGACAAAAAGCACACTGAAAAGGTCAGTCCAAACTAGAGTAACTACCCTTTTCTCATTTCTTGTCTTGAAACCGAAAAACATTTTACAAACACAAAAACTGTAAATGTTTACAGTGTTTTAAAAACGAGGGACATGGCCTTTTTGTTAGAAGTCCAAAGACTGAACTGTTATATTTATATTCACCGTGGTACTCATGCTGGTTGGACGTGTACGTGCACGTGTGAATCCATAAGTGAGCATCTACCTCTGTCCTCATTCTGCTGCAGCACAATGTGTGCTACTTTGGCCGGCCGTATGGATGCATGCTCAGGCCCTTTCCTGCTTGCGGTTATGCATACTTTCCCCAAACATATTTTATTGCCTGTTTCACAGTAACTGAATGCTGACTCCTTGCTTATTTTTCTATTCCTAGATTTTCCAGGAAGGAAGTAGATAAGGAATTGAAAATATTGTAGGAGAACCTCATCACAGATTTTTATTCAGTGCAGCAAATCTTAAAACACGGCCCGGTGAGGACCATTAAAGATTAATTGGTAGGATCTTTATATAAGCATATTTCTACTCTGGACCTTTAATGAGTGACACTGTGGTACAGATTTACCTTCTCGGTCTGTTTGGGAGTGGCTGTGGGAGCGTTGGCCATCTTCTCTGCGTTTTGCTCCGCCTCATCTGCCTCTCTGCAACGCTGCTCATAGGATTTTTTAGACTAGAAGTAAAGAGAACAGAAACCATTTGGGACTATAACACCCGGTCTTTGTCATCTGCACTTTGACAGGAAGGTGGGGAGGAGGCCTGGGGGGGGTTCAGTCAATACAGAAATGCAATGTATCGGAAGTCACATAAATTTGTTGTAAGACCTGACTTCCTTCTTCGGATTGGTAAAGGAGATATGCTTACTGTGTGATGCACAGCGAGTTATTACTGACATCGACCAGTCTTGCAAAATCATCTTCCTCTTATGTATAAATTAAATATAGACGGCCATACCCCTCCCTCCGCTGAAGCCTTTTCAGAAAGCACTTTTCTTGCATATACGAGCAGCTTGTAGCTGCACTAAAACTTCTCCTAGATGCAGTTTACTTGTGCAACAATTATATAAAGAGGGAGCTGAAATCTCCATAAAACTGTTATTTCCAAGGCCCTGAACACACACGAGGTCTAATATTCATAGATCATCACGATAATACAAATTGTCCTTACATCTATTGTTTTCTTGAAGAGAGAGACTTTTGTCCTCTGAACCTTCTCCATGATGACTTCAAACTAAGTGAGAGAACACACTGTTAAAAAAAATACCAACGTCAACAGAAAACCACAAGCAACTATTTTTTGATTTCCTGCGCAAAAAAGATTTTTTGCTGGTACCTTTTTTCTCTGTTCTTTCTGTCGCTCTCTGAACTCCTCCATTCTCTTCACCTCCTCCTTGAGAGATGCAGATAACTGAATGTGCAAGTGTCCTACTTTTTCAATTTCTGAAAGACCAAAATGTAGAGTTTTTTTTTTTTTCACCTATGAAGTGCACACAAACACAGAATGGAGGAAAATATATCCAGTTCTTACGTGCTTTCATTTCATCAAAAGATGTTCTCATAGTGCTGTGGAAACAAAATGAATAATAAATGAAGTCCATGCGGTCCAGAACAGATGTATTGAGAGGAGGCAGACATCGACGCGATGAGGGCATATCTGCTCAAATCCACACACATACCTACCTGGTCTCATATAATCCCCCAACCTTGCGTGCAATGGTAACAAGTTCCTTGCCGTATTTCTCATCTGCCGATGCCCTGAATAAACAATACCACCAACAGAACAGAACGTAACCACATTGCACCGATGTCACTTTCATAAGTCATCAGGTCCATTACATCGGTGATCGGTGAAAGCATTGTCGTGTGAGATCCCACCTCATCTTCAAGAGCTCTTCCATGTCCTTGCATGTCCGTCGACCATCATTTAGTCTCTGACTGATAGTCTCGTACCCTGCGTTGCTGATAAAGTCCACTGCCTAGAACCGTAAACACAAGACCATCTTACTCATTCGGTCACCGACGAGGATACTTTAAGCCAATCGTGAAAATGTATCATGAAAAGAAAGTGACGTGCTGTTGCTACGGGCAGGATGCAAAGCAAACAAACAGCAGACAAAATACAAAAGTATTCTAACTTTAAATCAAGTGCGAGTACACTAACTGGTGTAAAAATCTCTAATGTTTATTTATTTAGCTTGTTTCTGACTGACCAGCTCCTAAAGCTTTGCTTACAGTTATGATGTAGAGACTCTTACAGAGTTTCATGAACGTTAACAGGTGCTGCTCACTGTTCTGAAAAGGCAGTGCCAAAGACCAAAGGGACCAATAGGGAGAGGACATTACTACAGGAAAACCCCAATAACACCACAACAACACATTGTTAATGTCAAAGCGCTATTTTTAAAAGTTGCACCGGAAAATAGTGGTTTGGTTTGTACGACCGACCAGTTTTCCGATAGAATCTGTACACAACCCAGAGATAAGTAAACCGCATACGTAACCGAATGTGAATGTTTTAATCCAAGTGACAATTCAGTGAGTTTCAAAATAAGGAAAAGGAAATAAATCCGAGCGAATCAGATATCAGAAGACCGAGTGTTTAGGTAACGGTAGTGAAATACATGCATTACACAAAACCATTACAAGCAATTGGTACGGCGGGAGCTCTGGTAGCCTGCTCTCCACATACAATGAGAAGCATAAGTTCAGTAGAAGTGGAAAGGGTACACAACCTAAATCACCTAAAAACTCCAGTGAACCGAGTACAAAACCGACTTTATGGTAAGAAGAAAAAAAACAATATTAAAAAGTATTGATTAGTAGCATCACACAAACTCACCCAAAAGGCATCTTTAAATAGTAATGCCATCTTGTCAGTGTCCACGGTTGACAAACTTCTCAAATATAAGACCTGCGGTGTTAACGGGCTGTTACTTCATGCAAGTGAAACGGATCATGACACATTCAGGAAACAGCCGCCAGCAGCAGCACTCACTTTATTCAAATGAGGAAGAGCCTTAACGTGTCAGTAGTTAACACCATAGAACTGGTACTTGTGTCGGGTCACTTCTGCCACGAGTGAGAGGAAATCTCAGGATGACTCAGTCACAGCTCAACATTTCTTGTCTTTATAAAGCGGTACAATCACATTACTAGTCGAGAGTGGACCAAAACAACTGGAAGGGATCACAATGATATGCAATCTAACGTAAAAACGCTTCAACACATACAACTTTTGGAAGTTTCTGGTGTCGGGGGTTTTGATGAAACCACGGCCATTTAAGAGTTGCGCAACTTGTGCGTGCCGGTGTCAGGACTCCAACTCAATCCTACACTTTGTCAACATACCAGGACTTCCCCGTGACATTTTCATTAAGGATCCAGCTGCTGTGAGATAAACTAATATGCTTCCCTCTCATTTAAAATGAGATAATCTATAGCTTTAACTAAAAAATAAGCTACATTACCACAATCTGCCTTCGCTATCACGTGACATGACATTAGTGTGTGTTCACAGTGTTTGCACTCAATCATACTTCTCATTTATCCGGGGATATGATTTTGAAAATGATAAAACGGTTTCAGGTGGCAATGAATGATTTGTTTTGAGGAACTGTGACAGATAGACTGGTTGTTCTCAAATTATAGGGAAACAGCAGAATTTTGCATGACATTTGCCTTTTTGGGGGGATGTGAACAGTGTGCTGTATTATGCTGGTGTTGTCATATATCATATTATCTTTCCAGGTAATTTTCTACGTCAACCATCAGTTAGTCACCACATAAATCCGGTGAAAGCAACAAATCACACTACTGTAGATCCTCAGGGACACAAATGAGAAAGCACGAAGTTTAGTTAGAGTTCATCATGTGACGCATGCAGCTGTCTCCCGTAGTCCGTGACTTCACTGTTCATGAACGCTTCTTGATTCTTCAAGACTTCGGCCACTGAGATCTTCCCGTCTCCATCGTGGTCCATCTCTTTGATGAGGTGAAGAGCCTTTTAATAACACGAGAGCAAAACCAACAAAAGAAATCATTCCATCCACATGAAATAGACACAATCCCACGAGCCGTACAAATACATTATGGCAACTGAAATCCAGGACAAAGGTTGGAGCAGTTGGGTACCTCTTCTCTTGCCGAGCCGTAGCTGTTAGGTGCAACCCAGCGGAGCTGCTCGTCTCGATTCAACACACCATCCTTATCTTGATCGTAAAGGTCTTGGAAGCGCACGGTTTCTTCGATCGCCCACTGGGAAGGAGAATCCTCTGGCAACAGAATGAAGTGTCATGGTTGCACTTGAGATGAAAATTGGGCATTGCAGAAGACACTAAAAGAAATTAAAAAAGAAGATTCTATGTTGTCTCACCTTCACCACGAACATCTCCAATAAATTCATTCAGATTGATGAGTCCATCTTTATCGGTGTCATATTCATTTAACACATTTTCAATGGTAAAGTCCTGTTGGGAAAAAAATGGTAAATGATTCAAATGATGGCCACCTATATAATGTGTAGAAGAATGCATTTTCATATCTGGACTAGCGGGAGTCGAAGCTGAACTCTTCTCACAGCCATGTGATCCACTTCAGATGGGTGGGTGAAGGCAAGGAACTCTGTCACATTCAGCCCAGGTGTGCCGTCCACATCAGCAAAGTCAAAGCGTCTCCTCTCCCTCAGGTGGAGCTAACGGGGAATGTTGAATTAATACAGATAAATCACGTTGTGGGTTTTAATTTGATTAACAGGACAATTTGAATTTTTGAATTTAGGTATACAAACTTCTCTGAGGGACGCTTGCTCTGGATCCTCCAGAACAGCGTCATCGTCCAAACTAATAAGCTGGTCGTAAGCGACGGCGTTGTATTCCTCCCATGTCACGACACCGTCTCCATCGTTGTCAAACTCAGGGAACCGCTCTTTTGCGTCGTCCAGAGCATACTTTCTGTAGACGTGCTGTATCCACAGCGTGATCTCTTCTGTGGATAAAAACAACAGCAAAAGGAGCTTCACCTTTCATCCGCTCTGTTTGACTCTGCTTTTTTTTTTTTAAATGTTGACAATTAGGTATCAATTTACCTGCACTTAGCAGATTATCAGCATTTGAATCAATACGCTTAACAATTTCCATCATCTTTTTCTTCTGTTGTGTTGGGCTAAGTAGCTTTATCTCCTCGGTGTCCTAAAGGTGCATGAAGTAAGTTGAGGAGAAAGTGAGCAGGCGATGACTGAAGATTAGACGACGAGTAAAGTAAACATTCACCAAACCTCATCTCCCAGGAGGATGTTCACGTCATGTTCAGGGTTGTGCTGCTGGCCAACATAATGATCATCATGGAGATTCTTGTGCAAGCTTTGTCCTAATCCAAACTGAAGCGCCAGAATGACCCACAATGCAGAGGACGCCATCTGTTGAATATCACAATTATTAAAAAAATGAACTGTGCAACCTTGTGGTCAGCTGGTGGAAGTTTGTACTAAACTGTATGTGCGTGAGCCTCATCCAGCATGACGATGTAACAATGAGTGTTAGATAAAACCTGTTAAATCCATCAGGAACTAGTGAGTAAAACAAGGAGATGGAGAGGAGGTCTGAGAGTAATAAAAACCTGTTTACATGTTAAGTAAATGAGACAGATTCACCAACATCAGTGACAAAATCCACAGCATTAGTTAAAATGAAGTTAAAGACATGGCACACTCGTCACTATTTACAAAGAACCTGTTACACGGTTGTGATATTTAAAATGGAAGACGCTGTTACGATCGTGAGAGAACTTACGTTTGTTTTTAAAAACTCCTCTGTGCGACGCAAATGTTATTCACCTTAGAGGAGATGCGTACTTCCGGAAACACATTTCAAAGTAAATGTTCGGGTATTTTTGTGTTTGATTTAATAAAGTTAATCTCATTAGAATATCGTGCTTGGAGGACTGTCAAGACTGACAGTCAATGTACCCAGTTTAACTTTGTCGTGTCTGACAGTTTGTGTTAAATTTAGGGTTGACACAGTTGACCAATGTAATTCTCTCCAACTGGGCCTGACAGTGTTTCATAATCGAGATAAGAGGAAACCTAACTGTATAATAGGACTGTACTGGGATGACCCCGACTCGTTTCACATTACATGTTTAAGCAACCCTACATATAGGACATATAGAGTACACTACTAGACCACAAATTAATGCATATATCCATATACAAATTGAATATGTCTAATTAAAAAGGGTATGGTATCTGCTTTTAATGATGATAGATTAATTAATAGACCCACATACCCAGGTAGACAAACAATATAGTTCAAAAGAGAACGGCGCTTCTAAAAGCTTTTATTTTGAAGGCAGGTTTACTGCTTTTCCAGTCCGTAGATGCTTGACAAACATAAGCAATCAAACAAACGTCCCGCCCGATCTCCAGTCTTCATGGTTGCCATGGTACGCAGTTTGAAGTCCCGCCCCTTGACCCGAACTGCAACGTACGTGGTTGGTGGCCCACATGCTTTGTCAATGTTTCAGCAATCTCATTGGATAATCCCACTTTCGGTCAACATTGAATTTAACAGACTTCCTGCTTTTGTTGTTAGGTTGTCCTCTGTCATTTTATTATCTGACATGTTATCCCATCAACTCTTAACAACAAGACAACTGTGTCCGTAGACCTTTATATCTCACCTGCTGCGCGTCGAACGTATCGCGGCGCCGATGTCCAAAGACAACCGCCATGATGGAAGACGGCGTGGAGCTGGGCAGCACCGCCTCGGCCCGAGAGTTAGCCAAGGTGGGGACGGGAGGGAGAGGTCCGGTAGCAACAGCTCAGGCTCTTCGCACGGAGGAGGCAAAAGCAAGAATACATCTATAACCGCTCTGAAGGTTTGTAACGACATCCCAGCTGATCGCTCACAGCCGAAATATAGTGACAGTTGATTTTACGTTAGTCAATAGCACGCGAATCCCAATGCACGCCCGGCTAGCTTGAGCTAAATGATAACGGGGGGTGGGTTCACTCAGCGGACGGTTCCAGCTAGCCGGGGACACCTGTCCAATGCCCTCGGCCCATGTGTTACTAGCCTTGTGAGATTTCTGTTTTTTTGCGTCTTCGTGTAATGCCCCATTGTCAGTCCAACAGTGATGGGTGTATTTGCGACACGTCTGTACCAGACGGTCTTGCTTATCCTGCTGTCCTCGTTTACCTCCATCTTTTTCCTGCACACAGTCTGTTTGTTTTATATCATTTGCAGGCAGTCCGAGCATGTGGGCTTGTGTTTGTGTTTTGTTTCCCCCCCAGCAGGCTTTAAATCATTGGATGGTCCACTCGGATACAGATCCACAGCATCACTTTGAGAGGCTAATGCATGGCACACACACACACACACACACACACACACACACACACACACACACACACACACACACACACACACACACACACACACACACAGTCTCTTAGCCTGCAGCTATTCTCTCATCACTGGCATCACACAGGATGGGGGGTGGGGGGCACACAGAGCAGCAGGCTTGCTGTGTTCACATGACTGCGCAGCTCTGTGGCAGAAGGAGCGAGAGAGAGAGAGAGAGAGAGAGAGAGAGTGAGAGTGGTGGGCTCTGATGCAGAGGAGACGAGCTGTAAATATAGTAAGCTCCATGCAGTAGCGAGCAGGAGAGAGTGTCAGGCAGTGGGCAGAGAGTCGGGCCTAAGAAATGGCTGCTGTGGACGGCAGGGCTGTGGGACTGAGGGAGCACTTGTCTCTCTAAATCGCGACTGGGAGAGGAGTTGACACAGCTGGGCGAGTTGCTGGAGCAGTGTGGACTACACAGTAGGAGTCTATTTTTGGTGCTGCTGTCAGATGACGACGTCCCCTTGCACAAGTGGCAGGGCTGGCGTGGGGGAACAGGTTGCCTGAAGTGTGCTGCAAAAAAAAAGTATGTCAGGGGTGGATAAGGACGAGGAACCTGCTTACAGACTGTACTTCTATTCTGTATGTATCCTCTTTACCTTTTTGATTTGTATCTGTGTTTCTCCTGATAAGCGAGATCTCACCCACTTTCCCCGCTGCTTGCATGTCGGTGAACTTTCCTGCCAAAAGGGAAACCTTACACTTGCCCTCCTTGTTCAGTCTCGTGAGTTAGCTCTCTCTCTTTGGTGCGCGGGGAAGGACTGCCGGGGCCAGAGAATCAATCAGAAGTCAGGCTCCACAATGCATCTCGCTTTTCTACTGTGCGGCCCAGCAGGCCGCTTCTTTACAGATGGTTAAGTGGATTTAGAGAACCTTTCTGTTGGCCTTTTTTTCCCCCTCAGACTGCTGCATGTAGTTCGCCAGCCATCCGTCGCAAGTAGGCATGGTTTTCCCACGACATTCATCTGTCATCAAAGGGCTGCCAAACCCAGTAACCGCTGAGTAAATATTTACATAATGTAAATGGGAGACGGGGCATTGATGCCGACCTATACGCCACTAGTTCTTGCTCGTTTTACAATTGGTGTGTTCTCTGATCTCTGTTCTTTTATCTCGTTGTACTCCGTTTGTCTACTTGGCCGAATGAAGCCCGGTCCACTTGCCGTGCAAAGAGTTTCGCTGACCAGAAGTAGGTCAGCTGGGTATCTCCCTTAGGGACGTTAAATAGCATCAGACCCATGCACGCATGCTGCTTCTGCATGTGTAGCGCCCCAATGAGCCATTTTCACATTTTTCGGTCATTGAATGATAGCTTGCAAAGATGATGACATATTAAGTCAAATTTAAACAAAATCAAATTATTCACTTAATGCCTCAAATCCTTTTGATAATGCATAAACAGCTTCCCTTAATTGCGAGCGTGTTGCGTAAGGAATGATTTATCGGTATCTGTGTTGTCTGCATAGTGTTGGTAGTGTGAGGCAGCCAGAATATGAGGGGGAACAGTTTGTTCCATGAGTCATTTGCTATAAAGAGGAGAACTGGCTCTCGATTTTGTCGGGTTTTAGGTAACAACGTATTTATGTCTGAAACCACATCTTGCAGTTTTTCGACCAAAGAATATTTCTCGGGACTTAAGTCAACGGTGGACTAAATGAATTCTGAGCAGGAGCCAAGATGGTCGGACTTTTGCGACAAGGTTTCTGGGTAATTTTTGTAACCAGATTGTCAGAAAATTGAGAAATTATACCATGTGATAGTAGCCTGCTGGTTACACTGTGTGACTTTGATAATTGAGTTGTGGGGGGTATTGCACATATTTGCTCTCTGCAATAGACAATGATCCGTTTTGACTGGACTGCTGTGCTCCGGTCAAACGGCTGCTCTCATCATGGGACGTCTTAATGCTCAAAAGCGTTCGAGGATGTGATGCATTCATTTTGCTTCACAGTGTCTGCTTCACCACCGGGGTCACAGTCAAGTGTACTGATGCACCGTCGACGTGTAGGTCAGCCATGACGCACGCCGAGCACACAGCGCGGTCAGAGCTCCCGGCGCCGCCAGACCTCTGCAATACACTTAATGTGTGCACTGTTGTGGCTCTGGACAAATACATGCAACCTCATATTGCAATGCAGTCATGCTATTTTACATTAATTACAAGGATTACGTATTTCAAATAGTCATTTTTGATAACTATTAGTACTATACATTTGTTACATTTTGATCTTTGTTTCTATGAGGCGCTTCTTTCTCCAACAAACTGTTAACATGTGTTGTATGACATTTATGTCAGTTTTAGATTTGAATAATGTGTTTGTATGCACTCTGTTACACACACTTTGATTTCACTTATGTTTTAAAATTCATCATAGCTTGAATACGTGGCTGCAATCGGCCTGCTTGTTTATAAACGTATTACAGCTTATTTAGGAGTACAATAAGAAGCTGTATTGCTGTAGTCCAGGGATTCCCAAGTGGGGTTGCGCAAGAGGAAACATGTAATAGTGGTCTAATGGAGTAATAATTCATATTACATTAGAATTTGTAAAAAATCGATAGGGTTTTTACACAAAATAGAGACATGAATTATAAAACTACCATTTGCCAGTTTAAAATTAAAAATGTACAATTTTTAATAAATAAATACACTTAAGCTCCTCCTTTTACGTACACACTAACTAATGTTAGCCTAGTTTGTGCACCTAACTGCACCTAAATCATGAAACTGTCAGGTGGACATCTGAAGTGTGCTGCAAAAAAAAAGTATGTCAGGGGTGGATAAGGACGAGGAACCTGCTTACAGACTGTACTTCTATACAATGAAATACTGTGGCAAGAATAAGATGTAGTTTTTCAGTTAACCAGGGAATAAACATGTTGATGTTTTTGTGGGATTTGTTGATTTATTGAGTATTGCCTCAACTTATCTTTTAAACATGTGTACCTCCTGTTCCTCTGTAGCGGGTTGAAACTGTCCACACATCACTATAGTAATGATCGTGGCAAAAAGACAAAGATATAAAAATGAATCCTACCTATCGATCCACACAGTCTTGCATTCCTAGATAAAGGGAGCACTATGAGTCATCCCACATTGTTGCCCCAGGGACAGGGTGCACTTTTCAATGAATCCAACATATATTCTCTATTTGATCTGTTTCGCTCGGGTCTTTGGTTCTCTGGCTCATTGAGGTCTTTTAAATCGGTTTCTTGTGCAGGCATCTTTTCAGCGCTCCAACAGCCATGACAAGGTGAGGAAGATCGTTGCTGAAGAAGGCCGCGCTGCTCGAAACCTCATCGCCTGGAATGTACCTCTGGAGAACAAAGAGGAGGAAGGTTGGTAGCTGCATGCTACGCAGACTTTTTGTGTGATTTTAATGATATATTTTACGCTGTATTGACATCGCAAGTAAATGGTGTGTAGCATTTGCGTAGTTTGGGTCCTGATTGAGCAGTGGTAAGAGGTGCAGCACATGTTTGCTTTAGGTTATTTGACTTCCCATATCTTTGGGACGGTGGAAGATTTATTTTGAGTATTCCATTAACTATCCTTGGGAAAGTCACAGTCTGTGAAGGAACTCGCTGATCATTTCTCATCTCAAGGCTAGACTGTTAATGAAGGAGTGTTGAGAATCTCTTAAGTAGGAGAGCGCTTACACTCGTACGTAATGCTTTGTTATGTGGAAGAACATTTTTCTGCTGGCAGAGTTCACTGCGTCGCTGTGGTTCATGGTGTTTGGTCAGGGTAGTATTATGTAATCAGCTTTGAATTATTTACACACTACCTAAAGCTTTGAAATTCGGAGAAAAAGAACTCTTCGATATTAGAATTTTAATCTTTTTCCGTTCAACAATATTGTTTCCTGTAATGCATTGTATTGCAAGCTCAAATAGTGAAAGGATTTTTCTTTTAGACCAGCTTTCACCACAGCTTACACAGTAGAACCTTTTTCACAGAGTTTACAGTGAAATTCTGAATAATAAAAAGTGGTGTTCTCCTTCAAATGTAAAATAAAGGTCTCTGTCCGGCAGTTTTTATTATTATTTTATTTCATAATCAATGTTAATTGATTAATGGTAAAAGACGATTTTAAGGTACAGACAGCCTTTTTTAAATCAACACATTAAACGTCAACACAGACGTATGCCACGATTTCGCTCTGTCACCTGATACATCATTACTAAAAATGGAAAAGCCCTCTGGTAAAAAAAACCTTTTAATTTAGCCACCTAAAGAAAAGGCACAATCCCAATGCTTCCGTAACTCCATATTAAGAATATTATTTAGCACCTGATTATTTCATCTGCATGTTGAATGTTACCTTCATCACAATATTTGAGATTATTTCACCCATTACTATACACAGCATAAGCCTAATGGTTCTCCTCCCCACAGTCAAGTCCAAAAGCAACTCCAGTGGAAGTTCCAGGACCCAGAAGATCAACTCTGGTCAGCACAGGAATAAGAAACAGGTTAGTGTGTCGTCTTCTTCCACTAGAGGGCCCCATTCACTAAGCGAAGCACTCTATTTATTATGCTACACACTGCAAGTGGATCTGCTACGCTGTGAAACTCTGTTAGTCAGTCTCGGAAAAGCTGAGGTTTCAAAGAAAAGAAGAAAAATAGTCATCAATCCCAGTCTACATTGTGGTTTAAGCTAATGCTTTTCATTTCATTTTTATTGTAGTTTTTATTTAACTATGAATACTTCTTGAAACCACTGGGATAGACAGCATTACCACAAGGGTTTTCAAATCTCTCTCTATTCCCCTCGTACTACAAATGCATGGTTGGTAACACAATGCCACCTCGTGTCCCGACCAACAGGAAATAAGTTGGTCGGGACACGAGGTGGCATTGTGGTTGCAATATAAAAACAAACAAGGACTCGCATGACGCTGCGATTACGTTTGTAATGGTCACTGTCATTTGTTTTCCACACTTTGCCTC